TTCATTTTCAATGAGGATATTGGTTGAATTGGACATAACTTGATATTTGACCATCAATGGTCAAGGGAATCTAATTTACTTTGATTATTTTTATTGTGCTATGGTAGTTATTATGATTATCTTTATGATTATTATTACCGTTATGTTTTGATTGCTTTTATGATGGAAGGTAAAATTTTGCTTAAAGAAAATGTGATTTCATGTTACTCTTTCAATAAGTATCTCTTTGTATACTAATATTATATGGTATGAGTAACATTATTGAAGGAAATTTCATATTACTATACAGAATTAGAATGATAATATTAATGATTACAATTCTAATTCCATATCCCATTGGGGTTTCCATGGTAAAAGTATCATGAAAAAAGCGATAAAAACTCACTGGGAATTATTATCTGATAATTTTTCACTCCCAATGGGTTCCAATGTTTTCTAACCAGTGTTAAGATATTTCTGTTTCTTTCCAATGGATTTTTGTTTCTACTTTTCTGGTTTCGCACAATTAACTGATTTTCCGAATATTATTATGATTAATTATCTGTATTTACGATCGTGAATTAAGTGATTATCTTCATGATGATTATTTCAGATGATCAGTAAACTCTATTCTCAGCCATTTTGATTATTATTAATCGTCAATTATTAGAATACTTTTTGATTGAATTTCGTTTGTCTTTGGGTTGAAAAGGGAAATTTTCCTCAATCAACTTTACAATCAGTTGATTGTTGATCGTTAAGGTGAATTAAGGTCAAAGAAAGTGAAAATGATCTTAACTATAATGTAAATTGTTTTCTATTAACATAAATTGTTAAATATTCATTTACCGGGTTAACCTACTTATTGATGAATATCTTTGATCATTATGATCAATTTATGTTAATCTTTATGATTAACTTTTGATTACATTATCCGAATGGTAACAATCTGATTATTTACTCAAAATTTGATTATTAATAACCTTTTGTACAACAATCAAGGGTAGTTGGCTTGATTAATAAACCAATTAGCTAATTATTATGGGACTGAAACTTTAATATTCAGTAACCAAGTTGATTTATTATCTAATTAGTCAATTGATCAATTATTTTGATAATCAATCAACTATTAATATAAAAAAAAGATACTAATGGTTAGTATACAGTGTAAGTAATTAAATTGTGAATGAAACTTTTTAATTCAGTTTTAGATGGATGAGATAATCTTTATACTATTGTTAATCATTTTGAGCAAATGTCAAAGTGATTAAGGTAATATTTGATTTCTCTTGTTGATTAATATTTACTAACAATCAAGATTAACCCTTAAGGTGATTTCCAATTGATTTCTATGTTGATACTTGTTGGATTAATTTATATTTCAATCTAATAAATCTTATTGTTAACTAATATTTACAATCAAATGGTCTTACAATTAATTCTGTCAATAGAATAGAAATAGAATCAATAAATTGTTCCACTTTTAGTATTCTCTTCAATATTTAATCAAGGAAATATGTTCACTCGTGTTGATTAATTAGTTAGTCAATTAAGGTTTCGCTCTGTTTAACCCGAGCAATTGAAATAACAATTTGCAATTGGAAATTAACTCAACACAATCGATAATCAATACATGATTAAATTGCTGCGATAACCTTGTAATCTTCCAACTGTAAATTAACCTTGATTGTCGGGTCCTAAATTGTTGAGCAATTAACCTAACCAATGACTCAAATTTAACTTGATTGGAATCAGTTTGAATATTGAACAATTTAATTTACTTTACCATCAAAATGTTGATGGTATTAATTTAGTTTGACATTTTTCAGTATTAAAGTTAATCACTAATAATTTATAGTTAAGCAAATATAATCCATCTAAGAATTAGTTTATTACTTGATTGTTGAAACCTTTAATTGCTAGCAATAAATTAGATGTTGATACAATTTATCAACATTTTTCTGTCAACAAAGATAATCAACAAGTAATCAAGAGAAATTAAATTCACTTATATTAATTGTATGAATTAGAGATGATAGAAAATCAAAGTAATTAACCTTTATGTCAACAAATTAATGGTTAATTGTGATGAGGATCAATATATTAAATTGTTTATACCAGCAATTAGTATCCATTGAATTTTGGTTTGATGGTTTTTCATTGCAACAATTTAGGATTTCCTTTCCAGTTGATTGTTACCTTTGAAATTAATGAGTTTTCATGGTTATATGGATCTTGATGAATATCAATTCTGGTAATTTACTGAATCTGAGTGTAGATATCATCATGAAGATGAAAAGTTGTAATAATATATGTTGACCTTATTTTATGTTTATCTTTTTCAACTGTTTCCAATTTTTGAATAAATAATAGGAAATGAATCAACTGTTCATTGAAATTCCCTGAAGCTTTTGCTTCATCTTTTTTTTTACTCTTCCACATCATCCTCATCTTCATCCTCCAACTGATGAAATGAAAAAAAACTCCCACTTCCCTTCCCATGAAGATGAAAACTTTTTTATTTTCTCATCTCAAGTTGAATCTTCATGATACTCAGAATGAGTGGTCATTTTAATGAGATAAATTATTCAGATTTAAAGCAAAAAAAACACATAACATGAACTCATATGGAACAGGAATGTTATTATTATTATCAAAATGGAAAACAATCAATAATTAATACTGTTAATCGGTGGATTTGGATTTGAATCTATTGATGATTGATTGTTATCACAGGAGAAATTACTTATTGAAAGTTCTGATTTAATAATATTATTTACTTTTCCAATTGTTTCTCCTGGGATATAGATTAGATTGGAAAATAGGAGGAGATTCAGGAGGAACCATGAATATCCATCATCGGTGGGAATAAATTCCTTAAAGATTGACCCTTTTTCTTATTCATCACCATGTAATTTTTTTCTCTCAATCGATTCGTTGAAATTGTAAACAATTTACACATGGAAACTATTGTAATACAATTACCATGTTTCATGGTGATTATTTGGATCTACACTGTTATTCAATTAACTGATTGTCTTCAACTTTGTTTTCCATTGTCACTGACAATCAATTTGATAATCAATTGATGATTGTTATTTGGGAATCAATTTATTAATCGTTACTTTCGCAATAATAATAATAATCACTTTGGTTTTGTAATTAACTAACTAATTGAATTGGATTAATATTTCCTCAATGATTAACGATTATCATGATTATATGTATCTACATGTAATTGATTGTACTTGGTTTGTAAGGTGAAAACGGTTTCATGTTGATTCATAATCATTTCAGATTAGGTTGATTTTTGCTTTGATCATTCAAATCATTAATTAAGCTTGATTGTTAATGGCTAATATATTGATACTTAATCATTAGCACTGATTGTTATACGATTTTGATTAACGTTCAATACAAAATCATTATTAATCTTATACAACTTTTTTTACTCCTTCATTATGATATCTTAGGTTTCATTGAAATTATTATATAAAGTTGATTATTTTTTGATTAATAGTTTATGATTAATCTAATGATGGATATTATTAATATATCAATGGTTTGTAATGATTTAAATTGTCTTGTTGACATTTGTAATGTTTGCCAATCAAATTGTACTATTAACATTAATTTGCGATCATTATATTAAACTAATAACAATTTAACAAATCGTATTCAATGTCAGTATTGTATTAGTTTAAATTAATATGACATTTACTGTTTTTTTAGGATTTTTATCAATTGCATGACAATTTTCAATGATAAATTATTAATTATGATCAGGTAGATGTTTATAATTAAGATTATGTTATCCATGGTTTAATTATTAGTTTCATTTGTCATTAATATTTCAATCATAATCAGGTCACAATTTAATCCAAATGCTGAGTCGGCTCATGTTTTTACCTCAAAGGTGTAGGAGTGATGATATTTATCCATAGGATGATGACTGATGAAGATGAAGATGAAGATATGGATGATGATGAAATGAACGATTCTTAATTGTAGGTAAGCTGATTCAGTTGATTGCAAATGGCAAATTCATCAGGTAACAAGTCATGTTTCGAGGTTTAATCAATAACATAACATTGAAATGTTACTCTATTTGCTTTATGAATTATTTCATCACATTCTGCATTCAGTTATCGTCTCATGATCATCATGAAATTATCATCTTCATCTTTATCTCTTAAAAAAATACCATGATAAATGTTCAATTGGAAAAATAATAATGATGATGATCAACAGCCGCAGGCAAAAGTTGTAATAATTATGATAACCCAAGAATCTTTGACAATTACATCAATCAATATGGCGATTGATTGTTGCAAACTGGATCAGTTTCGATAATCAAAATTATCAATTGACGATTAAAACTAATCAATAATCACTTTTACCCAACGACCTTTCATTTACAATCATGACTATTCAAATGGCTAATCCATTGAAGATTAATGATCAAATTTAATCAATTAATTATTTTTCCATCTTAAGTTGATCAACTAATCAGTAAACGAAAAATTAATTTACTTTTTCTTAAAGTTTTTGTTAATGTTTTTAATCCTCTCTCTTGATTGTTGTTGATTTGATTAATTTTCCAAACATATCAACATAATAGATTTTTTTTAATCATGATTAACTTATTATACTCACTTCGTGGTCTTGATATTTGTTGATTGTTTAATATTAATCATTTATAATCTCGTAACCATCTTATTAAATTACATTGAACTCATATTCAATATCGTTATGATATCATCAACTTTATTTTGATATCGTTAGTTTAATTGTCATGATATTAAATTGTGTAAAATATAAATATAATCAAATTGTTATTGTAAAAAACAACATCATCACTTTGTGTAACCATTAACATGATTATTATTGATGATTAAGCCTAAAATTAGTGTGATTGGAATTGATTGTCAACATGATATTGTTAACTGATTAACCGATTCAATTTAATTTCTTCTGATTTTTTATCTTTTTGTTTTCTAAATTCTCTCCAATCAATTTAGGAGCCACAATTTTGTACAAACAACTTCCGATGTCGATTGGCCTTCGCCGTCTCATCTTTTTCAAACGACACGATCTCCACTTACTCAAATCCTATTCGACTCAAAGTGAAAACGAGATTCCGATATTTACTTACGTACTGGTCTGCGAATGTTTTAATTTACGTGATTGTCATCTAGCGACCGCGTGTTCGGTAATTGATCAATTACGATTTAGATGTTGTGGTTACTCTGGACTTTATGTTAATCATCTTTAATCATTAATCGTACTCACACTCTCATTGATCTTCATCTCACTTTTTGTTTTCTAAAATTACAATTATCTCAATGTGAGTGACCAGTTAGCTAATTGTTATGATCAGAATTCAATTTGATTGTTAATTTCTCGATTTTCTTGTTTCTTTTCAGTGTTACGACGACGTCTTCCAATTTAATTGGGCTTTAAGGTGATCTTTTTGTTTTTCGTTTGCGTTTGGTTGGTAATTAACTTGGAAGTTAATTACAATTGATACGACAAACAACTTTACGATATTTACGATTGGTTTGGTTGTTAATTTGGTTTCGTTTCTCTTTGGTTAATCAACTCTGATTTCTAATTGCCTTCTCGGAAATCATCTTATAAAATTGAAAATACAACACAAATTGTAATTAAATTGTTTTAACAGCAACAAAAAAAAAAGTTTTTAATTGCAACTCAATCAACATTAAATACTTTGTTGACATGGAAATGATTTGTTATTGTGTTTATTTAGTTGATCATTTAAGAGATGAGTTTAATTATATTAATCAATGAGGAATATATTCAGAGGAATCACTGTTAATTAATTGTGAGTTGATTTTCCATTAAAAATTAAGACCCGACGGATTGGTGAAGGTTAATTACAATTAGTTTAATAGATTTACTGTCATTTCAAGAAGCATCGAATGATTAATTTCTGTTTTTTCTTTTCTATCAGGAAACAATTAGAATGACATAGAAAATGATTAGCAGCCATTTGAATATAATTAAATCGTAATTAAGAGACCAGCAATGTCGACCTTTGATTTTAATTGTTTGAACTGTTCAAAAATCTAATCACAATGGTCCTAATTGAGAGTTGAGTGGTTGCACCATTGGGATAATCACTTTGAACTTTTCAAATTATTCACAGATTGTTGATTGTTGCTGATCATGTTTGCTTGATTCCAATTTCATCTTGGTTAAATCATTAGAAGAAATAAAAGTGTCATAATCAATTAGTCGTTCGGTGTTTATGATCCTACAATTGACCGCAGGTCAAGGTTTGAATATGTCGTTAGATTTGATTGATCAGAGTATTTGAATTTACCTTCTTAGTTTTAATTTGACAATAAATTGTCAGGAAAATAGTTGAAGAAATATAATTGTTGGCGATATGGTGAATGATGTGTTGGTGATGAACTGATTTAATTGTTGAACAGGAAAAAGAAATGAAAAAACAATTAGTAGGTCAGGAAGGAAGATGAGTAGAAACTTTAATCGAATTGTCATTTTCTTGGTTCTTTATCCTCTTTGTTATTGTCACATTTTCATTTAGATTAATTTTGTAATAGAAAAGAAAAGGGAAAATTATTGATCAATCTGTAAATTCTGTAATCATTTCATCTGTGTTAACCCAGATTCGGTGACAACTGACTCGGCTTTTTCTCGCGACGGTTGGACACTGGTCACTTTTTCCGTCACTGGAATCCTAAAGTTAGAGTCTTTAGCTTTTTCCTTAAGATCCCCATCCACATGAACCACTTCGGGAACGGTCACTTTGAATGGGGTTGTATCATCGTCGTCTTCATCATCTAAACAAGAAACACCAACAAGACTCGGAAGCAAAAGGGTGAAGGCCAAAAGTGACCCACCGCAACAAAAAACGGCCAAACCAATTATCTTGGCCCAGTCCAGTTTCTTGTTAAACTCAATGGCCAACCGGTCAACTATTTCCGTGTCTTCCGCTTGACCGATAACAACTTGCTTACGAGGATAACCATAAGCAAAGATTAAGATGAACGATCCAACCACAAGCAAAGTGAAACCTTCAAATCAAATTAAATTAAAGTTAATCAATTAACCAGAACCAAAAAATTCAAAGGTAACGAATCGTCACAAGCAGTGCCATCTATTAAATCCCAATGTAAACTCCTCACAATGATCAACAATTTGATCAACCGAATCAGATCAATTAACTATTAATAGTAACTTAAGGTAATCAATTCATAATCAGAATTAAATTCAAAATAACTTTTTAATTATGATTTGCTATTAAAACTTATGAGATTCTTGATTATTGATTGTAAAATGTTATTCACAGTTAAATAATGACTTGAATCAATCTTAATGATCAATTGTTGATCCAATGATTGTTACAATGAAAGTTAATTTAATCTTATCATGCTGATCATGATTAAACTGAATGTGAATTCTGTGTTAATAGTTGTCATAATAATATAATTCCCTGTGGTTAGTGTTAATCTTGACATTGAATTTGAATGAGAAAAACTCTTTGTCCTTGATTATAATCACGTTTTAATAATTTTCAGAGTAACAATTTAGTTATTAGATTGATTAATAGATTGAAATCAAATCAATCAATTGATAGTGATAATAATAATCACTTGGAGAATCAATTTTGATCATAGTCAGTCATAAATCAATCAATACCAGAGGGAAATGATAAATAATAATATCAAAAGAATCGGAAAATTTGAAATGGAAAATGATCAACAATCAACTGATTACTTACCGAACCAGAAAGCAAATTTCCATATTCTTGGTGCTCTCCTGTTTTGCTTTGGAGCAATTAAATACCTGTTAATTGTAACAATTAAGTAATAAGATTAGTTGATTGTTGAGAATTAATTTTCTTCTCCAGGTTCAATTGGCTCATTCATTGAGAACTTTTCATCAAAACAAATTCGAGATTTTTTTTTCGTTCTTTATCTTTGTTGATGTTATTCCAACTGATGAAGATGAAGATGAAGATAAAGATGATGATGATGATGATGACGATGAAAAAGAATAAAAGACAAAAAGAAAGGGAAAAGAAAGAGAATAAAAAAGCGTAGGTGTTTCTACCTTTTCCATTTTCTCTTCTCATGAAAATTCTTCTTCTTCCAAATTCTCTTCTCTCTTTTATCGATTTTCACTTCCGCTGATCATTTTCTATTCATTTCCATCCTCATCCTCATCCTCATCTTCGTCATCAACATCGTCATCATCATAATCAACAGAATCAAAATAAATCATCTTTCCCCTTCATCCTTCAATTTTTCATTTTCTTTCACCTTAATCTTTCATAAAGATAGTTAATTAACCTCATTTAGATTGACTTTTTTCTTAATCAGTCTCTAATTAAATTCCTCGCAGTTTAAGATTAATTATAATTCGGTTAAAAGATAATTGTTATGATAGTTAATTTGATTAGAAAACTCATCTGATGATTCAATTGATTAGGTTAACAGGTTGACCTGCTCGAGTCTGGGAGTTATAATGGATTATTGTTTTGGTTTAATTTCTCTTGATTTTTTTAATTCTCCTTTTTAATTGTTGATCTAAAATGATTAATTAACTTACCTTGATTCATCTGATTCATCTGAATAATCACTTTTGAAACCATCTGAAACTGGCTCATAAAAATGATGAATATAAGATTTGACACCAAAGAATGAGGGTTTTGATGTATCTTGATTGTTGTTTGTTGTATTTTCTGAATTATCACCCATCTGATTAGTTAATTGTTGTAATTTAACTCGAGATAATTCACAAAATACTTGATAGATAATCAAACAGTGTTAATATACAAATACAATTAATATTCAAAGGTACGAGAGGCTCATTAATGTGTAGTTATAATCAACGATTGGGTCATATGGTTATGTTGATTATTTGATAATAATAACAATTAATGATAAATTGTGAACGTCTTTCTAATCAAATCAATTGATTATCTAATACTGTATTTCTATTGTATAAACTACCGTTGATATATTGTAGTGATAATCAAAATTGATCACCAGTTTGTTGACAATTTATTGTATAGCGATTACCGTTAAATTTTTAAAGGTAAAAGGTAAATCATAATCACACTTTTAGATTATTAAAGTTACAATTAACTGATTTGATTTGAACAACAAAAAAAAACATCGATTATCACAGATGACCTTTTAATGGACTGAATTTACTTGGAGTTGAATATATTACAATTAACTTGTAGACTCTATAAGGGAAAATATTTCAATTCTGTTCAGTAGATTATGTTTATCATGACAGAATCTGAATTCCCTGATTCTGAGCAACCTCAGGAATCAATTGGCGGTCAGAATGAAAAAAACGAACTCAAATCAATAGTCTAACGAGTTAATAAAGAGTCCATGGTTTTATTTATCCAATCTAAATAATGATAGACATTAGTGTAGACCCCAGGCCATCCCTGGCCACAAATTGCGCCCCAGGCGACGATTCCCACCAAAACATGATGTTGGTCAGTTGCGTCCACCATGGGTCCACCTGAGTCTCCCCTGCAAGAGTCTTCCAGGTTACTACCTACCGCACAGATCATTAGCTCGTGAACGAAGCTATCGAGGTATTTCTCGTGACAAGTTTCATCCGATAGTCGCTTGACCTCCGCTGTCCGTAGTTCAAATGAAAAAGAGTCATATTCAGTTCCACCAAAACCGATGATAGTCAAATCACTTCCGGGTTCATATTGTTTATTGGCCAATTCAATTGGACCTATTCCGTGACCAAAGGGAATCGGATTAGTTAATTGTAGTAAACAAATGTCATGAATAACATTGGCATCGTAACATTCAACTGATTTAATTTTGAAATATTTTTCATCGTCAAAACGAGTCAATGAATTGTCATAATTTGGTCGGATTAATGAGATTTCTTTCATCATGGATCTTTGAATTAAAGGAGAAATTATTTTTTGTGATTAATTGTGATCACCAATTGTCAATTAAGAATTACAATTAAACTTACTTCGTGAAACAATGAGCTGCCGTGATAATTATCTCGGGATTAATTATCGATCCGCCACAAGTTACTCTTAATTCACCTTCAAAAAGGATATTGATTGAAACGACATAAGGATAATCTTGTTTATGTGAGAGCACTTTTTGGCCGAAAATTATTCTAGGACTCATCGGTCCGTCGACCGATGGTTCGAGTTCAGTTTCGTCATCATCGTAATCGGTTAAGTTTATTGATTCACAGATCAAGATGAAACTAATGGTGATTACAATTAGTTGATAAAACATTTTAGTTATTTCAGATTCACTGAATAAATTGTTGAGTTAATTGTAATTACGAACATTCAATTCTGTTGATTAACTTCATATGGTAAAATTAAGGTTCTGGCAACTATTTCAATCAGATTTAATTGTAACTTGATAGTGTATATTAAAAAAATGGCCACGAACACAATTAAAATACTGATCAATGTAATTTAGGTTTTAAATTGTTACAAAAAGATAGTTCTAATCTATTAATTGTCCGAGACTATTATCTATGATTAATACCGATAAATTGACCATAAATGTGGACTTGAACCTCAATTTGGTTTGATCATAAGGATTTTCGCTTGACAATTTGTTTTAATTGTAATTTGATATAAAATGACAGCAGGTTGTAAATGTGTAATAATGATTAAGAATAGGATTAAAAAATGTTTACAATCAATTAAATGTAATTGAAATTGAAAAGGAAAATAATGATTACGATTAAGTTAATCATCCAAGACATTGATGGTCGTAGGCCATTGCTACACTGACCTCGAGTATAAGTCCGACAAGTTGCTAATTGTTGATTAACTGTATAAGGTAAAACCATCGGTAAAATGTAAGGGTCACTTCCTGGACAAACGTGATTAATTACTTGGAACATGCAATCACGATAGTAAAATAATCCACTGAAAAGATAATTAGGAAAGGCAAAATTAACACAGAATTTAAGGAAACACAATTAAGTTAATTACCAGCAAATTACGCGTTGAACCTCAGCCGGGGTTCGATAGTGGTGAGCGAATCGTTGGCTTTGCAGTAGCGCGTTCTCACAGTGTTGGGCCAAGTACCTTGATCTTTCCAGACAAATTTCAACGGAAGCCGATCCCGTCGGGTAACTGTAACTTGGCCTTACACTATCGTAAGGCTGGCTACCATAACTAGGGTAAATCCCACCCGCTCCGGGTGATGCACCCAGGTAAGGATAACGACCTCCGATTGGTATGCGATCACCATGAAGGCCATCGTTCAACGGAGGTGCCGGATAACCAACACCTCCTCCTGCTCCCAGGTACGGATCACCCTGACCAATTAGTGGCGGCGGCGGTGGTGGTGGACCAACTACCGCTGGGTAACCAATATACTGACCACTTACAGTCATATCCCGATCATTAGGTCCATTCCTGATAATGGCGCTGATGAAGTTGACTCGTAATTTTTATCAATTGGCTCATTTGAAGTCTTCCTATGGGATCCGATGATTACTGTTGATTACGAAACGCAATTAATTTCAGGTTAATTATATTCATTAACTTACCTGAATCAAGATCACCAGTTGATTGTGATGATGAGGGTGGTGAGGTTATATTAATACACAACCAAGACATATTCTTGGATCGATCAATCAAATATTGATTAACTAAATTTTGTTCCTGTGGCGAGCAACCAGTTCGTATCGATGAGTGTACACAATCACGGAATCGATTGTACCTCCTTTAATTGTCACCAAAAATTAATCAAATGTCAGAGAAATTAATAAATTGTCAATGTTACAAATAAAAGTTAATTCTTACCAACAATTGTACTGATTAATTAAACCTGGAGATGGATTAATGTTTTCACATTTCTTTACATCAGGATTACGATAACATGGCGAATCCGTGACTCCTATTAAATTAGAACAATTAAATTAACGATCACAACAATTACTCAAATCAATTACAATGAGTGAAAATTTGATTCATCACAATTAACTTATGTTGGTTATTCAACTTCCGCGTGAGTTTCATTTCAAACGTTAGATTTTGTCTTTGCCTTTGATTTGGAAAATTTTTCAACTTAATTGTAACAATTAGTTGATTGTCTTACCTGATTCACGATCACATTTTTGATCGAGATAAATTTTCGTCTTATAAATTAGACTCCATGTTGTTTGAGATGTTAATGAGTCCCGATGATCACAATAAGGACTCAAATTAAGTAGACAATCAAGATTGTCTCTTAAATTGCTGTGAGAAAACAAAATTAAATTACTGTACTTGATTAACACTCTAGACAATTAAGATTTAATTACCGGCAGGTATATGTTAATGGCCATTTGGGTTCACCAAAATTTGGTTGATGATTAATCATTGGTATTGTTTCTGATTGGCATTGTTGCAATTTACTGCAAATTGTTGATGATGATTGAGATGATTGTGATGATGAACAATTAATTGTAATGAAAAAACCTGTAAATTAACAAAAACAATCAATTAATCAGTTAATTGTCCGAAATTCATTGTAATCCAACTCACAGATTAGTATTGTAAACAAATGATTCCAATTGATTATTAACATATTCTTATATATTTTTGGCACAATTAAAGCACAATTAACTACTGATTAGTCCTTTTTCCAATTTTGATTAAGGTCAATCATTTATTTAATCACTTGAACAACTTGTGAACAATTGAAATGATTATTAAAATCAATAATCAAGAATAAGATGAAACATTTAGCCATAGTTAACGACACAATTAAACTTGATTATGATTATTGTTATGATGGTTATAAGTTAATCATCAACAGTTAAGCGTAGTCATTGAGGGTTCATAATAAATTCAACAGCAATTAAAGGCTGATCTCATTTCTCAGTTTATTTCCAATTGATTATTGTTCACTATTGGGAGCAAGACTGAATTAATTGTGGATACAATTGTTAATAGTTAGTTAATTGTTGCTTCTGACAAGAAAAACAGACTGAGATCAACAGATGATTAGACAATTTTAGCCCCAATAAAATATAACAAATTCATGGTACTTAATCATTTAGAGATCGAATTAATCACCGATGTGAGTTCCTAGTTATTTAACGGTATTCTTAATGTGCCTTCCGGCGATAATTTCACCATAATTCAAACGTTCGATCTCAGAACAATTCGGAAAAATTTTACATTCGCGAAAAGAACATTTAAATCCACTGATTTCATTCATTTCCTTGGTAATGATGAAAGAAAAGTCTTGTGTGTGTCCTATTTTCGAATCGAAGCTCCCCGACATTCTGACCTGGAGATGACCACTACATGGACTTAAAATAATTCGATGTAGAATTAATGATCTTTGGAGTTGGTTTAATTTTAATTTAGTTCTTTATTAGCTGTTGTTGAGAAAAATACAATCGAAATGATTGATCTTGGTACGAAAACTTAGTTCGTAAATTTAATGTCGGTCGCAGGTCATATTCATTGGCAATGCGTCACTAAATTGACCTCGAGTAAGTCCGAAAAGCTGCTAATTGTTGATTAATTGTGTGGGGTGCAACCTCGGAGTAAATGTAAAGGTCACTTTTTGGACAAATGTGATTAATGGCCTGAAACATAATGAAAACAGTTCAACAGATGATTAGACAATTTTAGCTCCAATACATGAAACTTATCATCTAGAAATCGTATTAATCATAAATGTAATTTCCTCATTATTTAATTTTCGAAATCAAAATTAGAAATATACAATTATAAATGAACAATTTAACATTGATTTAACTTTCACGAGTGTTGTGATTATATTGATTTTGTTGTTTCTTTTTTTTGGTGAATTGAAATGAGATTTAATTTTAACTGTGAGGTTAATTGAATTAATTTGATTTTTGGTCAATGAATTTAAGATGAGGCACAAAATGTTTTTCAATTGTAAATTGAATGACAAGATTAATTATCATGAAGATAAGTGAACAACAAGCCAATAATCCAAGTACATTCCAACGCAGATATTGATACAGGTAAGCAATTAGTAGCCATTGGCCTTGACCGGCAAACCAGAGCGATAATAAAGTTAATTGTTTCCATCCAGTTAATTGTAGGAATGGATAAAGAATCGGAAGGAAACACAAATACCAGATAAAGTATTGAGAAGTGACCACTTTGTTGAGAGTGACAAACATAAAGGTTGATGAGAAAAGCGAAAAGATTAAATTAACCGAATGTGTAGAGTCCGTTGTCGATTTAAATTTTAGACAATATTGGCCAGAATAGTAGATAATCGAAATCACTTGTGGAATAAAGGCCAAATACGATAGGATTTTGAGGGTCAATGGGTCACTAATCGTTTTGTAGACATAAAAATAAGGTGAGAAATTGTGAGCATCGTCCTTTCGGTAGATATGATAAAACCAGGCTTCTTTCAGGTAAAGTTGACCGTATCTTAAGTAATAGCCGTAGGTGAGAAGGGTGAACGATACCAGCGACGAAAGGAAAAAGGTCAATTTGGATCGGTTGAAAGGTGAAATTATTTTGACAATTGTACTGGTCCAGTTACGATTTGATGGCAATGATCCGGTTAGGAAAAGATAAATTGGAAGACTGTAGATTATTGGATAGATTTTACAATGAATTGATAATCCATAAAGTAGACCAGAATATAAATAAAGACCAGAGACTAGAAAATAAATTGTCCCAAGAACCAGGAATGTGATTAAAGTATCAGATGAGCCACGAGTTGAAATGATCATCGGTAATGGATTATAAAGCCAGATTAGTGATGAGATCAAGGCTTGATTGGGGGGTAATTGGATTCGAGGATGAGTTAAAATTTTGTAGATCAGATAACCGGTGATAATGTCCAGGGTGGCAAATAAAAATTTACCAAAAAGTGGAGCAAAATAAACATTGGGTAGAAGGAGAAAAGCAAATAATGGTGAATATCGGTAACCATGTCGCAGAAATGGTGACCTTCCAGCCTTCATGTACCTCGAACCATCAGTGAAAACAACATAATCAATATCAGTATATTGTAAACGAAAAATTTGATCATGAATCCATCCATAGATAATTAAAAATACACGAATCACTGAAGAGATAATCAAATGACTCTCAATGGATAAACACCAAGTAAACATTGAATCGTCATTTTCCTCAATCTCATCGCCATTCATTTTCTATCCAGGGACAACCCAAACAAATTATCGAACACAATTAACCACCAAATAAGAAAAGGAACAATCTAATTAGAATCACTAACAATTACAAGAGATAAATTCAATTGTAAAAACAAATGAATCCAGAGGCGACACAATCAGCTGGAAGGTCACATGATCTCCAACACGTTTTTTACTTTCATGTGTTGACTTTTTTTTTAAATTTCTTTTTGTTTCTCTTCAATTTTGATTATAATTTAGTGTTTAATTGTTATTTTGAATTGTGAATTTCTCTATTATGGAATCAGTTTCGTCTTCTTCATCCAATGCGAGTCGAATCTTTGAAGGTTACAAAGCATTAGGAGTGATTTCTGATGACAAACCTTTTCTCATTCGGTACATTGAGAAATTGGAAGAACTGAGAATCGTTTCAATTGTTGGAAGATATTTTCACACTTATAACTCTAAATTACAATTACTAGAGACAAGTAAATTTCTTTTCTATTACCTATTGATTCATTTATTCTTTTCCTCTGTCTAATCTAATGCCATTTGTTTTTATTCGTTCCGTAGGTCATCCCCATCCTGGTCCAGTAAATGCTCTTACATCGGATTCGAAAACAGTTTTCTCATGTTCTGAGAATAAAATTTATGCATGGAAAGGTGGACATAAACATGTAAGTATCGAATTGTTGGATGAATAAGCCTGGTAAATGTTATATTTTCTTATTTACAATTCTATTCTATTCTCTGGTGATTAGCTAAGAAAAATTTTCGAAGGCCATGAATCTCGAGTCCATTCAATCCAAGCATTTGGACCTCATCTAATATCTATCGACGATGATAATATTTTAAAGGTTTGGGATATCAAAAGTAAAGGTAATTATGATGAAACAATTTCTCTTTTCTTTTTTTTCTGATTAATTTGTTCTGTTTTCCATTTAGAAACCATTCTTGATATGCCTTTCGGCAATGGTTTCACCATAACTCGGATGCTCCATCCCAGTACATATATAAACAAAATTTTACTCGGATCGAAACAAGGTCCTCTTCAGCTGTTAAACATACGAACCCAAAAGACAATCCATAAATTCAAGGGCTGGTCAGCTGGTGTAATTAGCTTGGAACAAGCTCCCGCCGTTAATGTCGTTGGAATTGGATTAGATGATGGAGTTATTGTTGTTCACAATTTAAAATATGATGAAACACTTATGACTTTCATGCAAGATTGGGGACCAGTATTGGGCATTTCTTTTAGAACCGATGGTCCACCTTACATGATAACCACAAGTGATAAAGGTCATGTGGCGATTTGGGATCTTGAGAAGCGAAAATTATTGGTACAGAAACGAGATATTCATCAGGCTGCCATCACCGGGTGTCAATATATCATTGGTGAAGCTCTTATGGTAACAAGTTCCCCGGATAATACGATCAAAATTTGGTGTTTCGATGATCAAGAACAAATGGGAAGACTTTTATATTCACGGGAAGGGCATTCAAGTCCATCAAGTTTCATTCGTTTCCACGGAACTGATGGAAGAAATATCTTGAGTGTTTCTCAGGATTCAACTTTCAGATTGTTCTCTGTCCTCAGTGAAAGGCTTCATCGAAGTCTCGGTAAAGCTTCGTACAATCGTAAATACGCAAAAAAAGTCGGCGTTTCCAATGACCCCAATGTTATGCCGCCGATTACTGAATTCGCCGCTGGTAATTAATCACATTCCATTTCAAACTTCCATCTTAGATTAACCTCTTTCAATTGTGTTTACAAAATTTTTCTCCTTTCCTTCCAGAATGTATGCACGAAGATGATTGGGACAATGTAGTCGCCCGACATTCTGACCTGGCGATAGCCACTACTTGGACTACGAAAAAAATGAAAATGGGTAAACATAAATTGTTACACGATCGATTCAAGCAAAATAAGAAAGCTATTATCCTAACGGTAAGTTCATCATCTCTTAATTGCCTTGATAATCAACTAATTGAATTGATTTCTCTTTAGGCATTAACTGTTAGCAGTTGCGGTAACTTTGCGATCCTTGGTTATAACACAGGTCACATTGATCGGTTTAACATTCAGTCGGGAATCCATAGAGCAACTTACGAAAAAGAAAAAGGAAAAGGTAAATTGTCGATAATTTTTTCGATCGATTCAATTAACTCCATTTAAATTAAACTAAAAATCTTTCAATTAACAGCTCATAAAGGTGCAATTTCTGGTTTAATTAGTGATGAAACTTGTCGATTCTTAGTCAGTGGAGGTGCCGATGGACTAATCAACTTTTGGTCTTTCAAAGCGGCTGATTTATTGACCGAATTAAACTTCAATTCTCCAATTACTAAATTTGAATTGCATAAAGAAAGGTAACAATTAACATTAATAACTTTTTTTTCCATGTGGAATTAATTATTTCTTATTTTCTTTTAATTTAGCTCTTTATTAGCTGTTGCCTTTGAGAATAATACAATTGAAATGATTGATCTTGATACGAAAAAAGTAATTCGTAAATTTAATGATCAAAATTCATCTATAACCGACATGGCCTTTAGCTTTGATGCTCGTTGGTTAATCGTCGCAACAAGTGATTGTTCAATTAGAGTTTGGGATGTATCATTAATCAAATTAATCGACTGGTTCCTTATGCCTTCGCCTTGTAAAAGTCTATCCATGTCTCCGATCGGCGATTATCTTGCAATGGCCTTAGAAAACGATGTTGGAATATTCTTATACTTTAATCTAACCCTTTACCTACCGATTTCTCTCAAGCCCATTTCCGATTCTTATGTACCTCGATTAAATGAATTACCAAGTGTCCGAGAAGATGATCAGGATGAAGACAAAGACGAGGACAATGAAAACGATGTCGAACTGGTCAATGTCGAAGAAAATACTGATGAAGACGTCGAAATGATCGATTTAGATTATCAATCGCCAGATCAAATCTCCGATAAATTAATCACTCTATCAACATTACCCACTTCGAGATGGAAAAACTTACTGAATTTAGATTTAATTAGGGTAAGTGTTTTAATCGTTTTGTATAATTAGATACTAATTTTTGTCTAATTTGTTATTTTCTCTTCCATAGCAACGAAATAAACCAATTGAACCAGTTGAGAAACCTAAATCAGCTCCATTTTTCCTTCCAACGATCGATGGACTCGAACCTGAATTTGATTTAAATCGAGATGGAAATGATGAAAATACAAATACAAATAAATCAAAATTATTAAATAACCTCGCGGGAGTTTCACAGTTTGGAAAACTATTGATCAATTGTGCCTCTAAAAATAATTTCTCCAATAATCAAACAATTAAGAGAAATGAGTCCAATCGCAATCGACACTGAATTAAAATCTCTCGACATAATGATCTCAAAGGACGAAGACATCGAAGCCGATGATCATGTTTTACTCGTTTACTTTTTAATGGCCATGGAAAGTGCCATTGATACAAAACAGAATTACGAGTTAATCCAATCGATTCTCGGATTATTTTTGAAAATTTACACTTCGATAATCCTTAAAGACGCAGATCTAGTTGAGAAATGTGAAAATCTATTTAAACAATTACAACAATTACCCAACAATTTACAAGATAAATTCAACGAATCACTTTACATAATCAACTTCATTCGAGGTACAATTTAAATGATCCATTACGAATAACAATCAATAAATATTTTCATTTTATTTTCCACAAAAAAAATTGTTTTTCACTTTTCGAATCGTCGAAACAATTAACCAAATCAAAAAAACGAAATTCAAATCAATCGAAATGTTTTAATCTTCCCACCAAAATTTTCTTCGTATCGACGATTCTCTTTCTTTTTCTCTGTCTATTAATTTCTAAGAGAAAAGAGAACAATTTTTCCTATTTTCTTTTTCTGTCTTCTTCTCTTCTTTTCTGACAATTGTTTTTGGTTTGTTTTCGTTTTTTCTAGTCATCGAATTAACAATTAACTATGTTTATAAATTATAATTATCTTTTAATTCTCGTCATTTTTATGCAATCAGTGAACAAATTATCTTCCTCTGACCCTTACAAGATCCTCGGTGTTCAAAGAAACGCTCCTTCTAATGACATAAAACGTGCATATAAAAAGCTCGCTCGCATTTGGTAATTATTGTTATGATGTTTTCGTTAATTGTTTAGCAATTTTCGTTATTTAATTGTTCTATTCTATTTTATTACCTTCTTGCCTTTCATTTTCGTTGAATTTCAGGCATCCCGATAAGAATAAGAATCCAGCAGCTGAAGATGAATTCGTTAAAATCACCAAAGCATATGAGGTTTGTTTCTATTTTTTTTTCCTTCTATCTCTCAATTCATCTTCTCACTTGATTCTGGGTCAAATCAGGACGAATTCATAAATCTCCATGTGATTCCAATTGTTGATTTCTATTCTCTTTTCAACCTCTGGTTTTATATCAAATGATCTGCATTAAGAACTCATTTTTAATTCTTTTCTTGGTCGTGTATTTTTGGATTAACCAATTTGCTCTCATATTTATTTATTTTTATTCTTCTCTCTTTTTTATTTGTAGCTACTTATGGATCCTGATAGGAAAGAAGAATTTAATCGTTTTGGGACCACCGAAGATACGCCAAATTTTCGTCATAAACGTGATTACAGTGATTTTAAAAGGTTCGATTTTGATCCTTTCGAGACAATTTTCTCTTCTGGTGGATCTGGTTCATTTAATTTCAATCAAAATCAACCATTCATTTTTCATCGACAAACTATCACAGCAAAGTGAGTGCTAATCTTGTTTTCCTTTTGTGTTAATTTCTCTTTCTATTATTAATCCATTTCAATTTTAAATCTTCTCTTCTCAATTAAAGGGCTTATCAAAATAAAATACTTCCTGCCAGTATAACATCGCCACAATTAATTCTGTTCTACGGTGATCTTTGTTTTCCATGTTTTAATGTCGAACCAGTTTGGCATAAAATTGTTCTCGAATTGGAACCTCTTGGTGTTGGTTTCGCTACAATTCACAGTAAACACGAAAGTAATTTAGCTCGTAAAATTGGAATAGATGATCTACCATACATAATTGGAATTGTTGACGGAGTTGTTCGCCATTACAAAGACAATCAACTTAGTTTACTTCGGATAATTGAATTTGTCCGTAAAATTTTACCCCGACATCTGATAACTCAAGTGAATGACGAAAATTATGAATCATTTCTTTCTGGTTGGACTGATAATCGAGTTCGAGTGCTTTTCGTCAACAATGATAAGCTAATTAAACTTCGTTATCTACTAACAGCGTTTTCTTTCCGTGAACGTGTTGTTTGTGGACACGTTTCCATCAAAGAGAAAGACAGTCTCAAGCTAATACAAAGATACGGTGTTGATACTAAAATGGATTCAATGTTGATCTTTAACGAAGACATTAATCGTCCCATTGCCACACTCGCAGCGTCAGAATTGTTACCTCAGATAATCAAAGATGTCTTACACTCCAATAAATACCTTCTTCTACCAAGATTAACATCTCAGGTAAATTCGATAGCAATTACTTAAGTTTCTATTGAAAAATGGCCACTAATTTATCTTATTATTATTTCAGGTTATGTTTGATCAAATCTGTCCTCCAGATGCACCTCGAAGTCGTCGACGATTATGTATCATGCTAGTTACAAATAACATTCCGACACAAGAGTCTGAGAAAGAAGCAATGAGACAATTTATCCTCGAAAATGAGTTCAATGAAGATAAATATAGATTCATGTACATTTACCAAGAGAAACAAATGGATTTCATCAATTCATTATCAATCGGAAGTGGATCACCTTCTGACCTTACCTCTCATGTTGTTGTACTATGGAGACGTGAACAGGATCGTTTACTTTATGAATGGTTACCTGATACATGGGATGTAATGGAACCAGAAAAACTGAACAAAAGTAAATCTGAACTACACGAATTACTCAATAAATTGAGTAAAACAACCCAGACAATGACCAACAACGCCAAGATGGTCAATCTAATCGATGAACATGCAAGTGGTTTACTTGGTCGAATCCTTAAACGAATTCTGGTTCTTACCGATGGTCTTGGTGATTCGATCTCTCAGAAAGAAGTTCTTCCAATTTTATCAGCAGTCGCTACATTTGTTTTCATTGGTATTTTTGGTTATATTTTACAATATCTAGTGTAAGTCGAATCATTCAAGTATTTCTATTCTCATGTTGTAATTATTTTTCTTTTTTGTCACTTATTATTGACAAGAGAAAGACAACAACTTGTTTCATTCCATTGATTAGACTAATTGAAAGTATTTTTGGTTTTCCTTTGAAACAGCAAATTGGAAGAGAAAAATATTCGTGAACAATACCGTAGACTGGGTCGAACTCCGCCTGGAAGTAATCCAAGGTGGGTTGAATTAACTTTTTGCTCAATGAGCAATTTTCATTATTTTCTATTCTCTTTCATTAATTGTCTTTCTTTTTTTTTCACCATAGAAATGAATTCAAATTGAGTATTCATGAACTGAGAGGAGAAACTTACAATGGACTGATTCGCCTTCTCAAACCTGGATGTCGGACTCTTGTTTTGCTTTGTGATACTAGAACTAAATCAAAATTATTACCCAAATTTTATAGATTTGTTCACCCTTATAGAAAGTAATTATCATCTTTTAAATACTTTCCAATCAGTTTCTCCCATGTAATTATGATTACTAACATGATTTATTCTTCATCTTTTACAGAAACAAAACTTTGATGTTTGCATATCTTTTGATTGAGAAAAATATTGATTGGTACAAAAAGATTTTACAACAAAGCTTAGGAGATCATAGAGAGCTTAATATTAACCCGAAAAATTGTATTGGCACCGTGTTAGCAATCAACGGATTTAAGAGATATTTTTGTGTCTATCATGTCAAACATTCAGAAGTAAGTTTATCCCCCAATCAACCAGCTATTAATCTTAATTAAACTAAACTAAACGCTTCTCTTCATTCACTTTAGCTCAATCGGCGAGCTGAACATCAAGATTTCCTTGGGTTTGAAGACGAAGAGGAAGATGTTGAAGCTGGAAATTTGATTGATCAAGGAACAGATCAAACCAATTCGGTAGAGACTCAAGAGTTTGTTTTTGAAAATAACCTTTTAGATGCTTTACCTCAATGGTTGGAAAGACTATTTGAAGGGACAACTCACCGTTATTTTATTCAATATTGGCCTGATAACATGAAATAAGTTGATTCTTTTTCTCTTCCCATTAATTAATTGGAAGGAAAAATTTAACTACCACCTAAAGTTCAATGTAAATGGAACTAATTTTACAAACTTATTCCAAGGTTATACCTTTGACCTCTTGTTGTCTCCAATATTTGAACAACTAACTAATTTACCTCTACGCCAAAGGAAAACATCCAAGAAGCCATTTTGGAAATTCAACCAATTTAAAACTCAACCATCAAACTTGGTGAATCTCAATTTATCAGCCTAAATGTTTTTACCAAAGAGGATTCGTATTTAAATTGTCAAATATGTAATCTTAACAATTAATGCCTACTTATGAAGTGTAAATCTTTGCCTTCACGGTTACTGGGGACCGTTTTCATCCTTGATGTTAATTGTTGAAGAATGGAATTGATCATCACAAATACATTCTTCGTGTTAATTTTTACCAAATACAAGCCATTAATCATCCAATTTAATTTGGATCATCATCTTCCTGCTAGAAGAAAAATCAACTCAGATGATAAACAACCAGAGATTTTGTCGAATGATGCAAAAAAAGCCAATACAATCAGCCCAGACCAACAAAGTTTCGCATTTTTTGTTCAATCACATCTCATTTTTTTCTAAATCAACAATTAATGACGAAATTCATTAACGAATTTTAAACTGTCAATCTTTTCATAAATGTCATCTTACTTCATCATCTTTAACTCCTTCTTTTCTTTCTCTATCTTCTAATTCATCTCTCATGATGATCTCAAGTTATATTATTGTAAAAAAAGCCATCATGTAAAAACAATGTTATGTAAAAAAGTTTTAATTGCCTAATAAGTTAATCAAACTGTTTGACGGGCAACAATCAAACGAAATCATCACTTGAACTGATTATAGCTCAATTCCAATTGATTTTTCTGTTTTCTGTTCATCATCAATTCATGATAATTAATTTCCAAATTAATTTAACCATTCGAACTTTAATTTGTTGATTTAATCTTTTCCTCTTTGTAAGCAGAAAATTTCCTATTCTGAAACGAAAAGCAATTAAATTAGATTAGAAATTGGGTTATTTAATTCGCGAAAAACATTTTCGACGAAAATTCCGCCGAAGGTCCTAATTTGATTCGATGACTTTGACGCAATTTAAACGATATAATTGAGCTTATATTAAATGATTTGCTATTTAATTGTTTAAAAGTTTAAAAAAAATCTGATTACATTGTTGGCAGGAGATGAGCTGGTTTTTTTTCAACAAGTTCTGTAAAATATATTATAAAAGTGTCGAAAAGTTATTAATAAATTGATGAGGATGAAGATAGAGATTTAGTTGGTTTTTATGGTTTAGAAAAAATATAATTAAAACCGACTAATCACTTGTTTGTACATTGAACTTGGTTATGGTCACTTGATAGCTGCAATCGTCTAATTATCGTAGTAGTGTTGAAGAAATAAAATATAATTGATTGAAGATGATTTAATTTATCGGTTAGCTCCTTTCAATTGTTTCCTGATATTTTATCGAGTTATTTTAGATAAAACAATTAGTTTTTGTTGGTGTTGAAGCCTAAAGATGAAAGAAAGAAACAATTAGATTGATTTGATTGTTAATTTTTACGAGTTTGTAATATAATTGGTGGTACGTAATAAAATACGCTATGATTTCCACAATAAATGATTAATACAATTACTTACCTTTTTGTCGTTGGTTGAGTTTATCATAAACCATTGTCGCTGTTATTGATCAAGGCAAGGAGACACCTCGAGATTGATGCTGAATTTCATGATATAGTTAATAGACTTTGGCTAAATTTGTGAGATTATTTAAGTACAATTAATTAATAAGACAATAGTCATTAGTCAGAATAAAAAAAAATAATTATAAGATTATCACTGGACAAAAAATAATTGTATATGATTGATGAAAGACATCAGATTATTTGGACTTTGATGAATTTCTGATCAAATTAAATTGTGGCAATGAAAAAACTGGTTCCAAGTCAGGCTAATGATGGTGATTAATAAAATGATGATGGTATCAAAAAGTAAAAATGTTGATTTCTATCACAATTAAAATGAGTAACTTTAAGTTAATTTGTTTTTCGTTGTTCGAGACTGAATAGATCATATAATTAACCAAACAACGAGTAGAATTAAAAAAAAGATAGAGATTAATCTGAAGTTGAATCCATGGATGAATCTTCGGATAGGCAAAGATGTTGATTATTAGTGTCGTTTGAATGAGTATAATTGAGCAATTTCTTTGTTTTTGATGAGTTTGACTCGTCGGATGAGGATGAAGATGAAGACGATGAAGATGATGGTGAGGCTTGAGTATTATAATCATTAAGTACATAACTATGGCAGAAAACGTCATCATCCAAGGCTAAGCGTTTCTTGGGTACACAATTTAGTCCTTCCTCTCCTATTGAGCTTCTTGGATGAACATTTTTCGTATGAATTGGTAATGGACTTGAGGTTTGTTCACTTATTATTTGATTGTCATTTGGAGTATTAAATTGTTCAATGTTATCTTCTATTTGGACGGGTTTCCATATTTTACCATTATCACTGTTACATCGACTTAATTTAATTACTATCGGCTTGTGCTCTGTGTTTTCTGGCGGTGAATAATTTGATGAGGTCGATGAAGACGATGAACTATCGGAACTATCAGACCAGCCTGATCGATCATCAGAACTGATTGATGATGTTGATTGTTCCCTTTCTCTTAATTTCAATTTTTCCAAACAAATTGCTCTGAAAAGTCTAATCTCATTTGGATGAAGATGACCACTGGTTCTTTCTAATGGTGTTTGAGGTAATATCACTGATTGTTGTGGTAGTTTAACTGGTTCTCCATGTAAACGAATGTAATCACTCCATTCTGAAAGTGATTTAAATGTTAAGTTTTCTTCATCCAAACCAATATTTAAATTAAGAGTAAGATGACTTGGAAAATTGGAATTAGATTCACAATCTGAAAGAGATTCAACTGAGAAGCAAATTTGTGTTCCACTGATGTTACTAACAAATTTTACTTTGTCACTACTATTTGAACTTTTAAATTGTAAAGGTGATTGAGATGATGATGATGGATCAATATCAGATCCATCTGATCTTGTACCTCTAATTGTTGTACATTTGACAGCTTCTTCAGCTGCTTTGGCAAGTATATCAAGAGCTCTAAGTTTCCGATGTTTCCGCCGTTTCCGTCGAGCCTCAATCGCTGCTTTCATGTTTAAATTTGATCGTTTTGGTGGATAGATGAAAGTAGCTTGTTCATCGTAATTTAGGTCAGCGTCAAGGAAACGTTTAACAGATCTTTTAAATATCCTCCAAATACCATAAGACATGAGTGTGTACCCATTTTTTGGACCATTGTAGGTTTCACAATTGTTAACCAAAAGTTTAAAATCTTCTTCAATCTCACTTAAATCATTGTACAACCGATCATCAATCTTCCTCTTTATCACGGACAAATCTATAGGATTAGGAATAATTTGGTAGTACATTGGAGCAATTTTTTCGTCTATTGGTTCCCTGAAAGGCCATGAATCTCGATTGGATATGACTGATGAAATCACTGTAAGTAGAACAATGAAGCAGGAAAAGAAAAGGAAAATGAGTAAAAACCAGAATTTGTAGATATAAACAATTTACGACCATTTAACAATCGAAAATTGAGAAAAAGAATCAAAAGAAGCAAAAAAGAACATAAAGAGAAAGAGAGAAGAGAGAAGAGAGAAGAATTTAAAAGCAACACATTCCCAAAGCAAAGAGAATTACAACAAAAAAAGAAAAAGAAAGAGAAAAAGTTAAAGGCCAAAAGAAAGAAAGGAAAAGAGAAGACCAAAAACAGGTCACAAGAGAATAGAAAAATATTTACCTTTCCTTAGGCCATTGTACATTTCCACCAAACTTATCTGATTCCTGTACACATCGGGGATGAACATAGTAGATTCAAGAGAACGAAAACCAAATTAATTAAAATAAATTCAGTTAATTAACCCGAACAAAGATAAAGTTACTCATCAAATGGATGAAACCATAAGAGTCCGACTTTTACTCAATCCGAATGAAAATCTTTCTCTTTGTTTGTCCCTTTTATTCGGCGCATGCGCAGTTCGCACTTCGGACTTGCGAGTTTCATTCATGAAATGTAATCATACACGTGGCGAGTTTTAACCTTGTAAACAATTGGTAATTAAGACGAAAGAGGTGACATTTAATTAGAATAGAGTTTCTTGGGTTACTCTGCATTTTCTTAGGAATCGATTGGTACCAAGATGATGGAAAAGTATTTGGTATTTTCTCCGATTCATTTGGGTTCATGAGATCATCATGACAACAAGTTTTTCTCAATCTGAATGTTTGGAAAATTCAATCAACAGGTTAATTGACATTTTTGTTTCTATGGTGAAACCTTTGGACGAAATGTGAATCTCAACAGGCAATTATCTTGATTATAATGAATTGTCTTCTCAGATTCTCAACGATATCATGGACTTCTGCCTGGAACTAATCCAAGGAGGGTTGCAACTTTTGCTCAATGAGTAATTCTCATTATTTTCTGTTCCACTCCATTATTTGTCTTTTCTTTTCACCATAGAAATGAATTCGAATTGAGAATTAATCAACTCAAATGAGAAACTAACAATGGACTCATTCTCCTTCTCGAACTTGGTCGTCCAACTCTGTTTCATCTCTTTCGTTCTCTGTCACTATTCATGATGATCTCGAATTGAAAAATGAAAGAAAAACTAATTCTATGTAAAAAAAATCTCGATTTTCTAATTGTTAGCAATTAATTTCCATCATTGGCTAAGCATAAACTTTACTTGGTCCAAGAATCGATTGATCCAATCAATCAAGCTCTAATCTAATTGCTGGGACTTTTTTTCCTCTTCGAAGTCAAAGTTAATTATAATTTTCTAAATTCTAAAACGAAAAGCAATTAACTTAAATTAGAAATTCGGTTATTAAATCCGCGGAAATAGTTACGTTAAAGTGAAGAAATTTTTTCGACGAAAATATTTGTTTATGTTTTTTTCGCTTCGTTATGTTTACTTACTTTTCGTTTCATTAATTAACCATTAGTACTTAATTTTTGTTAAATGTTCGAAATTCGTTAATCACTTATGGCCTCTGGTAATCGTTCTTCTAATAGAACACGATTACAGGTATGTTGTTATTATTGTCGATTGGTGATTACTTTTCTCTTCTCCCATGTTGGTCTTTGTACTCTCGTCATGGGCTACGCGTTTCTGGGCGCTGCGGTTTTCCAGTGGTTAGAATCGGACAATGCCAGGCAATCGAGAAAATTCCTTAGGCCAGTTAAAGATCGACTGATTGAGCGACTTTGGAACATCACCGAAGGTCCGAACATGCTTCGAGATGACCTTTGGAAACAACAGGCCACCATTCATCTCAACGACTTTTCCAAAGAAATGATCACTTTGGTTCAACAAAAAGGATATGATGGTAATTAGAAATTAGAATTTAATTGTTCGATTTGATCTATTTTCATGTTCTTTCCTCAGGTATGAGTGAAGATACTGAATCAACTCAATGGGACTTCATGGGAGCTCTTTTATACTCTATTATTGTTATGACGACCATTGGCTATGGAGATACTGCTCCTAAAACGCTGGAGGGCAAAATGGTGACCATACTTTATGCGATTATTGGAATACCTTTGATGTTGGTATTCATGTCGAATATCGGTGATCTTCTTGCGAGCTCATTTAAATTCTTCTATTGGAAAATTTGTTGCCGTTATTGTTTCCAACAATCAAGAACTAAGGACAATCGTCGTAATAGAAAAGAGAAACAAAAAGATCGAAGGTACCCTCGAATGCCACCGATTAACGAGAGACTTTATTACGAAAGTCATGGTACTGGAGGTGGTGAAATCGCTTTAGGTCAAATAACTTATCAGTCGACCCCTGAGGTTCTCGGTGTACCTGTTATACCAAATCGATATGTTCTAGTGTCGGAACAGACTGAGATCGGCGAATCTACTGTAACCACCCCCAAGACTCCTGAAAATGTCGCAAATCCGGTGCTCGATACTTATGGAGGATATCGGGGTGTTTATGGTACTCCAGGGTATCCGTTGGCCGAACCCAGGGACTCATCTGAAAGCGACACTTCCTCTGAAGATGAAATCGAGAGCAACATCCCAGTTCTTGTCTGCCTGATCATCGTCGCCTCGTACATTTGTGGGGGCGCTTTACTGTTCAGAGAATTCGAATTGTGGGAATTCAGTGAATCGGCTTATTTTTGTTTCATAACATTAACGACAATTGGATTTGGTGATATGGTTCCAGCGAAAAGACAATCAAATGTTGATCAACAGCAAATCATCAATTTAATTTACTCAGCTTTATATCTGCTCTTTGGAATGGCCTTAATGGGAATGTCGTTCAATGTGATTAAAGAATCAGTCACCGAGACAGTTCGTGGTATCGGTAAAAAGATTGGCCTAGTTAAAGGATCTCGTAGTTGTTAATAATTAACATGATACTCAACAATCAATAGTCAAATGGAATCACTTTCAGCCAAATTAAATCAAATTACATCCAAATTGTAATTCCTATGCAATGTAACGGTAATCATATTCGTAATCGTATTAAACAAAAGTTCATAATAAGCATTTATTGAAAGTTCAGCTTAATTATTATCCATCAGTAGTAAACAATTTAGGTTGATGTTGGTTATTAACATTTATAATTCATTTCATATTCGGTGAATCATTTTGTTGATTAGTGAGAATCAATAGTAATCAGTGAATCTCAATTAGATTCTCAAGTCAAGCAGTTTGATGAGAAAATTCATTTTTCCATTTTCAATCCTGTTGATAATCGTGATTATCATTTAATTGTTACTTATGATTAGTTGACAATCACAATCTAACCGAGATTGAAACAATTAATCAAATTGTATCATCAATTCATTTAAATGTTACATGTCAATGGATTGATTTTATTGCTATTAACTGACGATCTAACAACAATCGGAATTGTGATTAAGAACAATAATTAATCTATGTGACTCATTGTTAATCTAATCAATTAATTTGCTAATCATATAATGCGTTTAGTCGTAAATTGTGAATTTAATGGGAAGTTAATTGGAAACCATTTGATTCGCTAATTGTTTAGATTTTTACTCGAAAGTAAAATTAACTTGATTTAGTAGAAATTCAATGATTTTTTCATTTTTGATTCTTTTGTCTTTTTTTATGATTTATATTTTCGTATTGAAAGTTAATTATGGAAATGATTGGGGAGAAAATTGTTAATTCTTGATTTTAATTGTTTATTTGATGGATCATATTTATCAATCTTGGTGCAAAACGATATTTACAGTTGGTTTGAGAAGAATAATGGACAAGATCAGAATAGAATGTGAGATAATTTCCATTGATTGTCGATGGAAAATGATGAATAGATTGATGGAATGGATGAGAGAAACAATCAAATAGGAACCATGAAAAAAAAAGACTTTTAGATAAACATTTTTGACACTCGATAGTTTGATGAGATCAACCATTTTTTCACAATGAACATTTAAACTGAATGATAACCGATCCAAATTATCCAACATTTATCTCTGCATTTGATATATTTTTTGGTCCACAGTGAATTATATTGGGGGTTGATTTCTCTATGACAACGCGATCAAAGTAAATTTAAGTTAATTGACAGTCTGATTAATCTCTTGATAACATATCAAGAAGCTGTAGGACATAGATGAAGATGTTGATTATATCAGTGTAAATGGTAATAGCTGCAAGGATATAATCTTCGGGGGAGAATTGCTGCTTATGACTTCCGCCGACAATCATTTGGGTATCAATGACCAGATAGATGGAGAATATGAGAGTTCCCACTCCGGAATAGATTAAGGTGATTATCCTGCCAGGGAAAAACATTGCGATGAAACCAAAAAGCATGAAAACCATGAGAACGACAAACATAATACCAGAATACATGGTGAAATCAATTTTGGTTTGGAATGCAAATAATGTCAGACCAATTACAATTACGGTGGTCACTATAACAGCGTACATCACAATTGGACCTGATTTACTGGCAGAAATGATGCCGAGCATAAATGATTCACAGAGTGTGAAGATGCCCAGACAGACAATGTTAGCCGGATAGGTACGGTGGACTCCACAACAGGCCAAGGTTATGAGGGAAATGAGAGCGCCTCCAAGTGCGACGAAAGAGAGCCAAATATTCTGGGCCACAAAAGCTTTGGCACCTTCACTGGCCGAGAAAGAGACAACAAAGGCCATTGTAACAATCAGTTGACAACACACAATTCCATAGACTTTCCGGATAAAGGCAAGTCGAACCGATTTCTCAGAGAAAGCATCAAATGGACCTTCTCCACTCAGACCGGCCTCACCACCACCATAAGAATTATACATTATTGGTTAGCAACTGAAATCCAGATGAAAAAAGACGAAAGAAAAACACAAAAATATTCCAAGGTTAATCAGTTGAAACAAGATTGATTGAATTAGATTGAAAATGTAATTCGAATTGGAGAAAATTGAAAAGAAGATTCCACTTGTTGACTTGAGAAGGAGAAATGACTTGAAAGTTTAAAAGCCAATTTGTTGACACCAATTGGTAAATTCGGTAGAGAAAAAAACTCAATGATTTGACACAAATTAAAGTTAATAGATTATAACAGTTAACCAGAACAAAAATTGAGAGAGCGAGAGAACCTGATGAAATGATTATCTTTCTATTTCAGAATTGGTATGAATCCTGCTCACTGAACAGTTAACCTAAAGAAGACTCTAGAAAATGAAGAAAGAGAAAGTGAGAAGAGAAGAGAAGAGAAAATGAAGAAAAAGAAAGGAAAAGAAAGGAAAAGAAGGACATGAGGGGATGTAGAAGGGAACTCAACTGTCGGCAATTAATCAATTCCTTGATTACTGAGTTATTATGAAATTAACACGTAGTAGTTAATTCTAGTTCTTTCTAATTACTCACCCTAATTCGAAATTAAATAGAAGAATAGAAAAAAAAATTAACATTAACTGGATATTTTATAGAAACAAAATTACTGTTATGAGAGAAAAGAAAACAATTGACTTACCTTTTAATGATTTATTGATAATTGTTTAACCAGTTGCGAGAAAACCACAAGATGATGAATTTTAATTGCTCCAAATCACGTAATTGATTAAAGTGGAAACAAGTTAACAGTTGAGAAGCTTTTAAATCAGAGAGAAAAAAATGATGACTCTAGTTGTTGATTTCTATTAATACTAACATATGTCTGGAAATTTAGTTGATAACAATTATGATGATGATTAGAAAATAATATCTTTTGTATTCTACTTATCAGATAATCAGAAAGTGTCAATTTACTCACCTTTAATTAGAATTGACAATCAACACCCACACACAAATGATAGAATAACAATTTAATCAACAAAACTGAAATTCAAATGAAAACATTTTCTTTCATCACAAAAGTAAAAGATAAACAAGTTCACCATTTTGTTTTAAATTTTTCTTTTTCTTTTAAATGTTAACTTTTAATTTCTTTTTCACTTGATTAACTTTAACTACGCAATTATGTCCGTGATTAGCTTGTTTTCGCTTCCCAATTAAATTTCCATTCCAATTAAATCCTTTTTTCGGTTAATTTTTCTCTTTTTCAAAGAAACCGCCAATTCCAATGCACATGGGATCAAAGTTCCGTTTCCGGATAAACCGAATTACAAACTCATTGTTTATGTTTGGTTTCTTGTCTCGAGCTTTAAATTGTTACAATTATTAAGCTTAATTTAATCGAATGATACTTTAATCTTGTTTCTTTTTTGTATTATAATAACACTTAAGTTTATAAAATGAATGCCGAAAAATTAAGTAAATTGTCCAGTCAGGTTCGGATCGGTGGTAAGGTAAATGATCAATTTATCTTTGATTTCTATTTTATTTTATTCTCTTTGTTGTTTTATTCTATTCTTTTTGTCTCTTCTGTTAACACACCTTTTTTTTGTTCTTTTTAATTATGTTCTTTTATATTTTAATGGTGATTTATTTGTCTTAACAGGGTACAGCCAGAAGAAAGAAAAAGGTCATTCATCGGACCGCTACCACTGACGATAAAAAACTTCAGAATTCATTAAAAAAATTAGCCGTCAACCCAATACCTGGTATTGAAGAGGTTAGTTTATTTTTTTTGTTCATCTGTGACATTTTCTTTTGACAATCAACTGATTGTGATTTAAATGTTGTTTTCATGATAATTTAATTTGTTCTTTGTTCTTGACATTATTGTGTAATCTCATTGTGTGAATTTGAGTCATTAAGATGCAGCATGGGCTCTTTGTTTTGATTTCAAGGTTTTCTACTTTTTTCTCTTTTTCTTCTCTTACATTTTTTATTTTTATTTTTATCTGTTTTAGGTTAACATGATTAAAGAGGATGGAACTGTTATCCATTTTAACAACCCAAAGGTTCAAGCCTCTCTTACTGCAAGCACTTTCGCTATCACTGGACATGGAGAGACCAAAAAATTAACTGATATGGTGCCCGGTATTTTGACTCAATTGAGAGCTGATAATCTAAGCAGTTTGAAAAATCTCGCCCCATCTTCTAATACGGGTGATGCCGTAGCTCCAGAAGATGAAGAAGTTCCTGAATTAGTGGGAAATTTTGATGAAAATGCCAAAGAAGAATGAAGGTCACAAATACACGTTTAAAATGAGTTGATGATCGAGCTGTTTATATAATGGATTGTGTTTTCAATAAACATTTGCTGAAAATCACCACAAATATCTTCAAGTTATCCAAACTTAATTGCGGGATTTTTATTTAAAGTTGATGTTTTGTATAGATGTTTAGTCAATAATTTAATCCCAATTGTTACAAAACAAAAGAGGCTCGAGTTTTATGAAAGATTTTTATAATTTTACCTTCATTTCCTCAAACAAAATCAAGCGAAACATTTTCACTTCCAATTCATTGGATTGATAAGTCTAGATGATTTTTCAAGAACTGTCACTCATCAGGATTGATTAATCACTTTAAACTCATCTAAATTGTTGATCTTATCAAATTTCAATCAATTCTGGCCTTGAATTATAATCAATTCAATTTAAAGTATACATTTAATCTCATATCTTCAGGTATGAGTAAATTAATCAGTTAATTGTAAATGTAAATCAAATCTGAAGGAGTAAAAAAATAAATTATCAATTTAAGATAAATTTTAGGAAACTATTAACTAAACATTAACAAGAATGAGAAAGAATCATGATTATTTGATAAATTCTCTCTGCTTATAATCTCGCAATTAAAATCCAATTGTTGATAAAAAAAAATCGCAAATGTCTCAACAATTTAAAAGGAATTTTAATCTGTGCTGTTTGAATTTCGCGCTGCATTTTGTTCTATTTGTTTACTGATTTTCTCCCAGGGATCACCGAATGGGATCTGTTACGTCAGCTATTAGAGTCCAACTCATTTCTGCCAACTTGATCATCCATTTCCTCGGTCTTTTAATTGTTCCTTAATTGTTTAGGTAAATTGTCGTTTTTTAATGCCGATTATTTGATTTTCTGCGTCCCTTGATACCTTTGTTTCTCTTATTTTCACTTACTGACCATTTGGTTTTTGTTTTCTTCTCTTGTTCACTTGATTAATCTTATCATTTGTTTCCTCCCTTTTAACAGGTTGACTTGGAATCTTTTCTCTCTAACTTTATGGAAAATAACAGTGTATCAACTGATGGTGAAGCTGTTTTGACTAAAGAAACTCAACAGTTAATGAACAAGTGGTTAATCTCTCAAGTACGTGATTTCAAAAATATGAACGATCAAGCTGCTCATTTAGACCTTTCAGGGAAACTAATCATCAAGGCTAATTTAGGTGATGACTTTCGCCGGACTCCAATTCATAATGAAGATATTACATATGATGAATTGATTTTGATGATGCAACGGTTATTCAAGGGTAAATTAGATCCTAAAGATGACGTTATATTGAAATATAAGGATGAAGATGGTGATTTGATTACCATAAATGATAATTCCGATTTAAATTTTGCTATTGAATGTTCTCGTATCTTGCGGATAACAATATTCATTAAGAAGGAAGGTGAAGAAGAGTCATCCAATCCTGATTCGGAGAAACTGTTGAATGATATTGTCAAGTTGACAGAGAGCTTGGAAGGTTTGATTAAAAACTATGAAAAAACACTGAAGATTAAAAAATCAGTGGACGACACTACAACACCTCGATCGGCCAGTCAACCGGTAGATGAACAACCAGCTACTATTCAACCTTCAGTGCAACACATTTCTACCGGTTACGCTAAGAAAGCGGCTAATTTACCTTCTTCTGGAATTGGAAATCTCCAGATATGCCCACCGATGCCGCAACCACTAGGACCTCCTTTTCAATCTGTACCCACTTCAGGCCCAACTCCCATGCCAATACCTTCAAGTCAACCTTATAACCCGAATCAATCCCACTCGCACTCCCAGCCTCCGCCTCAACCTCAGTCACAACCACCTCAGTCTCATCCACAGCAACAACAACAGCAACAGCAACAGCAACAACAACAGTCCCAACAACCTCCCCAACCTCACCAACAACAACAATTTCAACCGCCTCTACAACAGCCTCATCAACAGCAACCACAATTCCCACCCCCACCTCAGCCTCATCAACACCAGTCTCAACCACCACAGCCTCACCAACAGCAACAGTCTCAACCCCCGCAACCACAACAGCCACCTATGCCTCAACCCATTGGTCAATCAGGCCCACCAAAATTTGGCTCAGGTCCAGGACCTTACAATTCGCCTTTATCTCAACCTAGTTTCCTTCAAGGGCCACCACAAGGGCCACAAGGTGATCAACCTGGTCCTGGCAATTTCCAAGGATTACCTGGCGTTCAAGGACCACCGGGATACCAAGGACCATCCGCTTATCCAGGGCCACCATCTAATCTTGGCTCTGGTCCTCCAAATATGTTCAATCAACCACCACCAAGATATGGCCCTGGTCCTGGTCCATCGTTTAATCAACAACAACCACAAGGTCCACCATCAGGACCACAGTCTGGGCCACAACAAGGGCCACCACAAGGACCACCTCAAGGACCACCACAAGGTCCACTTCCATGGCAACGCGGTCCAAGACCATTCTTTTAATCACAATTCAGAAAAGCGAATTTCAATCTAATGAACAATTAACCCGCAACAGATTATCCAATCAACTGAACAGCAAAAACACGAAAAAGAAGAAAAAAATATCAGATTTAGAAAATACCAAATCCAGAGGTGTAATTTTAGATTGAAAACTAATAATTAAACAAATTTCCGATTGATTATATTAAATAAAACATTTTTAACAATCAGTTGACAATTAAACTTTTTCCAAAATTACAACAAACAAAACCCTAATTATGTTTACAGGATTAAAAAAGCCTCGAATTTTTCCCCCTGCGCAAATTTCGATTCTCCTTGAAATCTCTTCTTTTGCGCAGGGGAAGCAAAAGAAAACCGCTTATTTCAAGTTGACTCACATTCACTCATTTCGTCATTTTGAGTTACATTCACTTAGTAGTTGACATTATTTTCCTTTCATTTTGAGATTTAATTTAATTTTTCTAATTAAATTGTTACCAATGCCTTCATCTTCATGCTCAGAGTCAAGTGATGGTTCACCTGAATCTGAATTTACTATTTTAATTGCAAGTGATATTCATTTAGGATACGCAGAGAAAGATGTTCTTAGAGGTGAGTTTATTTTTTATTCTATTTGATTATTTCATGTGTTGATTTGAGTTTTGTTTTATTATTATTCGTTTATTTAGGTGAAGATTCGTTCATTGCTTTTGAAGAGGTTCTTCAAATTGCTGTGGAAAAAGAGGTTGATTTTCTTTTACTAGGCGGTGATTTGTTCCATGAGAATAAGCCTTCGTCTAAATCAATGACTCGTTGTGTTCAATTGTTACGAAAATACTGCCTTGGAACAAGAGATAATCCGATTAAAATTAACATTGTCAGTGATCAAAAAGTCAATTTTAATCATAGTGCTTTTCCAGTTGTCAATTATGAAGATGAAAATCTCAAGATTTCTTTACCTGTTTTCTCAATTCATGGTAATCATGACGATCCAGTTGGAAAGGAACCTCTTTGTGCTTTAGACACTCTAAGTGCTATGGGATTAGTTAACTTTTTTGGAAAATATGTAAATGTTGAACATATTGATGTTCAACCTTTGCTTTTAGAAAAAGGAGAGGAAAAGGTTGCTCTTTATGGTCTTGGATCAATTCCTGAGGAAAGACTTCATCGAATGTTTAAAACGAACAAGTTGAATTCATTGCCCCTGAAGGTAATTCTGATCGGTGGTTCAAGATATTCATTGTTCACCAGAACAGAGTCGCTCATGGAACCAAATACTTACCTGAGTCTTTCCTTGGCGATCTACCTGATCTTGTGGTTTGGGGACACGAACATGAGGCTATAACCGACTTGCATTTCAACCCAGAATTAAATTTCCATGTCTATCAACCTGGAAGTACAGTTGCAACATCTTTGTGTGCCGCTGAAGCGGCTCCAAAGCATGTTGGACTATTATCTGTCTCATACAATTCTGAGAATGATTCTAATAATTTCCGATTGGAAACAATCCCTCTGAAAACACCTCGACGGATGATCTGTGAAGATATTAACATTGATAGTCTTCTTAGTAGCCGAGGTGATCGTGACGACGGTGAATTGAACGATCTTATCTTTGAGTTTCTTTGTGAGAAAATCCAAGAACAGATAAACAAAGCGGCCGTCGATCATTCTGGCCATCCAATGGAACCTCTTGAACCTTTGATCAGAATTCGAGCCGAATACTCAACTGAATATCATCATATTAACCCAGGACTTTTTAATCACAAGTTCTTAAATAAAGTCGCTAATCCCAAAGAAATAGTAATGTTCAAATACAAACGAACCCGTTCAGCCTTTAGTGGTAACCCAAGTGGTCTCAATGTCGGCGAACTGGACGATTTATTGGATTACACGGCTGCTCCTCGATGTAATATCGATGATGTTATTTACGAATACTTTCAAAATACCGATGAGAAAAACAAATTAACTCTTTTATCAGAGAAAGTTATGGTTACCGCTATCAAGGAGATCGTCGAGAAAGAACAGACAACCGAACGATTAACACAAGCGGTTGATTTTTTGCGAACTAAAATTCACAATTCAATTGTTGCAGATAATCCAATTTTCACCGAAAATAAACCCGAAATTGAAACAGCAATTAAACAGGCAAAAGAAAAATACATGAAAGACGATGAAAAGGCCATGAAGGAACTTAAATCTTTCTTTCAGACAACAAATGGAAATTCAGAGGTTACAATCAACGATTCTTCTGATGATGATTTAGATGATAATCATTCTTCAAACGTTATTCATTCACCAACTTCATCAACTTCGACAAGTTCAAGAGCAACTCGAGGACGAGGTCGAGCAACTCGTGGGTCCGCTGCGGGTCGAGGTCGCGGTCGAGGTAAAAATCTATCTAATCAAGGAAGTTTGGAAAGTATGGTGAAAATAACTCGACGAAGTTAAACAATTTATTGATTCTCAATTCCGCACAATTGATTCTCCTTGTCCTTCAAGACCATCTAATCTGATTTGATTAAATAATCAGTATTTTCTTACTCTCATCTAAAACATTTGATACTCAAATGATCATCTGATCATTTTTATTTCGTTGAAAATTTTCAAGAAAATCTAACTGAATAAACCAAAATATTAGCAATTAGAAATCGATTTCAATTGATTTTCCAAATTCTGATCAATTGAGTCAATCGAAAAATGATTAACGGGTAACATAAATTATCTTCAATATTATTGATTGTAATTGTGGTGATTTATTAAGGCAATGAAAGGAAAGCAAATTATACAAAATGAACTTTTTATGAATCTCATATCAATTGATTGGAATTAATTAACAAAAGATTTGGATGAGTGAGAACAATTTAGGCGTAAATTTGATTAGTTTGAATAAATTAGTTTTCTAATTGTTTATCAATCATCTGCAAACATATCAGACTCTCTTTCATTGATTAACTCTTCAATCTGCTCATACTTTTTCTCGTAAATATCCATATCTTTTCCAATCACTAATTGATCAGCTAATTCAGTTAATTGGTCTAATTTTTTAGTTGTCGACGAAATGTTTTCACTTAATTGTGAACTTTTATCTTTCCTTTTCTTTGTCCTCATCTCCTTAATCGATAATCCAATCCTACGAATCGCTTTCCCAACGGTTTCATTTTTCTCCATCATTGTCAACATTTTCCTATAAATGGAGGTCGTATTAACGGGTGACGCATCTTTCGAGTCTTCGTCAGATTCGGGCTGTTGGATTTTGGACACATCGGCGATCTTACAGTTGTCAATATCTTGAACCCAAGCGTCTTTAATTTCATCTTTGTCTTTACGGAAAATGTAAGTTCCATCCTTGTCGAAATGTCCTTCCTCCATTTCCTCGTTCATGTTGAAAGCGGTGAATTTAATGTCATCTTCGACTCTTGCGTGACTCTCTTTGTCTCCATCTTGGAATTCCGATGGATCCAGAGCATTATATTTCTCGTAATCCACTTCATCATCTTCTTCATCGCTGTCAAGTGAATGTTTGAATTTCTTACCAAAAGGAGCTGAACCAGGTTTCGATTCGACCTCATCTTCCTCTCCAGTCTCTTGGAAACGAACTCTTTTCTCCGTTGACATGATCAACAATCGATCAGTTTAACACAATCAAATAATCAATAGAATTTAAAGTCAATCAAATGACGAATTCAACTAAACAGAAACAACATCATTTCAACAACAACATATGATTTCCTTTCAAAAGGATAAACAAAATTTTTTCCTTCTTTGAAGCGCTTCTTTCAAAATCTCATCGATTTACGAGAAAAAGTTTCAATCGAAGTTTATTTCCGTTCTAATGTAGAAAATTGAATAAAATTAACCACCAGTCAACTAAATTATTGTGTTCAAAAATTTACATTTATTGTTGATCTAAAAATGAATTGGATTTAAAAACAATGTACAATATGAAAAGTTTATGATTTAGTTTTGATGATATAAATATTTGAGAAATAAAGTTTTGAACCTTTGATTATCGATACAAGTTCAAGTTAATTGTTACGATTAAAGTTTCGTCCATCAGATTTCATCTGATATCTGAATTGCTCGTTTATCAGAATTGATTTCAGTTCGTTCATCCCGACGTAAAGCTGAGTAACTTTTATTTTTACTGTTCGACAAAGTGATCGATAAAAAGTCGACGATATTTTTGCGAACTTGGTAAATGACCAAAGAAAGAAGACAAATAACCGTTACCGTTAGAATGGCCAATATAATGTGAGGATAAAACGAGAAGGTCGACAACTGTAACCAATTCGGATCACAATCAAGATCATCGGCCTTTAATTGAATAAGACGACGATAAACATTGACCATTGGGTAACCCGATAAGCAGATATAATTGTCTTTGCCCATAACAAAAAGGGGTGTCCGCTTGATCCAATTGATGAAATGGCCTATTCGACAGTCGCAGGCGAATGGGTTTCCCGTTAGATTGATATGAAATGACCTGGGAAGATCCTCGATGAATGAGGTGGACACATTGTCCAAATTTTTGATCAAATTGTGAGACAAATCGAGTGTCCTTAATCTCGGTGTACAAGTGAAATTAACTCGCAATTGATCAAATGAATTACCAGCGAGAAACAATTTCTGCAATGATGGAAATGAACATAATGATAATTCATATGGAAAATCAATTATCCCATTTGATTCCAAGTTGAGAACACTTAAATTAGTTAAATTGGCTTCTCGTAAGAGAGCAATCAAATTGGGCATAAATTGTGGACTCGAAGTGTCCACGAAAGCGGAGGCCAAATGTAATTCGGTTAAATCATGAAATCCATTGAAAAGACCATGAGGATAATGATCACCTTAAAGAGGAAATCAACAATTAACTTATAATCAATAAAGAATCCCAATCACTCTAGTTGATTAGAGTTTATATTTACCTGTAATTTTGATTCGATTGTTGTTAAGAATTAATTTCTTGACCAATTTAAAACCTCGAAGTGCTTTACCATCAATTAAATTGATCTTATTGTTGGAAAGATCCAAATAATCAACTGGTTTCACCTTTTTATTATCAAATCCAAACACATCTCTAGGTAATTTAGGTAAATCATTTCCGGTAAGAATTAATTGTTTGGTTGTAATCGGAATATCATGTAACCAACTGATTTGATTGATATTTGAATTCGTACAATTAGTGATTAGATTTTTGTAATCACATTGGCAAATATTACGTAACAATAATGGACACGAAGTGAAATTTTCACTGGACACAATTGTTGACCACAAGAGACACATGAAAAAGTTGACAATCAATTGATTAAAATTCATTGTCGTTGATATGATTTAGATATGTTGATTGTTGAGATGAACTTGATACTGATTAAGTTTAACTATTTGACTGATGAAAAAAAAGAGTCTTTCTTATTAACAATTAGTGTTTAATGTCCATAGTTAATTGTTGGTCAAGAAAAAAGGAGAGAAACTTTTAATCACCTTTTCCAGTGGAGTTAAATTGTTGAACTAATCAGAATTGAGGATGATAATTAATTGTCAACACATGAAGATGTAATAAAGACACAAATGTTATTAGAAGAGGTAAAATCAATTGACTGAAAACTTTTTCCAACTTTCAAGTTACCGGAAAACTTTACAATCAATGTAAACAATTGATTGAACTTTTCCAATGAAAATTAACACCAACAATTAACCAGAAATCAAGTGAAAAACTGAACAATTGGTGATCAATTGGCTAACTAAATGTCCCCATGAAGATGATGATCATGTCCAACAAGAGGATAAGTGAGTAGGTTATGTTTTTATCTTCTAATTTTACATTTTCTATTCTAAATTAATGGATGATGAAGATGAAGATAAAGTGGTTCAGTGAAAGAGAGAGAAAAAAGAAAGAGAGATAAATCTGAAAGAAAGAAAAGAAAGAGAAACCAGAATATGAGAGACATTAAGTTTCCATGATGGAGGAAAAAAGTTTGATGAAACAGATGAAGAAACGATTAACCATCTGTCTTAATTATCTTTCTCTGGGAAGACAATTAGTTGACCAATGGTCATTTCCATTGAGAACAATCATCTTTATTAGTTGAAGAATCGATCCAATCAAATTAAATTGATTAATTTCCATGTGATCACCTTTAACCTGTGGATCAATGAAACGAGTTGTAAGTTTAATTAGGGAATGTGAATATTGTTTCATTGAGAGAAAAAAAGAAAGAGAAAAAGAAAGAAGAAAATTAAAGAGGCCAACAAGTTGCTCATTTCTAACAATTTAATAGACCTGCATGTGGATTAACCATCATCTAAATTAATATCATCACTAAATCAACAACAATTTAAGACCAAGATAACAAAAGGTGAGTGGGAGAAATGAATTAAAATTTAGATTGGACAAATCTCTGCATGAGATCAAGTTAATTGTGATTCTGTGTTCACAATTCACCATTGTTAACAATCAGCCAAATTTAATTCCTTTTCCTGTCAAGAATTAAAGAAAAATTAAAATTATCTTTCAAATGATTCTATGGATACAATTTAATTGCCTCACCCATTGGTGAACACAATTTACTAATCAGCTAAATAATAAGCTGATTAGTTGGTAATTTAAGGTATCCATTGATTCATCGTGATTACTTTCAGCCAGATTTCTCATCAAATTAACAACACATACCAGAGACTTTGATTGTTAAGCTATTGTCTTATTCACATGGTTAATTAACAGCAATTAGCTACACACCAATTTAAATCCATTTCCAATTCCATTAACAATTAACATCACCTGGAGAAATTAAACTCTTGAAAATGAGACACAACAGGTTAATGGACGGATAAAAATTCTAGGCCTCAATAGAATAGAAATAAATTGAAAATTCTAATTACAATTAACAATTAAAGGAAAAATCTTTTGACAATTGATTCTTTTTTTCTGACTCATCGAAAGATGACTCATAATCAGCTGATCCATCATTTTCTATTCTCTTGTTGTTATGTTTGTTTTTCTTTCTCTTCCAATGTTTCAAGTTAATTAGGCTCATTCGTTTGGTCTTCTAATTAGATTCAACGGTTCCATTTAATTAACTATCAATCTCCATGTTTAAAGTGATCAAATAATCAAATAAATCTTGGATTATATTGATTTGGTTGAACACTAATTCATCATTAACAGAAAACCCTACTAATCATTTACATCCTTAAGGTAAGATTTTATTTCTCTCTATTAATTAACTGTTATGATTTTCAAGTCTGATCAAATCAAATTTGATTGTCTTACAAGTCTTGATTGTCATTTTGACTCTTTAATGAACCAATTGAATCAAATGTAAAGGTTTAACAGCTAATTGATAATTTGATTTTTCCACCGGTTCCTTTGTTGATGTAAAACTGTATTCGTTTTTTATTTCTATGTTTCTTATTTGCATATTTTTATTTTTCTTCTTATTTCAAAGGCTCAAATTGTTTAATTATGGTGGATTCTTCAAACTGTTTCGAACCCCCTGAGGTTCGTCTGAAAAGTTTGAGCGATATTGGTAGTAAAGTGTCACTTAATACTAGTCTTCAAATACGCTTATATTTCAATTCTGGTAATGAGATGCAACGAATGGCAAGAGTTTTCCTCAAGGAGCGTAACTATGAACGAGCTTATGTAATATACATGAGATACATAACATTATTTGTCGAAAAGCTTCGTGAACATCCCCAATATAAAGACGCTGATCCCTCGCAAAAATCGAGGGTTCGTGACAGTTGCAAAGAGATATTTCCTATTCTAGAAGATTTGAAAAGTAAACTAAAAGCCAAATACGAAGACGAGTACAAGATTTACCTGCAGAAAAGAGTAAGTTTCAAATCGTAATTTAATCCGATTGTTGGCTATTAATAATCTTTTCCTTTTCTTTTCATTGAACCTCATCTACAACAGGAACAAGAGAGGAAAGAAGCTGAAAGTGTCCACCAAGAAGGAAAGAAACAAGAATTTATTAAATCATTGGAAGATCGTTTGGCTGAGAAGATACAATTCAAATTATCTGAACTAGAGGATAATCAAGTTTCCAAAGATACTGATAAGCTAAATCCAAAGTCCCAAGCGGGTCCATCATCGGCAACTGCCACTCCGGCAACCACACCGGTGGATAGAAACAGTCAATTTATCCTTCCCGAACCAATAGATAATCAACCAAGTGCACCTTCATTTGATCGGTCGACTAAACCAAGTGGATTCTATTCATTGTTTGGTGGAACTGAAGGATTAAGACGAATTCTGGTTCCTGTTGGATTAACATTGAAATTCTTAGAATTAGCTAAACCAAATACTGGTAGAAATATTGAAACCTGTGGTATTCTTGCTGGTAGACTTTCATTAAATGATTTTATCATCACTCATGTTTTAATTCCACCTCAAAGAGGAACCAGTGATTCATGTTTAACCGAAAATGAAGAGAAATTATTTCTCTATCAAGATAAACATGATCTTATCACCTTAGGCTGGATCCATACACACCCATCTCAAAGTTCATTCATGTCCTCCATTGATCTACATACCCACTGTTCATACCAATTAATGTTACCTGAAGCTATTGCCATAGTTTGTGCACCCAAATTTGGCGAGATTGGTGTTTATTCATTGACCAACGATTATGGAGTTGATTTCATAGCCCAATGTAAAACTACTGGTTTCCATCCGCACCCAACGTCACCGCCGATCTACGAGGAAAGCAAACACGTTATATTTGAAGACAAAGCGCCGCTTGAGATTATTGACCTTCGTTAATAACAATCTTTTAATTACCATATCATAAATTGTGATTGAGATAATGATCAATGATAAATTGCTGTCATGAAGGGAATCCAATCAAACCACTAATTAACTTTACACTTGTTTTTTTCACCATTGTCATCTCATATTTTTTTTTTTGCTTTTCTTTTGGAAATAATCTGATTTAATAGTGAAAATCAACTTTTAATTGTTACTCGAATTGTTAACTGATTAGATGATTTATCATTTTAATTGCTAATTCAGAAAAAGCCTCAGCTTTTAATCCTTTTAAATATTCATTCCATAATTTGATGATCCAATTTTTATCCTTTTAATTGTTTTCCTTCATCCATTTCTGTTAATTTGATTTCCAATTGCAAATAATTAACGTTTATCCTTAAATCATCAGACACAAAGATAATAATCATCTCACAATGCGAAAACACAAATATAACTTTTTCCTCAGTGTCGATCCAACTCTTGGCTTCTGTTGTTAATTAACCATCACCTAAAACAACAGTACATAAAGTTGATTATGATTTAAATGAGAAAATCGTTAATCAAATTGCCTACAAGAAACCAACTAACCGAAGATAATTAAAAACGAGAAAAAGACAAGAGAGTAAAAAAAACTTTAATCAAGTAATATGAACTTAATTGGGTTAAAATTATAATCATCAACCTTGATAATCAAAAGGCAACAACGATAATCTTTACAATCACAATTACAGTTAATCAATTGTAAATTTTGTGTAAACAATTTAACCAACTATAAATACAGAAACAAGGATCAAATCTAATTTGTAATTATCTTTGGTTAAGATGAAATTAAAGCCTCGGATTGTTGAAACAACAGAAGAAGAGGAAACAAATTAAGTTGATTGTTTAGTTTATCTTTTAAATTGGAATTTTAATTCTTCGCAATTAAAAAGACTCATTGACAAACTTTCTCCTGGTGAGTTCTCCTTTTTCATGGAGAATGAAAATTTTTGGATTCGTTTCAAAATCGAACGAGATGAAACAATTTTCTCTTCTCGTTTTCGATCTAACTGTTAATTTCTGTGTCTTTTTTCATCTTCTTCCTCCTCATTCTATCTTCCTTCGGTTGGAAGATGACGATGATGATGAAGATGAGGATGAGATGGTTCACATTCGTAAGAGAGAAAAAGAAACTCAGTGGAAAAAGATGATGAGGATGAAAAGAGAAGAAAATTTTTCAATGGAATCCAAAAATACTCAGTTATGATAACGAAGGAAAATGAGTTAATCAACTTAAGATTATGTTCACCTTATTTAATTGTTTCCATTTTAATCCAATCATGAATTTCATCATAATTGGTAAATTTCTATTGCTTTTAATTGTGTTTCCATTTGTATCCGGTTTACCAGAGACTCTTAATATCGGTAAGTTTCAACTGATTCAACGGCCGTTTGGTTAACACAATTGTGAGTCTTGTAACTTTAATTGTTCATCTAATTGTGATTGTGATTTAGGTGCTTTGTTTACCGGCGATTCGATCGATCAAGATTTAGCCTTTCAGATCGCTATTTCCAAAGTTCTCAACGAATTCAATCGTTTTTCATCAACCACCGTCCAAGGAATTAAGTACAATGTTTCATATTTCGATAGCTATCAAGCTCAATCAAACGGTGAGTTAATTAATTGTAACACTTCAATCAAGTTAATCGAGTTTCTCTCAAAAAGATTTCCCATCTTTTACGTTTTGTCGCCATTTTCTTTATCTAATCAGATGAAATTCTCTTTTCTCTTGTGACATTTTCCCTTCTCAATTCACAAATTCACAATCAACGGATTAATCTTTTTCCCTCATCTCTTAATTACTTTTTAATCTTTAATTTTATTTTTATTTTTCTAATCTACAACTGATTGATATTCCAATTTCATTCTGAAAGTGTGTAAATTGCTACAAGAACAGGTCACTGCGATCATAGATACAACAAGTTCACCCTGTTCTCATCATGTTGAAGCGATTTGTGATAATTACGAGATACCTCATATCCGAACCCGATACGATTGGAGACAATCAATGGGAACCTTTTCAATTAACCTCTACCCTCACCCAATGCGAATCGCTCATGCAACAATCGATTTAATCATTGAACTCGCATGGAAAGAGTTTGCAATACTATTTGAAGATGATGAAGGTAATAATCGTGATTTAAGGTATTCTAATTAACCTTTCATTGTGTTTTCCTTTCTAATTTATCAGAAAGAAAATACAATCTCCACCATGAACAATTAATTTTCATGCTTCTCTCATAATCTAATGAATACTCTTGCCCTTTACTAATTCATATCCTTTTTCATGGTAAAAAGATATCGCCTTTGTTAATGAACTATTCAAGGAAACTCAGAAAGAGTATGAACAAATGAGCGGATTCCCCGTTAATCGGCTCGAATGGACAATCGGTGTTTATCAATTCTCATCGATCGATTCCTATCGAGACACTTTCGGCCTTGTAAGACGAAGTCAATATAAGAACATAATTCTTCACGTTAAATCGGACAATCTATACGACGCTCTCAAGCAGGTTAAGTTAATTTTCACCCAAAGACAATTAAACTTACTAATTTCGAGCAAAAAAATGTTCCATTTTGATGATTAGGGCCAACAAATTGGATTAATGACAGACGAATACTCGTTTATCCTCACTTCTTTGGTAAGAACTACTAATCACAATCAACAACGATTGAATTAATTTTCTTTTCTCTGACTTTTTTCCAGGATCTTCATGCAATCGACCTGAAGGATTTTAAATACTCTGGAGCCAAGATACATTCCTATAGATTAGTAGACACAACCAGCGAGGAATCCCGTCAATTTATTCACGACTGGGAAAATGTGGCCTTAGAAACGGGAATAGAATTGACAGAATCAAGTAACTTTAAGGTTAATATGATGAAAGATAAAAATCAAATACATTATCTAAGTTAACAATCAAATGACATTTCAAGAGACAAGAAAATCTTATCCACACAATGAGCAATTTACTAATTTTTAATGATGTTGATTAATCTCCCTGAAGTTTTGAGAGTTGATTGTTCATGTCAAAAAGATGAAGATGAAGATGATCAGATCAATAAGACAACAACATGAGAAACATAACTTGTTTCAAAAATCATCTACAATGATAATAATCTTACAAGAAAATCGTACATATAATTTGACAGAAATCGTTAGTCGTCAAAAAGATGAAGATGATATTTATTTGTTATCTTTATCAATTGGAAAAGTTGTAATCACAATTTACTAATTCAATTGTTTATTCTACTTAGACAGAGACAGCATTGGTCTATGATGCAGTTCTACTTGTGGCTAATTCAATAAAAGAAGCTGAGAAAACGATGCAAGTTGAAACAACGTCACTTTCATGTGAAGAGCCACTCACCTGGTCTCAAGGAACTTCAATATTAAATTTTCTTACCGCTAATCCAGTATGTTAATCGTAGTTAAATTGTTTCCTTTCCAACAACAATAATCTACTAATTTCATTTGCTTACTAATTTCATCTTCTCTCTCTCTCTCTCTCTCTCTCTCTCTGTGATCAACCAAGAGGAAAACTATTTAAACCACTGTGAACGAATTGAATAATAAGAAGAAAAAAAAGAATATTTTTTATTCTTTTTCTCTTCTCTCTTCTCTCTCACGAGTCTTGATTATAAATTTCTTGTGGAATTTGTGTAAATTCAATGTTTGCCGTTGAAATGTTGATGTAGAAATCAAGTTAACAACGAAAAGTGTTTCTCACACAGAAAACTACAACTACTTGTTTAAACTACTTCGGTAGATATAAAGATAAGCTCACATTTTTTCATAGTGAGCATCATCCTGCTGAGAGAAAGAGAAGAGAAAGAGAAGATAAGAATGAGAGAGAGAGAGAGAGAGAGAGAGAGAGAGAGAGAGAGAGAGAGAGAGAGAGTAAACCGAGTGAGCTATTTTGTATTCATTGAGCTGGAAAGTTTTAAATTGAAGAGAGAGCGAAATTTTTACTCATCTATTTGCATTATAAAACAAGGAGGAGACAAATAATGATGATGATGATTTGAGGAAACAAACTCAGCATGATAACAACGAAATTACTCTAATTATAGTCTCTTGACCATCGATGAGCTTTTCATCATTAACCAGGGTCACTTATGGTCATCGTTTCTTTTATCTTTTGCCACTTCCGTTAATTAACATACTGATCATCGTCCATGTTAATCATTATGGTAATTGACGTTTTCTTTTCTTACTTTACTCTCTAATAGATGGACGGTGTTACTGGAAGACTTTTTTTCGACGAAGAGGGTTATCGTTCTAATGTTGTTCTTCACCTTTATGAACTTTCCAACGTTGGATTTACCAGAGTAAGAAAATCTAATCAACATGATCGTTAATCTTTCGTCACAATTATCGTTGATTTTTCTCTAATCATCACTTTTCCGATTTTCGATCAAAATTTATAATCGATTGATTGTTTTTTATCATTATCATTGTCACGTTATGAATGTTTAATTTGCTGTTAAATTGATCAATTCAAGAGATTTACAATTAACTAAATTCTCACATAATTAGGTTAATTCTCATCTAATTCAATACATTAGGTTATTAGTTTCCTCTTAAATTGTTATAACTACAATTGGAAAACCTTTTCTCTCAGTAATTAACATTATTTTCATGGTAATTTAAAGTAGCCTCACTTATTATTGGTTTAATTACTCATTAACTGTTTTATTTTTATTGCTTATTTACCTTCATTGGTATAACAATAACAATATAAACTCAACGGTGAAATGATCTAAGGTCATTTAGAACTCTAAATTTTAAATGCTTTTAAGTGAAGGACCCATGATGATGATGGTCAGTAAAATTTTCCAAGAGCAATAAAATGAAAATTAGATTGTTCCAATTGATTATTAGCGATAAATATTGAATTACAGTTCTAATAAATTAATGTTTAAACAATAACAATACATAGACAATTGATTAGAATCCAATTTCTATGTTGATACTAATTTGATTACGATAAATTCTTATGGTTATCACTGATTGAAAGTTAATTTCTTTTTTCTATCGCAAACAGATATGTAATATTAATCGATTTTATTGTTGACTTAAGGTTTCGAGTTACGTTTGGTTTGCCTTAGAAAATGAAAATAGACTAATAGTATGAATGTGATTTCGATTGTTGGTCAGTGAAAAGGTAGAAAAAGAGATGGAGAAAGAAAAGAAAAACAACTTTGGCCCTACCTTAATTCACTCTTACAACAAGAATTTCATTCAACTTACAGAGAGAGAGAGAGAGAGAGACAAAGAACTTTTTTGCCTTAAGGCCATTTAGCCGTCGGCTACATTGCCAAGTGATCACACCGAAGAAAAAACTTTCTTTCATTCTTCATCTTCTATTTCCCTTCTTTACCTTTTCTCTTCATCTTCTTCTCCTTGTGCCTCTTTCTCTCTCTCCATCTCCTTCTTCCTCCTCTTCGGCTTCTCATTCTTTTTCCATCATCATCTCTCTCTCTCTCTCTCTCTCTCTAATCGAGTAACTAGAAAACCTTTTTAACAATAGTAATCATAGTGATTCCTGTACCTTTACCTTACCTTAAAAAACAGCTCAAGTTTACCTTGTGTACATTTAAGGCCAGGATATGGTTTTCAAGACTCACCCACACAAACTTAACCTCCCATCACTTTTAACATGAAACATCCTTGTAACAATTTACTTTCTTTCTCATCATCTTCATCTTCATCTTCCATAGTTACCCTTATAATCTTAGTGACAATTGATCTTTTTTTCTCTTTTTCTTCTAATGAACAAAAATTTACTCAGAAAAACGAAAAACGAACATGAAAATAATCGAAAATCACTTTTATTCCCTCTTTCTTTATATGGAACATTTCAATCACTCATTAAGTAGATCATATTCACTTGATGATTATCATGTTGATCATTTTCTGTTCTTGATTAGGGTTGAAAACAATTCAGCAATTTAGTCTTGCGATTTATCTCTGAAGTTTCTCATTCCAATAATGGCTTCAATCCAAACTATTGTCATGATGAAGTTTAAGTTTGTTGATAAACAACTTTCACTAGAAGGTTAATTTAGATTCTATCCTTAACTCTTGCCAAATGATGATGATGATGATGATAAGATGAAAGGGAAAATGATGCCCACAATAAAATACCTTGAGATGAAGATGAAGATGATGATAATTATACTTGATAAAAGCATCAACAATAAAGTAACAACAATCAACTTTAAACTTACCAACTTGATGAGGCGATTTTTTTTCCTCCACAAATTGATTGTAAACTGAATCAACACCAACAAGATTAATTGATTAGATTGATGTTTTTGTTGATTGTTTTCAAATGATGAAAACTTTTCGATTGTTAATTTTGTTATCAATCGTTTTTGATTGTTATTATTTTCGTTGAATAATAGTTGGGTTTCTGGTCAGACATCAACAAGAAAGGACTCGAGATTCAAAATAAGCAGCCAAAGTATTACAATCCCGATGAAAATGCAATCAAACACCGGACACTGAAAGTGGTCACTGTTGAGGAAAAGGGTTATACTATGATTAAGAATGACCGACGTCCACTCGAGGGTAATGATAAGTACGAGGGATATGTAGTCGATTTGGTTGAAGAGCTTTCGAAACTTCAAGGATTCAACTATGAGATCGATCTGTTTGAGAGTAAAAGTTATGGCGATTGTAATAAAACCACAATGACCTGTAACGGAATGTTGGGTGAGATCACCTCTGATCGCGCTCATCTTGCCCTTGTCGACCTGACGATCACCGCTGGACGTGCCGAGGTCGTTGATTTCACCCATCCCTTCATCAATACCGGAATTTCCGTTCTGTTCAAAAAGATAACCAAAAGTGAGACTCAATTATTTGGCTTTTTGTCTCCATTCACTAACCTTGTTTGGCTAATGATCACCTTTACAATTATCACGGTTTCCATATCGCTCCATGTAATTGGGCGATTGTCACCCTACGAGTGGGTCAACCCTTACCCGTGCCGGCAAGATGAGCCAATTCTGGAAAATGATCTGTCCACTCAAAACTCATCCTGGTTCATTGTGGCCGCTCTTATGCAACAAGGTTCAGAAATCGCCCCAAGGTAAATTCAATTAAACTAATCAACCAGTAAACAATTTACCAAACCCTTTGTACCTCAGACAATTTGACAGCAACAATTAACCCAAATACACATTTAGCGTAATCAAATACTTATATAATTGACCTTAAAGCTTTTTTTTACAAACACTGACCACTGTGTTTATTTATTACTATGAATGACCCATTGATTTTGACGTAACCTTAAAGGTCAACATAGTAAAAGAAAAAAAAACTTTTTTTTTTCATGTAAATCTTTTTTTCTTCACAATGTTTACAATGTGAAATAATTTATTGTTATAAATACTGGACATTGAATGGACAAACAATTGTTTGTACCTGAAGAACGTATAATTTGCTTGATTTACCTGAAAAAGAAATGAAAAAAAATGTACCAACTGATTTACTTATGATTAATTTGTGTCCAAGCGATAATTTTTCAATCATCATAAACCTTTCGGGTAATATTATCATTACTTTGCTTCTTCTTGACCAATGGTCAAAAAAAAGAAAAGAGGAATTTACTAAACCACCACAATAACGTTAATCCTTCTTTGTGTGGCTCCTCTACCCTTTAATTAGGAAATGAGTGTGTGTGGCTACCAGTGGTCAGTGTTATTGTTAGAAACTGGACCATGGGTATTGTTAAGCTTTTTACCTTTTGTTGTTGTTGTTTTTCTTGTTGTTGTTATAACCTTTTCCGTAGGCTTTCAATAAATAAATTGTTAAGAAAATGATGATGATGATGAAGATGATGACGGCTTTTCAACGGCCTACCTGTTCACAGAAATGGACAGTTTTCCTTACCTGTCCAGTGGAAAGGAAGAGAAAATAAGAAAAGAAAAGGTAACAATAATAATGAGTTAGAACTTTGTTCTATTCTCAACTTTTCTCTCTCTTTTTCTCTTGAAATTGTTCTTATTAGTGATTCCTTTTTAGTCTCGAGTCTTTTTATCAGTTTCTTAGATCTTGAGAGCTTCTCCTTAGAGAGAGAATGAGAGAGAATAAGTGAGTGAGTGAGTGAGTGAGAGATAGAGAAATGAAGGCTGATTAAGACGGAAAAGGAACAAAATCAAAGGACGACAGCGAATTATCTTCATCTTCTTTCTCTTACCTTTCGCATTTTTCATCATTATCTTCATCTTTTATCTCTCTCACCTTCACCTTTTCTTTCATTCGAGAAGAAAAAGTAAGAAGAGAGAGAGAGAGAAAAGAAAAGATTCTTTCTCTGATTGGACCTGTTTTCGTTTCTGTAATAGAAACAAAATATTACGATTAACAAGATTGATTCTGATAATAATATACTCTTGATATAATAACTATCTGTGGATTTTGATTAAACATGATTAATGTTACTTTTCACTCTCTTCATTTAGGTTGATTCATCTTTTTTTTTGATTTTAACATTAATTTGCTTTTCCATCTCTTACCTTTAATCCTTAACCAGAACTTTATCTACTCGTTGGTTGGCTGGTGTTTGGTACTTTTTCACCTTAATCCTTGTCTCTTGTTACACCGCTAATTTAGCTGCTTCTTTGACAATTGAGGATTTTAATTATCCTTTTGCCAATGCTAAGGATTTAATCCTTCTCGATACACCCGAGGTTAAACTTATCAAGTTCGGCTGTAAATCGTCCGGATCAACGTTGAACTTTTTCAAAGATTCAAAGGATGAGGTTTACCGAGAGATCTACAATCGGATGATGGATAATCCCGACTGGTTGGCAAGTACCAATGATGAAGGTGAACAAAGGGTTAGAGATTCTGAGTTCGATTATGCTTTTTTCATGGAATCAGCGACTTTGGACTATAAATTGGAACGAAATTGCTCAATTGTTAAAATCGGCGGTCTGCTTGACCATAAAGGCTATGGAATTGCAGTTAAACGTAATTCACCCTTACTCAGGATTCTTAATCAAGGTTTACTTGCTCTTCAAGAATCTGGTCAATTAAGGGTTTTATATGATCGATGGTGGAAACAGCGTAATGGCGGTGGGGTTTGTGCGGCTCGAACTGATACTTCAGCGGCTGTTACGTCATTCAAATTAATCAATGTCGGCGGTGCTTTTATTGTCCTTCTCGTCGGCTGTGCAGTTGCGATGTTAATTGCCTTCTGTGAGCTGATTATTAAATGTTGGAACACAACCAATGATCCGGTAACAAATTATCAAGCAATTAACTTTAATTTTTTACGTTCTCTCTCTCTCTCATAATTATACAGAATTACAATTAACTTTATCATCCTTTTCTCTATTGTTTTACTAATTAGGTCTCATTTTGGGAAGGAGTTAAAAGTGAATTAAAATTCGCCTTTAATTTTCAACAAGCGACTAAACAAATCGCCAAAAGTGACAATTTAATCATCGTTTACATATGATGAGTATGGTGACGATAAAGAGACAATTTAAAAGCTTAACAATTTATATTATGACAGTGGCAATATTTTTCCTAAATCAGTTAATCATTAGCAATAAATTTCTCACTAATTAAGACCCAATGAACATATACTTAGTAGTGTGTGTGGGTAATTGTAATCAACTTTAGAATCAAATCTTTTTTTGTTGTTGCTTGGAATCAAATTACATCAACAATTAAGAGATGAAACTTTAATCACTCATCACATTGGGAATAAACAATAATAACCTTTATATTGTTTACCACTCAATTGTCACTTTATTAGCTCTTTAACCAAGTTAATTGTCACATTATCAGATTAATATTACATCATAATTGTTGGAGTCAATCAAATTGAACTTTAATTGTCGCAAATTGGAAACTAAATGTTTTCAAGAGACGAAAAATACAATCCAGTGAATATGTAAACTCGTATAAATATCAATGTATTAATTTTAATTCGAATTTTTTTTCCATTGAAAGAAAACAATTAAATATCATCTATTCTTTAATTCGGTTAATTGTCAATTGTCAACATTCAAATTGTATCGGTTTTTATTTCGCTTAGAAAATCATTCAAACGCCATTTTCCAGGATTTTGATTCTAAGGATTAACTTGTTTCTCTGTGGATACACTTTGTTAACTTTATCTTAATTCTAATGGTAAGTCAATCTTTGTTTAATTAACAATTTCTAATATTATGTCCACAGTTTTCTTCAATTTTTCTTTATTTAATTGCTCTTAATTGTATTCAGATTAACAGATCACCTGAGGCAACAATTTCCAAATTCACGTGGATTTCAATTCTGTCAACATCTTTTCTTCCCTTCTCTCAACGACTACAAATGAAGCTCAAAACGATATCACAGAATTTTTCCATTCTTAAATCCCTTTTTCGTTATTATTTCATATCAAAAAGAATAATATATTAACAGGTAACCGGTCGAAGAAAAGTTGAGCGAAAAAGAGAAAACGTTTTCAGAGAGATGGAGCCACAATCGAAAAGAAAAAAAGCTAAGAGAATTTGAAGAGAAGAGAAAACAAGTTGTTCTTTTCTTTTTTTCTTTACTCTTTTAAATACGAACGTTGTAACTTCTTCTTCTTGTTTCTTTTTCGTTTTTCTTTTACATTTTCAATTAGATTATGACAATTAACTTTATTTGTATCTTTAGTTACGATAATTAACTATGAGAATATCCAAATAATGAGAAATTGTTACCTTTCTGTTAACTGGGTGATGGTTACAATAACCACTCTCTGGTTATCATCTAAAAGTTTGGTTAATTGTGCTTGTGTTAACCGGACCTTAAGTGAACCTTTACCTTTATCTTCATCCGAGAGTAATGTTAATGTTGTTAAAAATGTTGTTAATCAAGTGAATCTTAAAAGTGCCAATATTACGGATTCTCAGTTACCTGTTTCCTCAGCGACATAATCCTTTTCTTTAGTGATGATGAAGAAGAGGACGATGATTCTGTCAATGGATTTGAAGAATCATCGGATCAGGAAGGTTCGGGTGATTCAGATGGTGGAAGTGGAAGTCCAGGTGATTCCATTAGTGGTAATGGTGGAATAAATTCCAATTTCGATCATAATCCAATTGATGGAAACAAATTACAAATTCCAATTGATGTTGATTCCAATTCTTTAAGTAAAGACTCGTTTACCAGTAGAGGTTTTAATAGATCTTCTACTTTTTCCAATCCATCATCATCTTCATCTTCGTCTTCATCATCTGTATTTTTATCTTGTTCATCTTTAACATTTTCATCTCTATGGATAATCATTGGAATCAACTTTTTGTTAATTTCATCATCTAATTGTTTCGTTGATTTTAATACCAGATTGAGACTTTAAATTTGGTTAAATTGTTCGTATTTGTATTTTTATTTTGGACTGTTATTAAGGTTGAATAAGTTGGTACTCACTGTTTACCTACGTGTTTAATTGTGACCTAATAACTGTCATTCTTGTTGATTTTAAAAACATTTAATTAACATGAACACCTACACAATTTGGTGCAAGTTAATTAAAAATAATCGTTAATTCTCACCACCAGATGCCTCTATTGTCGTATCCAAACAGCTGCTTGGGTTATGCTTTTTTCCTCCATCCTTTTGGCATAATTGGAAAATACTTGGAATAATTTTCAGCATAATTCCTATTTCTTTTTGTGCTTCTTTTTTTGTTTAGTCGAAAAGCCGAAAAGTCGTTCATCAACTATACAATATGTCGGAACATATCCGATTGTTATTCTGAAAGATGTCCGATTTGTTGATCTTAAAGCAACAATTGATTTCGTCTACAAGGGTGAAGTAAATGTTACTCAAAATCAACTTGGCTCAGTTTTAAAGGCAGCTGAGACCCTTCAAATTAAGGGTCTAACTGATGTGGTCAATCGTCAACGAGAATTGAATGCAAAGGAAATGGCATCAGTTGATCGGCCCAAGAAGAGGAAAAGGAAACAAAAGAATAATAAAACTTCTGAACCATCACCGCCAGTCTCTTGTGATGAATCTTGTGGTGAAAATGAAACTTTAAATGTGATTTCCGTTACAATGGAAGAACGAACTGTTCCGATTAAAATATTTCCAGTCCAAGGGCCGTCAAGAGAAAGTGAAGCAGTTGAACGAAATGGAAGAGAAGGAAGAGAAGAAGAAGAAATGAATGTTATTCAAGTTGCTCAAACTGATTCTCCTCCAGTTTCTTCTCAAACAATTTTACCGACAACCGAAGTGACGGCGATTGAACAAAATGATATTATCGTGGCCTCTGATGCTACAACTTAAATTGACCATCATCCGGCGTATTGAACAAAATTGTACTTTATTTAAATAAATTGTTGTATTAAATCACTAATTTTAAGTTGATTATAATAGTAATGTTGATTCACTGGTTATTGTTCACTTACTAGCCTTTGTCCACGTTGAGTCAACGTCGTTGATCTACATGCTTTCCATTTTTTAGCGTATGTTTGTTGTTCACTCATCACCGGTCAGGTTGAGAGGTTGTGTAGATTTGATTGTTGAGAGAAGTTGATAATTTGTTATTCCGAGTTCTAATTGGACTTGGTAAGTAGAAGAACGAACTGTTCAATTGTTCTGATACGAATGTTTTCAGTCTGAGGACAATCAAGGAAAGAATGCGGTCGAATTAGTGTTGCGATGATACTTTACTTTTGAGTAATAGTATCGATACTTAAAAGGTGAATAATCAACGGAAAAGAATCAGACTAAAGCTGAAAAAGTTTAGAATTTCGTCATTTTGGATTACTGGTTCGATTTGCGGTCAAAACACTTTAAATATCGAGTATTACTTGATTTTACTCAATAGTATCGATACTTTTTTTCGAGTACTAATACTTTCGATCAATACTTTTCTCAAGTATCGCGCAACACTCGGTCGAACTAGATTAAATTAGAATTCAAAAGGATTTGAAATCTCGAACTCTCAACTTTTAACTTGAAAGTTTTGTTCTTTTTCTGTCGCCATCTATTGGTGAGAAAACTAAACAGGTAAACAAAAACATCGGAGGAGGAAAGATTAACTTTCTTCGCTCCTGATAAATTTTAATTTGATTAACTTTACCTGTGAATTTAAAATTAAAATTTGTGTTATTATTGTCCATCTTATCACATGGACCAAGTCGATACCAAAATTATGATAGTTCAACAGTTTCTTTAGTTGTTTTTCTTGTTACCTTAAAACTGAGCTATTATTGTGTCGTAATAACCTCAACCATTTCGTTTTCTTGGTAAGTTCTGTTAGATACAATTTTCTTTCTTATTTCAGAATTATTATTTGAATAGAATGAAATTCTAATCTTATTTTATTTATTTTCTCCTTTTCATGAAAAAGCAATGAGTTAAACTATCTTTGGACCTGATTTTCACCCTTGTCACAAACAATTGGCACCTAATATTTCAACTTTAATCAAATTATATACAATACAAAAAAAACAAAACTGGATCGCTACTCATTTTCACATAGGGAATCAAAGGAATTTTTAAATTGATAATTAAAAAATAAATGTATTATTAATATATTTTTTGTAAACTGAGCGTCGTTAGCGTTTGGTAGTACGGCGGGAAAATGCTTAAAGCATTTGTCCGAGGAGAGGATTGAACAATAAAAGAACTCGAACTAATTGAGATTTTCCATTTTGAAAATGACAATAATTTCACGATTTGAATGGTTCATAATTCATTCAGAAATATTATTCTTCCTCTTTACGTTGACTGATTGATGAATAAATCGTTTTCCTGTTTATGATTAGAGAAACTTGATTTCAGGTCTAACTGTAAATCTACAAATACAATAGAAATTAAATTCTCAAATAATCTGATTTCATATCGTCTACAAATGATTGTTACAATTTGTTGTTAATAATTTTTCAATCACGATTGTTTATCAAAAGGCTTAACAATCATCCATTTGATTTTTGAAAACTTCTACAGCATATTGATTATGATTACTATCTTATTGTCACCTTCAAGTTAATCGGCTCTCAAATAGCCAATTCGTGATAGGAAAAGCTATTAAATCATTTCATGAGTGACAATCAGCATGCAACACTCAGACCAACAACAGAGATACAGTTGAATTGAATTTATCGTTTTTCAAAGTACAATCAACAATCAAAAGACAATTGTAATGAGAAATGAATTTACTGTAGACCATCATCTTCATCTCTGTGTTTAAGCCCATCAACTTGAGCCCAATATCAAGCCGAAACTTAAATCAACTCGAAAGATCAGCTATTGTAACGATCGAGTCTCAATTTCAGTTCAATTCATCAGAACTTTTAACATGTAATTATCTCTAAAAGCAGCAATCAAATCAAAGAAAGTTGTATTTTGACACGAGCGTATTAACTTTGACCCTAAAATTGATTTGGTGTCATTTCCTCAATGGCCAATTTTCCCCATTCTTTATGATATCCTCTTTATTATCATCTATTATTTTTTATCGGTTATTAATTGTTGTTGTTTTTTTATTATTGTTGAAGATGAGCAAGTGATTAAGATTATGATTAGTTTAAGAATTAGTAGTTGGTTAATAGTGCGTATTCAATATTGTTATCCCGATTGTTCATTCCAGTGAAAAGGGGACAACCTTTTAACTGATTAATAATTAATTGCTTGTTATTTTTTAAAGTTAATTATCAACTGAAATTAACGTTAATTGTAGGAAGCATAATTATATGGATAATGAATATATGTATACATGTAGACGTTGAATTGTTAACAATCAAGGTTAATAAGAAATCGTAAGTAATCAAAATTTTCAATTCGATAGACGAAAAAAGAGAGATAACAATTTACCGTTATTTTTATCAGTACTTTTTGCTTCGTAAGTTGTTTGTCTGAGTTTCTCTTTCTTCTCACTTACGAATTGAGAGAGAGAGAGAGAGAGAGAGAGAGAGAGAGAGAGAGAGAGAGAGAGAAAAGTTCGAACTTTTTTTGTTCGAATTTTTTTCAGTCGATTTTCTGTTGACAAAACTTTCTTGTTTCTTTTTTCTGTTTCGAATTCAAGGTTGACTTTTTGTACCAGAACCTTTTTTTTCTCGAGATTCGTATCAATGTTTTTCTATCTCTTTCAAATTCTCAATTTAGATGATACACTTGACCAACTCATTCTCGAGGGAAGTAGCGGTCAAGTGAATCTAATAACGTTACGAGGTTCTATTACTATTGTTTTAGGAAATTGACAAAGTTTGAGCAGATAAATGGTTCGTTAATTATTGTTAATTGCTGGTTAATGATTAGAAATGACGGTGAGAATATAAATAAACAATCAGAGAAATGATCTCAATCAAAAATGAGAAACTGAATCTTACAGATTATCAGAAATTGAGGAAAGATGATGAAGATGGAAGATGATGAGAAACTGGAAGAAAGAGATTAACCAAATTGATGAAAGAATAAAAACAATTTCCTCTTTCTTTTTGTCTCTCTTTCTTTTTTTCATCTTCCTTGTCTTCCTTTTCTTTTTTAAGTAACGTTCTCATCTCTTCACTCTGATTGTTGCCAAAAAAATCATAACGTTTTGATTGCAATCCGATAAGTTTTCATCTCGAATCTTAGATTAACAATCGATGGTAAATTGTTTAGACCAATAATTCTGACAAAATCAATATAATCAACGAATTGACTTGGTTATGTTTAAAAGTAGATCGAAAATATTCACAAAGGGATAAAGGAAAAGATGAAGATGGAGATACAGTGAAAGAAAAGGGGGGTGATAATATTGGAAGATGAAAAGTTAATCCAAAGATAAGCTCAGAATAGATTATCGAATTGGAATCGAAATTTTTTCCACTAATCTGAGCCACTTTTCACATCATTATCAATCATCGAGTCTCTTTGTTGAATATTCAAGTGATTAACTAGTTGATTTAACGATTGTTTCAAATTCACTTGAAAAAAAGTGATAATCAATCATCATTATGGTGAGTAAAATAAATTACAGTTACTTTGATTATCTGGGTGATTTATTGTGTTCCGTTTTGACTTGTGAACAATTTAGGATGATCGTGAGAAAAGAAAGGCCGAAGTTCGAGCTCGGCTCGAACAAGCAGCCGCTGCGACCAAGAAAAAGAAAGGGTTTATGACCCCGGCTCGTAAGAAGAGACTTCGAGTAAGTAAATGAGACGAATTAGTTAATTGTTCAAGTGAGAAATTAAATCGTTAATTGGTTATACGTTTAGGCTTTGTTGAGGAAAAAAGCGGCTGAGGAGCTGAAACGGGAACAGGAAAGAAGAGCCGAGGAGAGACGCCGAGCCATCAGATCGCGATGTGGTGAACCTCACGATCTAGAGGAAGCTAATGAAGGTAAATCTAATTAAATCCCAATAGATGATTAACACACCAACGCACTAATTGTCTTCCAATGTTAATTGTTCTCTCCCAACGAAGCTGAATTAACACAAATCGTTAAAGAATATTATAAACACGTTGCTAAACTCGAAGACGAAAAATATGATCTCGAATACGATGTTAATAAGAAAGAGTTCGAGGTAATTAAGTTCTAATTTGTTAATTGTTCGATCCTCGACTGATTAATCTTTTAATCACTCTTCTTCTAATTGTTATCATTGTTACAGATTCGTGAGCTCGCTGCTAAAGTAAATGATATTCAAGGACGATTGTAAGATTAATTATCGAGTTTATTTTGTTTTCGAAATTTTTTCAATCTTTCTAATTACTTTTCTTTTTTCTCAATTATTAATTAACCAGTATTAAACCACCACTAAAGAAAGTGTCCAAAACGGCTCAACAGTAAGTGCTAATTGTTTTCTTTTAAAAAACATTGGAAAAACAATAAAATTAACTTTTTCATTCTGATTGTTAACAATTAGGATGGAAAAGATTCGGATGTTCACTGCTAAAGTATCGCAAATGGACTATCGTTCGGGACTGAAACAGGTCAAAAAGTACGATTTCGATGATAAGGCCGCAAAGAAAGAGGACTTATCTAAAGAACCCGCTTCTGTAAGTTAATCATCAATCGACAATTAACTTTATCCTTTGAGAACTTCTGATAGTCTCACTAGATGGCGACACTAAATTCTAATTCTATTCAAAGTTTACAATTAAATTTCTTTTCGTTAATTGTTGTAATTAGATTAACCAATTAACAGTAAGATATGATCAGATTGAGGAAGTTTTCAACTTGACAATTAGTTAATTGATTTTAAACGAAACCGAATCGCCATTGGGTGAATAATATCAATTGTTACTTTTAATTTCTCAAGTTGAACTTTAATCAATTCGAGATTAATTGTTAACTTGAGTACTTAATCAACTACAATTTACTAGATTGTTAGAGTTTAATTTAATCAATTTCTTTCTCTTTTTTTTCTCCTTTGTTCCTTATCATCAGAGAGAAAAGTCTGAAGCTTAATTGTCATAATTAATCAACTCGAGAAAAAGATAAAAAGGTAAACATGATTTAAACGAAAAAGGATAAGATGTTAATCATGATCATCTATTTAATTGTAATTATCTTTTCTTCCGGGAGGAAAAACAAAGATGACAAATTAAAAAGTTAATCAACCAATTGTATTAATTGTTCAACTCTCTCTCTGCATTAATATATAAATAAAAATAACTAAACTGTTGTCAGAACCACTGAGCAAAATGTTCAATCGAAACAAAAAGTATATTTATTTAATCTCAATTGATAAGAAAAGTAAATAATATGATTGGATTAATTGAGAATCAATTATCATTAATATTAATTGTTAATTGTGACAAAACAAAAATGAAAAGAACAATTAACAACCGGTTATCAATAAAGTCGCAAGATGGAGTTAGTAGCAAACTGGTATTCGATTGGAAGTGAGTCCGAGTTGCACATGACGCATTTTCCATTGGAGTCAATGAGTGAATTGGAATCCAAGTAGTGGATCCGAACTTTCCCTCAGTTTTGGATCCGAGTTGAAGTTTGAGTTTGAGTTTTTTGGAAAACAAATCAACAAATAAATGGATTGAAACTCAACTGAGGCCTAACTGGAATATACAAAATTAATTATTAATTGTGTGTCTTTTATTTTTTTTTAATTATTTAATTATTTTTATGTGATACAAGTTGTTCGTTATGTACAAACCAAAGTGTATTAATAGTTTTTTCTTTCTCTCCGCTTGTTTATTAACTTTGCCTTTCACCTTCTTCTTGTACTAAAAGAAAAGGCAGAACAACAAATTCTATTCCATAGCATTTGGTCCAGTTTATTTTCTTCTTGTTTCTCCTTCTTCTCCAATCGAATCTGAATGAAAAGCAACATCAATGTTGTAGACTAATGATTCAATCTTCCATTTTTTTCCTTGTTCTATTCTACACCTAATCTATCTATCTCTATTTCTCCCCTCTCTCTTTTTTTTCTTCTTTTTTCTCTCTTTCCTCCTCTTTCTTTTTTTCTCCTTTTTCTTTTCTCTATCTTCTCTATCTCTCTTTTATCTGACTGATATCCTTTTTAGGTATGCTTGAAGGTAGGAGACTAAAAGACCGTAAAAGTCCAGGCCAATTTGAGGCCAGAGGAAATATTGATAATCGTAACAGACAAATCCGTAATGACGGAAGTACTCGTAATCCCAATTCAATTGGATTAGCAAAGGTTACCACTACAAGAATTCCAAAGAAAATTGATACACCAACATCAGCTCCTCCCGTAGTAGTGTCATCATCTTCTTCATCTCATCATCAACAACCTCTATCCGTTCCAATATCATCAACATTATCATCATTAGTATCATCTCCATGTACCACCACCAATGCAACCACAACCACTACAGCAACAACAACAACAACAACAACTGAACTTAAACCAGAGATTTATTTTTTAATTCGTGAACATGCCAAGACTTTAGAGGCCATCAGTAAAATTACCAATCGTGTGGATAAACTTGAGCACAAAATTGAAGATATCTGTCGAAAGGTTAAACAAATTGACAGATATAACAATGAAATTAGAGGTGGAGTAAATTCTGGAATAAAAAAAGGTGAATCCTCCACATCCTCTGGTATAACACCTAACGCTTTAAGCGACGACAGTGGAGTTGAATATAGTCGGACAACAAATGGAACTGGTCACGATGATGATGAGCTTTTATCCCTGTTAAATCAAATAACCAAATTCTCTGACTCAATTAAACAAACTCTTACTCAACCTAATTGTAACCTTCACAGTCCAACGATTCCCAGGCCTGATCATTATCTTCATCACCCTCCTCCACCTCATCCTCCCCATTCAACTCCTCCTCATCATCCTACTCATATTCATCCTCCTACACATCCTCTTCCTCATCATCACCTAATTGCTCCAACCGAAACTGGTTCAATGGTTCTTGGTATAACTGGTAGTACATCATCAACCGCCTCATCAACTTTGAAACAATCTGTTCACAATAATATCGATGGTGGTTTTCATCGCCGTCATCAATTATCCCAACCACTACCTCCTGGACCACCACCACAACCTCCACCATCTTCAGCAACCAGGAAAAATTTATCTTCTTCAATGGATCATTCCCGACTGAACGACTGTACTGACCCAACATCAGCGCCCCAGTCTTTCAGTGCCTTACTATTTGAGTCAAATGTTGAACACTTTCTGGCCAACCTCGATTTCGTTCCTGAGCCAGTTCGAACTAGTGATTACTATTATCCGCCCTCAATGCCTATCTCTCCACCTTCGCCTCCTAATCAACATCATCACCATCACCATCATCATCAACATTCACACCAACATCAACATCATCAACCTGTTAAATCACACCCGATTCCAGCTAGTCGTCTATTGACTGAAACATTACTTCATCCGCACGAACAACCTGATCAGCAATGAAAATCCAATTAATTAACTACTTCTGTATAAAGAAACAATGACGTCTGAGCGAGTGTATATTCAGTGAAACAAAAAGTTCGATATTTTTGTCTATTTACCTTCTTTCTCTTTTACTATCTATTTTCTTTCTTCTCTTCTCTTCTCTTTCCTTTCCACTTTCCATTTCCTGTCTCTTTCTTTTCTCTCTTTCTATCCAAACAGTGAATGTCAATGTGATTAAATATACACAAGAGTATAATTTGAACTTTGTTTAGGTGATTGGCTTAAATGCGTAAATGATTTTGCCAGAAATTGTCACTTAAATGAATCTGCCTAAAAAAATGGATCCATCCTCATCATCCCCACCCAACATTTGCTTTTAATTAGTTTTATCTAATCATTACCAACAACAAAAACTACAACAACAACATCATCAACCTTTGATTATTAAGAAGCTGTAAGAGCTAAATGAAATTGATCTTGATGATACCATAAAGTGATATTATCACAGTAATTGAAGGATATCATGAAGGATGATACATTTTAAATCCAAGGATAAACAAGATGAAGATGACTAAGATATAAAGATGATACATATATCTAACTTGTAACATTATGAATGGGAAAATATATAATTGAACAATCAACAACACCACCAATCACCACCATCAGCAATAAGAAATCAACTGATCAACTAATCAATTCAATTATTATTTTTAGCATCAAATGTTAATTGTTTGTTTTCTGTTTACCAATATTCTAAATCAAATTCAACAACATTCATTTAGTGATTGATAATCCAATCAATTACCACACACCAGCATCCCAATGATTTAATTGTAATGATTTAATCACCCGATGAGCCGCTAACGTTATGTTTACATTTGAAATGTCTTAACCCTCACATCACCTCTTTGACTTTCTCTTTCTCTCTCCCTCTCCCTCTCCCTCTATCCCGAACTTATCTTCTCTTTCTTTTCTAATATCGAACTTGTTTGGATCAGAACATGGACGCAAAAATTATGGACCAAAAAGTGTACAGTTATCGCTACGAACTCGCATTTGAATTTACCTTAAAAAAGTCGTTTTCGTCCTCGACCTGAACACTAACTCGTTTTTGTTATCGTTTGAAGAGACAAAAATTGGTAACAAAAAGTGTTGAACGTTTAAAAAGTTTTCGCTGCGCTCAGACAATTAATTTCATTTACTGTTAAATAATAATAATATTATTATAATAAAAAAAGATATCTAAACAACAATCAATCAAATTAAATAACAAAATTAAAATGATGCATTAATTTTAAAAAACAATCAATCGTTTCAGCTGATTCGCTTAAAAACAAATCTATCACTTCTTGGAAAAGTGATCAACGTAATTGGAGATAATTAATGATTAATTTGAGCGAAACAAAAAAGAAGTGATTTGTTTATGTGAAAACAATTATAATCAATTCTTTATAATTAGTTGTGCGATTATCTGACAATCAATGAATTAATGAAACCATCAATTCTGTTGTTGAATATGTAATACATCTATTACATATATTGTATATCATTATAATCATATTATATGAAGATCAGAAAATAGTTGACTACTGTATAGATTTTTATGATTTTCACCAGCAAATTTCTGGGTGAGAATTTATTGTTTTAATTGGTGAAAGACAATTCTGATTATAATGATTTTGATTAACTTACTTGGAAAGTTAGCTTTTAAATTCAGTGTAACTCTCGATTTATCAACTGTTTTAATGACAATCATTGTGACAATTTTACATTTGAGGTTGGTGACAATATTCAGTGGAAATGCTTGATAACCAGTAAGGAATTGGAAAAGAAAAAGATTCAAGATCAATTGAAAGATAGCCGATTAAGCCGAGGTGAGGGTTGAGGATCGAAATCCAGTTCAAGGTTAGGTTAGGTTAGGTGGATGGAAATTTTTTTGTATAATTCCACCATATTGGCACGTTTTAAGCCACTAAAAATTCCCTCGGTTAGGTTAGGTTAGGTTGAAAGCAGAGAATTTCTAACTCCCAATTAAGTTTTTCATTATCTTTACGGTAAAAGAGCCTGGACAAAAATCTCTCTGATCAATAGTCAAAGAAGGAACAGTAATTAGCTCAGTGGTTTTTGAATAACTTTTGAACCAGTTATCATAGGAACTTATAACATACGTATTTGTGATAGCTTAGGGTTTTGTTTGGTACTAGGGTCAAGATCATTCAAGGTCACTTGCATCTAAGCTTTGTTAGAGCATAAAGAGCTCATTGAGATGAAGATTGAAGGTCAGCTTAATCTCAAGGTCACTTAGAAAGATAAGACTCAAGTGACCATATTGCGATAGTCATTAGGGAAAGTGTATTCCGGTTTGTTTCTTTCACTTTTGAACTGAGTTATCAAGGTTAGTTTCAGTTCGAAATCTTGGTATACGAAACGAAATTTCTCTCTGAGCTTTACCAAAATAAAGTCGTCTAAGTTCAAACCAATTATAAGAAGACACAAAAAAAGAGATTTTCACCTTTAGAGGCAAGAAAAATCAATGATTAACTTTTGTGTTTGATTTAATTCTTTCTCAGGTTTGACCAATAAAAAGTTGTTGAGATAATTTCTTCTAGTATTTGTCATCTTTGCTTAATCAACTACAATGGTCGAAAATCAATCTTTTCTTAATCGATTTTGTGTATTAATCGAGACGTTCACCTGGAGAAAAACAGGAATCAACTATCAGATAATCTGGAATTTCCGTCAAAAGAAAAGAAAAGAAAGAAAATTTAAAAAAATTATAACTTTTGACCCTTGACCCCTACAACATTGGTTCTATTTTATGTTGGTGCAGAATCCAAAAAGCTTTCGAATTAGAGTCTCGATGTCTCTGTAGCACATCAGGTTCTTTCTCAATGTTTGCATCAAAAAACGTGAATCGTAATAATTGTGTGATTAGATGAGGCAATTTAACATGAACATCTATTGAATAGAAAGAGCCTCATGCCTCCATGAGATGAATCACAATTCGCCCTGAAATTCAATCTAATGAAAAGAAAATGAATATTTCAATCAGATTAGATTCTGATTTTGGTACATTGATACTCTTATAATCATGATTGATGGAACATCATTAATCAACTTATTTAGTTAATTATCTTGCAACATGATAACTGATGAATAGTTTTCCAATAAACTATTGAATAAAATTTCATCAATTCAATGCTAAGAAACTTGTGGTCATTTTATCAATCACAATGTAATCAAACTGACCAGCAGAGTAACAAGAAAAATAATAAACCGATCAATTATTTTCTCGTGAAAATTAATAAAATTAATAAAAAGTAAATCAATGAGATAATAATCTGTGAACTTTTAATTAAAAGTTTTTCTTTGAAAAACAAAATCAATATAAGACCAAGGTAAGAATCTGCATTTGCCAGGAAAGCGGTAAAATAAAGCGATGATGATGATGGTCAATTTATTGACCATTAAAAGGGGATTTCAATGGTGGAAAACAAGAATTATATTAATAATAAATTGTTGATATTAATTTAATTGAACAATTACAGTTCTTTCACTGGAAATTGGTCAGTTTTTCACTCAGGTTATATTTATTTTCATTTCCTGAACTTTTGCATTCCATTGATCGGACTTTTGGCTCCGCCTCGAGTGGAAATCGAGCACCAGGAATATCCTAAATGAGATAACAAGATAATACTTATTAAGAAAACGAGTCCATCTTTCAACTAACTGGTTCTAAGACTTGATCTTCTCTCTCTCTCTCTCTCTCTTATCATCTTCATCTTCATCTTTCAGTGACAAGAGATGGAGAAAAGATCGTTCTAAAATATTGGTACCTGAGTACGATAACCTTGTTGCTCTCTCTCTCCCGTTATCATCTTCTCATCATCTTCATCCTTTTCTATTAAACTTCATTCCTTTTTCATTCTGAATCAATGTTGTATTAATATTATTTTTTTTTTCTCCTCATCTTATTCATAAAATCGTAATAGTGACCTCCATATATTTTTGTTGCTTCGTTATGCTTAAAATACAAATTGTTCAATTCCATTTGATTACAATAATCATTTTCATCTTCACCACGATCATGATTTCGTTAAGAAAACATTGAATTTTCATCATCAATTTCGCCATTTTTATCATTTTAATTTTCTGTTTACATCTAAACATAACAACAAGTCAGTCACCTAATTAAAGTGATTTACTGATAATTATACTAATTTACCATCGGATTGTGTGATAATTTAAACAATGTTAACTGTGATTGATTTGATTGAATTTGTGAAATCCAAAACCAGACACAATCAATAATCTTCATTGAATTGGAATCAAGTCTTAACTTTTCAAATCTAACGGTAAAATCCTAATTCTTGAGTTAAGTGTTTTTATTAATGTCAATCAGCTAATTGTTGGAAAATTGTTAGTTAGTTCATCGATAATTGATTAAGATGGGGAACAATAATGTTAAAAAGTCACCTGGACAATTCGTTAATCAACCTCATTCTGTGATGAGTGTTCGAACTGTTGATCGATATCCTCCCAAGGATCCGGAAATACTTTCTCGTTATTATCATTCAACAATACGACATCATGCTCACTATTTATCTTCACCTTATCATCATCTTTATCAGTCATATCATCAGGATAGATTGTCCAACAATAAAGTACCAGGTAAAAATCAATCGCCTCATATCACTTTGTCAAGGTCACATTCAGGTACACTAATAGTCCGTCGAGCAACTGAAAAATTGGGTTTAACCAGATTCATTAATATATCAGCAATTATATTGCATATTGATGATTGTTGGTATATTTAAAATTGATTGGTAACTTTTATTGCATTGATTGTGATTGTTGGTTGTTGTAATTCACTCATTTGTTAATTATATAATTTTTCACCATGGATTCAACGGATTCAATGATAAACATCTAGAAAGTCAACCAGTTACGATTGAATGGCAAGAATTAAGTGTTTCGGTTCGACCAGGAAGAGGATTGTTCAAATCGACGGCATCGACCAATACATCAATTCCTATAATTAAAAATGGTAAGTTAATTGTCCTGGTCAACAATAGATTGATTCAGTTCGTGCTGATTTAGTTTGAAATTTATCAAAGTAAATTTTATTTGTAAGAGCACTGGGAAGAGAGAGAGAGAGAGACACTCAATATATTGGATTATAATAGAAGATTAAATTTGAATTAGTGTTAATTGTTTGTTTTTCAATTCGATTGTAAAGTGACCGGTAGTGTGGAAAGTGGCCATCTCTTGGCGATCATGGGAGCCTCTGGAGCGGGTAAAACGACCTTTCTAAATGTTCTAACAGGTCGAAATCTACGAAATCTCGATGTGGGAGGCAAAGTGCTTCTCAATGGTCAAATCGCGACTGCCGATAAAATGGCCGCTTGTTCGGCTTACGTTCAACAGGATGATATGTTTATCGGTGTGTTAACAGTCCGTGAACATCTCACATTCCAGGTAAACTATTGATTCTTTATTGAGAATCTTGAATCACCTTGATTAACACAATTAACTATTTCTACACATGATAACAAAAGAGAAGAGTAAAAAAAGATCACAATACAAACAACACTTTGAATCTTTCTAAAGATTCTTAATTGTTTGATTATCTCATGAAAAACTCAAGGATCTATCGTAACATGATGTCCTTTTCATGGTTCCATTCATTTATTTTCATTTTTAAGGCTCATTTACGGACAAGCGATGGATCAGATCGAGAGATCAAAGCCAAGGTTGACAATGTTATTTTAGAGGTAAATTGAAGTGTTAATTATGACTCGAGATTAATTGTTGATTGTTGATTTAAAGCTCGGATTGAAAAAGATTGAAAATTTTCGTATCGGTTCACCGGGAATGGATAAGTCAATTTCTGGGGGAGAAATGAAAAGACTCGCATTCGCCTCGGAGGTGAGAATCACTTTCGCTATATCGAAGATGTGAAAACAAAAGTTTCGAGTTGATGTTGAACTTTTTTCTTTTTTAGATTCTGAACTGATCCGTCGATACTTTTCTGTGATGAACCGACGTCTGGATTAGACTCTTTTATGGCTCAAAGTGTTGTCAGCGTTTTAAGGTCAATGGCAGCGACTCGACGAACCATATTAGCGACTATTCATCAACCTTCATCTCAAGTTTTTGAAATGTTCGATGAGATACTTTTACTTTCTCAAGGAAGAGTCGCTTTCATGGGAAGTTCAGCTGATGCTCTTATTTTTTTCTCTCGAATTGGACTTCGATGTCCATCCAATTATAATCCTGCCGATTTCTATGTCCAGCAACTCGCAATCATACCTGGAAAAGAAGATGAGTGCAAACGAAAAGTTTCCGTAAGTTAATATTTTCCAACCAAATGATGGAAATTTCATCTCTCGTTCAATCTTTCTGATATTATCAATTTGTTATCACAGAGAATTTGCTCTAAATTCTCGGAATCCGTTAGCATTTCACGCACGGCACAAGCGCAAAGACAAATAGACCAGAAAGGAGGCTACAAAAGGCCGACTCGATTCTCGTACAAACGAGGCTTTTGTACGCAAATTAAATGGGTCGTTTGGAGATCATGGTTGACTAATCTTCGAGATCCTCTTTTAACCTTTTTCAGAGTGGCTCAAACAATCGTAAGTCCCGATCAGGTCGAATAGAAAAGCGAATCGATAACTTTCTTTTCTCCTCTCATAGTTTGTTGCTCTTCTTCTCGGTGTCGTTTACTGGAAACAAGAATACAGCCAAGAAGGAATCATGAACATCAACGGAGCCTTATTCATCTTATTAGCTAATGTCACATTTACGAATGTCTTTGCAGTCGTTAATGTAAGTTCGATGTTTGTTTTTATAAAAAGTTCGCAATTCATTTTCTCAGACTTTCTGCTTGGAATTACCGATATTTATTCGTGAATATGGCAATGGACTTTATTCAATTGCCGTTTACTTTCTTTCGAAATTATTGGCCGAGTTACCGTATTTCGTTTTCTTACCCTTTGGTTTCGCTGCCATAACTTATTGGATGATCGGCTTGTACGACGAGATCCAAGTCTTTTATTTAACGGCCATGGTTTTGGTGCTAATTGCAAATGTCGCCTGTGGTTTTGGCTATTTCATCTCGTGCATCAGTAAAAGTGTCACCATGGGATTGTCGATAGCACCGCCGTTCATGATTCCACTCATGTTGTTTGGTGGACTTTTCTTGAATAATAAGTATGTTCATCATGATTGGAGTCGATTCTCGATTTCAAGTGTATTAATTGTTTCGGTTTCTTTTTCCGTTTGTCCATTTCTTCAGGTCGATTCCCCATTATCTGGCATGGATTAAATATCTCAGCTGGTTTTACTATGGAAATGAGATTATCGTAGTTAATCAATGGCGTAAAGTTACTAACATTTCCTGTGATATTCCAGATTCTGATCATTTAGGCTCGTTGGTCGGAGCCCTAGTGCCCAACATGACTGAAATTGAAGTTCTTCGAGACGCTTTGCCCCCAGGGCTTGGATGTATATTGGATGGGAAAGGAGTAATCGAAAGGCTACATTTCGACGAAAATAATGTCACATTTAATTTCATCGCTCTAGGAGTTCTTCTAGTCGCTTTTAGAGTTTTAGCTTTCATTGCAATTACAATCAGAGCTCAATTATTCAGATGATTAAACATGCAAACCATCAAACGAAAGGTTAAATTTTCATGTTCACACAATCAACTGCGGTCAATTTTGTTTCTCATTTCAATTTAAGTGTAAAAATGGTCAAGATACTTATTAAAAGTTAATCAAGCTACAAAAATCATCACATTTAAAATTTTTCTTGGTCAAAGAGGAGTAATTAACTTTTAGATAATCAATTGATTGGTTAAACCACAATTTAAAAAGTAAACTCATGTTATAAAATTTTTCCTAAATCAGTTAATTATTAGCGATAACTAGTGTATGTGTGGGTAATTGTAATCAAATTTAAAATCAAATCTTTTTGTTGATGTTGTTGCTTAGAATCAAATTACATCAACAATTAAGAGATGAAACTTTAATCACTCATCACATTGGGAATAAACAATAATAACCTTTATATTGTTTACAACTCAACTGTCACTTTATTAGCTTTTTAACCAAGTTAATTGTCACATTATCAGATTAATATTACATCATAATTGTTGGAAACAATCAAATTGAACTTTAATTGTCACAAATTGAAAATATTATCAAGAGATGAAAACATAATCCAATCAATATAAACAAAGAAAAAAATATTCACTCTCAAAGATTTTCCGTCGCAATGGTTTACTCAGAATTCAGACATTAGGTATCTATATGATCTTGGCACTTAATTAAGATATTTAATTGTTGCCGCAGTTAATTAAAGGTAAATTAAGGAATTTAAAACTTGGAGAAAAAGAGAAAACGTTTCAAGAGAGATGGAGCCACAATCGAAAAGAAAAAAAGCTAAGAGAATTTGAAGAGAAGAGAAAACAAGTTGTTCTTTTCTTTTTTTCTTTACTCTTTCAAATACGAACGTTGTAACTTCTTCTTCTTCTTGTTTCTTGTTTCTTTTTCGTTTTTCTTTTACATTTTCAATTAGATTATGACAATTAACTTTATTTGTATCTTTAGTTACGATAATTAACTATGAGAATATCCAAATAATGAGAAATTGTTACCTTTCTGTTAACTGGGTGATGGTTACAATAACCACTCTCTGGTTATCATCTAAAAGTTTGGTTAATTGTGCTTGTGTTAACCGGACCTTAAGTGAACCTTTACTTTATCTTCATCCGAGAGTAATGTTAATGTTGTTAAAAATGTTGTTAATCAAGTGAATCTTAAAAGTGCCAATATTACGGATTCTCAGTTACCTCCGTTTCCTCAGCGACATAATCCCTTTTTCTTTAGTGATGATGAAGAAGAGGACGATGATTCTGTCAATGGATTTGAAGAATCATCGGATCAGGAAGGTTCGGGTGATTCAGATGGTGGAAGTGGAAGTCCAGGTGATTCCATTAGTGGTAATGGTGGAATAAATTCCAATTTCGATCATAATCCAATTGATGGAAACAAATTACAAATTCCAATTGACGTTGATTCCAATTCTTTAAGTAAAGACTCGTTTACCAGTAGAGGTTTTAATAGATCTTCTACTTTTTCCAATCCATCATCATCTTCATCTTCGTCTTCATCATCTGTATTTTTATCTTGTTCATCTTTAACATTTTCATCTCTATGGATAATCATTGGAATCAACTTTTTGTTAATTTCGTCATCTAATTGTTTCGTTGATTTTAATACCAGATTGAGACTTTAAATTTGGTTAAATTGTTCGTATTTGTATTTTTATTTTGGACTGTTATTAAGGTTGAATTAGTTGGTACTCACTGTTTACCTACGTGTTGAATTGTGACCTAATAACTGTCATTCTTGTTGATTTTAAAAACATTTAATTAACATGAACACCTACACAATTTGGTGCAAGTTAATTAAAAATAATCGTTAATTCTCACCACCAGATGCCTCTATTGTCGTATCCAAACAGCTGCTTGGGTTATGCTTTTTTCCTCCATCCTTTTGGCATAATTGGAAAATACTTGGAATAATTTTCAGCATAATTCCTATTTCTTTTTGTGCTTCTTTTTTTGTTTAGTCGAAAAGCCGAAAAGTCGTTCATCAACTATACAATATGTCGGAACAACAGTTTTGTTTAAAATGGAACAATTTCCATTCGAATATGAGTCAAGTTTTCAACAACATGTTACAAAGTGAAAGTATGGTAGACGTTACCATAGCCTGTGAAGGTGCGAGTCTTAAAGCGCACAAAATGATTCTCGCTGCTTGTAGTCCATTTTTCCAAAGTCTTTTCATGTCTAATCCATGTAAACATCCGATTGTTATTCTGAAAGATGTCCGATTTATTGATCTTAAAGCAACAATTGATTTCGTCTACAAGGGTGAAGTAAATGTTACTCAAAATCAACTTGGCTCAGTTTTAAAGGCAGCTGAGACCCTTCAAATTAAGGGTCTAACTGATGTGGTCAATCGTCAACGAGAATTGAATTCAAAGGAAATGGCATCAGTTGATCGGCCCAAGAAGAGGAAAAGGAAACAAAAGAATAATAAAACTTCTGAACCATCACCATCAGTCTCTTGTGATGAATCTTGTGGTGAAAATGAAACTTTAAATGTGATTTCCGTTACAATGGAAGAACGAACTGTTCCGATTAAAATATTTCCAGTCCAAGGGCCGTCAAGAGAAAGTGAAGCAGTTGAACGAGATGGAAGAGAAGGAAGAGAAGGAAGAGAAGGAAGAGAAGAAGAAGAAATGAATATTATTCAAGTTGCTCAATCTGATTCTCCTCCAGTTTCTTCTCAAACAATTTTACCGACAACCGAAGTGACGGCGATTGAACAAAATGATATTATCGTGGCTTCTGATGCTTCAACTTTAATTGAACATCATCCGGCGTTGAGACAGATCACTTTTGAAGATGTTACTCAGAATCAAGTTTTACCAGTAGTAACAGTTACTGGGACAACTGATCTCTCGCAATTGATTCTTGGTAAGTTTTTAAAATAGATAAAAACTTTTTTTCCAGTTAATCCGATTTTCTTATTTTTTTATTTAGAGTCTGAAGATGAACTTTCAGCTAAGAAACGGCGATCTTCAATGAGGAGAACATCAGCTTTTGCTCGAGCTGTTCGTTATCCTGAAGAAACATTCTATGAATCTGGTAATTGTCTTCATTGCAAAGCCTGTGGAGAAGTGGTGAATCATATGAAAGCTTCGGTCATCAAGTATCACATTAAAAGCCATAAACATCAATTGAATAAAAAGAGACTCATGCCTACATGAGATGAGTGAACAATTTCCCATGAAAAGAAGATGAATTTATATATTTAGATGAGCTGAAACTCTTCCCATTTTAATGATTATCGGTTTGTCCTTCCATTTGAAACATGATCATTCTATATGTAAGAATCTACTCTTTCATAATCAATTATTAATCATTGATAAAAACAACAGCCTAGTGATTGTAAATTCTGTATAAAATCTCAACTTGCCATCAAAATGTGATAACTTTTTATTGCGTTACTTTCAAAAAGTTTTTAATAATCAAAAGTTTTAAGAAAATCTTTAAATATATCGTTGATTAAACGATTATTATGCTGACCCTGTAAAGAAAAATATCAAAACTCATGTTAAAGCTGATTCACTCATGAATTATTTTTGTAAAAATGACACAAAATTAAAAGATTATATTTGAAAAAGCAAAACAATGATAATGAAGAAAAAAAAGAAAATCAATTTAATTAGTTACTCAGAATTAAAAATACAAATATAAAGTATGAAAGAATCGACATTGATTGATATGGTTAATCGTTGAGAGAATTTGGTTTCCAATACTTACAGAAGACTAGAAATTGAATCAACAGTCGAAACAATGAAAACACACTCAGAATTAAAGAGAAACAATAAGCTAAATTATCATAAGAATATGGAAGTTAATTGAGTTTAATTGGCGAATTTAAATTCACAATTAGTCAGCAGTTTCATGGAACCGATGAAGATGAAGAACAGGGAATGGGAGAAGATAATTTCTTGGATGAATAGTAATCCTTATGAGCCATTCTGATGTGATTTTCGAGATGATTTTCTTCAAGAAAGGGAACACCACAAATCTCGCATAAAATTGCTAATGAAACCAGAAGAAAAAGAGAAGCGGAAACGGAAAAGATGAAAAGAGAAGAAGAAAAAAACAAAAGCAATTAGCGATCTTCGCAAAGGTCTCAGCATAATTGTTGTAACATTTCATGGATAAGTTGATTGTTGGTGTAATTAAACTTGAAACAAACAAGATAATTTGGTAAATTGTTTTGTTTAATTGTTTTCTGTCCAGATTATATAATCATCAAGTAATTAATTGCTCTTGGCAATCAAATGATCCTTATGAGATTATGATTGTTTGTTGCAGAGAAAACAATTGAAATCTTAATAGAATTTAATGTTAACAATTGATTAAATTATCTTCTGACATGAATAAAGATGATCAAAATTAACGGTTAAATCTATGATTAAACACAATTAATCTTGATTGTTATCGGTTCTCTTTTCTGTTTTGACAAATTGCCGTTAAAACTTAAAATATGATTAACAATTTGATCAAGGTGAGTGAAAGAGATTCAAGTAAAACTGTGAATAAATTTAGTGGAGAATCGGTTGATTGCTAGGGAGGATTAATTGTCGAAATTGGGAATTGTGATTAGGGGAATTTACCTTGACTTCGATAAACTGGACATGAAACTGCGTGTTTTCGAAGCGCTTTCAACGCGGTACATTCTTGCGAATAGTTTTTGAAGCTTCGACCGCAAAGACAAACGTATTTGTGTTTGTACTTTTCCAGGAGATCGACGCAATCGGGATGTTTGCTTCGAATGTGGACTTTTAGACAAGGAATCGAATAGAAAACGTCCTGACAAACATCGCACATTATTGCTGAAATTAGAATAATTAGATTTAAAGATTAATTGTCGACGATTTAATTGGTTAATCACTTAACTTACCATCTTTTAAATAGACTGGACATTGGGAGAAATGGTTTCGATAAATACTGTAGGCGGTGGTCGCACTGATTCCCGTGTAGTTTTTGTCCATTTTCTCATCCGTTTGTCCACTTTGACAAATTTCTGTCCACATTTACAGACATAAAACTTTTCGGGAACCTTTGAATCTTCATTGGTGCTTGTTGATGGCGACGAGTTACCACTTGATTGATTATCTTTACCAGCGATTGTAACATTTACTTCACTAGGTTTAAATGAATCAATCGATTTGGTCAAAATCAGTTCGATCTCCCCCAACTTGTCGATTAAATCTCGATGCTCTTCCAGAGTGACCATCATCTTATTTGGCTCTGATGGATCTAATTTACGCCTTTGTCGCTCGTCGTTCAATTTTTGTCGCAATCGTTGATTGAGTCGATACTGAGACTCGATAAGGCCATCTTTTGATCTGTTTCGATTCGAAACATCGGACAGAAGAGTTTGGACACTTTTGGTATCGTCTTTCATTTCGATTTCAGCATTTAAACCTCTTCTAATTGCATGGAAGACAATTTTTCGCCATCTTGGTTGATAGAGTTAATCATGTTATTCAATTCTTTCTCAAGATTTTGCTCATAATTTTTGGACATTCGCTTGAAGGCCAATCCCTTGAGTAGAGCGTTTTGTTTCTGGTATCGGTCCAGTTTAAACCTCACCTGAAGTACTTGTCGTTTAAGTATCTCTTTCCTTTGGAAGATTGATCTTCTTTTCACCTTTCGAATCTCATCTTCCAAGTTAAATAATTTCTCTTTGTCTTTTATTGATTCTTGACGGAGAAGTCGAATCATCTCTTCCATATCCTTCTTGGTAACCATCTCTTGCTCAGTACCAATTTCATCTTCCAATTGATTACTAATCTCTTCCTCTCCTTCATCATCATCATCATCTTCATCTTCATCATCTTCATCATCCTCCAAATGTTCAGATTCTACCTGCATCAATCCTGCATCAATTAACTCGGCATCTCCATCATCCTCCTCATCCAAACCAACATCAAAAGTACATTTAAATGCAGATTCCTCCTCACGATATGCACTGAAAAAGTTTCCACTTCTTAAACGTTTACCAAAATTCATGATTAAAGTTGATCACCAAATAAAAATGTCAACAATTAGATGACAATTAAGATGAAGGGAAAATCCAAAAATCAATCCCAAGAAGCACAAGAAAAATTCAACTGAAAATCAAGTCGATCAACAAAAACAAACATTTTCAGATGACACAATTAAATTAATCTTCCCCTTACCTACAATCAAATTAAATAATAATCTAAATTATTGAAAACGAGTCAAAATAATCATTACAATCAGTAAATTGTGCAAACCCAAAGTCGATGTTGAATTTTATCAATAACAACAATGGAAAAGCGTAACCATAGTAACCGGAATCATCTTTCATTTTTGATTCTAAATTTGATTCGAAAGTAATTAAACCTTTCTACTGATTAATTGTTTTGATTAACAAGAATCATTTGATTGTTTATTTAAGAGATAATAAACAATTTATTAATTATCATCACAAAAATAAATCACTAATTGTTATGAAATTTAATCGATATTCAATCAGCACGCTTACCACATTAAGTTAGACAAACTTAACAACAATTAGCAGCAATTAAATGAGTAAATTTTGTTGATTTGAATTGTAATTTTTTACCAACAATTTAGCTTGAATAAACAACAATTAACCATCAGACAATCTGATAAATTTTTTGTTGTTGGTTAAATAATTAAACAGGAAAAAGGAGATAAGTTAAATCAACATTGAGAAAACAAAATTTAATTGTGATTAGTTTGAAATTAATCAAAAAAAAAGAGGTAAAAGTTAATTGTTAACATAGAGTTTACAATTTAACCAGAGACAACACCCAATAATCATGATTAAATTTGATTGTTGGTGAACAGCAAGAGTCCAGTTAGAAAGTAATTAAATTAATTGAATCACTTTTTGTTGTTGTTAATTTAATTCAATTGTCCAACGGAAATTTATTCAACTTTAATTTTGCTAACAATTAATTTGATGAACTATTTAATTTTGCTTCATTAGCAATTATTAGACTAATCAAATTGTAATTACCATTGATCCCAATTGAATCTCATTGTGATTAACTGAAGGCTCTCGCGACTCTCTCACTCAAATTAACAATTAACTGATCAAATTAACTTTTCATTTGATTGTATCAACATTAAAATCATAAAGTTGCTAAATAATAAATTGTTATCAGTTTTTTTTCAATTAATTGTGTCTATTAATCAACTTTAATCATGTTGATCATCTCAAAGTTAATCAATCGACACTCACATCTAACAATTAAGATCTTATCAACGATAATTATGTTAATTGCTCTTTCGGATACTTTTCTATTACCAAAATTAACAACTCGATTTTGTTACAATTCACCAGAACCAAGTAGAGTCAGTGTAAGTTTAATTAATTGCTTTTCCGGCCAACAATTAACTAATTACTTTCTTTCCCATCGAAACAGAGTCAATGTGTTTTATGTAACTATTTCCTCTTTGATGCAACTGTAAGTTAATTTAGTTGATACAATTAAAGAATTAAATCTAATCAATAGTCCTTTTTAATTGTAGGTAATGGGCTGCACTGGATCGGTGAGTTGACAATCAGTTGATTGTTGATCCTAATCAATTTAATTCAACTTTCTCTTTCTCATTCTTAATTGTAATTAGACTGCTCTAAGTGTTAACATAACTGCTACTCAGGCATTTTGTTTAATATCACAATGTTTAGGGGTAAGTTAATTGTTATCAAGTTTGTGCTGCAATTTATTAACTGTTAATTGTTACAATTTAGCAAATCAGACAAACTCCCATGTTTCTTGGTAGGAAACGACGATCAGTTAATGGTGATGATGATGAACAATCAGATGTCGATCAAATTGTTTCATTGGCTTCAAATTATTTACCATTAATCAATGAGAAAACTGAATCAACTAATGATGATCAAGTTCCTGAAATAATTGAATACAATTCTGATGGTTTGAAGCAACAATTTACAATTAAAAACGATGTTGAGGCGACAATTATTGATCTAATTGCTCTGGACGACAGTCAAACTTAATTTATTTCATTCAAATTCAATTTTGAATCCAGTTTAGCCCTGGATAAATTGTTAACTATTTATATAAACTTCACTTATTCACTTTTCGATCAATTAATTTGTTAATTACTAAATTGTTATAACCGACAAGAGTTAATTTGTTTTTACTTTTTTGCTTCAATTCTGTATACTAAATAAGATGGAGTATTAACTAAATCAAGAGAAAATCCAATTGTAATATTATTATATAAAAATTTTCTATCCATTTAATTGTAATTGACTTTTATTCGACCACAATTAATATCAGTTGATTGTTGGAATGAAATTAAAAATAGTTCGTAGATCAACAGATGGCGCTGCTTGCGAATTTCTATTTGTGGGAAACTCAATTTTTGAATTTTTTGTTTGTTTACAAATTGAATTGAACTTTGATTGCGACTTTTGTTAATTGTGTCACAATTTAAATGGATGAAAGTGATTTAGTTAATGATCTGTTTAAAACCATATTAGAAAATCCATCTGCTTTCATTGTGGACCAACAGAAAGATGCTCCTGAATTGTTGTACAACCAAAGACTTGAAATATTATCTCAATTGTATGAGGAAAAAAAATTGTCATTTCTGATTAGATACAATCAATTTCTTTCCAAATCTCAACTTGAATTTATTCGTGATTCATTATCTCACCTGGACAAGGACGATGAAATTCTCTATTATCTAGAGAAATTAATTCCAAGTAAAAATGTTAACCTGATCAAACAGCGGCGATATTCAGCTTTACAATCACTGATTGAGGAAGGAAAATATTTCAACGATAATAATATGAGAGAGAGAAATCCTCATCTCTATGAACAAATGATTGGAAGATATTTGTCCTCGAAGGAATTAAGTAGCATCGAAGACCAGGATCGAGAAGAAAGTGAAATACAACGACCATTGTCAACTTTTCTCCTTCGACAAATGGACAAAAATCGCCAAGAAGAATCAAGGCTTGAACAGAGAACCGAAGATGGAGATGATCAGAGTAATGATGACGACGGTTTTTTCAAGAGAATTCAAAGTTACAATAGAAAAGAAGATGGACAAATTCAAGAAGAAGAGGAAGAAGAGGAAGAGGAAGACAGTGATGACGAAACTAAAGAAACCAAACAATCACAGAGAGAAGAAGACGAAGAGAGGAAAGAATTACTGAGAAAAGAATTTACCAATTTAATGTATGAATCTTTTCTCGCCGGTAAAGATGATAAATTCGATTATGGAACAGTTGATTCAAATTCTAAATATGATCCAATCAATTTGATAAATCGCGATGCTGAAGATTCTTGGTTCGATTCAGAGGAACCAGATTAATGACGATTCCATAAAACCAGAGAGAGAGAGAGAGAAAGAGAGATGAACAGAAAATGGACAAAAGTGAATTTTTGTAAAATATCATTTAAATTGATACAAATGATTTTTCTGATAACAATGAAAAACGAATCTACAACATAACTAATTGAATCGAATTGAATTACAAAACCTTAATGATCTGTCTGACACCTAAATCCGATTGAACAACAATGCCAGTGATGTAATTACCTTTTCCGTAATCATCAATCTCAACATAAGCTGTAGCTCGACCTCGAGGTCCAGACAATTTGAACACCATATTCATTTTAATTGTTCCCTCTGAGGTTTGGCTTGTTTGGTAAGCGGGTTGATGGCGACCTCGTCTTCCCCATGTCGCTGAACCAAAAGCTTTCATTTCCTTGCCGAGAATATCAATCACTCGATTGTCTTCCTTGATCAAGTCAAACGCTTTACTTTGGATATTTGAAGGTGAACTTGATGAGAAAAGCTCGTTAAAAACGGTATAACCAATGACACCAATGAGCGCTAATCCACCGGCAAAGAAACTCAAATAGAAAACTAATTTAGTTCCATGAACAACTTTTTCGCCCACCGAGACTGAAACCTTAGTCTCTCCATCATCATCACCTTTTGGGGTTATTGATTTTCTGTCTTTATTGTCTGTCGACTGGTTTGATTGGTGACATTTCACTAAACACTGATAGTTGAAAGTACAAAGTAATTGATTGTGATTATTCAATGAAATCAAACGACAACGGAAGCCATTTAAATTGTTGGATAAAACCTCAGGCAGCTCATGGTGAATGAGAGACAAGAGTTGATCCGATCCGAAAATTGATCGATCGGATCGATTTTTGAGAAAAAATTGATTGATCTCGACTTTCAAGAAATCGATCACCAAAAAAACACGCAAATTTTGATAGATGAAAACTTAAAAGTCCAAAATTAATTCACAATTTAAAAAAAATCATTTCAATCAATCAACAAATTAGACAAGATAAAAGACAGTACAAAAAAGAAAGAGAAAATTTTTAGTCTTTTTTCGAACGCGAAATTTGAAAAATCGAAATTGATCGATTTGTACAAGAAAATCGGAACATCTCTAGAGAGACAAATTGATCAACAGCTGAGATTCTGATTTATATTAAAAGTGATTCTCAATCAATTATCGGCTTATTTGTCTTGTCCCAAACTCTCTCTAGATTCTGGTACGGATTCGGCCGAACCCGTCAACCAACAAGTCGGTTTTTTGTTTTACTTTTAAATTGGAACTCGAGTCTCATAGAACAAGTATTTCGAATAAATTTCAACGAAGCCATTGAACTCTCGTTCTCTAAAAATCGAAGACATAAACAACTTTTCACGATAACTGATCAACATACCAACTTCACCAAAAATTCTGCGATAATCAGGATTCATCTCGATTACGACCTTTTGTCCCCTGATTCGTTTGTTCATCCGTATTATTCAATTCAAATTTCGACCAGTTATCTGTCGATCTGTCATATTGGCAAATCGTTCGGACTTTAAATTATCGACCTGTTTCGCATAAGAACAAACTTTTATTCCACTCATTTAATTCACTTAAACTTGTTAAATGCACAAAAATTGTCGATGATAAAAATGAGTTTAAATTTTGGACTGACCGCAACTTCGTAGGATTTGCAAGAGGCGATAATTACGATTAGTTAACTTGGTTTGTTTTTAATTTTGCAAAAATTAAATCATTTCATTAATTGAATCAGCAGTTTAAAAATTGTTCATCTTGTTTGAATATTTTGGGGAAATTATAGTTGGATTTGACTATTTGTTGGATTTATGTTTTCAAAGAATTCAAACTCAATCAAATGAGATTAATGGTTCTTCGATAGGAGGTTGAACATTGGAATTGTAAGTATCTTGTTGCTGATGTGGTTGTTGTTGTGGTGGTGGTGGTGGGGGTTGTTGTTGTTGCTGAAGTTGAGGTGGGTGTTGGTTGTGATCAGCCTGAGGCAGCGGAGCAGCCATAGGAATACCAGGATGAACACCAGGACCCACCATGGCAGCATAAGGGGCTCCATAAGGAGGTGGAGGCATTTGGTACATTGGTGGTTGACGAACGGGACCTTGAGGACCAATATAATGTGAAGGCGACGATGTTACAGGTTGTTGTTGCTGTTGTAACGATGGTGGACCCATTTGGGGGTTGCTTAACTGTGGTTGGTTCATAGGTGGTTGTATTATTTGAGGTTGAACCATATGAGGGGGGTGATTTAATGTAGGCGTTTGGTAAACAACCGATCCTTGGGGCGGAAGAGGTTGTGATCCTGGTGTAGGTGCTGCGTATCCAATTGAACCAGGTTGTGGTGGATATTGTGGATTACCTTGTGGTTGACCCGTTGCCACTTGAGGCCATTGGTATTTCTGTTGTTCTTGTCTCATAAGCATTTCCCTTTCTTGCTCCTGGATACGTTGTAAGGCCATTTGTCGTTGATATTGTAAATATTCATTCTTCTTTTTCTCTTCCAATCGAACCTTTTCTTGGTGTTCTTCTCGCAGAGAATCTAATGCAGCTCGAGCGTCTCTAATTTGGCCCAATTTATCCTGTAAACCTTCATAATACAATCGACCATCATCTTGCTCTTGCATATGACGTAAAAGTTGGGAATGCATATTGGTTATATTAAGAAACAACGATTGAACTGCCGTATCATTGGCTATTGGTCGACCTCTAATTTGATTTGAATTCATCCGATTAACAAATATTTCCAGCGCTGATTTAAGATTAACTAAGAAAGTGTCAATATCTCTGTCAACACCATTTTCTTGTTTGTTTAACATCATTGTTGTGGTTGCTGTTGTTTTTATCGGTGTAGTGGTTGAACCTATTTTATGTTCATCATCAATCTCATGACCACCAGATTTATTATTATTGATTAAACTGTAATGAGGAGATGGTGCACTTGGGGCTGGACTTGTGCTTCGATTATGATTAACCAGTTTCGACTCCCAATAATCTCTATCAAGATACTTCTCTACATCAGGATCCATTTTATTTAATTTATCAAATTTCATTGATGAATTTGATGATATCGGTTGACTGTAAGAATATTCACTTGAAGAGAGTCGAGTTTTCTCCTTAGTTTCAGCTTCACTTTTTGATAGAGCGATGGCCATTTGAAGATCTTCCTCTTCTTGAAGTTCTTGCTCCGTTTTTGACACTGTTGTTGATGGCTTATTGTTATTACCTCCTTCTGAGGCTTTCGTTTCATTATACCGATTAGTGGCCGTGAATGGTGAACTTGTACCTCCACCAACACCACCAGTGATCACTTTACTTGTTTTAGGATCAAAGGGTTTGTTTAGTTTGTCAAAACAGTCTTCACAAACTCGAACTTCTTTCTCTAAGCCATATTTGGGAATAATTGATTGTTTTGATGAGCACTTTGCACAGAAAATTTGACCACAATTTCTACAATGGTGTTTCCTTTGTACCAAATTGAATTGCACTCGACATCGATGACAACAATCACCATCGGCCCATTGAGGAGCTGAATCAGCAGCAAACATGGCTTCGGTTTCTTTAAAAGTAGCAAATTGATGTCCTTCGGCTTTCATAACATTATATGTATCTTGAATAATTCGGAAACTTGGTTCTTTACGAAAAGCGTGAGCCCAGGCTTGAATTAATTCCAATATTTTTTCACGGACTTTTTCATCTGATGTAACTTTCACCAATTCTCTCAATTCTTCCATAAAATTCTTGGTGGCCACCTCGTAGTGAAAAGAAGATCCACAATTTTTCATACATGATTCCAATAACTGTCAAAGAAAATAGAAAATGAATTAATAAACAAGAGCAAAAAAAAGAAGAAAAAAATTATAGACAATTAGAAATCCAATGGTCCTTAGCAACAAACCTGAAGAGCGAACAGATTTACATGGGGATTGGTAGCATACATTTTCTTCTTAATAGCATAGAGAGCATATTTAGGCCTGAGAAAAGAAAATAGAATAAATGATAAATTAGTTAATTTAAACGATAGAATAGAGAGAGAAAAAACAATGGACCTACTGGACATCTCCTTGGCGTATGTAATCACAAATGGTCAAAATTGAATTCCAATCGGGTTCAAGCAATAGATTACTAGTTGCCTTGTCTAGAGGAAACAGAGATAAATATAAATTTTAATTAATTATCTCATGAAATCACAATTAGAGTAATTAAAACTGATACGAGATGAAAGATAGAGATCATAAAAAACAACAACACAATGAGACACAACCATGATGATTAAGCAAAAATAGAAACTATTTACCAATGAGTTTATCAAAGGTTGAATTTGACCGAAACATATTCAGGATTGTTAGTGATTTAACCTTTCACAATTAATTGTAATTAGTAAAATAAAAGGGCAACCAGAAAGAGAGAGAGAGAGAGAGAGAGAGAGATAGAGAAAGATAGAAACAGTGGTGATACTCGGAGAAGAGAATAGAAAACAAAACAAAAAAGAAGCGACAGATTGAAGGCAATGGAAACAAAATGGAAACCAAATAGAATCTCACAATTTGATTAATAGAAATTTAAATTGTTCTATTTAGTTATTTCAATTGTCACTGATTGTCACTATTAAGGCTTTGATGATGATGAAAGAGTCAAGCCTGATGATGAAAATGATGATAAAGATGAAGAGATGAGTTTCAGTTTCAGTAGAAGCAAAAACAAACACCAAATAATAATAAAAACCAATAATATTAGTAATTGGTTGTGACGTTGATTAATTAAACAGGCAAACAAGATAATCAATTATTGTTGTAAGCAAATTAATTTCAAAGATAAAACTTAATTAGTGATTAATTTTTGTAAATATCAAATGATAAACATTTTGACAATGCGACAACTCGGTTATTGATTTTCCGCTGCGGGTCAACGATTGTCCGGTTTTTTAATTTTTCTTCCAAAAATTCAATTAATTTCAATTCTAATCAGTTAATTATCTGTCAGATTTTTCCTTCTTTTCAATATGGATGTTAGTTTATCGATAATTAATCTATTGTTGTCATCGTCCTGTAGTTAACATTAGTGTTTAATCACAATTATGTCAACAGTTGATCAGATTTCCACTAAATCAGTTAATCTCTGGATTTTTTTTAATTGTTGAGAGTAATTAGTAATCAGATCTTATTTTTATCGATTTTATAAAGAAAATTTTCACCAATTAATATGATTAAATTGATTAACTAGATCATATTCGATTAAGACGATTAACATGATTAGAGTGTATTAATTACGATCGATGGTGAAATTGGTTGATTAGTTGATTGTTGCTCTTGGTTGGAGCTAATTATTGTAATCACTGGTAATTAATGCTAATGAGTGATGGAAAAATTAAAAGGATGAAAATAATCAAACCAATACAAATCCAATAGAATCTCAATAATCTAAATCAATGGCCGATTAACTAATTCGAGGACAACGCAAAGAGATTTACAATTAAAGATTATCCATCATCTGGATCTTAATCAGCATGGTGACAATTAACGAGAATTATGACTAATTACAAGTTTCAGAATCAGAATGAAAATGAAAATGAGAATGAAAATTAAAGGTTATAATTAAATTTAAGTTACGATATGAATCATAATCAAGATGGAAATCAAATGTTACAGAATAGAAAAATAAAATTGTTATAATTAATTGTTGATTAAATAAATGAACGTCATTAAAAATACGTCAATGAAATTGAGGAACATAAAAAAAAACCAGAAATAGACAAACAATTAAATCTAATTGATAACAATTAATAATCAACAGACAGAAAGAGAGAGAAAAAGATAAACAAAAACTTTTATCAAACAAAAATCGAATCGGAAATAACCAATTAGATCAAATTTACCGCTAGTTAACCAACAACATCAGAAATTCTTTTTTCCTTAATCACAATCAACAATCAATTGGAACAATTAATTGTCCAAAATTCTCGCCCAGTGGTCAAAATTTGTCGAAAACAATTAGCAAAGAAAAGGAAGAATTCGCTCCGATAGATGGCGTTAGGTTAATCGAATTTAGAATTTTTTTTAATTCTCTTTAAGAAAAGATTGAAAAAGAAAACAAATGTTAACCTTTAATCTTAATCTTTAATTGTTGTCTCTTTATTTTTCGTTAACATTTACAATTAAGCTAATTGAGATTATCTCAGTTTAATTGTTTCCCTGTTGTGTTTACCTTTTCTCTCATCTAAATTATCGGTGTAATCAACTTTCTCTCTGTTCCATTGAAAATCCTCTTTCTCTCTCTCTCTCTCTCTCTCTTGTTTCCCTTATGAACATTTCAAATGTAATCATGTTTTTTATCACAATCAATATCCACGGTCTTGCGCCATTTTAATGATAACCCGCCTACAATAATATCAAATAAAACATGAAGTAAAAGTTGATATAATCAAAGGCAAACTCAGAAACATTATCATGTTGGTGGAAATGATGTTTGGAGAAAGGTTTTGAACAAAGTAAAATTGTAAGCTTGGTTTCTTCTTCTTTTCTACCTCCTTTCTTTCCTTTTTTTCTCTTTCTTTTTTCTCTATCTCTTCTTTCTCTATGTGTTGATTCTTATTCTTCTCATCGTGAAAATTAATCGAGAAACTGTTTAGTGTTTCATTTAATCATTTTGGCGAAATCTCATTTCATTGATACATTAATCATCCTGATTCCTAGTCCATTTAAGTAATGGATATTGTGAAAAATTCATTGGTTCAATTTGTGTTATCCTGTTGAAATGTTTTCGCCGATTGTGACTAGTTAAAGAGTAGGAAATTTTCTTCTTCTATCTAGTTAAATGTGTTAAATTGGTGAAAATTCCATTGATTAAGAAGTTATAAAGAGAATATTCAACTCTAAACAATTGATCAGCAACTTTTTTCTTCCGAGAAGAATAGCTTTTCAACTGACAGTCTGAATTTCTCTCTCACAAATCCAAACACACACAACACTCAATTCAGCAATAGTATACAACCAGTTAACAACTCAGTGTAAAGTATCCTGTTTTTGTCTTCTTTATTATCATCCTTCTTGACAATTAGTTTTCTCTGTCAACAGAAAAAAAAGTCACTGTCTTCACAAGTAATTGGTTAGTTAACAGAGAAAAAAAAATTGGAAAATTGGAAGACCAATTTTTCATGTTAGTTGAGAAAAAATAATTAACTCATCACTCTTTTCCAATTTACCATCTTCATCATCAACAATCAACATTTCAAACTTATCTCTCTTCTCTATCATCACCATTATTGCAACTTTTTCTTCTCTTCTTCTTCTTTTCCTTGTTTGACAGTGTGAACGCCTTTCATTAGGAACCATCGCCATTTTTAACCGGATCTCCGGACATCGGATCGTTGAGTCAGAATAAATTATCAACATTCATCTCCACTGGAAGAAAATTTCCCGATTACTTGACTTTTGTTTTTCAAGTTAAACCAGTTCCTCGTTTTGTTGTTTGTTTGGTCAAGTTAACTATTTATTAATCAACAAATCATCAACCATGGGAGTCGATGGAGGAGTAAGTGCCAGTTTCAATATAACTACAGCTCAATTGAAAGAGCTTATGGAATGTAGAGGAAAAGAGGCAATAACGAAATTAGAAAAAGATTTCGGTGGAGCTCAGGGTATTTGTGCTAAACTAAACACTTCACCAACTAATGGTAAGTTTTTCAAGTAATTCTTTTAAAATCAGTCAACTGTTAACTGGAAAATTATCTTAGTTTCATTCTTCACTTATTCTCATCTCATAATTTACTTTAAAAAACAATAACAAACAACAAAAAATCGGATAACAATTGACCGAGTTGTTTATTTGTTTCATAAAATCTCTGTACATGTTGATTGTTTCAAAAGATTGTTTTGTTTATAATCTGTTGGTTTATTTAATTGCTTGGATTTATTGTTGTCCCTGAAATGATTAATTGCCTATGATGAGGTAATTGTAATTATTTCAGTTTACAAGACAAGATTAAGCTCACGCTTTCTCTTAAACAACCAAGTTAACGGATACATTTAAACTGAAGAGCATCAATTGGCTGCTTATTAAAGCTCGTCAGTGGTGATTGTTGTCATCGATGTTGAGTGCAATTCAATTTGGTACAAAGGAAACACCATTGTAGAAATTGTGGTCAAATTTTCTGTGCAAAGTGCTCATCAAAACAATCAATTATTCCCAAATATGGCTTAGAGAAAGAAGTTCGAGTTTGTAAAGACTATTTTTTTCGACGAACTTCAAGAAGATCTTTAAATGGCCATCGCTCTATCAAAAAGTGAAGCTGAAACTAAGGAGAAAACTCGACTCTCTTCAAGTGAATATTCTTACAGTCAACCGATATCATCAAATTCATCAATGAAATTTGATAAATGAAATAAAATGGATCCTGATGTAGAAAAGTATCTTGATAGAGATTACTGGAAGTCGAAACTGGTTAATCATAATCGAAGCACAAGTCCAGCTCCAAGTGCACCATCTCCTCATTACAATTTAATCAATGTGGTCATAAAATTTATATTTATGAACATGAAAAAAGAAATGGACCAATAAAAACAACAGAAACCGCAACAATGATGATGAATAAACAAAGATATTGATACTTTGTTAATGTAACTTAAATAAGCCCTTGAAATACATGTTTCAACGTATATTATCATCACGATTATTATAACTATTACTTATATAATCATATGAACTTAAATAATGTTAGAGGTCAATCAATAGCCAATAATACTGTTATTGAATAATTGATTTTTATTATATTAATACAACATCCAACTCATTACCCCAACAACAACCACAATCATAACATAAACAAGATACTTTCAATTCCAATCAACTTCCTCTCAAAGAACAATTAATCCCATGTGATTTGTTTATCTTTTTTTTCTATTCAATTTAATAATTAATATCCGTTCTTTTCATTCACGTACAGGATTAAGTGGTTCACAAAGTGATCTAGAAGATCGTCGACAAACATTTGGTTCAAATGAGATCCCTCCAAAACCACCGAAAACGTTCATACAACTTGTCTTGGAAGCTCTTCAAGACGTTACACTTATAATCTTACAAGTAGCTGCCATTATATCTTTGTTATTATCACTCTATTCGGCTCCTGATCATGGTGAAGGTGGAGGTGAGTAATCAAAACTATTCATATTCTTTCAGAACTAATCACAATCAAAAAAAGAAATTATTTCTCTTTTCTGTTTCTTAATGTTTTATGAGAGTAAGAAAGAGAGACTTATTTATCGTTACTTATTAACAAGTAAATTATAATTAAAATCAAATTGTTAACTTGAGAATCAATGTCAACACAAGCGAAAAGATTCACATTCAATTACATAAATTAACACAATTTGCCTTCAACAAGAAATAAACAATATGATAAAAGAGAGAGAGATTGAGTGAGTGAGGCAAACAAATAGGGAAAGAGATGAAACATAATGGAAACACTGAAGATAATAGTAAACAAACACAATTGATACAAGAAATCACTGTAATTGTGCAAATTATCAAGTTATTTTTAGCAACACCATTTACTACGTTATTGATTACCTTGTGTTGATTAAAACGATATTAACAATCTGATCAACTGATTAATTTCAAGTGACAATAAGATAGTTTCAAATGAATTGAATTGGTAAACACCAGTTGATGGATTGTATTCAGCAAAGTCAATCATTTTACCATCAATACTTAATAATCATCTTGAATAGCAACTCAACTATGAATTATTATCATTAGTTTTATTTACCATCAACAGTTTATTTCCATTGATTTTCCATGAATTTTATTCATTTTTCTTCCTTCCTTTCTAAGAGAAAAAGAACTAAATTTATCTCTCTCTCTCTCTCTCTCTCTCTCTCTCTCTCTCTCTCTCTCTCTCTCTCTCTCTCATTATCTTTCCGCTGGTTGGCTTATCGATTGACATTCGGGATGCTCATTTTGATCATGATCATGCTTATATACTTTTTTATAATGGTGATGATTATAATTATTACGCAACAATGAAACGAACCCCATTCCACATGATTACGATGATAATGATGATGATGATCTTTAGGTGGAGATGAAAGTGAATCATCAGCCAGTTGGATTGAAGGAGTAGCCATTCTTGTTTCAGTCGCCATCGTTGTCTTAGTTACTGCAATTAATGATTACACCAAGGAAAAACAATTTAGAGGTAAACTTTTCACCCTCACTCTCTCTCACTCACACACACACACACACAACATATACTTTCTCTATTATATTCACTTTTACTTTATCATTTACCTGCTACTAAATGCTAAAGATTATGATATTTGGGTTAATTTTTCACTTTGTTTTATGGTTTCATAGCTGTAAACGCACAAAACATTTATTTGATTAGATTCAAATTACCTTCGATATCATCTATTTGTTATTTATCTTTCAATTTAGTTTCAGACTCAGATTATATCTATTTTCATGATAGATTCAGTTTTATTATACTTTCTTTTGTATCATTTAGTATTTAGAGTAAATATTGAATATTAATTTACTTTTTTTATCGAACTATTAATATTGAAGATATCTACATATATACTAGATATCCGATTCGATATCAGAAGTTTATTTCTTTTTATTGTTTTCTTTTTCGTTTTGATATATTTTTTTGGCTTATATTCTGGGGAAAAAATGATTGAAAACATTTTCTAATTAATCACATTTTATTTTAATTAAAGGTTTACAAGAACGAATTGACCAAGAACACAAGTTTTCTGTTGTTCGAGGAGGCGAAGTCCTTCAAATACTTAATCAAGAAATCGTAGTGGGTGATATATGTCAGGTTAAATACGGTGATCTGTTACCTACTGATGGAGTCTTGATTGCAAGTAACGATTTAAAGATTGATGAAAGCTCCCTTACTGGTGAATCAGATCATGTACGTAAAGGTGAAGGAATTGACCAAATACTTTTATCAGGTAATTAAAGTTTAATTAAACCTAATTGATTATTTGTTTCCATTTTGTCATGACATTTGTAACCCCTCTCACTCTTTCACTCTCTCTCTCTCTCTCTCTCTCTCTCTCTCTCTCTCTCTCTCTCTCTCTCTCTCTCTCTCTCTCTCTCTCTCTCTCTCTCTCTCTCTCTCTCTCTCTCTCTCTCTCTCTCTCTCTCTCTCTCTCTCTCTCTCTCTCTCTCTTCTTTTCTCTATTCTCATGACCCCCGCCTTCTTTGTTCTCATTTCACTTTTTTACCTTTTGTTTCTGTGCAATTTTCAACTTCTCATTGATTTTTTTCCCGAGAGAAATAAAAAAGGTTCCACCCTTGATTATTTATAGACTAAAGTAACCCCACCTTGATCTCAATATTATCCGTCCTTATCATCATAATCTCTCTTTATTTAACTTTAAGGAACCCATGTCATGGAAGGAAGTGGACGAATGGTTGTAACAGCGGTTGGTATTAACTCCCAGGCTGGTATCATCTTAGCACTTTTAGGTGCTGCTGATGTTGATGATTCAAATAAAAATAAAGGTAAACAGTCTTAGTCTTAGATGGTACAGTCTTAATCGTCATAATAATATTCATGTAACAATAATATTTAATTTTCTCTTTGCTCAATCATTTGATTGTTTTTATGATTTACCTTTTGTTTCTTAAAAGATGCTGACAAGATTATCGACTCAACTATAATCGCCAACGAATCGCCTAGTCAACAGAAAAAGTTGAAAGCAGTTAAATCAAAGAAAGATGAAGAAAACCAAGAAGCTAAATCAATCCTTCAAGCCAAATTAACCAAACTTGCCATCCAAATAAGCTATGCAGGTAATAACTTGAGATTGAAACTTGTCTAATACTTTTTTTTTGATAATATTGATTTTCTGTTGTCAATTATATCCAATTCATTTAAACTCAATTTTCTAAGGTAATTTAGAATGCAATGTAATCAATATCATCTCTTTGATGATCTGGTTACTCGTTTAATGGGTTAATAATCAATTAATTCACAGCTATAATCTAAAACAAACTGTTAATCTAATCAAATTGATCCAGAACATTATCATTCAATTCTCATTCAATCCTCTGTCTACATGCAGTTGTTATTAGTTTTTATTAACATAGATTAGTTTTATGCTGAGATAGAAAGTATCTTAATACTTGTGGTTTAACCTGATGAAAAGATTCAGATTGATATGAACAATAAAATGATATTTAATCAATATTGATTAACGTTTTTCAAATCACCTGTTTACTTGTGATTGATGAATTGAGTATAACAGGATTATAGTCATAGTATCTTTGATTTGTTAATCCATCAAATCAAATCCTTGGGAGAAAAAAAAGAAGAGAAAAAGTTATCAAGTTAAGTAAGGAAGTTACGAGACAATTATGATGATTAACTCGATGAAATTGTAGTTTCAATGTCGAAACAACATTGACACATGTTCGAGATTCATTTCTTTTTAGTTCCGGTTTTTTCGTTTTTCAACATTTTAGTTATGAAGATTCAATGTCCTCTCTCTCTCTCTCTCAGTTTCACTTTCTCATATTGATGTTCCCTGTTAGTTATGTTATTTTTTTCATGGTAACTTTGTTTTCACTTTTTCTTATTTTAACATTTTGCTTGGACTTTCAGATGATTGATGAGTTTGCCTTGACATTAAAAAGATTTTTTTTCACTCCCAGTCTTTAACTTATCTTGAGAATTGAGGTTTAGCCTTGATGATAAATTTTGCTTCTTTTCCATTATTCTCATGAATTTCATCCTCTCCACAAATTTCAGATCATTTTCATCCTTATCATCACCTTTATCATCATCATTATCCTCTTACTTTTTTTCCTTCTCGATAAAACTTACATATTTTACATGTACCAATTGCATGCTATTGAATTATTATCCTCACTATCATTTATTATTTGATGATATTAACAGTTGAAGTTGATTAGTTTAATGTGTTTAATTTAAGAAAGAAATGAAATACTTTCTCTCTCTAATTTAATTCATTTTAATGAATTCCAACTAATTATTGACTTGATATATTTTCATCATCATGTAATAGTGATTATCACGATCACTTTTATTTAAATTATGTATCATGTTCATTACTCTATTTATGAGGATTTATACATATTATATTTCATAGAGAATTTCAGATAATTGTTATTCTTTTTTTTCCATTTCATTTTGTGACACATAATATGAGAATTTAATGTGTATTCATATTACGATTCGAAAAGGTTTTCTTATATTCGCTCCAATTGTTTTGATAAATTGAGTTTATGTCAAGTTTAAATAGTATTTTGATAATCAAGATTATAGTCTAGAAAAGAAACTGATAACAATTACAATTCAATTCTATAATTAAATGATTTAAATTGATAGTTTATTTCAACAACGATAATATCATCTGAGTTGTGATGATTAATTGGTAAAAATGATTGATATTCTTGAAGAAAAAGTTACCATCACTATTAAATTAACAAAAAAAGATGAGAGTAAAATTTTAAACAAAACTACAATTTAATTCAATTCACATGAATCTCTACTAAACGTTAATCTTAATTGTTAATCAAAATTAATGAGAGAAAAGTTGAAATCATCCCAACACAAACAACTCACAAATCTTATTCTTAATCCGTAATTGTTTCCATAGGTTCAATCATCGCTATTTTAACAGTTATGATTATGACAACTCGTTATTTAATTGCTGAATTTGCTGTTAAAAAAGCTCGATTTTCTATCGCAAAGGATTTACAGTATTTTGTAAAATTCGTAATCATTGGTGTTACTGTTTTGGTAGTTGCTGTTCCTGAAGGTCTTCCATTGGCAGTTACCTTGGCTTTAGCTTATTCTGTCAAGGTAATCATCATAATCATTGATTATTCCATTTCTTTGTTATTTCTTTTTACTCCCAAAATTGTTCCCTTCCCTTTTCCTCTCTCTCTTAATATGTCCCAAAATATAATAATTGATTAAATCTAATTGTATGGTTTGTATTTTATTCTTTCCTGTTTTACTAATATTTTTCTTTTCTTCTTCTTTTTCCATCATTAATTATGATCCATAGAGAATGATGGAAGATAACAATCTGGTTCGTCATTTAGATGCATGTGAAACCATGGGTAATGCAACAGCAATTTGTTCAGATAAAACTGGAACCTTGACCACTAATCGGATGACCTGTGTTCAAGCTTGGGTTGCTGGTCATCGTTATAAAGAGATACCCAAATATGATGACTTACCTAAAGATGTTGCTGACCTTGTAATTGAGGGTATTTCAATTAACTCAGCTTATACAACTCGGATTATTGTAAGTTAATATCGATCAAAATTTCATCTACATCATGAAGATGATAAATTAATTAATATTTATGTTGTTGATGTTGATATATTATCATCATCATGTTGTTTGTTAATTTTTTTTTTGTTACATGTTAATGTAATAAAACAAAATTGCTTATTAGTTGTTTGACATAAATTATGTTTGATTATAATTATGATTATGATTATGCTTATTTTATTACTTGTTTACAGGCTCCTGAAAATCCTGGTGAACTTCCTAAGCATGTTGGTAATAAAACTGAATGTGGATTATTAGGATTTATTTTGGCTCTTGGTAAACATTATCAAAAAATTCGAGATGAAATACCTGAAGAAAAATTGTACAAGGTTTACACCTTCAATTCAGTTCGTAAATCAATGACCACCGTAATTAAAACATCCAATGGTTTTCGTATATTCACCAAGGGAGCTTCAGAAATTGTTACCAAAAAGTGTACCTTTATTCATGGTGTTGGTGGTAAATTGGATAAATTCAGTCGAACTGATCAAGATAATATTGTTAAAGATGTTATCGAACCCATGGCCTGTGATGGTCTAAGAACAATGACCGTTGCATATAAGGAATTTGTTTATAATCAACCAACGTCCATTAATCAAGTACATATTACAGAGGAACCTAATTGGGAAGATGAGACTGCAATTATATCTAAACTTACCTGTTTGTGTATCTGTGGTATAGAAGATCCTGTTAGGCCAGAGGTAAATTGAGGAAGAGATAAATTCTGCTAACGTCATTTTGATTAGTGTTAATTCATATTCCTAACCTTTAAAATTGATATTTAACTAGTACTTTATTTCTTTATTGTATCTAATTAATTAAAAGGTTCCTGATGCAATTAGAAAATGTCAACGAGCTGGAATAACTGTTCGGATGGTTACTGGTGATAATGTAAATACCGCTCGATCCATTGCAATGAAATGTGGTATAATTAAGCCTGGTGATGATTTCCTAGTTCTCGAAGGGAAAGAATATAATAAACGAATCCGTGATTCTAACGGGGAAGTTCAACAAGCCCTATTTGATCGTGTTTGGCCTCGACTACGAGTTCTTGCTCGTTCATCACCGTCCGATAAATATGTTCTGGTAATTAATTGTTTCCCAATTTCCTTATTCTAATAACTAATTAGCTTTAATTGTTTTCAATTCTTTTTCATTATTATTATTATTACTGATTATTATCAGGTTAAACACATGATCGAATCAAATATTAGTCCTAATAGGGAAGTTGTCGCGGTAACCGGAGATGGTACCAATGATGGTCCTGCCTTGAAAAAAGCCGATGTTGGATTCGCCATGGGAATTACTGGAACTGATGTAGCTAAAGAAGCTTCCGATATCATATTGACCGATGATAATTTCAGTAGTATTGTTAAGGCCGTTATGTGGGGTCGAAATGTTTACGATTCGATTGCTAAGTTTTTGCAATTCCAGTTAACGGTTAACGTTGTTGCTGTAATTGTTGCGTTCGTTGGTGCCTGTGCTATTGAGGTAAACCATTAATAATATCATCCATATCGATGATCAATTTTAATTGTTTTCCTTTTCATTAATCTAACAGGACAGTCCACTTCGAGCGGTTCAAATGCTTTGGGTCAATCTTATTATGGACACTTTAGCTTCCTTAGCTCTGGCTACTGAACCACCGACATTATCGTTACTATTTCGTAAACCTTATGGACGAACCAAGCCTTTAATATCACGAACTATGTTGAAAAACATTGTTGGTCAAACAATTTATCAACTTACTGTTGTTTTCTATTTTCTATTCCATGGTAAGTAATTAATTTATTTGTATTTTAATTGATTGTAAATAATTTACTTTCGTGTTCATATTATATGAAAATCAAACAATTTAATTGAATGAATGACTAACAATGAGTCAACAATATTTGAATTTCAATTAATATAATTGGAAACTTGAGCAAAACCCAAAACAAACAAAAAGTACATTGAATTTAAATTATTTTTAATTAATTACTATTAATATTGATTAATTAGCCTTGATTGTTTAATGCAATTTAATAATTAATCAAAGTGTGTCTACTGTGTTTTCACATTACTTTCAATTCAATTAATCTAATTTACTATCAATAATTATTTTTGAATTTTTTTTTCTTCTCTCGCTAACTGACAAATTCAATTAATTGATTATTAATTAACTCTGATTGTCCATTTATAGGTCACGTATTTTTCGATATTGATACCGGAATGTATGCCCCAATTGGTGCTCCTCCATCACAACATTTCACAATCATTTTTAATACTTTCGTGATGATGACACTTTTCAATGAGATTAATGCTCGTAAAATTCGTGGTGAACGAAATATTTTTGAAAATATAACTCGAAATCCAATTTTCTGTATTGTTATCATAGTAACTCTTGTTGGACAGGTAACTACAATTATCTTTTTACATGAAATAATTGATTGAGATTTTCAATTGGCTAATGTGTTTTTGTTTTTCCTTTTGTTAGGTTCTAATTGTTGAATTTGGAGGTCGAGCTTTTTCCGTTGCTCCATTAACACTAGAACAATGGATGTGGTGTATATTTTTTGGTGTCGGTGTCATGATTTGGGGACAGATACTTACCACAATTCCTAAGAGTATATTAACTAAAAAATTCTCAGTTGGACGTAAACCTCCGGAAGATTTGATCGTTGCCCCAGTTTCCATGTGGGACGATGGTAAACGGGAATCATATGCAAAAGATAAAGGTTCTGGACGAATCTTATGGGTTCGAGGTATTAAACGTCTTCAACATCAAGTAAGTTTTATCAAAATGATAGAAAATCAATTTGCTCATTTCACTAATTTCATTTATTTTATTAATCGTTTCAGATCCGCGTTGTTCATGCATTCCGAACGGGTGTAGATGGCCGATCAATTCCTTCCCAATCTCTATTACGAAGTGCATTCCTTCATTCCGCTCCGTCTATCGATGAGAAATCAATGAACGAAGCTCCATCATCAGAGAATGTAAATGTTGATAATCAAGCACACATTCGACTATCATCAGCACAAGAATGACTAATCTGAAAAGAGGCGATAGGAGAATATAAGAGATGCGAAGAAAAGCTGATTAATGTATTCAAATTGGAAAGATTTTCAGAAAAGAAAAGTCATCATTGTTACACATCAACGAATCGACTCGACAATCGAAAGAAATGAAAAGTTTACTAAAAGGAATTGGAAGAAAGAAAAGTTGTCACCGGAAACATTTCATCTTTTAAAAAGTAACATATTATACAAAGAAAGCGCATACACCCACTCAAATCATATTCATCCTCATAATCAACCAAAACAATTGAAACAAATCAAGTTTACTTAAACGGAATCTACTTTAAATTAAAGCAAATCAAAAAAAGAAACTGAATCAAGACAAAGTCAGATACAAATCAACTAACAAATAGAGAGACAGCTTATCACATCGCTAACAATTTAAAGCCCTTGTAATGAGTAATAAATGTTACCTTGTTTTACTCACCTGTTAATTAACGGTAAATTTAAAGTGACCTGAAAATTTTTGGAAGCAAAAGACAAACGAGACATTTAAATCTAATGGATTAGCAGAAAGGATTAACATCAACAATTGGAAATTGAATTGATATTTTTATCCAACTTTACCTTTTCAATTTAAAAACTTTTTCTCCTCATTTTTGGAAAACTTTTTTTTTCTCCAATAATTTGAATCAAAAATGTTACATTTCAAAAAGAAAGGCAAAAACAATATGAAAATTAATTAACAGTAATAATTAATATCAACCTAATTAATAAGTAATAGTAATAATGTTAAGGAAGATTTAAACAGAGAAATCAAATCAATAATTAAGCAAGAAAAATCTGCCTTCTGCCTATTTTGAATTAACCGTTTACCCAACTAAGTGCCCAGTTGGTTATAATCAAGCCATATAATTTATTCACAACAATTAACACCAGTTAACAATTAACGAAAATCAAATGTTGACAAAAAATACAATCCAGATAAAAGGAAACAATTCCAAGGAAAATCAGGAGGAAAACCATTAACCTTTACAATTTATAAATATACATAAATTGTTATCATGAAACATTTTAAATTATCAAAATTTAATGGTTTCTATTTTATTAATTAGTTAGAAGCTAATAACAATTAAAGCACTGGTGACGTTGAATAAAAACAAAAAAAGTGAAATTAATTGTTGGATAAACAATTTAAATTTCCTCTGTAAATTTGAATACAATTAATTAAAAATTAACTTATTGCAATAACAATAAACTATAAAAAAACAACAATTCCAATCAATTAATAAGAACCAATTTCATTAATCCAATTCTAATTAACTTGAACTTGAAAATTTTTCGCGAATTAATTTTAATCATCGAAATTAATCAAACCACTCAAAGTTTCTTCGATTAAAAGTATCAAAAATGTTTCATTCGAAATTATCGCCCGAGGGCAATAAAAAGAGGATTAAAATGATTAATTAAATTAACCTAAATAAAGGGAAAAAAGTCACAATTAACAATTAGAAAAAAGTAAAATTTGATTAATTTTTTTTTTCGAACTCAACGCAAATGCGCTGCCATCTGGTGGATCTTTTCCCAACTAATCCGAATTTCTTTTAACTCTTTGCTCATGCGGAGTTGAGGCAATGCTTTTGATGGTGAGACCGCAAGTGGAACACAATTAACAAATCTAATTGGAATAAGTTTAATAATTTTATAATGTTTTAATTGTTTTACTGTGAATCTGAATAACTGTTGAAACAATTTAAGTACCATGGAGATTGGATTTGGTAAAAGTTTCTCATTAAAACGAGAGGTAAGTTAAAGATGTTTGATTTTAAAAGTCTCTCTTATCTAACTAGGCCTTGATGTGTTGAATGTGTTTGTATTGTGAGATTTGTGATTGTTGTTGTTGCTCATTTATTAATTTGTGGTTCTTTTAATTGTAACTCTTTTCTTTCCTCATCATTTAGAGTCATTAGTGTTCAACCTGGTGATAGTATTTGTGTGTATTCATATTCTGATTGGAAAATATTATCTCTTTTGTTTTACCTTTTCTTCATTTTATTATTTCTCTTCCAATACCATGTTGGTTTTTCTTATTTTTTTTTCTCAATACATATAATACTCTTTTTTATTATTTTGCTATTTAGATATCAAGTGGATGTAGATCTTCAATACTCACGGATAAAATTGATTTTCGTTCTTTTTCTGGTGATGATTCTCTTGAGAAAAAGATCGACAGTTACGGGAAATACACTGTCCTTACTCCGGATCAACAGCAAACCAAATGGATAATACCCAAGAAAATAGATGCGGAGAAAAGTGTTGAAACAAATAAATCCATCAAATTACAAGCCTCTAATGGCTGTTTGACTCCTTCTTATGACGCTATCGGACCTCGTAAAGTTATTGTCTTTAATAAAAAAATTCATCTCGATTGGAAACAGGTAAGTTCGGTGAAAATGATAATAAGCCGGTTATTGGATTCACCCGACATCTCATATTATTATTTACACAGTAACTTACCTACATTATTATATGACTTTCCCTCTTAGGTTAATAAAGTAGGTGCTGGCCTTGTAAATCTAGGAAATACATGTTATATGAACTCAGTCTTGCAATGTTTAACTTATTGTCCACCTTTAATCAACTACCTTCTTTACACCGGTGATGATCACCATTCACATTGTAAGTATTTAGTAACATTTACCGTAGAGACCTAATCATTTATTCAGCTTGTATTAGATTCTGTTTTTTTATTCTCATTCTAATTCTCTCTTTTTTTGTGTATATTTTTTTTTCTAAGGTAAATTGTCGTCTTTCTGTATGATTTGTGAATTCCATCAGCATGTTCTGCGTTCCTACAACTGTCCAAATGGAGCCATTAAACCATCAAATATACACCTGAGACTTAAATCAATAGCGAGACATTTTCATCTAAATCGACAAGAAGATGCTCATGAATTTTTACGTTATGTTTTGGATCATATGTGGAAAAGTTGTACCACTAACTTTGAATTGACTCATAATACTATCAAATTAGAACCAAGGAGTAAGGAAACGACTGTGATTAATGAAATTTTCGGTGGTTATCATCGAAGTCAAGTAACTTGCTCGGTTTGCAAATCAAAAAGTGACACCCACGACTATTTTATGGACTTTATTCTTGATATCAAGGTAAATTTTACTCCAATTTCACCCAAATTTTTCATTCATTTTGTTTACATTTTATAACTAATCAAATTTATCATATTTCTTACAGGAAATCAGTAACTTAGAAGATGCGTTCAGAAAATTCACTCACCCTGAAATCCTTCAAAATGATAATGCTTATAAGTGCCCTAATTGTAAAAAGAAAGTCATGGCGACCAAAAGATTCACTGTTTACAAGCCGCCCAATGTAGCGACCATCCAATTCAAGCGATTTGATTATAATCGGATTTACGGGGGTAAAATTACTAAGAAAATAGCTTATCCTGATACATTCAATATTAGACCATTTATGTCAGACTCTAAGGTAATTGTTATTATCTTAACGGTGATATTTTTTTTCTTGTACAATAATAATAACAATGAAATAATCTTATTCTTTACAGGGGCCTCCAATTTTATACAAATTGAATGCTGTTCTAGTGCATTTAGGGTCCACTTCTAATTCTGGACATTATTATTGTTACGTAAAAGCTTCAAATGGCCTTTGGTACCTCATGGATGATGATAGAGTCATTAAAGTCAATATTAACCAAGTGCTTGACCAACAAGCTTACATATTATTTTATGTTCGCTGGTTGAACATTAACAATGGCTCATCAGATTTCAAGGTAAAAGTTTACGTTTAAAACCATTGATTTGGTTATTCAAATTTTCCTTTTATTTTTCTAATCTTATTTTACCTTTTTTTTGTTTTATTTGACTGCAGAAAATGAATTTAAATAACAATAACAACTCTAATCAAGTAAAGACAAACGGAATTTTGGATAACTGTCGTTCTATTACTGTTTATCCAAACGGCAATGGAAATATCAATAATATTAACAATTCTAATAATTCTAATAATAATATTAATAATAAATTGACCAACGGAGGATCACCATTTTGCAACTCAAACAACAAAATCAATGTAAATGGAAACCGTTTGCCAATTGTGTCCGATGATAAACCTTCATCAACTGGAAGCTCAGAAAGTGATACTTTACCTGGACAAACACGGCTAATGAAAATATCAAGCAATTCCCTAGTAGATTATGATGACGATTCTTCCGACGATGATTCGGATTCTTCTAATCCAGTTCAAAATGGTTTCACCAAGATAATGAATCCCAACAATCAGCTAAACGGAATTACCTCCAAGAAGGCGGAGAAAAGATTGAGAAAATTGAAGAAAAAGAACAAACGAAAAGATAAACGAAAACGAAAAAGGTATTCAGATGAATTAGAATGGGTAGAAAGGACTAAGGAGACTGTAGAAAAAGAGAGAAGAATAAAACATCAGATATGAGTTTAATTTTCGATCTCCCAACAAAAACTCCAATCACAAAATGGTTCATTTCATTTCTCCCTAATTGTCGAGAAGAAACAAAACAAAATCTTAACTGTCGAACTGCTGATGATCAACAATCGAATGAAATTTCGAATCATTTATCATCATTCTATCAGAGATTCTCTATTCCAAGTGACCCGTGAAAACAAATCGATTTAATTTCTCATCATATTAATCTACTAATTATCTGGATCATAAGTTTTAAATCATCGAAATTGATTTTTAATTATGATCCTCATCTCGGTTATCAAAAAGCTTCTTTCTTACCTTTTGGATCATTTTGTTTTCGGCAAATCAGTTTAATCGGTGAGAATTGGAATCAACTTATGAATTAAACAGATTTGTAGATTCGATTATTATTTAGAGTTTTGATTGTGAATTGAGCTGATTAATTAATTTAAACTAAATTAACTACTAATCTTTTAAAACACAATCAGAAGTTTTCCTAACTAATAATCAATATTTTTCTTCTCTGTTAACTGTAGTCATTAAATTGCTGAAAAACTCTTGGAGAAAAGACCCTGATGGATTAGGTGATTCAAGGTGATGATCAATTGGTTAATTAAATTTGATTTGATTTCGCGATTTAATTACTACCACAGCTAATATGCCAAATATGTTATTTTATTAATCTCGCAAGAAAAAAACACTGATCACTTTGTTCATCATCATGAAATCATCAACAGCTTGGCCTCTGTTTTAAATCATTTCCATGACAATTAGTTACCATATCAAGTTGATCGTTAATCATATTGGTTAAACAATTAAACCCCGATGCGGTAATTAACCATCTCCCAACAAGAAACAATTAAGGTTCATCCTTTGATTCCTTAATTCATTTCTTAATCTATTTTGTTTAATATTAACCAATTGTTTCGGGAAATAAACGAATGACAAACAAGTAAACAAAACAATTAAATTATTTTTCAATTGCTTCGATTGTCCCTACATTTTAATTCAATAATTAATCACAACAATTAACTTTCCATGGAAATTGAAAATCTATTTTCAACTTTTTCCTTTTTCCTTTTTATCACTTTTCTTTTTGGTTATCTTTTATTTTTCAATGTAATTAGTTAATCGTTGGAATGATTTTTTTGATTAGCTAATTAGTTAATTAGTTAATTAGTTGATCAGTTGGTTAATTGTTTTCCTCTGGTGAGAAACTTTTCATTTCGACTCCTCCTCTCATTGGATCAGCTGTTTGTCTATCGGATGCAAAGGAAACAATTTAATGTTTTCAATGTTTTTACTTGATGATTAGCTAATTACTTATTCTAATTGTGAAAAATGAGTGATTCAAATACTCCTCTTGATCGTGATAATTTTGTGGAAACTCAATTAAAATTAATTCAAATTGAATATGAAGCCGAAATTGAGAAAACAATGTAAGTAAACAAATGAAGAAAATTGATTTTCCAATCTAATGTAATGTAACCTTTAGTTTCTTGTTTCAATTAAATTGCTCATGACTAATTTTAATTTCTTTCTTTCTTAAATTGTTCCATTAATTGTGACTCTTTCCTTTCCTTTTCTGTTTGTTTTTTTTTTCAGAAATAATCAAAAGAATCTGAAATTAGTTGATTTGGTTCGTCAAGGAGTTTGTATTCACAAATTGAGATGTCTATCAACTCGGACTGGTTTGTTTCGTCGAGTTTTAATTACGTTGGCTCACAATCAAAGTGACAAACAATTACCTGCTCATAAAATCACCTGTGGTGATATAGTTTCAATCCATGAAGGTGCTGAATCTGAATCTCTCGCTTCGGGTGTTGTATATTCACTTAACTCAAACGCTGTCACAGTTGCATTTGAAAAAGAGTCGAACCTCAATTTGGATCAAGATTTTAATAATTACTGTTTAATTAAGATATCAAACGATGTCACATATAGAAGGCTGAAAAAGGCTTTAATTAATCTTCGCAATTATCCTGTTGGTGGGCGAGCATCGGCTCTCATTGATTTACTATTTGGCTGTCGATTACCAGGTCGTCCTAATGTAATTGGACCGATTGAATTTTTCAACAGTCGATTGGACGATTCTCAAAAGGAAGCCGTGACCTTTGCTCTTCGGTCAAGAGATCTATGTATTATCCATGGTCCACCCGGAACGGGAAAAACTACCAGTATAGTTGAGGTCATTCTTCAACATGTGAAAAGAGGGCTGAGGGTCTTGGTCTGTGCTCCATCCAATGTGGCAGTTGATAATCTTGTCGAAAGATTGGCCTCATTTAAAGCCCGGAATATGATTCGATTAGGTCATCCAGCCCGAGCTTCGAGTGATATTCAAAAGTTCACTTTGGATGCAGCGATAGCTCGTTCTGATGAGAATACAATTGTCGAAGAGATCAGACAAGAGGTTGATAGTTTAAGGAGCTCACGAGATCGTAGTAAACGCTCACAGATCACTGAGCTACTGAAAGATTTGAAACAACGCGAAAGAAGCATCATAAAGCGAGTACTTAGTGGCTGTGAAATCGTCCTAGCAACTTTGGTCAGTTCCTCGCGCGATGGTCCACTTAAACATCTAATAAACGATCCTGATAAAAACTTTGATGTCCTCATAATCGACGAGTGTTCCCAAGCCCTTGAATCGGCTTGTTGGATACCGTTGACCTACGTTGACAAGTGTATTCTCGCCGGTGATCATTATCAATTACCTCCGACAATTATTTCCGAAACAGCGGCCAAAGAAGGCCTTGAGTTAACTTTGATGGAGAGACTTCTTTCCCGATTCGATCACGAAAAAGTGGTTCGTATGTTAACGGTACAATATCGAATGCACCAGAAAATAATGGAATGGTCTTCCAAAAGTTTCTATTCCAACAAATTAACTGCTCATCAATCAGTAGAAAATCAATCAATGTCCGAAATCAGTAATTTAACTGATTGTCCACCCTTATTGTTGATCGACACCGCGGGTTGTGATATGCCAGAACTTGATCTGGAGGAAGAAGAATCCAAAGGAAATGAACACGAAGCCGACATAGCGGCCTCTTATGTGACCTATTTAATTACCAACGGTGTTAAACCTGAACACATTGGTATAATTACTCCGTACAATTTGCAGGTTGAATTGATTAGACTTCGACTGAATGAAAAACACCCTGGCGTTGAGATACGTTCAGTCGACGGGTTTCAGGGCCGAGAAAAGGAAGTAATTATTTTATCACTCGTTCGGTCAAACGAAAATAAATCAACTGGATTTCTATGTGAATATCGACGTATCAATGTGGCCGTAACTCGAGCCAAGAAACACCTTGTTGTCATTTGCGATTCCGACACTGTGACAGCAGAAAAACACATCTCATCATTAGTTGATTATCTCAATGATAACGGAGATGTGAGATCAGCTCATGAATATTTAAATTCGATGGAAACATTCAAAGATATTGAAAGACCTCAACATTTAAGGTTCAAGGAGATGAAAAAAGAGACAATTAAGAAACAATCAAAAGTTACTCAACAAGAAAAAGGAAAAAAATCAAATCAATCAACCAAAAAGGAACAACAATCAACAACCAAAACAAGTACAAGTAGAACTCAAGAAGAAAATGAAAACATTGAGAAAACAATTCGAGATAAATTGTTGGACTTTAAATCGTCATCCAAACTTGAATATTCATTTCCACCGTCTTTGACCTCATTTGAACGGCGAGTTGTTCATTATATTGCCGATGAATTGAACTTGTCTCATGAAAGTCAAGGCGAAGGCGACAATAGGCACATTATCGTGAAGAAAATTGTCCCGAAAAGTAGTCCAATCAAAGTGCCGAAAGAAGCTTCGAGTCCTCAGAAAGAGGAGATTAAACAATCAACTGAAGAACCCGAAACAATTAGTTTGAAAGAAGAAACATCTTCAACAATCAACAAAGAACAATTAAAAAAGAAAGCGAAAAAATCGAAAGTCAAAAAGTCCAATCAACCAGAAGAAATTGTTTCCACCGTTAGTACTAAACCTTTCACCTCTGTCCAGAAAAAACCCCCAGCAACAATATTGACCAAGAACTTTGACCTTAATAGTAAATTGGACAAACTTGATGATTTCGACGAAATGTTAGAACTGGTCAAGCAAATGGATTCCGTTTGTTTCTTTATCAAATGTAAAGTGAAAACAGCGACTTTAGGTCAAAATTGTCAATTCTGTAAAAAAAGATTTTGTTTGGCCCATTCGATGCCCGAAATTCATGGATGTGGTGATGCCGTTCGTGCCTATGCTCGAAGTACAGTCCGTAAAGAAGGTAAAATTTATCCTGGACTTGGAATTCCGAGTAAAAAACCCGATCCCGTTAAAAGATCACAATTAGAAAGGAAGATGAATAAAAAAATGGAGGAAATGAGCTCGAAAAGGAAAACACAACCCAAGAAGGATTAACTAATTGTATAAAATTAAATATTCTGTTTACTAAATAGTTAACTAATCGACAAACGATCCATTGGTTTTACAATTAAAATCATTTTCATCAAACAACAACAATTAACCCATTTGAATTTAATCAATTTCTCTTGATGATTAAATCAATTGACTTAACTGAAAAAGAATCAGGCATTAAAATAACTTGAAGTATAAATTTAATCACATCGATAGAAACAAATTATTTTGTTGTATAACTAGAATCGAATTAGTCAACTGATTAATCCCCCGTTTGATTGTTAATAAATTTAGAATAGATCAATCTACTAATTACTTGGTAATTATTACCTCATGTTTAACGTAATTGGATGAGACAAATTATGATCAAATTGTTAGGTGAAATTGGATTAAACCAACAATCTCTCATATAGAGCAAATGTATCGATATGCAAACCGAAGGTAACAACTTTAAATTACCAAAAACCTTTTTCTTCAAAATCGTTGTCTTATTTACGGAAGAATCCGCTTATCCTTTACATTGAACCACTAGACTGTAGGTCTTAATATCCCAAAGCAATGGAAATCTTTTCTTGTATAATCCCGAGGCGGTAATTAATTGATCAGTAGGTTAATTGTTTTCCTCTGGTGGAATATTTTATTTCTATTCCTCATCTCTGCATAAACTGTTCGTCCATCGGATGAAAAGGTTGTTCGTACAAAATGAGTGATTCAAAAGCTTTAGTTTTAAATATCGTGGAAAAACAAAGAAAACTTATTAAAATTGAATACGAAGCCGAAAAGGATAAAACAAAGTAAGTAAACTATTGTGAGGAACTTGATTTTCCAATCTAATGTAACCTTTAGTTTCCCGTTGTTTGATGTCTCTCTTTAATTGTTACTCTATTCTGTCCTTTTCTGCTGTTTTTTTCAGTGTTAAACGAGAAATCTTGGTCAGCCAAGGGCTTTGTATTCAGAACTTGAAATCTCTTTCAACTGTAAATGGTTTGCAAGGTCTGAGTTTAATTACATTTACTGACAATCGAAGCAACAAGCAATTGGATGATCATAAAATTACCTGTGGTGATCATGTTCTAATCAGATCCTCGAAAGATGATAAAACAACTAAAGGACCTTCGGGTATTGTTTATTTACTAGACTCAGATGAGATCACAGTGGCCTTAGATAAAGAATCGGATCAAGTTTTCAGTGATTGTTGTTTGATTAAACAAACCGTTGATACCACGTATAAAAGATTAGAAAAGGCTGTGAATACCATTCGTGCTAATACTGTTGTTGGGCGAACATCGCCTCTCATTGATTTATTACTTGGTTGTCGATTACCAGGTAACCTTAATGAAATTGGACCGATTGAGTTTATCAACAGTCGATTGGACGATTCTCAAAAGGAAGCCGTGACCTTTGCGCTTCGATCAAAGGATTTATGTATCATCCATGGACCACCAGGAACGGGAAAAACTACCAGTATTGTTGAGGTCATTCTTCAGCTCGTGAAAAGAGGCCTTAAAGTGCTGGTCTGTGCTCCATCCAATATCGCCATTGATAATCTGGTCGGAAGATTAGCCTCATTTAAGATAGAAAATATGATTCGATTAGGTCATCCGGCCAGAGCTTCGGAAAATGTTCTTAAGTTCACCTTAGAAGCTGCTATTGCTCGTAACGTTGAGAATGATACTGTCAAAAAGATCAGACAAGACATTGATTCATCACGAGAACTTGGTGAATGGGCAAAGATCACTAAGCTAATGACGGATTTGAAAAGCCACAAAAAGGGTTCGATAAAACAAATACTAAGTAGCTCTAATATAATCTTGGCAACTTTGGTGAGTTCCTCGAGCGATGGTCCTCTTCAACATTTAGATGATCCTGATAAACACTTTGATGTCCTTATAATCGACGAGTGTTCTCAAGCCACCGAAGTGGCCTGTTGGATACCGTTGACCTACGTTGACAAGTGTATTCTCTCTGGTGATCATTATCAACTTCCTCCTACAGTTATAACAACAACTGCGGCTAAAAAAGATCTCGAATTATCTTTGATGGAGAGACTTCTTTCCCGCTTCGATCACGAAAAAGTGGTTCGTATGTTGACTGTACAATATCGAATGCACCAGAAAATAATGGAATGGTCTTCCAAAAGTTTCTACTCCAACAAGTTAATAGCTCATCAATCGGTTGAGAATCAATCAATGTCAGAGATCAGTAGACTAACGGATTGTCCACCTTTACTTTTGATTGATACCGCGGGTTGTGATATGCCAGAACTTTATCTAAGGTCAAATGGATCCAATGGAAATGAATATGAAGCCAGTATAGCAGCGATTTATGTCGACTATTTAATAGACAAAGGTGTTAAACCTGAACATATCGGTATAGTTACTCCGTACAATTTGCAGGTTGAATTGATTAGACAACGATTAAAGCGTAGTCATCCTGGTGTTGAGATACGTTCAGTCGACGGGTTTCAAGGCCGAGAAAAAGAGGTCATTATTTTATCACTTGTTCGGTCAAACGCAAAAAAAGCAACTGGATTTCTCCGTGAATATCGACGGATCAATGTGGCCGTAACTCGAGCCAAGAAACACCTCGTTGTCATTTGCGATTCCGATACTGTCTCAGCAGAAACGCACATCTCATCATTGATTGATCATCTCAAAATCAACGGTAAAGTGAAATCAGCTAGTGAATATTCAGATTTAATAAGAGCACGAAATCAACAACAACCCGTCAGAAAACGGATGAGATTTATTTGAATAAATTCAATTCATCAACAATAAGTTGCCTCCACTTTGAGCATTTTGCATCATCTTAATGCAACACATTATTACATTTGCTTGTACCTTTAATAATAATTATCGATTGTTTCATCATAAATTTGAGCAAAAATCAAAATAAATTGCTTTACTTATTGCTTGGTAATAATTACTTCATGCTTGATGTAATTGGATGATTAGTTTGTTGGGTGAAAAGTAAGAAGAAATTAAATTACACTAACAATTTTTCATTAATAGTAATTGTATCCAAGGCAAACCAAAGGTGAAAACTTTTTTCTTCACAATTACAACAACGCCGGTGCCTTAGTTATCTAGGTTTATCTCACGACATTTGTCATCAACCACCTCGTCGAGGTCACTTAATCGTAGTCCTATTTACGGAAGAAACTGTTTAACCTTCAAATTGAACCACTAACCTCATAGAATTTATTATCTTGATGAAATGAAATCTTTTCTTGTATAGTCCCAAGACGGTGATTAATTGATCAGTAGGGTAATTTTTCTCAGTGGGTGAGAAATCCTATTCCTCATCTCATCACAAACTGTTTGTCTATCGGATGAAAAGGTTAATCTTACAAAATGAGTGATTCAAAAGCTTTAGTTAAAGATTTCGTGGAAAAACAAAGAAAACTGATTAAAATTGAATACGAAGCCGAAAAGGAGAAAACAGAGTAAGTAAAAAATTGTGAGGAAATTGATTTCCAATCTGATTTAACCTCTAGTTTCTTTTAATTAACTTTTGATTAAATTGTGACTCTTTCCTGTCCTTTTCTATTCAAAAAACAGTCTCAATTTATCTGATTTGGTTCGCCAAGGAGTTTGTATTCTGAATTTGCGATGTCTATCAACTGAAGTTGGTTTACTTGGTCGATCGTTAATTACTTTTACTCACAACCGCTTTGATAGACAATTACCTTCTCATAAAATTACCTGTGGTGAAACCGTTAAAATCAGTAAAGGAAAAGGCTATTGTGCTGCTGGCGTTGTGTGTTACCTAAACTCGAATAAAATTACTGTGGCCTTAGATGACGAGCTACAACTCTGTTTTAATATGAATTTTACAAATTACTGTTTAATTAAAGAATCAACCGATGTCACTTACAGAAGATTAGAAAAGACTTTGGATCTGCTTGATAATTTTTCCGTCAGTAAGCGCTCTGAAACTTTGATTGATTTACTACTTGGATGTCGATTACCAGGTAACCTTAATGAAATTGGACCGATTGAGTTTATCAACAGTCGATTGGACGATTCTCAAAAGGAAGCCGTGACCTTTGCGCTGCAGTCAAAGAATCTATGTATCATCCATGGTCCACCAGGAACGGGGAAAACTACCACTATTGTTGAGGTCATTCTTCAGCTTGTGGAAAAAGGCCGTAAAGTGCTGGTCTGTGCTCCATCTAACATTGCCATTGATAATTTGGTCGAAAGATTAGCCTCATTTGAAGTACGAAATATGATTCGATTAGGTCATCCAGCTAGAGCTTCGATGGATGTTCAATGGTTTACTTTGGACGCAGTGATAAATCGTACTTATGAAATGACATTTGTCCAGAAGATCAGAAATGAAATTGATATTTTACGAAGCTTTCGAGATCATTCTAAATCAAATCAGATTCCTCAGCTACTAAAAGATATGAAAAAACAGGAATTGAAAATATTAAAGGAAGCATTAAGTAATTGTGATATCGTCTTATCAACTTTACTCAGCTCCTCAAGCGATGGTCCTCTTCAATATTTAGAAGATCATGAAAACCACTTTGATGTTCTCATAATCGACGAGTGTTCTCAAGCCATCGAAATGGCCTGTTGGATACCGTTAACTCTCGTTAAAAAGTGTATTCTCGCCGGCGATCATTATCAACTACCTCCGACAGTTATAACAAAAACTGCGGCTAAAAAAGATCTCGAATTATCTTTGATGGAGAGACTTCTTTCCCGATTCGATCACGAAAATGTGGTTCGCATGTTAACGGTACAATATCGAATGCACCAGAAAATAATGGAATGGTCCTCTAAAAGTTTCTATTCCAACAAGTTAATTGCTCATCAATCGGTAGAGAATCAATCAATGTCCGAAATCAGTAATTTAACTGATTGTCCACCCTTATTGTTGATCGATACCGCGGGCTGTGATATGCAAGAACTTGACCAGACTTCGAAGGAATCCAAGGGAAACGAATACGAAGCCAGCATAGCAGCTCTTTATGTCAACTATTTAATAAATAAAGGGGTTAAACCCGAGTGCATTGGTATAATTACTCCGTACAATTTGCAGATTGAACTGATCAAATATCGATTGAGTCGTAAGTATCCTGATGTTGAGATACGTTCAGTCGACGGGTTTCAAGGCCGAGAAAAGGAAGTGATTATTTTATCACTTGTCCGATCAAACGCAAAAAAAGCAACTGGTTTCCTTCGTGAATATCGACGTATCAATGTGGCCGTAACTCGAGCCAAGAAACACCTTGTTGTCATTTGTGATTCCGACACTGTCTCAGCAGAAAAGCACATCTCATCATTGATTGATCATCTCAAAGCTAACGGTAAAGTGAAATCAGGTCATGAATATTCAAAGTATATGAGACCACGAAATTATCAAAATCCCATCAGAAAACGATCAAGGTTCAATTGAATTCTTTCAGATCTTTTACACCACTCTGAGCATTTGAGTCATTTTAATCCCTGCAATCAATAATTTGATTGTAATTTTAGAAAAAATCAAAATAAATTGTTTCTCATTGCTTGATAAAATTACTTCATGATTAACAGAAAAGAATTAAAGAAATTAAATTGCAACAATTTCTCATTAATAGTAATTGTATCTCTAGGCAAACCAAAGGTGAAAACTTATAAATAAAAACAAATTTTTCTTTGCAATCATTGTCAATCGTTTTCACACCAATTTCATTTCATGGTAAATCTCACGAAATTTGTCATCAACCGACTCGTCGAGGTCACTTAGTTTAATCGTTTCTTTATTTACGGAAGAATCCGCTTATTCTTCGCTTTAAACCATCAGACTCTAGGTCTTAATATCCTAAATCTTTTCTTGTATAATCCCGAAGCGGTAATTAATTGATAAGTAAATTAATTTTTCTCCTCTGGTGGAATATTTTATTTCTACTTCTCATCTCTTCACAAACTGTTCGTCCATCAGATGAAAAGGTTGTTCGTGCAAAATGAGTGATACAAAGACTCTAGTTAAAGATTTCGTGAAAAAACAAAGAAAACTTATTGAAATTGAATACGAAGCCGAAAAGGAGAAAACAGAGTAAGTAAACAATTGAAAAAAATTGATTTTCTAATCTAATGTAACCTTTAATTACAATTTAATTGATGTTTCTCTTAAATAGTTTCATTTCTTTCCTTTTCTTACCTTTTCTATTTTCAGTGTTGATCGAAAGGTCCTCGTTAGCCAAGGGCTTTGTATTCAGAACTTGAAATCTCTTCGGACTGTGTGTGGTTTGCAAGGTCGGATTTTAATCACTTTTACTCGCAATCTAAGATACGAGCAGCAATTAGGTGCTCATAAAATTACCTGTGGTGATAATGTTTCAATTGAGGAATCGGGTGGAGGAAATACACGTGCTTCGGGTGTTGTTCGTTCAATAAACTCATATGATATCACAGTGGCCTTAGAAAGAGAGTCAAATGAAAGTTTGGATGAAGGTTTAGACGATATCGATTTGATTAAAAAATCATATGATGTCACGTATAGAAGATTAAAAGATGCTTTAAATGAAATTCGTTTTAATTGGAAAGCATCGCCTCTCGTTGATTTACTAATTGGATGTCGATTACCAGGTAGCCTTAAAGAAATTGAACCGTTTGAATTTATCAACCTTCGATTGGACGATTCTCAAAAGGAAGCCGTGACCTTTGCTCTTCAGTCAAGAGATCTATGTATCATCCATGGTCCACCAGGAACGGGGAAAACTACCACTATTGTTGAGGTCATTCTTCAGCTTGTGAAAAAAGGCCGTAAAGTGCTGGTCTGTGCACCATCCAACATTGCCATTGATAATCTAGTGGAAAAATTAGCTTCATTTGATGTACGGAATATGATTCGATTAGGTGATCCGGCACGAGCTTCGAGTGATATTCAATGGTTTACTTTGGACGCAGTGATAGATCGTACTTATGAAATGATATTTGTCAAAAAGATTCGATATAGAATTGATATTTTACGCCGCTCTCAAGATCGTTCTAACTTAGCTCAGATTCAAAATCTACTCTTTGATATGAAAAGACAAGAATTAAGAATATATAAGCAAGTATTGCGTGGATGTGATATCGTCTTGTCTACTTTGGTCACTTCCTCGAGCGATGGGCCTCTTCAACACTTGGGTAACCCTGGAAAATACTTTGATGTCCTCATAATCGACGAGTGCTCTCAAGCCATCGAAGTGGCCTGTTGGATACCGTTAACTCTCGTTAAAAAGTGTATTCTCGCCGGCGATCATTATCAACTACCTCCGACAGTTATAACAAAAACTGCGGCTAAAAAAGATCTCGAATTATCTTTGATGGAGAGACTTCTTTCCCGATTTGACCACGAAAAAGTGGTTCGTATGTTAACGGTACAATATCGAATGCACAAGAAAATAATGGAATGGCCTTCTCAAAGTTTCTACTCCAACAAATTAACTGCTCATCAATCGGTAGAGAATCAATCAATGTCCGAAATCAGTAACTTATCTGATTGTCCGCCCTTATTATTGATCGACACTGCGGGTTGTGATATGCAAGAACTGTATCAAAAGTCCAGTGTATCTAATGGAAATGAATACGAAGCCAGCATAGCAGCGATTTATGTCGACTATTTAATAGACAAAGGTGTTAAACCTCAACATATCGGCATAATTACTCCGTACAACTTGCAGATTGAATTGATCAAATTACGATTGCATCGTAATCATCCCGATGTTGAGATACGTTCAGTCGACGGGTTTCAAGGCCGAGAAAAAGAAGTCATTATTTTATCACTTGTTCGATCAAACGCTAAAAAAGCAACTGGTTTCCTTCGTGAATATCGACGGATCAATGTGGCCGTAACTCGAGCCAAGAAACATCTTGTTGTCATTTGCGATTCCGACACTGTCTCAGCAGAAACGCACATCTCATCATTAATTGATCATCTCAAAATCAACGGTAAAGTGAAATCAGCTTATGAATATTTGAAATCTAAGCGAACACGAAATTATCATCAACCCATAAGAAAGCGCATCAGATTCAATTGAATAATCAATAAAAAATTGCCTTCAAACAACAACAATTAGCCCATTTTCAAATATGAAATCAATTTTTTGATGAGTTAATCAACATCTTAACCGAATAAGATTTATAAACAATTTGACAATTTACAAATAGAGTTTAAATTTAAGCACATCGATAGAAGCAAATTAATAATTTGTTCATTGGAACTAAATTAGTCGACGGATCAATTATACAATTGATTATTAATGAATTTAGAATAAATTTATTTACTATTTAAAAAATATTATCAAATTTTTGATAGAAATTGAATTGGACCAACAATCTTTCATTAAGAGCAAATGAATCGAAGGTAAAAACTTTAAATTAACAAAAATATTTTCTTCACAATCATTTTCATGGTGAATCGCACGACATTTGTCATCAACCACCTCGTCGAGGTCACTTAGTTTAATCGTTGTCTTATTTTCGGAAGAAACCGCTTATCCTTTACTTTGAACCACTAGACTGTAGGTCTTAATATCCTAAATCTTTTCTTGTATAATCCCGAAGCAGTAATTAATTGATCAGTAGATTAAATTTTCTCCTCTGGTGGAATATCTTATTTCTATTCCTCATCTCTTCACAAACTGTTCGTCCATCGGATGAAAAGGTTGTTCGTGCAAAATGAGTGATTCAAAAGCTCTAGTTTTAGATTTCGTGGAAAAACAAAGAAAACTGATTAAAATTGAATACGAAGCCGAGAAGGAGAAAACAGAGTAAGTAAACAATTGAGAGAAATTGATTTTCTAATCTAATTTAACTTTCAGGTTCTTGTTTCGATTTGATTTCTTGTCATCACCTATGATTGAATTGTGACTCTTTCCTTTCCTTTTCCATGTAACAATAGTCTCCATATATTTGATTTGGCTCGCCAAGGAGTTTGTATTCTAAATTTGCGATGTCTATCAACTGAAGTTGGTTTACTTGGTCGATCGTTAATTACTTTTACTCACAATCGCTTTGATAGATCATTACCTTCTCATAAAATTACCTGTGGTGAAAACGTTAAAATCAGTAAAGGTTACAACAAAGAGTCTATTGCTAAGGGTGTTGTTTCTAAACGCAAATGAAATCACTGTGACCATAGATGGAGAGTCGCAACTCTGTTTGAATAACGATTTTACTAATTACTGTTTACTTAAAGAATCGATCGATGTCACTTACAAAAGATTAGAAAAGGCTTTGGATATGCTTCAAGACTGTTCTGTTGACGGGCGAGCGTGGACTTTGATTGATTTACTAATTGGATGTCGATTACCAGGTAGCCTTAAAGAAATTGAACCGTTTGAATTTATCAACCTTCGATTGAACGATTCTCAAAAGGAAGCCGTGACCTTTGCGCTGCAGTCAAAGAATCTATGTATCATCCATGGTCCACCAGGAACGGGGAAAACTACCACTATTGTTGAGGTCATTCTTCAACTTGTGAAAAAAGGCCGTAAAGTGCTGGTCTGTGCTCCATCTAACATTGCCATTGATAATCTGGTCGGAAGATTAGCTTCATTTGATGCACGGAATATGATTCGATTAGGTGATCCTGCACGAGCTTCGAGTGAAATGCAATGGTTTACTTTGGACGCAGTGATAGATCGTTCTTATGAAATGACATTTGTCAACAAGATCCGAAATGAAATTGTCAAATTACGAAACTCTCGAGGTCGTTCTAAACAAGATCTGATCGATAATTTACTTGTTAATTTGAAAACACAGGAAAGGAAAATATTAAAGCAAGCATTAAGTAATTGTGATATCGTCTTATCAACTTTACTCAGCTCCTCAAGCGATGGTCCTCTTCAATATTTAGAAGATCATGAAAACCACTTTGATGTCCTCATAATCCACGAGTGTTCTCAAGCCACCGAAGTGGCCTGTTGGATACCTTTAACTTTCGTTGATAAGTGTATTCTTTCTGGTGACCATTATCAACTTCCTCCGACAGTTATTTCGCAAACTGCGGCTAAAGAAGGTCTCGAAGTAACTTTGATGGAGAGACTTCTTTCCCGTTTTGACCACGAAAATGTGGTTCGCATGTTAACGGTACAATATCGAATGCACCAGAAAATAATGGAATGGTCTTCCAAAAGTTTCTACTCGAATAAATTAACTGCTCATCATTCGGTGAAAAATCAATCAATGTCCAAGATCAGTAATTTAACTGATTGTCCACCCTTATTGTTGATCGACACCGCAGGTTGTGATATGCCAGAACTTGACCATACTTCGAAGGAATCCAAGGGAAATGAATACGAAGCCAGCATTGCAGCTCTTTATGTCAACTATTTAATAATTAGAGGTGTTGAACCAGAGTCCATTGGTATAATTACTCCGTACAATTTGCAGATTGAATTGATCAAATTACGATTGAATCGTAAACATCCCGGTGTTGAGGTAGGTTTAGTCGACGGGTTTCAAGGTCGAGAAAAAGAGGTCATTATTTTATCACTTGTTCGGTCAAACAGAAATAAATCAACTGGATTTTTATGTGAATATCGATGGATTAATGTGGCCGTAACTCGAGCCAAGAAACACCTTGTTGTCATTTGCGATTCCGACACTGTCTCAGCAGAAACGCACATCTCATCATTAATTGATCATCTCAAAGCTAACGGTAAAGTAAAATCAGGTAGTGAATATTCAAAGTATATGAGACCACGAAATTATCAAAATCCCATTAGAAAACGATCAAGGTTCAATTGAATAAATCAAATTCAGAGTATTTCCACCACACTGAGCATTTTGTATAATCTTACAATTTTTGTTAATTCAATCCTTTATTAAATTTACTTTTCTTAATAATGATTATTGATTGTTTCAACGTTAATTTGAGCAGAAATGAAAATAAATTCCTTTACTAATTGCTTGGTAATAATTACTCTATGCTTGATGTAATTGGATGATTAGTTTGTTGGGTGAAATGTTAGAAGAAATTAAATTACACCAACAATTTCTCATTAATAGTAATTGTATCTCCATGCAAACCAAAGGTGAAAACTTGTAAATAGAGAAACTTTTTTACTTCGCAATCATAACAACATCGCCTTCGATTTCTAGGTCAATTTCGCGACAATTGTCATCGTAAACTCGACAGTCGAGTCCAGTTTCTTCATTCGTTAACTTAATTACTGATTTTCGGGGAAAACTACAAAAAAATAGCTCATCTTTAGACTCTAAAATATTATTATTATCCTAAGACAATTTAAATCTTTTCTTGTACAATCCCGAATCGGCAAATAATCAACAATAAACAATTAAAGTCTATAAGACAAATTAGAGTATTTTTACTCTTTGATCTAAGATATTCGACTCCTTAATTAATTGAGTTTATCAGCCAAAAATTTCGGGATATAAAGTGCGTTTATCTTTGAAGACAAATAAGTAAACAATTAGATTATTATTGCCGTACCACTTTAAAGATAATTCAGTGATTATAAATCAATTAACTGTCCATCGAAATAGACAACCGATGTTCACTTTCTCACTTGTGTTCTAAGCTTCATTTTAATTAGTTGTTCATCCAAAAGTAGATGATCAGTTGATTGTTTTCCTCTAGCGAGTAAGTTTCTATTTCTAGTCCTCATCTTATTTCATCAACTGATTGTCTATCGGATTTAACTGATAATTGGGTAAAATGAGTGATTCAATTACTCCTGTTGATCGAGATGAGTTTGTGGAAACTCAATTAAAACTGATTAAAATTGAACACGAAGCCGAAAAGGCGAAAACAAGGTAAGTAAACAATTGAAGAGAGAAATTGATTTTCCAATCTAATGTAACCTTTAGTTTCTTGATTCGATTTGATTGTTTGTAATTAATCCTTGATAATTAATTCTTCATGAATTGTCCCAATTAATTGTGACTCTTTCCTTTCCTTTTTTGTTGTTCCATTTTCAGAAATAAGCAAAATTATCTCAATTTAGCTGATTTGGTTCGCCAAGGAATTTGTATTCGAGATCTGCAGTGTTTATCCTCTGAGGAGGGTTTGTATGGGCGACACTTGATTACTTTAGGTCTCATTGATGAACAATTACCTTCTCACAAAATTACCTGTGGTGATAACGTTTCAATCTGCAGAATTTGCGAACCTGAGTTGCCCCTCGCTTCGGGTGTTGTTTATTTACTCAACTCAGATGAGATCACAGTTGTCTTCGATATAAAGCCGAACCTTTATGGATATAGAGAATCTATTAGATATTGCTTAATTAAACAATCAGTGGATGTTACGCATAAAAGATTACAAAAGGCTTTAATTAACCTCCGTGATTATCCTGCTGTTGGGCGAGCATCGGCTCTCATTGATTTACTACTTGGTTGTCAATTACCGGCTCGTCCTAATGAAATTGAACCGATTGAGTTTATCAACAGTCGATTGGACGATTCTCAAAAGGAGGCCGTGACCTTTGCGCTTCGATCGAAGGATTTATGTATCATCCATGGACCACCAGGAACGGGAAAAACTACCAGTATTGTTGAGGTCATTCTTCAGCATGTGAAACGAGGCCTTAAAGTGCTAGTCTGTGCTCCATCTAATGTGGCTGTTGATAATCTGGTCGAGAGATTAGCTTCATTTAAGACACAGAATATGGTTCGATTGGGTCATCCGGCCAGAGCTTCGAGTGATATTCATAAGTTCACATTGGACGCAGTCGTCGAAAAGGCAAGACAAAAAGATTTTGATGATTTTGGGAGCTCATTGAAACACGAAGAAACCATATTGCACAAAGTACTAAGTGATTGCGATATCATCTTGTCCACTTTGGCCAATTCCTCGAGCGATGGTCCTCTTCAACATTTAGATGATCCTGATAAATTCTTTGATGTCCTCATAATCGACGAGTGTTCTCAAGCCACCGAAGTGTCCTGTTGGATACCATTACTTCACATTGGAAAGTGTATTCTCTCTGGTGATCATTATCAACTTCCTCCGACAGTTATTTCGCAAATTGCGGCTAGAGATGGTCTCGAAGTAACTTTGATGGAGAGACTTCTTTCCCGATTCGATCACGAAAATTTGGTTCGTATGTTAACGGTACAATATCGAATGCACCAGAAAATAATGGAATGGTCTTCCAAAAATTTCTATTCGAATGAGTTAACTGCTCATCATTCGGTGAAAAATCAATCAATGTCCGAGATCAGTAGACTTAAGGATTGTCCACCATTATTGTTGATCGACACCGCGGGTTGTGATATGCATGAACTTGAGCATACTTCGAAGGAATCTAAGGGAAATAAACACGAGGCCGAAATAGCGGCCACTTATGTCCGCTATTTAATTAATAATGGTGTTAAACCCGAGCACATTGGTATAACTACTCCGTACAATTTGCAGATTGAATTGATTAGATCGCAGTTGAAGGGAAAACGCATGCATGATGTCGAAATACGGTCAGTGGACGCGTTTCAAGGTCGAGAAAAAGAGGTCATCATTTTTTCACTTGTTCGATCAAACGACTGCAGATCAACCGGATTTCTCAGTGAATACCGAAGGATTCCGAAACTGTCTCAGCAGAATTGCACATCTCGTCATTAATTAATTATCTCAATAAAAACGGTGAAGTGAGATCAGCTCGTTCCTATCTTAATTCAGCCAAGATGCAAAAATCTTTCTCAAGTAATGAAGACATTGAGAAAACAATTTACGATCAATGGGGTAATTTCAAATTATCAGCTGATGAATTCCCAGCACTTTAAGTATTTTGTACCTTTCTAATTAATTGCATGATTAAATTTACTCTTTCCCTATTTCTTGTTTAAAATCATTGTGGTGGTTAATCAATTGTCAACACAAGTTTAATGTTATTACTAAAATAAAATGATTAAGAATCTGATTAAAGTGACTAATTACAATCAATTACAGTTAAGGGTTAAATTGGTCTTATGATCATTTTCTGAGTGAGAGTTTATCGAAATATATTCACGATTGACCTTGACTCGAAAGTGTCATCATCGGATAGTTCAAGATTAGTTCTGATTTGGTCATTCGATTGGTTCGATGTCACTTCTTCTGTGTTTTCGTAATCACAAAACCAAAGGTAAAACTTTACATAGAGAAACTTTTTTCTTCACAATCATAATGACATCGACATCTTCAAGGTCACAAGGCTCGTAATGTCGCTAACATTCAGTTCAAGCGTCTTGATTAAAATCGGATTCACGGGCGTAAATTACAACCAATTAGTTGATCCTGAGAGAGAGAGAGCAATTAATATTGATGGAGTTGTAGTTGTGACATTTAGACCCTGGGCTCTTGCAAATAATTAATTAAATAAGATTGATTAGATTCTGACCTAAGATCAGTTTACCGAAACTTAAAATTTTCAGATCTTAAATGTGTGCTAATCATTTTTTACGATCTGAACTGCGGTTTAGGAAAAATCGTTAAAAACGGAAAAATTGTCTTAATTGTTTTCTGATTTAACTACAATTCATACAAAGTTGACCTTGGTATCTTACGATAGGTTAATGTCCATTCTATATGATCGTAATTTTACAGAATTTGAACATTTCATCTTTTTCGAATCAACCCCAAAACTCGTATTCCAAAGTGCAATAAACGCCCTCTCATCCATTTTGCAACTTCTCTTTCTCTCATAAGTCTCTCTACTCTTTTCTTGTATAATCCCAATGCGGTAATTAACCAACAACAAACAATTAAGGTTCTTAAGATCTTTTGATTCGTTAATTAATGTTGTTTATTAGCCAAATGTATCAGGATATAAAACGCCAGACAAACAAAGAAAACAAAACCGTTAACTTAATTTGCAACTGCTTCAATTGCCTCATCAATGATTAACCATATCAATTAACTTTCCTTAGAAATTGAAAATCTACTTTCAATTTGATTTTTCACTTTTCTTTTTAATGAGTTTTTTTTTAATTTTCTTTGTAATCAGTTAAACGTTCAAATGATTTTTAATTAGATAATCAGTTGATCAGTTGATTAATTTAATTGCTTTCCTGTGATGTGAATTGTTCATCTCCATTTCTCATCTCATTTTATCAACTGTTTGTTTCTCGAGTGCAAAGGAAACAATTTAATGTTTCCAATGTTTTTAATTGGTCATCAGTTAATTACTTATTCTTATTGTGTAAAATGAGTCAATCAAATACTCTTATTGATCGTGAAAATTTTGTCAAAACACAATTAAAACTAATTCACATTGAATATTCAAATGAACTTGAGAAAACACAGTAAGTAAAAACAATTGAGAGAAATTGATTTTCCAATCAAATGTAATGTAACCTTTAGGCTCTTGTTTCAATTTGATTGCTTGTGATTAATTGTTGATGTTTTTCTTAAATTGTTCCATTAATTGTGACTCTTTCCTTTCCTTTTCTGTTTGTTTATTGTCCAGAAATAAGCAAAAGGACCTGAAAATAGATGATTTGATTCGCCAAGGAGATTGTATTCAAAACTTGAGGTGTCTTTCCACTGAGATCGGTTTGTTTGATCGGCTGTTAATTACTTTGGGTCACAATCAAATCGACAAGCAATTACCTGCCCATAAAATCACCTGTGGTGATATGGTTTCAATCTATAAAGATGTTGAATTAAGGTCACTTGCTTCGGGTGTTGTATATGCACTTAATTCAAATGATATTACGGTTGTGTTTGAAAAAGACTCGTACCTCAACTTGGACGAGCAATTTACTAATTATTGCTTAATTAAGCTATGGAATAATGTTAATTTTAGAAGATTGAAAAAGGCTTTATATAAGCTTCGTGATTATCCTGTTGGCGGCCGAGCGTGGACTCTGATTGATTTACTAATTGGCTGTCGATTACCACGTCGTATACTGTATGAGATTGAACCGATTGATTTTATCAATCGTCGATTGGACGATTCTCAAAGGGAAGCTGTGACCTTTGCGCTTCGATCGAGAGATTTATGTATCATCCATGGACCACCAGGAACGGGAAAAACTACCAGTATAGTTGAGGTCATTCTTCAACATGTGAAAAGAGGGCATAGGGTGTTGGTCTGTGCTCCATCCAATGTGGCCGTTGATAATTTGATCGAAAGATTAGCCTTATATAAGGCTCAGAATATGGTTCGATTGGGTCATCCGGCCAGAGCTTCGAAAAAAGTTCTCAAGTTCACCCTGGACGCTGCTATTGCTCGTAATGATAAGAATGATGCTGTCAAAAAGATCAGACAAGACGTTGCTATTTTACGAAGATCGCGAGATCGTGACAAACGGGCACAGATCACTGAGATGATGATCGATTTGGTAAAACATGAAAAAAGCTTATTTAACGAAATTCTAAGTAGCTGCGACATTATCTTGGCAACTTTGGTCAGTTCCTCGAACGAAGGTGCTCTTAAACATTTAACTAATCTTGACCAATACTTTGATGTCCTCATAATCGACGAGTGTTCACAATCATTGGAAACGGCCTGTTGGATACCATTAACTTTCGTTGACAAGTGTATTCTCTCTGGTGACCATTTTCAACTTCCTCCGACAGTTTTTTCGCAAACTGCGGCCAAAAATGGTCTTGAAGTAAGTCTGATGGAAAGGCTTCTTTCCCGATTCGATCACGAAAAATTGGTTCGCATGTTAACGGTACAATATCGAATGCACCAGAAAATAATGGAATGGTCTTCCAAAAGTTTCTACTCGAATAAATTAACTGCTCATCATTCGGTGAAAAATCAATCAATGGCTGAGATCAGTAGACTTACGGATTGTCCACCTTTACTTTTGATTGACACCGCGGGTTGTGATATGCCAGAACTTATTCTGTCGGTTGATGAGTCGAAAGGAAACAAATACGAAGCCGACATCGCAGCCTCTTATGTGACCCATTTAATTACCGCTGGTGTTAAACCTGAACAAATCGGTGTAATTACCCCGTACAGTTTGCAGGTTGAACTGATCAAATTACGATTGAGTCGCAAGTATCCTGATGTTGAGATACGTTCAGTCGACGGGTTTCAAGGCCGAGAAAAGGAAGTGATTATTTTATCCTTGTCCGATCAAACGCTAAAAAAGCAACTGGTTTCCTTCGTGAATATCGACGGATCAATGTGGCCGTAACTCGAGCCAAGAAACACCTTGTTGTCATTTGCGATTCCGACACTGTGACAGCAGAAAAGCACATCGCCTCATTAGTTGATTATCTCAATGAAAACGGTGAAGTGAGATCAGCTCGTTCGTATTTAAAGTCAAACAAAAACCCGAAAATCTCAACAATTAAAGAAACAACAATCAACAACAATGAAAACATTGAGAAAATAGTTGCAGATCAATTGAGTAAATTAAAATTATAATCTGATCATTTCGATCTCATCCATGATTGGCTCCATTTAAATTATTGTAAGTTTGTTTTATAATAATCGAGTAACAATTTACTAATTGTCATTTTCATCGTACTTGTTACAACAATTAACTCATTTCATATATATTTTATTTGTTTCTGTGGTGATTAAATCAACCAAATTAGTTTACATCAATTAGTTTCCTCGTTACTCTGACTGTGTAACATTATTAGTTAATTGTGATGGTAATTTAATTGTTAATACAACTTTAAAGTTAATAATAAAATAAAATGATTACAAAAAATGAATCTGATTAAAGTGATTAATTACAATCAATCATTTTAAATACTCAAAGATTTTAACCCGATTCGGGTTATCATTAAATTAGATCCTAAATCAAATTGATCAATAAAAAGTAAAGATAATTAACTTGAATAAGATTAAATAACAATTAGACAATTAAGTAAAGGATCAATTTACTCACACCGATGGAAACAAATTACTAAGATTTCATTGGAATCAAATTAGTCGACTGATCAATTATCCGATTGATTGTTAATTGGAAAAGAAATTAGATTTAATTAGTTCACTAGCTCTGTGTAATCTGTTGATAGCTTGGTAATCACGTTTAACTCATATATTTGAATTACGATTAAATTGTTGGGTGAAAATTTGGAAGAAGTTAAATTGCAATTAACTAACAATCTCTCATTAGTTGTAACTGTATCTATGAAAAGGGAGGGAAAAGTATGTGAACAAAAATGTCGCTAAACCGACAGTTAAGGCCAAAATTGATCTTAGGAATATTTTCTGAGTTTGAGTTTGTCGAAGTATGTTCACGATTGACCTTGACTCGAAAGTGTCATCATCGGATAGTTTAAGGTCAGTTCTGATTTGGTCATTCGATTGGTTCGATGTCACTTCTTCTGTGTCTTCGTAACCACAAAACCAAAGGTAAAAACTTTTACATAGAGAAACTTTTTTCTTCGCAATCATAACGACATCGGCGTCTTCGTCGTCAAGGTCAATTTCACAACATTTGCCATCATCAACTCGCCAGTCGAGGTCAGTTAGTTTAATCGTTTTCAGTGGAACGGACTTCATCTCGTCGTCTCGAATCGTCTCATCAAATCGAGACCAATATGTTGTTCTTATGAGCTGTACAAATGAAAGAGGAAAATCAATCAAATCTGTTAGATTAACAATTTACTTCAATTTAGATTATTCTTCGTGAGTTTTATCGGAAATTTACCCTGAAATCTTCCGCTGGCTTTGTGATCAACGAGATAATTACGGCACAAATCACAGAGGTTATTGCTAAGATGGATGCAAAGTACATATAATGTATATTCTTGACCAGAAATGGCCTGATGTCGGGTTCACCACAAGCGGGTTCACGGTAGACAATATCTAAAACAAAGCGAGTTGAACCGATTACCAGGCCAATAATCAAAGTCCAAAATGCTCCTGGTTCAGTCATTCGAGGCCAAAAGACGGAAAGACCATAAACAACTGCTATCGGCGGTGATAAAATCGACGCTACCGCTTGAATGTAAATATATAGTTCACCGCTTTGCATTTCTTGAATGACCACAATCCAGGCGATACTCGCAGCCGTCATTGCTAAAGTAAATGACCTGGAATATTATGGAAATATAAAAGATAAGATGAAACAAAATCTATGAGAAAAAAATCTTGGATTTGGCTAAACTTACCTTCCAACAATCATTTGCTCTTTAACGGAAGCTTGTGGCCTCATTAGAGGCCAAATATCAATCGTGAACATAGTACCACAGCTATTAAATATTGACGAAAGTCCCGACATGAGAGCGGCTAACATACCGGCCATCATTAGACCTTTCAGACCAGCGGGCATAAGGGATAACACAAGCCGAGGATAAGCGATATTTGAACAGCCCGTGTGACTTTGACAGACCTTGTAACAGACAGCGGGGTCCACACAGCCCACATCGTCGGGAAAAAGTATTCGGGAAATCATTCCAGGTATGATTATAATAAAGATCGGCATCAGCTTCAGAAGGCCAGCGAAAAGTGTACCTCCTTGGCCGTGCGCCAAATTTTTAGCGGCCAGTAAACGCTGTACGATGACCTATTTTAAAGATCAGTAAAGATAAAATCGGTCGCGATAATAATGAGGTCACATTTTGAAGATAATCGATAAACTTATCAACATTTATTCATATTTACATGAATAAGAATCTCGTTAAATTGTGATGACGGAATTTTAATGGAAAAACTGAATAGTCAATGAATATGAGTTCTAAATCATTTCTAGCTAACTATTAGTTAATCAGTGAGAAATATTGATTAAATGATCACCAGATTGATCACTGATTTGGATTTAATAATATTCATTTGAAAAATGGTAGAGAAATTCAATTGGAATATAATTTATCAGGTAAAAGATTTTGACAATGATGAATATCAATTGGCCGTTTTAATGAACAAAAAAGTGATTGATTACTTTGGATGTTTTCTCACTCGAAATTGGAAATGATTAACTCGCGTCTCGGTTGATCTATTAACTAATATAGTCAATGAGTTTTCTTTATAAATATTCTGGTGCTATACTTAGATTACTATCGACTTTAAGTTATCTTCATCTTTGTGATTGAGAATTGGAATATTAATTTATGATTACATTTAAACTTCAAGTTCTTAAAGAACTTGATCTGCTAATATGAGAAGATTTTGATTTGATTGATGTAATTTGAGCTTCCAATTTACTAATCGTGTTAGAATTACCTGATCGGTGCACCAATACCACATCGATGAAAATGTTTGTCCAGCCAAGAATCCAAGCCAAGGCATATCGTGGTCATCGATTGGTCTTAACAATAAGAATGCTGTGTCTCTCGGCATCGCACAAGAGGTAATGTTCAACGGGATAATCGAAGGTCTCGATTGGAAATATTTTGATTTCAAATTTCCAATTCCATCGATTTCATTCAATGCTGAAAAAGAAAACACCAATAATAGAAATCATGAAAAATCGAAACTTAAAAAACTCGAAACAATCGAATCACCTTTGTAGGCCAATAATAAACCTCCGGCCAACATGACGAAACATTGAACGGTATCAGTGTACATAACGGACGCTAATCCACCTATTTCAATCAATAAATAATCTTAATTACTTGAATCTGTTGACTCTTTTCACTAATAATACCATTATGAAAGTCAAGCAAACAATTAAAGGTGAGAATTAACAATTAACTCAATCTAAACTTACCTGTGACCGTTGAAATGGCCGTTAATACCAAAAGGATTATAACACTGGTATAAATTGACCATCCTCGAGCTTGTTGGATAAAAATGGCACCAGAAAATAGATTAACCTAATTGATAGCGACTAATTTAAATTATTTATAATCTTTAAAAGAATTAAATTAAATTCGCAAAATGTCAATTTCAGTCTAATTCTAACCATAACAATCATCATCACAATCAAATTGAACTACCATTCATGAGATCAAGCGAGTTAATTTAACTCAGTTAAACCTAATTAGATCATTGCATTAAGTTGATTGCTGATCAAATGAATGATTAATTTTCTTTCTAAATATACTAATAGATGGCGCTAGTGGCATTCGATTGCCGGTTAATTGTTTTCAATTTAAATCCATTGTCATTGTTTAATTAATCTATTGTTTATTATTCTCTTTTTTTCATAATTATTCTGTAAAAAATCAATGACTTACCGAGATCTTGGTGAAGACATAAAGCAGAAGGGAGAGAATAGCTAAGTAGGTTTGGATTCGTTTTCCACCAAAACGTTTCGACATGAATTCGGGAAGAGTGTAAACCTAATGGTTGATTAGAGAAAATTTGACCGATTAAATTGATTCCAAAGAGGTTGATTGTCAACAATTTAGAGTTAAAATCATCAACGTGAACCATTAGTTTGATCTAAAATTCCTATTTCTGTGTTAAACTGAATGTCAAGCCTATTGTTTTATTAACTGTAATTATCTTCCCTGTTGTTATTAATTTACTTGTATTCACTTTAACTAATCAACTTTCATTTCTTTGGTAAAGTTTCCTGGTCACTAATAGTTAACTGATGTTCATAAAATTAACCAACCAACTAATGGATGGAAATGCAATCAGTCAATCAAATTCTCATATTAAGCTGAAAATTGGTGTTTCAGTAACTCAAAGTGATTTAGCTTTAGTAAACTAATTACTTTCTGATTCATCTCAATCATCACCATCTATTGACTCTCTGATATTGATCATCTATCAATCAAAAAGCAACACTCAGTTTGGTATAAATGGCGTTTCTTTGGTGTTTTTGTGTTTTTTGTGCTATGGATGAAAAGACTAACCGTGATTATGATCAGACAAACCCAATAGTCCACACTATGAGTTGATTGCCAAGATTTTACTCCAATTTGTTACAGAGCTTTTGAAAAAGGGCAAAAACTTGATTGGTTAACTGTTTACAAATCATTAGAATCATAATAATGATAATATCAGTTGCTAATTAGAGTTAATCATGAAAAAATTCTGTGTCAAAATGAACAATATTTCAACTGAGTCTTCAAAATTACATTCATTCCAATACTAAATTCTTGATCATGAATAATGTTTATTTCTGAAATTCAATTATCATGGAATTCATATTCTATTTTACAACAATCTCAACGAGTATTTAAATCACAGGGAGTAATTTAAATTCCCTGAAACAGAGTTGTAATTATTCATCAGAATTCATTCAATTGTATGAAAACATCTCGAGAATAATTTCTATTCATATATTAATAATTTACTAATAATTTTCATCAATCAGGGATTAATTCATTCAACATGGAAAACTCACCCAACAAATGAACTTTGGTAGGTAAAAAATTCTAAAAAAAATTGGAGATAATTTCGTCTGAATAACTCAACTTATCGATTCTGGTTGTTCTATTGGGATGAAACCATTGAGAACCAGAACAGACAATCGAATCCACAATTTAAATCGATTATGTGATCAATTGATTTTCTTTTGATCAAAGAGATACAATTGAAACCATCATCAAGTAATCACTTGACGTGTAGATTTGATTGTTTGTTAATGTCTCTCTCTCTATGAATTTATTGTTTATATGTTTCTCTAGGAAAATAATTGGACAATTAATCGTGAATCAGAACTTACATTACTTGCTAGGAAAACAGGAAGGAAGAGCCACCCAGTAACTTGAAGGATTAATAAAGCCTGAGAATAAACAAAGAACAGTAATTAGTATCGATCGATCAGTTGATCTGGTTAATTGTCTCATTCTTACATTGAGCTCAAAAGCAGCCACAGCGATTCCCGAAGCAGCTCCTGATCCAGCGAGTCCAATGAAATGTTCACTGCCGATGTTACTTGCGAACACCGAAGCGCCGACCTGAAATTCATTCATAAAAGATAATCATGGTCACAATTAATTCTAATTGGTCTCAGCAATTAGATCCACTCACCGTTAACCAGCCCATATATCTACCAGCTAGAAAATAGCCAGAAACGGTTCCTCTGTCCTTCGTTTTCCACATTGACTGAAAATCGTGATGGAAAATGAAAAAATCGATAAACCATTATTATTATTATCGTTTTCTCAGTTGATTCTCTATCAATTAATCTCTGAAACATATACATGGATAATAATAAACGTGATGAAACTGTTCTAATCATAGGAAATGGATAAACAAGTTATATTAATCTCGGCATTAAGATTAACCGATAAATCAACTTTGATATCGTAAAAATTATTCGATAAAATTCAAGAATTGGATAAAAATTATCACTTATCGATTTCCATGTTAATATTGGAACATAATCTTCAACTTATTTACTTTCGATAAAGTTGAAGGCCATTAGATGATATCAATTTCTTATCGTAATGGAAAACCTTAATTTCCGATCATTTGGTAATCATTTCCAATGTTAATTGTTGATATTTTTCTCTCATTTAAATTGTAACAATTTAAAGTTAATCTAAAGGGGGACTGGTTGCTAATAGATTAGATTGATTTTCAATCTCAATGGATTAGTTTATAATTCAAGCTAATAGTAAATCTAAATCTCTCTCTATCCCTTGAGTCCTCTTTAATGATTTAACAATCAACCAGAAAATAATAATATCACTTGACAATCAACTTTAGTAATCAATTGTTGTGATAGTTAATCTTTCAAAGTTATTATCATTTCAAATGTTAATCAACGAGAATTAAATGAGATTTGATTGAATTGTTGAATCTCCGATTAGACTTATGAGAAAGTGTTTAATTACGCAAATTAATCTGAATTAAGCTAATTATCTATCAGTAACATAATCAACTGATACTTAATTGATGAAAGATACAATTAAACGGAATCAAATTGTCAGTGTAAATTCACGAGAGTGTAGCAATTAAATCCGAGATTAGATATTGATCTTTGAATTTCTCGATTGATCCTTGCGGATGAACAAATCTGATGAACTGAGGAATGACAATTAGTTAATTGTTGATACTAAATATAAACACTTACCCAGAAACCAGTTGCCAAGATAATTACGAAATAAATGATAACAACGATAATATCAACATCTTCCAAACCAGGTTTAGAATCGTTTGCTATCGTGTTCAAAGAGTTTGATTGATTCATTTCACAATTAAATCAATGGTTGGACAATCAATTAACTGATAGAATTGAGAATTTTATTGGAAATTGTATTAGGATGGTAAATATAAACAAACATTTGATGCGACACTTTTTCTCAATCTATTCATTGTTGGTAAGATTTATCGATCTACAGAAAAGGCAAATGAAGATGAAGATGAAGATGAAGATGACAAGATGATGAGATGATGAGATGGAAAGATAAAAGGAATGAGAAATTCAGGTAACAGGTAAAATGTTTTCTTTTTGTAGGTTTCCTTGTTTTTCTTTCATTCTTTCATGAGGATTACATGTTGCTGAGGAGAAAATGATAATAATCAGTTGAAACGGTTCACCAAGTGAAATAAATTCAACTCAGAGATGATAAATTCATGAGAAAATGTATCATCAAAATTGAGTAAATTCCGAGTTTTCTGAGCATTTGTAGCATTCTAATTAAATCCATGATCACATTGGCTCCATCTACATTATTGTAAGAAATTGAGTAGCAATTTGTTGATTGTTTTACTAGTTAATCAGTTTATTAAATGTTTACAATTTAAATTACACGGAAGGTGAAACAATTTCAACCTGAGTTTCACCAGAATGGTTAGGCTTTGAATCCAATTCAATTGGATTACCACTTATATCTAATGAGGGACTAATTGTTGGCAGATTGGGAGGTGATGGAGTTGATTTGCTTTTTGATCGGTTCATTGTTATATTGTTGACCAGAAAATTGCCCATTGGAAAGATTAACAAAAATGTCGCTAAATTATAAATTAACCCTGGACGGGTGTTAATTGTTGCACTAAATATACTGGTGTAAGCATAAGCGGCTGCAATTGACATGTAGGAATTAAGTGATCCAAGTATTGCAAATACTTTGGCCGTTTCCTCGGGATCTATTATCTGACTAATTAAGGCTCGATTGGCGATACTGGCCAATGAAGATAGTCCAGCTGAAAGGACGCACATCACGTACCCGATTTCATTGGTTATTACACCTTTAATCGCGTTCGCTGAGAGCAATGAGAGTATACCGATTAGCCCGATTGTCGCATCGTGAAGGTTAAACATTTTAAATATTTGAGGAGCGATTACAGTTAACACGGCGGGCATGGCGTTCAGGAAGGTCGACAACTTTGTGTACTTAGATGCTGACCATCCATATACCTGTTGGGTGAATTGGAAGGCTATTGCGTCATCGCCGGACAATGTTATCCAAACAATTACTCCAGAGATTACGAGGAAAATCAATTTGAGCCTGTTTTTACCTGTTCTTTTAACGACTAATGGCTGAGCCAATTCTTTGAATCGCGAAAATTGAAATACATCTTTAGCTATCTCTTTGTGGCCTCTAGATGCCAAATGAGCGGCCGTTTCGGGAACACCTTCCAGGTGAATGAAAAAGCCCAAAATCAATGATAAGACCAACAAACCTAATGAAACAATTAAAACTCCCAAATAGTTTTCGGGTTGATCATGAAACCAGGGTTTCATTGCAAGTATATTACCACCAGCATAAGTACCAGTTAATACACCTATTGGGATGCAAATATTTCAGTTAATTGTGGATATAAATGGTACTGATTAGTTTCCAATTACGTACCGATTTTGGTGACAAGTTCAAAAATAGCAAATCTGATGATCAGGAATCGTGTTGGTGTTGACCAAGAAACGTAAGTTGAATACGAACTCATCAATAAAGTTATCCCACCAAGGAGACCAGAGGGAACATAAGCAAGTAATATAGCCCAAGAAGCTGTGAACAATTAAGAAAATTAGCCAAACAATGAAAGCGAAACCCCAACAATCAACTGTACTTACGAACTTTAAAAAAGAAGGCATTTGTTAAGAAGATGAAAATCTGAATGATGTAACCAAAACATGGAACCATGATTAGTGTTTTCAGATAATGAGGATAATTCTGAAGCCAATAACTCAGGAACAGAGCAATAATTGTGGATGGAACTGTTTCTATCACTGTTTGCCAATTCTTCAGGGTATTAGCATGAACCAGAATTGATTGAGTTGTTGATTCGTGACTGTGATTAGTTGTTAAGGTTAAACAATATTCCTTTGGAAAATGTAATTGATTAATACACATCTTGTCCTCTGCTAATTGTGTGATGGTCACTCCTTGCATCACAATTGCGATACATTGAGGAACAGGTAAATGTCAAATTTCAACAATTTAAGGAAATTAATTATCACTTGACCCTTGGTCAAATCTTTGGGAAAATCTTGGCTCATAATTGATTACAATTAGTGATCAATTGATTGTCTATTTTAGGAAAAATAAATAAATAATTTGGATGAAACAAAAGTTGAACGAGAAACTTTTTTTTATTTTCAAGTTTTTACATTGATTGTTATTAGTTAATTGTTGATCGATTTATATTTATATTCATTTTATTAATATTACAATATGATTAAGATAATTGATTTCTGATTATTGTTATAGTTTCTTAATTTTGGTTAATCCTTAATTGTCGTATTTACCTTGATTCCTGGTGACAATTAATCCTTTCCAAGGGATTAATTTTTTCTTGTTAATTGTTACTGTTAAACGTTGAATTGTGATTAAAATCGTGTGACAATTAACAGGATTTCATTAGCATCATCTAAATTTTCCTAGGTAGTGAAAGCGTTATGACGGTTAATTACTTAATCTCAATCAATCAATTGGAACAATTAATTCTTAATCAATGTTTAAGTTAATTTCTATTGATAGTTTGTCAGAGTTTCTTAAATTGCTACCAACTCAAAGTGATCAACAATTAATTCCTCGAGAACAACTGAGTTTTCATTGTGATAACAATCAACCGAGTTCATTTGAACAATTTTCTTTGTTTCAATTTAATCACAATTAGATTAATTTAATGGAAAATGTTTTCGACTTTTATTTATATCATAGCAGATTTGTCATGATTAATTTAATTGTGGTAAAAAAAGTTTTTAACTTGAATTTAGATGAAAACAATGATTAGGATTGAAATTGATAATATCAAGACAATATAAAATAATACAAGTAACGAGAGTTGAACAAAAAAAAACATCACAATTAAAATTAATTGTAGAGTTAAAATTTCTCTGATACATTTACAATGGTTAAATCTTTGATTTTCATTAATGTTGGTGATGGATGATTTTGATTGTCGTTAATTGCGTTTTCTGGATGTGACTTTTGTCCATAGATATTGTCCTTTTCGGAAGGTATTTTCGGCTCCCATTTTGATCGGGTTATTTCAAGCCATATGCAGGTCAACACGGGAATTGTTAATATGCTCGCGGCGATGATAAATGTTAGACCAGGATTGTTTTGAATTGTTACATTAAATACTCGGGTGTACATGAAGGCTGAGCCAAGAGCACCATAGGAATCAAATACTGTGATCAGGGTGAATATTTTAGCGGCCTCGCAGGAATCAACCATCGTTGATATTAGTGACCTAAAGGCGACGAAGGAAACTCTGTGAAGAGCACCCGTTATGTAGGTAAGAATGAAACCATAGGGTGTAAGGATAACCCCATGGATGAGATTCATGGTGAAAACAGAAATAGTTCCAAGAATTCCTATCAGTGAATCGGATAAACCGAGACATGTTTTCAATATGTGAGGTCCAAGGGAAGTTGCTAATGCTGGTATTATGGATAAAAGTGAATAGAGGGTTGAATATTTTTCCGCTGACCAGCCGTAAACACGTTGGGCATATTGGTAGCCGATTGTTTCCTCTCCATGGAATGCACCAAGACAAAGGGTACCCGATAATACTAACAACAGTAGACGGACTCGCCCAGCGTTGGGTCGCCGTTTGAAGAAAGTGGAAAATAAATCATTTAAACGGCTCAATTTGAATACGTCCACAAATACAGCGCATAATTTACGATTAGCGTTTTCTGCTGTTGCCTTGGGCATGTTTTTCAATTTAAATAAACTCGCCATCAACAGGGTGGTCATCAAGAGAATCGTTGATAAAGCTAAGACTCCAATATAATTACGAGCTTGATCGGGAACCCATGGTTTCATTATAAGTATCTGTCCACTTATATAAGTACCAATGAATCCGCTGTTTATATTCAACAATGGAAAACAAGCAAATTGTTAGAAAATGGCGCTGATCAACAACCAAAACAATTAACTTACCACTCATGTTAACAAACTCCATTATAGCAAATCTAATGATCAACAATTCAGGTGGAGTTGACCAAGCGACGTAAGTGTAACAGGCTCCATAGATTAGGAACATTCCTCCTCCTAATGCGAACGGAACATAAGCCAAAAGAATGGCATATGAGGCTGTAAAGATAATTAGAAAACATGATAACAATTAGTAATTAAATCGAAAAGTAAATTCAAATAAGAAAATTAAAAATTTCCATTAAATGTAAACAAAAATTCTGACGAAAGTGCTGCCATCTGGTTTTCTATTTAGTTTCAATATTGAGATTCGATTATTTTTTTTTAATGAAAATTAGATAATTAAACTTGATTGTAAATCGAATTAAATTAACTAATTTATTCTAAATTATTTAGATTAAATTCTAATTATTTGGAATTTAATGGTCTAGAAGATAACTTGGTGACCTCTTTTTTCTATGAGAATTGAAATTCTTTCCATGTGATTAATTGATTGTTGACAATTTCACTTAATCAAGTCATTTAATTGCGAAGTTATTATTGAATGAACAAGTTAGATTTGATTGTTAGTTGATTACAATCTTGTTAATTGTTCCAACACCTTATTTATCAACCATAGATGATTAAGATTAGTATAAATCTATTCAGGTTAAACAATTAACTGATTGTAAGTGTTAAGATGACATTTTCAAGTTAAGAGTTTGTTTAATTGTTACCACCCAAGTTAATTGATCAAATTAAAATTAACTTTGTCTAATTAAAATTAAACGGTTGACAATTAAATTACCTTATCCTTAAAAATCTGAACAATCAAACTATTTTTGATGATCAAAACCTTGACAATCAACATGATTAAATGCAAATAAGTTAATTAAACGAATCGCTGATCAATTAGAAATCAGCCAATTTAGTCATTATCTAAATGATGAAGTGGCAAATTAAATTGTTTGATCTTTAACCTGATCAAATAATCATAATCTAATTAAAAATCTTGCTAATTGTAACTGTATAAAAAGCTCAATTTGAAAACAATTTAAACCACAACAGTTTCAAATAGTAACATTGATAACTTAAAGTGATTAACTATTTTCTTAATTGTGATGAATTTAATTACAGTAATTTTCCTTGTAACTCTCAGCCAATTGATCGCCGTTGAATCACAATCAGTTAATTTAAGTGCTAATCAAGGCTCAGGCTCACCATCAGATGGAGGACCCGACAAAGTAAACGACAGAAATTTAGAAATTTGGAACAATCGTGTGATGAAATTAATTGGAAAACTTTATTCGGAAGCGAAGGAATCAATCAAATCGGATCAGATAAAGAGTGCTAATGAGATAAATGCAGCGGTTCGACAAAAAATTATTGATGCTTTTCCGAATGCTATCAAGAGTATTCCAATTGAATTGAACCAAAACAGCCATGGGCCTATTATTAATGATCTCAAGAGTATTCCATTTGAATTGAGGAAATTCTACATCCGTGGGCATGATATTAACTGATTCCTCTGCGAATCAGGTTCATTAATATCTTTCTATGTAAACAATTGAAACCAATTAACAAATAAAATGATATTAAATAAGAAAACGAACTGGATTAAAAAACTAAAACATTGAATCAAATGTAAAAATTTGAAAAATAAACAAACAATTAAAAATTAATTTTTTCCCTAACAATGCAATCAACCTAAAAGTAAACAAATCAATCAATTGATGAATGAAAAAAAAGTGATTAAATCAATAATTAACAAATCAATGATCGGTAACTTTTGGTTGAAAAAAAAGTTAAAAATTAAATTAAAAGGGTAACAATCAAATCTAACTGTGAATGGACAAATTAATTAACAATAATAATCAGCTGATGAAAAGGAAATTGAATTGTCAAGAGTTAATAATAATAATAATAATAATAAACCAATAAACTAAATACAAATACAAATTTGATTCAGTTTAAAGTAATTCAAACAATCAACTGGAGATGATGTTAATCGATAAACATTGAGATGATGACAATAACCTTGATTGTTATCATGATTAAAGGTAAATAAAGGGAATCGAGTAGCAAAAGTAAATTGGGAAAGTAAATTGTTGACAGGAAAAAAAGGTTGATAATGACAGTGATTAAATCTCGCAGGGCAACAATTAACGAAGGGACTTGATTGATACGATGGTTGGAAAATCAATTAACTGATAGAATTGAGGATTTTATTGGAAATTGTATTAGGATGGTGTTGTAATATTATTCAATATCAATTGATTGATAAAACCTGATCATAAAACAAACCTCTTCAATTAGATTCCACTAGGGATAAACTCATTTTTCTTTATAAAATAATAGATTTTGTTAATTAGAAGAGGTAATTAGTTAGATCAGTGAAGATCAACTAATGACTCTGGTTTCGATCAGTGAAGATCAACCAAAGTCAAATCGCCACCACTTTCATCAATATTGTTTTATTGTTAAATTTTCTAGTAATAAGTTAATTAAATAAATTCATTTATACAACATTTAATAAACTGTGTGAAAAGGTCAGTGAAGACCTAATAATTGTGGTGCTAACTTGTTCCAGTCAAACAAAGAGTCAGTGAAGACCTTATTTGACCCGTTACATTGAACTAAATAGTCAATGGTTACGTCTTGTGTTTTTTTTAATCGAATAGTCAGTGAAGACTAAGGGTTAAATTATACCTTTAAAGGGTTAATTAATCAACTAATTGTGCTCTAATCAAATATAAATTCAACCCCTTTTAATTTTTATGTAATTTTTACATTACAGATGGTAAATATAAACAAACATTTGATGCGACACTTTTCCTCAATCTATTCATTGTTGGTAAGATTTATCGATCTACAGAAAAGGCAAATGAAGATGAAGATGAAGATGAAGATGACAAGATGATGAGATGATGAGATGGAAAGATAAAAGGAATGAGAAATTCAGGTAAGCAGGTAAATTGTTTTCTTTTTGTAGGTTTCCTTGTTTTTCTTTCATTCTTTCATGAGGATTACATGTTGCTGAGGAGAAAATGATAATAATCAGTTGAAACGGTTCACCAAGTGAAATAAATTCAACTCAGAGATGATAAATTCATGAGAAAATGTATCATCAAAATTGATTAAATTCCGAGTATTCTGAGCATTTGTTTTATTTAGGCGAGTTTAATCTCGAATGTTAGTCGTTTAACAAGTTTACCATAAGGCCAAATAATCTACTGAATGAAACAAATAGGCACTGATTTCAGACCAACTAGGACATCTAGATGAATTTTTTTGGCCTAAATACTAATTTCGGCATCGGGAATTTACTAGGACTTAATTTCAAGACAATCAAACAATGCCAAAAATTTCATGGCAAAGTCAATGGGATAAGTACGCACCTTTGAATGCCGATTACTCCTGAACGAAAAGTCAGATCAAAAAGATGATTAGCTCGGTTAGTTTGATAATTGTAGTACTTTTAAATGGAGGGAAAAAATTTCTCGAAAAAAGTTTTGCATCTAAATGTACCACTTTTCCGACTTTGAGAGGCCACTGCTCTGCAATGGCTCTATGGAAAAGTTCAGAACCTTAACACAACAAAACTTTCACATTTTCTCTGTTGAATCGCGAAGTAAAAAGTCTGACCTGATAAATAGCCTAAAAACGGTAAAGCGTCAAAAGTCCGGATATTTGGTTGTTACGCCCTGTATACTAATAAAAAAAACTCATCATCAATTAAAAAACAAAACAATTAATAAATCAACAATCAATAATCAACAATCTACAATAAACAATTAATATATCCAATTCTACAATCAACAAATTAACAATTATCAAAATGTGAAAAAAAATCAATGTATTAATAATCGACAAGCTTAATAATTGTTTATTCTGAAATCAAAAATCAAAATCGATATCATTATCATTTTATTATTCAAACAAATTTAACCTAATAATCCTAATTCTAATTATTCATTCAAATTTGTAAAAGTAAGTCTTTTTGGTATCTTTTCCTCTTTCGCTTTCTTGAAATTTTATAAACTCTTGTTCATTCTCGTTCCGAAATTGTTCAGTTAGGAATAATCCTCAACCTTACTGTCAGTGAAGACGGTAGATTTTCTTCATTTCATACAATTATAACTAATTCAAATATCTCTCTCCTTTAACTTAAAATCTTGTTAACAATGAATCACTTTGGATTAAATTCGATTGGATTTAATCCATCAATTAACACTATAAATTCAAACCATGTCCTAAATAATCATATCACCATTGACCCATTCAAAGGTGACAATGAAGATTTAATTGATTGGTTAATTAACTTTGAATTAGCTTCTAGTGCTTTAGGTCTTGGTGCTGTTGAGATGTTTAAGATTATTCCTTTTTATTTGTAAGGTTCAGCTCGCAAATGGTACAACGTTACCTGTAGTCCTCATTCTTTCCGAGAAATACCAAAAACTTATGATGAATTAAGAAATAGAATGATCTTAGACCTTTGCCCAGCTCATTATCAAGCTCATCTCTCTCATCAATTTCATTATAGCAAACAAGAGTCTAATCAGCTAACGACTAACTTTGTCTATCAAATTCAAGAATTATGTTTGAGAATGAGTAAAAAGATGCCAGAAAAGCTCATGATAATCTTCATCATTGAAAGACTTTTACCTCAAGCTAAATTCATAATAACATTACAAAATCCTCAAACATTAACAGAACTTATTAATGCTGCTAAATTAGTAGATAAAACCGTCAACTCAAGAGTAAAGCAAAATGAAAATGAAAATTATTTGGATTCAAATCAATTACCATTAAAAATCAACCAAATCAATGAGAAACCCAACTCTTCAGTTTCTTCACTTTTTCCAATTCCACATTCAAATCTAATTCATAAAGAAATCAAATTAAATAATAACAAAGTCCAAGCAATGTTCGATCTGTTCCGGTTTAACTCTAATCAGTAAAAATCTAGTTGATCGACTGAATTTAAACTTACAACCATACCTTGCGCCTCCTCCCTTAGCTGTTAACAATAGCCCAGTTAAAATACTTGGACAAGTCAAAGTTAGAATTAAAATTTTTGATGACAAATCAGCAGTTGCAATAACAACAATTGTCCAAGTTACTGAATATTTGCCACATCAATTCGATGCTTTAATTGGTCAAGATCTAATGACTAAAGCTAATCTTATAATTGACTGTACAGCTAAAACAATTGATAATAATAATTCAAATTTGATTAATCTCACGAGTTTACCAAGTGCTAAACATTCGTTAGAGATCGAAAAGGAAACTGAAATTATTGAAAATCTTGATCAGATAGAGTCGAATCAATGCGAATCTAATGAACAGAATGTACAAGAAGAAACTTTCCCCTTTTTAGAATTAGTTGATCCTCTTGAAATACCACTAGCTGAAGAGATACCAAAATTGATTGACAAATCTGATCACGTTAATTATCCTAATCTTTACTTGGAATCAAACTCAGTTAAATGTTTGTCTTCACATTTTTACTCTTCACCTTACCTGAATTGTAATCCTACACTTTCATATTATCAACCCTATCACTATACGAAAGATAAAATCATCAACTTAAACTGTCATGAACCTGACGATAATGTTTTCAACTGGTTGGTACAAAGGAGTGCCAACGAAATCGATAACGAATAATTCTATGATGCCCTTCTCGAAATATGGACTTCACCCTTTGCTTTGGCAGAAACTGCTCAAATTTAAGTCGACGGAAATGTAATATTATTCAATATCAATTGATTGATAAAACCTGATCAGAAAAACAAACCTCTTCAATTAGATGTAATGTAAAGTCAACTTTTGGAAAGAGAAACCAAAGGATAAGAAATCCTCTTTCTCATCTCTTTCTTTATTTTCTTTTTCTCTTTCTTTTTCTCTTTCTTTTCTCTTTCTTTTTGATTTAATTTCTCTCTCTTTCAACCTACAATTAATTAACTAATTGTTACCAAATATTTATTGTTATTGTTGCTGTTAATCAATCACAACAACAACAGGTTAACAAATATTAATTTTGTTAATCAACATCAATTGTTGATGATGATGATGATTTGATTGTTGATGACAATCAACAACAACAACAACAACAACAAGTTAGTTGATTACTTGATTATGATGGTGATGGTTAATTAATCATGTTGATGATTAATTAAATTTATCTAAATTAAAAATTAGTAAAGATTAAATCTCTTGTTCGAGTTTAGTTTAATTAATCAATTCCTTTTCAGTATCGATTGGTTATTATTTCCAAGGAAGTGTTTATTTGGAATTCATATTTAGTGATCATTTCTGATTGGAAATATTCAGGGAATTTCTGGCTGAAGCTCATATTTTATATAGATTCCACTAGCGATAAACTCATTTTTCTTTATAAAATAATAGATTTTGTTAATTAGAAGAGGTAATTAGTTAGATCAGTGAAGATCAACTAATGACTCTGGTTTCGATCAGTGAAGATCAACCAAAGTCAAATCGCCACCACTTTCATCAATATTGTTTTATTGTTAAATTTTCTAGTAATAAGTTAATTAAATAAATTCATTTATACAACATTTAATAAACTGTGTGAAAAGGTCAGTGAAGACCTAATAATTGTGGTGCTAACTTGTTCCAGTCAAACAAAGAGTCAGTGAAGACCTTATTTGACCCGTTACATTGAACTAAATAGTCAATGGTTACGTCTTGTGTTTTTTTTAATCGAATAGTCAGTGAAGACTAAGGGTTAAATTATACCTTTAAAGGGTTAATTAATCAACTAATTGTGCTCTAATCAAATATAAATTCAACCCCTTTTAATTTTTATGTAATTTTTACATTACAGATGGTAAATATAAACAAACATTTGATGCGACACTTTTCCTCAATCTATTCATTGTTGGTAAGATTTATCGATCTACAGAAAAGGCAAATGAAGATGAAGATGAAGATGAAGATGACAAGATGATGAGATGATGAGATGGAAAGATAAAAGGAATGAGAAATTCAGGTAAGCAGGTAAATTGTTTTCTTTTTGTAGGTTTCCTTGTTTTTCTTTCATTCTTTCATGAGGATTACATGTTGCTGAGGAGAAAATGATAATAATCAGTTGAAACGGTTCACCAAGTGAAATAAATTCAACTCAGAGATGATAAATTCATGAGAAAATGTATCATCAAAATTGATTAAATTCCGAGTATTCTGAGCATTTGTAGCATTCTAATTAAATCCATGATCACATTGGCTCCATCTACATTATTTTAAGAAATTGAGTAGCAATTTGTTGATTCCTAGTGACAATTAATCCTTTCCAAGGGATTAACTTTTTCTTGTTAATTGTTACTGTTAAAACGTTGAATTGTGATTAAAATCGTGTGACAATTAACAGGATTTCATTAGCATCATCTAAATTTTCCTAGGTAGTGAAAGCGTTATGATGGTTAATTACTTAATCTCAATCAATCAATCGGAACAATTAATTCTTAATCAATGTTTAAGTTAATTTCTGTTGATAGTTTGTCAGAGTTTCTTAAATTGCTACCAACTCAAAGTGATCAACAATTAATTCCTAATTCCAAGAACAACTGAGTTTTCATTGTGATAACAATCAACCGAGTTCATTTGAACAATTTTCTTTGTTTCAATTTAATCACAATTAGATTAATTTAATGGAAAATGTTTTGGACTTTTATTTATATCATAGCAGATTTGTCATGATTAATTTAATTAGGTAAAAAAAGTTTTTAACTTGAATTTAGATGAAAACAATGATTAGGATTGAAATTGATAATATCAAGACAATATAAAATAATACAAGTAACGAGAGTTGAACAAAAAAAAATTAACCACTAATCACAATTAAAATTAATTGTAGAGTTAAAATTTCTCTGATACATTTACAATGGTTAAATCTTTGATTTTCATTAATGTTGGTGATGGATGATTTTGATTGTCGTTAATTGCGCTTTCTGGATGGGACTTTTGTCCATAGATATTGTCCTTTTCGGAAGGTATTTTCGGCTCCCATTTTGATCGGGTTATTTCAAGCCATATGCAGGTCAACACGGGAATTGTTAATATGCTCGCGGCGATGATAAATGTTAGACCAGGATTGTTTTGAATTGTTACATTAAATACTCGGGTGTACATGAAGGCTGAGCCAAGAGCACCATAGGAATCAAATACTGTGATCAGGGTGAATATTTTAGCGGCCTCGCAAGAATCAACCATCGTTGATATTAGTGACCTAAAGGCGACGAAGGAAACTCTGTGAAGAGCACCCGTTATGTAGGTAAGAATGAAACCATAGGGTGTAAGGATAACCCCATGGATGAGATTCATGGTGAAAACAGAAATAGTTCCAAGAATTCCTATCAGTGAATCGGATAAACCGAGACATGTTTTCAATATGTGAGGTCCAAGGGAAGTTGCTAATGCTGGTATTATGGATAAAAGTGAATAGAGGGTTGAATATTTTTCCGCTGACCAGCCGTAAACACGTTGGGCATATTGGTAGCCGATTGTTTCCTCTCCATGGAATGCACCAAGACAAAGGGTACCCGATAATACTAACAACAGTAGACGGACTCGCCCAGCGTTGGGTCGCCGTTTGAAGAAAGTGGAAAATAAATCATTTAAACGGCTCAATTTGAATACGTCCACAAATACAGCGCATAATTTACGATTAGCGTTTTCTGCTGTTGCCTTGGGCATGTTTTTCAATTTAAATAAACTCGCCATCAACAGGGTGGTCATCAAGAGAATCGTTGATAAAGCTAAGACTCCAATATAATTACGAGCTTGATCGGGAACCCATGGTTTCATTATAAGTATCTGTCCACTTATATAAGTACCAATGAATCCCGCTGTTTATATTCAACAATGGAAAACAAGCAAATTGTTAGAAAATGGCGCTGATCAACAACCAAAACAATTAACTTACCACTCATGTTAACAAACTCCATTATAGCAAATCTAATGATCAACAATTCAGGTGGAGTTGACCAAGCGACGTAAGTGTAACAGGCTCCATAGATTAGGAACATTCCTCCTCCTAATGCGAACGGAACATAAGCCAAAAGAATGGCATATGAGGCTGTAAAGATAATTAGAAAACATGATAACAATTAGTAATTAAATCGAAAAGTAAATTCAAATAAGAAAATTAAAAATTTCCATTAAATGTAAACAAAAATTCTGACGAAAGTGCTGCCATCTGGTTTTCTATTTAGTTTCAATATTGAGATTCGATTATTTTTTTTAATGAAAATTAGATAATTAAACTTGATTGTAAATCGAATTGAATTAACTAATTTATTCTAAATTATTTAAATTAAATTCTAATTATTTGGAATTTAATGGTCTAGACGATAACTTGGTGACCTTTTTTTTCTATGAGAATTGAAATTCTTTCCATGTGATTAATTGATTGTTGACAATTACACTTAATCGAGTCTTTTAATTGCGAAGTTATTATTGAATGAACAAGTTAGATTTGATTGTTAGTTGATTACAATCTTGTTAATTGTCCCAACACCTTATTTATCAACCATAGATGATTAAGATTAGTATAAATCTATTCAGGTTAAACAATTAACTGATTGTAAGTGTTTAGATGACATTTTCAAGTTAAGAGTTTGTTACCACCCAAGTTAATTGATCAAATTAAAATTAACTTTGTCTAATTAAAATTAAGCGGTTGACAATTAAATTACCTTATCCTTAAAAATCTGAACAATCAAACTATTTTTGATGATCAAAACCTTGATAATCAACATGATTAAATGCAAATAAGTTAATTAAACGAATCGCTGATCAATTAAAAATCAGCTAATTTAGTCATTATATAAATGATAAAGTGACAAATTAAATTGTTTGATCTTTAACCTGATCAAATAATCATAATCTAATTAAAAATCGTCCTAATTGTGATTGAATAAAAAGCTCAACTTGAAAAAAATTTAAACCATAACAGTTTCAAATAGTAACATTGATAACTTAAAGTGATTAACTATTTTCTTAATTGTGATGAATTTAATTGCAGTAATTTTCCTTGTAAGTCTCAGCCAATTGATCAACGTTGAATCACAATCAGTTAATTCAAATGCTAATCAAGGCCCAGGCTCACAATCAGGTGGAAGACCCGACCATGTAAACGAAAGAAATTTAAAAGTTTGGATCAATCAAGAGATGAGATTAATTAAAAAATTTTATTCGAAAGTGACTAAATCAAGCAAATCGGATCAGAGACGATTACAGCTTGACCAATGGTCAAGAACAAGTAAATCAAATGGTGGACAATCAATTCCAAAAATGATTGATGATGTTCTGAATGCTATCAATATGATTTCATTTGATTTGATGAAAATAAACAATCAACGAAAATCAAATCGCCAATGATTAAAATGATTAACTGATTCCTCTGCGAATCAAGTTCATTAATATCTTTCTATGTAAACAATTGAAACCAATTAACAAATAAAATGATATTAATTAAATAAGAAACCGAACTGAATTAAAAAACTAAAACATTGAATCAAATGTAAAAATTTAAAAAGCAAACAAACAATTAAAAATTAATTTTTCCCTAACAATACAATCAACCTAAAAGTAAACAAATCAATCAATTGATGAATGAAAAAAAGTGATTAAATCAATAATTAACAAATCAATGATCGGTAACTTTTGGTTGAAAAAAGTTAAAAATTAAATTAAAAGGGTAACAATCAAATCTAACTGTGAATGGACAAATTAATTAACAATAATAATCAGCTGATGAAAAGGAAATTGAATCGTCAAGAATAATAATAATAAACCAATAAACTAAATACAAATACAAATTTGATTCAGTTTAAAGTAATTCAAACAATCAACTGGAGATGATGTTAATCAATAAACATTGAGATGATAACAATAACCTTGATTGTTATCATGATTAAAGGTAAATAAAGGGAATCGAGTAGCAAAAGTAAACGATTAATAAACTGGGAAAGTAAATTGTTGACAGGAAAAAAAAGGTTGATAATGACAGTGATTAAATCTCGTTGGGCAACAATTAACGAAGGACTTAATTGATACTCACTGATTGAAAATGCATAAGCATTTGCCAGCAATATGATTGATTGGAGGGTCTCAGCAAACAGGGTAAGTAAAACCATGAACTTGAGGTAATGAGGATACTTATCGAGCCAATAGCCAAGGAATCCTGAGATTATCGTTCCTGGGATGTTCATGATAAAGAACTGCCAATTCTTGATATCGTCGGCGTGCTTGAGGATCAACTGGGCGTTCTCCTCGTTATTGTGCTTCTCGGTGATCGTTAGACAATAATTAACGGGCAACTTTAAATTGTTGATGCACATTTTGTCCTCGGCTAACTGGACAACGGTCACATTTTGTAAATTGTTTGCAATACCGAAAAGTAAAAGGCAAAGGTCAAGTTTCATTAGTGACATGAAGTCAATTAATCGTCTCCATGTTGATTGTTTTTTGGAGGCCATTTTTTTATTGGTGTTGTTGTTGTTGTTGTTGCTTAATTGTTGTAGTTACAATCAGTTAGTTAGTTGTAATTTGTCACTGGAATTGATTGTTAATGTTGTTGTTGCTGTTGTATTTTTTATTAATTTGATTGTGCTAAAGGTGAATCAATATTTGATTGATTGATTAATTTAATTTTCTTTAAGGTTAAAATTGAATTAATTATCAAATTGTTAACTTGATTAAATCACTTCTTCTTTTACGGTTTTTTAAATAGTTACAATTAACTATTGATGAGCAAACTATTGGTGATGATTGAGTTACAGATGAAGTTAATTGTTGACTTGATAAAAACTTTGATGACAATGATGATGTTAATTGTTGACAGTAATCCCAAATAATTAACAGATTCATTCAGCAAATCGTAAAAACTTTATTAATGATTAGTAAAGTTGTAAAAAAAAATTGACAAAAACAAAACAAATTGAAGATGAAAAAAAGTTTTGATGATGTTGATTGTTACTGTTGATTGGTGACAATTAATTGATGGTGATGAGCTGATTAATTATCGGATATGATGGACAATTAAAAACAATCAGGTTACCGACCTAGGTGGCAAAGTCAATTAAAGTTTTAAATTGATTAATGATACAACAATTTAACTATGAAATTTAATAATAACATTTGTTTAACATTGCAAGTTAAATTGTTTACTGATTAACTTGAATCAGTGTGACAATGGTTTTTATAAAAAATGGCAATTTCATTGAGAGAGAGTGAGAGTGAGAGAGTTGATAATGATGAGGATGATGAGGATGATATTGATGATAATCATGATGATGATAAATCGTAGGGAGGAGGACGAGATTGAAGATGAAAAGTCATCTGAATAAATAAAATCTCATAGAAAATTCAATCTCAATGGAATTTTTTATTTCCCTGAACTCCAGCATCTTCATTATCATCTTTCAAATGATGATAATCATCATCATAATTATTTACATCTTCATCACAATCACAATTGTTACTAACTTACCTTAATTGTTGTTGATTGTTTGTTGCACAATGAAAAAAAAAGGTGAAAAAAAAGTTATATGTTTATACACACACAGAGAGAGAGTGAAAGTTAATTGTGATTGCTGATTGTTACAATAAAAAACGAGTTGAAAAGTTGATTAAAATATTTATAAAGGTAGAGACCTGATGATGATAATGTTTAATTGTAATAATTAAGTGTTAAAACTTTCATAGACTTTTAATCAACTCGTTCACTTGAGTTAATTTGATTTGTAACAAAAGGAGAGAGTTAACTTATATTTAACTTTTTTTATTATAATTATAATTGTTATTAGTTTTAATTGTTGCTCTATTATGATTGTTAATTTCTAACCTTGATTATATTGTGCTTGTTGTTATTTGATTGTGCTGGTTTGATTAAAATTGATTCTCATCTCAAGAAACAAACTCCTAACATTGTTTTCTCTTAAATTGTTACGATGTTTATCAATTAATTAATTAAAACAATAAACAATTCACATTGATTATTATTAATTTCATCATGATTACCACAATCGTCATCTAATATGATCAAAGAAACACAATGGTAATCAGTTAATTGTCAAGTTGAGAAAACAATCTGAAAGGATTGATTAAGATTCAATTGATTTTAGTTTTTCTGGAAGCACTGATTGGGTCACAAGGGTAGATTTTAATTAGTTGATTAAACCGTTTTGATTGTTACAATTAAGGGCAAATACCCGAACACCAGCAAAGTTTAATTGTTGGCAAAAAATTGACTAACAATTAATAATAAATATCTACAATTTAATTTCCTTGTTTACATAATTTCATTTCCAATATCAAATTGAATTATCTATCAACCTGATGAACAATTAACTGATGACAATTAAATTGAAATTGCTTCTTGCTCTCTAACTTTAATCAACTGATTAAGTTTGTTAATTGTCACCTAATAGCAACAATTAAAACTTTCCAGTGTAATTGTGGACTTATATTAACAACTCCTGAAAGTGATTAAGATAATTAAGAGTTTAATTTGTATGAAACAATTTATGATTAAGTAATTAGAGGGAAAACTGTTGATTGTTAACTTTTAATTTAATCAATGGTTACAAAGGTTAATTGTGACAGGAAATTATATGAATCAGTAAATCAGAAATAACAAGAAAAACACCAAACAACTGATTATAATTAACTGATTGTGATCATTATGATTTAACAATTATGTTGTTTTCCTAATTTTCTTGCAATCTCATTAATTGTCGTAGTTTAATTTGATTATAAGTTAATTGTTTTCATCAAATATAAGCTTGTGATTAAATTGATGACGAGGACTGATGATGATGATACAAATTGTTGATTAGTCTTTGGATTTTAATTGTTGATTATCTATAGATTAATAAGTATATTAATTGTTTGTGGGACAATTAAGGTGACTTTCCCAGACCTTGAAGATGTGTATATTTCAAATGAATATACTAATTTTCACTAAATAATTAACTAATTGTTGATAATTAATAGATTGAGTCACACACCCAAACAACCTTCAAGTATAATAATATAACCTTTCAATTAATTTTCCTATTCAATGGCAATAACCACTTGAAATTGATTAACTGTTAATTGTGTTTGTCAACAATTAGTTCTGATAAATTAAAACCAAAGTTAACAAGTTAAATTATAAACATACAACAATTAATACTCACAATTGTAAAGATAAAATTAATTGGTAATTAGTTGATTAACTTGAATCTTTTTTTTCTTCACAATTTTTGAGAAAAAATTTCAAACTCCCAACTCGAAACTTAATTGTTGTCAGAAAAAGTTTTCCAACTATTTGATTGTACAGATTAATAACCAATCTTATTTATCGTAATTAAGTAATTGTGATTAATTTAATTGTACTACATAGATCAATGTATTTATGTGGTTAACAGATTGTGATGGTAATTAATTGTTAATCAAGTTGGTAGACAAAAAGTAAAATTGAAACAAAAACATTTCTGACAACAATTAAGTTACTTACTGGGAGTCAGAGGGAAATTAATGATTAATTGATTGTTTCAATTAAAATGCTGGCTTGTCATTTATTGGCAAACAATTAAATGCTCAATTGTCTAATGAGTGAAAATTTATATATATCATAATTAACATGCTGTTTAATTGTGATTAGTTGGAAATCAACAGTTTATCTTAACCATTATCTGTATATTAAAGTGACATTTATATAAATTATTTTAGCCAACACAATCAATTTGGTAACAGTTGCTAATAATTTAACAGTTGACAGTTAATTCAGATGGTTAACAATTGCAATTAAGGGAAGAGAGAGAGAAGAAAAGAAAGAGAAGATGAAAAAAAAGACAGAGAGAAAGAGAGGGAGATGAAAGGAAGACAGAAAATGCGAGAAAAAGTGACCTGGAATTACATGGGAACCATGATGATGATGAGGAGGAAATTTTTCTTTCTCTTCTCTTACATAATTATCATCACCTGAATCTCATCTTCTTTTTATCATCATTCATCATCAATACGGGCCAATCTTCGTCATCTTTGTCTCTTTCATTTCATCATAGTGACTTCGTCATCATGATTCGCATCTTCATCCTCATCAGATGCTAAACTTTTCAATGGAATTTTTTTTCTACCTTTTCGATTGTGTTCATTTCGATAAACTGACCTGACTCCTTGTTGTGACCGCTCACAATGGGCGTGCAATCGCTCGAAAGCATCACTAGCGCCCGTTTGGACGACCACAAAAGGAGTCAAGCAACTGATCAACAATTAACTTCTCAACAACAATTAAGAGTGAAAATTGAACCAATTCAACTTGTTTGGTAAGTAGATAAGTTTTCAAATGAACAATTAACTCACCGTTAGATTTTAATTCCTTTAGATTTTTCTTAAAATCAATTGATTATTAACACTTTCCAATGATAACTAATGATTTTTTCCTTGATTAATTATACTAATTGTTGTAATCAAGTTAACTTTTCATTCGTTTCATCAACCATATCTCAATTTTCTTGAAACTAATCATTGTTGTTGTTCAATTCAATGTAACAATTTAAATCATCAATTCTTACAATCTCATTAGTTTGACACTTTTAAACAATTAAGATTATCACGTAAGGTAAATCGGCTAATTTGATTAACTAGATGATGTTGATTGATTGAGAAAATAAGTTATCAATTATTTACAATTAGATGGTGAAAGTTGTGGATAAATTTATTAATCACTAATTGTTACAAATTTCTGTTGATTCTCTGAGTCTTTGACATGTTAATTGTTGTTAAAATGAAAACGGAATTAAAATTGATCATGTTTGATTGAACACTTAAAATAAACTGTTCTTGAGCTTTGAAGGTTGTGATTAGTTGATTTAGTTTTCTGCTTTGTCCTAATCAAGATGATTACAATTAAATCTTGATTGGTTCCTCTTGATAATCAACTAAATCATCAACAATTAATGATAATCTTAAACCTCTTAAGGTTATTAATGAATTACAAACAATCAAATTAACTGTCAAAGGTTGACGATTTAAAATTAAATTAACTAATTATTATTATATTAATATTTTCAATTTTAATTCATGATTGAAATTCAATTCATTGCCAGACAATTAATCACAATAATTTAAATCAACAATCAAAAGTTTATTTGATTGTTACTCAATACCAGTGGTACTGTTAATTAGTTGGTTACTAGTTGATTAATTAACCAGCATCAGTAAATTAATCACAATTAACAGAGGTAACCATAGGGTCCTTGACCCTAACTGTTTAGTTGATTGTAATTAAATTACAATGGTAACAATTTAATTGTGTTTAATTCAATTGTCTCTCTCTCTCCTTGTGAAGGAAGTAATTATCTTCTTGACATTGTGATTAGCAAATTGTTAATCAACGTTTTCTGATGATTAACAAATTGATCAATTTTATCCCAAATGATTAGTTGATTAATATTGATTTTATTTTCTCTCTTTTCTTGTTTCTATTTACTGTTAATTATCAAAAACTGTACAACGTTTAATCAATCAATTGATTGTTAATCTCAACAAGTTTTGATTGTCTTACCCACTTGATTGGATTCAAACGTTTCCATCACAATTAATTGTCATCAATATCTTTCCTTTATTTTTCTCATTCTCAACACAATTAAATTAACACACAGATACAATAGTTAAGATCAACAATTAGATAGTAATTTAGTTCCTAGTTTCTTTGTTAATAGTGAAACAATTTGTTAATCATCTTAAAAGCTTTCATGATAACGAGTTAGAAGGTAAAATTGAGGGTTAATTGTGATTCTCAAAGTTAATTAATCACATTGACAAAACCAACAATCAACTAAATGTATTTATAGTTAGTAGGTTAAAGTTTTAAAGTCAATTTTAAAATTTAATTGTCCGTTAATTAAGAGTTGGTTAAGGTTGTTGATCAATATAATCAACCAAATTCACCTTAATAATAAACCAAAAAAAATATCACAATTTGATTGGTTAATTATTATTAATAATTGAAATCTGATCCAATTAATTTGATTAATTTCCTACAAGGAAGAGACTAATTTAGCAAAAGTTGAGTTAATCACTTTCCATTGATCAACGTTAATTGTGAAAATGAAAACCCAACCTGTTTATCAGTTTGAAAACTTAATTAACCGAAAAGTCTGCAAACAATTAACAGGTTAACATAGTTAACCTTAACAATTAAACCCCCGAAAACAAACAAACTAAAGCCCAATAGTAAAAGTGTCCACGAACAACTAAAACACAATTAAGTTAATCATCAGATATAATACCCTCTAAATTGATTAATTAACCTGATGTAAAATTAAACAATTTAAAAGGTACAACAACATGGGATCCATATTAAGTTAATACTGAGCAAATAGTAATCAAGGTAATCAAGAAAAAAGTTAAAACGGAAACAGTTTCTTACACATAAAATAAATTGCTGAGACTGTACTGACGAGAGAGAGAGAGAGAGAGAGAGAGAAAGATGATATATACACTCATTTACAGGGTGTCTCTCGGCGTCAACAATTAATGGTATCGGGTAGTAATTAGTGGAAACTGTGGACTGATTAACAAACCATCAGGCTAATTGTTTGTCACTCTGTATGTGTGCTGATAGTTTGAGGCGGAGACTTGATACTTTTATCATGTATCAAGCCTGCGTGTGCAATTAAACATAAACCACCACCACCACTGGTTAACCTGATTGTAATTAAATGAGAGAGGGAGATGATGATGATGATGATGATGATGATGATACAACAAACAACGAGCAAATAATAATAATAAATAAAAGTACAGCTGTTGATACAAAAATTAGTTTTTCTCGTTACTTTTCATTTCTCCATAGACTTGTCCATATGCCTGCAGAGTAAATAACAGTTAACTACAAAAAGAGAGTGACAATTCATTGTAACAATCAGTTAATTTACTTGTTATCTCATCATCATCATCATGCTTTTAATTGTGATCAGTTAATTTCTCTCTCTCTCTCTTTCTGATCTTTGAATCTTTTTGTTTTTGTTTCTTTTTTTTCTCTTCCAGTTCAACCAGAATTTTTCTTCTTCTTCTACTACTTCAGATTACTTGATCTCTCTCTCTCTTTCTCTCTCTCTCTCTCTCTCTTGTTTCATCTCCATGCTGCTAAATTGTTTGCAATTTAAAAATAAATTGTCGATCATCATTTGTGCTGATTTGTTGTGCTTTTCGTTACTGGTTCAATCTACACCTTCGTCTGCTAAGTAGTAGTGCCGCAGGTCGCTAACGGTCAATCATTGTGATCTCATCTTTGATTTTCTCTGATGATTTTTTGTTTCTCTTAATTGCTATTACATTAACTTCATCATCTAGTTGACGATCACATTGAAACTGTACTCATTTAATTAAAGTCGACCTGCACACCGCTGCTTAATAGATTAAGTGTTTAATTACAATCTTCTCAAGTAAAAAAGGTTCACCTTAAATTGATCAACATCGCAAAATGGCAATTAGATTGATCTTCAATCATCAAGTAAGTTAACCTTTCGATTCTATTCAATTTCTGATCAAATCTTTCAATGATTCATTGGAAGAACAAAAAATTGCAATTGTAATCATTTAATTTGTTTCCTCTAATTGTTCAGATGATTGGATTTTGCTAACAAAAATCCAACGTTGCAATTGATGTTTGGTTCACCGAATCACCGACAGATGGAGCCACATTTTTATCGATCGATTTTTTGAAAATTGATTTAATTGTTATGTTAATTGGTGAATTGTTTACTGATTGTGAACCAATTTTCTCAACAATTTGGCCAATTTGATTTGTTTTCAAGTCAAGTCACTTTTCCTGACAATTTGATCTGGTGAAATTTGATCCATTCCCTGGTCAAAGGTTGATCATTTATTTGATTGATTGATTTATTTTTCCACCACAATTAAAAACTCTCAATTAATATTAATATTTTTACCATTAATTTAGAAGCTAAATTGTTAATTGTTGTTGTTCACAATGTTTTCACAACTGTGTTTATCTAATAAACTGTTGTTTCCTCCATAAAAACTGCTTACACCTTCTTGATTAACAATATAAACGGAAATGGAAACAATTAAAATGCTGAAAGAAAAAGTAAAAATTGATTGAGAAAATTATCTAAACTTGAGATTAGAAATTAATTTAAATTGAGTGTTAATTGTTTCCAATAAGTTAAGCAAAAGTTAATGAATAAAATAAAACAACAATAATAACAATAGTAAACAATTATTGATTTAGAATTTGATATTAAATTGTTATCTAATTAATGGAACAACAACAATTAACAGGTAAGTGAATTGTTTATCAATCCGAGGGAATTGATATCAGGGAATCAATCAAGAGGGTTAATTGTTGGTAATTGAAGATTAATCACCAGTCGAATTAGTTAATTGTTCAAATGTGGAATCGATGGAGAGAAAAAATTATCCAAAAGAATCAAATTCTCAAAGAGAAAGAAAAATTCTCGCAAATTGAGATTATCGTCATTTTTTTTCTCGATTCAGTTCCAAATGATGATCATCATCAATTCAACGTTCGCATCACATCCTAGGAACTTATTCCACCATGGATTTTACTCTCTCTCTCTCTCTCTCTCTCTTTCATGGGACTGAGAGAAGATGTGAGGTGAAAGAGAGAGAATGAGGAAGAAAAGAAGAAAATTCTCTTTTGGAAGGAATAACCTTTGAAGAGAGAAAAAAAAAGTTTTCTCTCTTTTTCCATCATCATTATCATCATTTTTCTTCCTTTCCTCATCATCATCATCATCATGATTCTTTTTCTCTTCTCTCTTTTTCCCATGTAAAAATCTTCCACCATCAGGCTCAGGGATTATCGAACAAAATTGGAATTTCGAAAAGCGCAGAATCTTTTTATCACAATTTTCGTTTTCTTCTTCCTCTTTTCCTCGAACTGTTTACTAGAACAGATAGAAAACCCTATAAGATGAAGATGAAGATGATGAAGATAAAGAAGAAGATAAATAATAGTAATGATAATATGAACATAGAACGAAGTTAATCAACAAAATGAATAGAAACCGTTAAGATGAAAATGGAAAAGTTGATTTGAAGAAAAACAAATTTTTCGATAATTTAACAAATTACTTTGTTAATAAAAGTTAATTGTGATTATCGATTATTAATTGTGGTTAATGTTTGTCTCCCACAACAACCCGATTGATTAGAAAGACAGAAAAACACAATCAAAAAGCAAATTATCATCACCAACTTATGGTTATTAATTGTTGAAAGTTGTCTCAGTGAATTTAGTTGATTAGTCCGAGAATAATTTAGATGATTGTTAATTGTTATCAGATTTTTGTTTATTTCTCTTTTAGTTAAATGTGTAAAAATGATTAGCATTGAATAAGGTAATTATATTATTATTCTGTAAATTGTTGTGGTGTGTCAATGAGTGTCGGCCAATTTAATCATGAGTTAATTGTAAGTAATTGAAGGTGATTATTTATGTGGATTAAGGTGATAGGGAAACAATTGAAAGAGTATTAATTGTCAACAATTGAAAATATTCAACAGAGAGAGTTGATTAGAATAAATTGTTTCAATAGTAACTCGAAAGTTAATTGTTTACATTTTACTTTTTTCTTTGTTTGTTGCATTTAACGGATTACCTTTTAATCAGTTAATCACAATTTTGAGCCCAAATTGGTAAAAAAAAGTGATGATCAACTGTTAAATTGTGAAACTTTAATTGTTATTAATTTATTTAAATATATATATATATTTATAATTTACTTATTTATATAGTTCTGATCGACTTTTTTTTCCTGGGGCTAATTAAATTGTTGCTCTCTCGCTCTCTTGAAACCTTGCACCAAATTTTAAGAAAAAAGTAACGAGGTGGATTGAGAGGAGGGTGGGAAGTGGGAAGTGGTTTTTTTTACATTGTTTTGTTTATCGTCCATAATTATCATCATGATAATCGTGGACATCATATGACAATAAACTTAAGTTTGGGTTTACAATTGAAGTTATATAATTAGAAAGAGAGAGAGAGGGGGGAGGGTTGGAAGAAAAGTTCTGATTTTTTCGTATCATGAAAAAGGTGAAACAAGATATTTATACTTTTTATATATGAAACATCAGGATGATGATGATCAAAGATTGAAAAAAAATTGGAGGACATTAATGAAAAGAAAACGAGAGAGAGAAAGAGAAAGTAATTTCAACAGCAATTAAATTAATAGGATTAATATATAAGAGTGTGTGTGTGTATGTATAGATATTTATATGAATATAAATAATCATTTGAATGATAAATGATCATTAGACTTTTGTTTGTTTGTTGCATTTTCCAATAAGCCAAAGTGTTGAATCAAGAATGTAAATCATGATCAAAGTGGAGTTTTATGGTTAACCCAATGAATCCATGGTGAAGGTGGAAAGAAAAAGTGATGGTGGGTTAAGTTGATCTTCTCTTTTGGTTTTGGTGGATTAATCTTCCAACATGTTTCATTCTATTTGATTCCATCTCTTGCATGGTGACATCTTCTGCTCCTTCTTACTGATTGTTTATAAACAGATGATTAGATTCTTGCTAAGAGATTGGGTTGGAAGTGTCAATCTAATCAGTGTTTACAATTAATTGAGGTTGATGATTAAAAATGGCACATGCATTGATTTTTTTGATTTCATTTCTTTTTTTCGTTGAAAATATTATTCTTAAAAAAAGAGAAAAGTGGAAAAAATTTTGATCAAATTTTCATTTTCTGTTTGGTTATCATGCTGTAACCGTTTCTACCATGGTTTTCTTGATTATCTCTCCAAAGTTTTCGATTATATCATCTGAGGATTGAACATCTTGGGAATCAGATTTATCTGAGTTTTCCAATGATGGTGAATCTTGGGAAGATGATAGTGTTGAATGATCACTTGAAGATGATTCGTCTAATTCAAAGGGTGTTAATGATCCAAGTGTTCCTCCGTTAACAGAATCAACTGTATCTTTAGATGAAGTTGATGAGCTCGATGAGGATGGATCACCATTGATTATATCTTGATTAGAATTGGATTTCATGTTACTTGTTGATGTGTCGGACACCATGGAAATTGGTGTTATGATTCTTACATCTTTTCCAATGCTACCAGATCCAAGGAGACCACTAAATGATTCTGCACACTTTGAGGAAGCAATAGATTGACTAAGATCGGTATAGTGTGAAGAGTAATCATCGATTTGGAAGCTAGAATGATGAGTTGATTGGTTAGTTGAACAATTTGTCATTGCGTTAATATTAGTATTGGCGTTATTGTGGCAACTTGATGTTGTTTCACAGGTAGAAGAGTTTGTTGCTAAGTAGTTATTTGAGTAAATTTCTTGATAACTATATGAGTGGTGATGAGGATGAGACTGAGTATGATGGTGTTGTTGCTGGTGCTCAACTTGATGTTGATGATGTTGAAGGTGGTGATGAGGGTGGTGAGGGTGATGTTCATGATGTTCATGTGGATGAGGATTTTGTGAGTGTTGGGGATGATGATGGTGCTGAGATGAGACCGGATAAGTTGATGTGGAAATTGTAGAAATGCGATTAGTTGTTGATTGCCGCAGTATTGGACTTGAAGATGAATGGTTAATTTGATTAGATCCTAGGCCTACAATTATATTATGATTAGTGTTTGTTTCACTACTGTTATTCATCAATAATCCATGAGCGTTATTGTTACTATTGACAGATCCATACAATCCATTGGACTCAAATCCAGTTGAATCAAATGGTGTTAAATCAGTTGAACTTTGATTATGATCTTGATTCCAATGTCCTTTTGAATTTGATACTTGTCCCGGATTAAAATTAGAATTGATTTGTTGCTGCTGTTGTACCGAGTTGTGGATACCATTGTGATTGTTGTTACCATTTAATTCAGAGCAACTAGCAAGTCCAGAGTCAGGCCTTGTAATGTTATTATTACAATTACTATTACTACTGCTTTCATTGCTTCCGTCATTAATCAAGTCTGAATCATAATCTTCACTTGTACAGTCAGAATTTTCAGAATATGAACTATCCTCAGGACTGAAAGAGCTATAAACGTCTAAACAGTCGTTGGTAATGTTAGAGCACATTAAATTACTATTGAGCGTAGTTCCAGACATACCATTACAATTAGAACCTAATGAGCTAAGAGATGAATGATTATCTAGCGATGAGCAACTAGAGTTAATTGTAGCGCCACCAACAACTATTGAGTCAATGAAAGACTGATTACCAACACTAAGACTGGAACAAGGGCCAGTCGAGTTAAGGGAACTATGATTATTAGTCAGAACACAATGAGGTCCATTGTTACAACAGTTATTTTCACCACTGTTGAAACCTTGATTGGATAAGTAGTGGCCAGTTGAGGTGTTGGAACAGCTCGAAAAAGCGATATTAGAACAGGAGTCCGAGGAATCACTTGATGATTGACCACTCACTTCATCAACTCTCTGCAAAAATAACCAGAAAAATAAAATAAATCATTAGATCAAATTATTAATAAAACATAAATATCAAAACAATTTACGATAAAAACAGACCAATAATAATAATGACCATAAATATGAGGATTCAAATTGTTTACAAGAAAATCCTCCAATTATCTAACAATTAACAATCTTCTTCTTTAATAAAGGCAAACAGATGATTTCTTTTGCTTTGATAATTATCACACCCAAAAGATCAATCATGAAAATTGATGAAAAAAAGTTTTACAACAATCGATCGGAAATATACATCGAGTGGAATAGGAAAAGCCATGATAAATGAACAATTATTCATGAAAGAAATGATTCAAGTGTAAGTACAAGTGACGACGTTAAGTGAAACAGGTTATCTCGACAGACTTGGAAAAGTTTGTTATATTATCATTGAATATTGTAATAATAATAATAGTTGGAATGATACAGTAAAATCGTTAACCAAAACATTTCGTCCTATTTAAGCTTTAAGGTTAATATAGCAAATAGAACCTTTGAAATTGAACAGAAAATTGGAGATGCGAGAAACCAGAAAATAAGAGAAGAACAAATTAACCAGAATTTCATGATAAAACAAATGTCCAATATTCGTAAAAGATACAGAGGGTAAACTCTTATAGCTCTTATAGAGATGGAAAAGTTTCATCTTAATCATTATAATTCAACATCAATTATAATAATGAAAATTTCAGTTCATTCAAACTGAATACATGGTAGATGGCGCTGAGAAAATGAGTTTTTCTAATAATAAAAGTTTCCTTAGCTGAGCAGTAAACTAATTTTTCATCATCAACTTGATTATCATCATCATCAGGGGCCATAGGATAATAGCCACGTGAAAGTAAATGCAAGGGAAGGAGGGAAGATGACATAGAGTAGGAGAGAGATGATGAGGATGAAAAGGTACGTAAGAACGAGTATGATGATGATAATAATTAAGTTAACAATCGGGATAACATGGGCAGAGAGAATTGTTAATAATTAATATGATTAAGAAGCAGATTCTCATCAGTAGTTTAAAGTATAACAACTAGATTAAAGTTTGTATATTCTGTTAGTGTGTTAATTGTTCAATTGATTGTGCATTTGAGTTTTTCTTTTCGTAACAATTGGTGTTGATTTGACGAAGAAAACATAAGTCGTTTTTTTCTTCAACAATCAACCAGCAAAAGAAAATACAAAAAACAAGGTAAACTTGAGATTCTTAGTTCAATGTCGTTTGACGACTTTAACATGTTTAGACAACAGCAGAAAGCGGTTCGGCAACTCAGCGTAGAGTGGATGATGATGATGATGATGATGATGAGAAAGAGAGAGAGGAAAGAAAGAGGAAAGAAAAGACAATTAGGAAAGAGAAATTCAACATTCTTTCTTTTTTATCTCTCTTTTTCCAAGTTGAAGTCTCTTTCTTTTCTGGTTAAAAGGTGAAAATCGATTTCAACGATCGATTTTTTTTCTGACTTGACCGTAATAGTTCGAAGGGAAAGTTTACAGTAAAACGAGTTCCCTCAAACAGCGAATCAAGAGAATATATAGAGAGAGAGATATGAGAGAGAGAGAAGATCCACCAACATAATTTAACGAATAGTTAGTTAATCAAGCAAACGAAAGTTCAATTGGCGCTCGAGAATCAGATTCAAACATTCAAAGGAGATATGAAAATTTCAACACAAATCGACTCATTTTTGCTAATGATATTTTCTTAATCAATCTCATGAATTTCATCCAATCTACCGAAATTGCATTTTGTGAGATTCTCATCTAATTCAGTGCTTAGATGGAAGAAGAGAAAATGAGAGAGGCAAAGTAAAGAGAGTGAGAACGGAAATGAGGGATAGAGAAAATATAGTGAGTAAAGGGGAGAGAAACATCGATCGATTGTGAGGCTACATGGTTCACTTGTGTAGAGAGAGAGAGAGAGAGAGAGAGAGAGAGAGAGAGAGAGAGAGAGAGAGAGAAATATGGAGGTTGAATGTTATAGGTTTATCATCATTTTCATCATCCTGATGATCACCATCAGACTATCCGTCATTTCAGAAATTGGCCTTGCCCGAAACATTTCATCTGGACTGTTTTCCAATGACCATCAACAGAAAGTATACTTGTTAGTTTGAATAGATAGGAAACTTTTACAATTCTTATTTTAAATATTGTGCAAAATCTTAAAAAAGTTTTTAGAATTCTGATTCTTGAGAGAAAAAGTTTCAACTCCTCAGCATTTACCATGATCATGATAGAACGATTAAGACGGTAGATGGATTAGTGATGACTCGAAATGGATTAATAACTTTGAAGGGAAGGCAAAGAGAGAATGAGAGATGCGAAGGGAATAGCAAAAGGGATTTTAGTGACTTATTTTCAAATCGATAGACGGAGGAGAGGCTAAGGGAAGTAAACAGAATGAGCGGGAGGAGGGAAGGGGAGAGAGAGCTAAAGAAATGATGAGATGAAATGTTATTTAGTAGAAGAGAAGAGCGCAAAATGAAATCGAAATGCTAAAGAGAAAAAAAGATGAGGTTGGAGAGATGAAGAAGGTATTGGGTAAAGTGTGTAGATACACAACAGCAACAGCAGAAGATGAAGAAGAGAAAAAGATGATGATGGAAAAGAGAAGAGAAGAGGAAACAAGAAGTGATGTTTTCTACTGCTAAAGTTCTTGTTCTTCTTTTTCTTCTTCTATGCTGGGAAGAAGAGAGAGAGAGAGAGAGAGGAAAAAAAAGAAGAAGTAGAAAGAGCAAAATCCATCCCCAAGTTAAGGTCACAAGAAAGAGAAAAAGAGAGTAAAACAAGGAAAGAAAAAGAGAGGAAAGAAAATGTCTCTTTCTTTTCTGGCTGTTAAGTTTTGTTCCTATAATCAACAAAATCAATACTCTCTTTCTATTTCTCTTTCGAGTTTTATAAAAGCTTGTTTGTTGTTGAAGAAGAAAAAAAGAGAGACAGAGAAAGAGAAAGAGAAAGAGAGAGAAAATAGAATAGAATTAACTGAAAATGTAGAAAGAGAGGTAGACAGGGATGAGAGGGAGAATAGAGGGAGAAGGACATACTGATAGAGAAGTAGATTACTATGTGGGAGAAATGGAATGAAACGAGAGAGAGAGAGAGAAAAAGAAAGAATTGGTTGATGATGATGAAGAGAAGGAAAGGAAAAAGGGAGGGAAAATGAGAAAAATAATGATGAAGGTTATAGTTTGTTGTATAGTTGGAAGATGGAAAAGGAGAACTGCAAGAAAATGGGGAACGTAAATGTAAAGGGAAAAGAAGTTGGAAAAGGGAAAAAGGGAAAAGAGAAAATGTTTAGCTTGGTGTTGGTTGAAGAGAGAAAAAGAGAGAAAGAGAGAGATAGAGAGAGAGAGAAAATGTAATATTTAAGGGAAATGAGAAAAAGAAAGAGAGAAAAATAATGAGCTAAAGTAAAAGAAAGAGGAGTAAGGGAAGAAAGAGAGAGAAAGAAGTGACAGATAAACAGAAAAAAAGAAAGATAAGTGGAGAAAGAGAAGGAAAAACGTAGAGAGGGAAAAACGAAAGAGATTTTGTTGTTGATGATGATGATGTTTTATCTTTCTACATCTTTTTGGATGGAAAGATGATGAAAAGAATATGAAAAAGCAACGATTGTAAGCCAGCTGACGTAGAATAAAATTGGGTCTTAGTCGACGGCTTAGCTGGATAACGAAGCTTGAAAAGGGAACACAAACTGGGAATGAATCAACGATTAAATTAATCTAGAATTCAGAGATAACTTGTTTCTTTCTTATCGTGGTGACTTAATGAATCATTCTGCTAATTGATGTTGATAAGTGAGAGCTAAATTTGAAAATCAAATGTAATTGTTGATCAAATGGAGAAAACAAAAATCGTAAAAGTTTTCAAAGTTACTGAGAGAGAAAGAGAAAGAGACAGAGAGTAGGAAAATAGAGGTAAAAATGAATCGGACATTTGTGAGTGAGATGATCGTAATTTTTTCAAATAGATTTTCTTTTTTTTCTCTTGCTTTTGTTTTCGTGTGTTGATCATTTTAATTGTTGGAATTGTTAGATATATCAAGAGAAAGATATAAATTGTTGATTCGTATAGAGTGTAATGTAATGTTGCTACTATATTTATAATGGATAATTATTGTTGAGAGTGAGAGAGAGAGAGAGAGAGAGAGAGAGAGAGAGAGAGAAATATATAACTTACTTGTTGCTCGTTCTTTCTTTCCAATTCCAGTCTCATGATTGTATGGATAAAATGAGTACGCACTCTTAAGGGATTAAATTCAACTCTACCATTTTGATTACCACACCCGTCACGGCTACAACCACAGGGGAAGGATAAACGATCAACTTGACATTTGATTCCTGCTAAACTGCATTGACATGTCTCTGGATCACAGTAGACTTGACATTCGCATCCACAATACTCTCTCGATGCTCTTATATCACGACATTCCTCCTTCTCGTTGGTTTCTATTTTGTGGACACCCGATTCCCGGAGTAAAGCTCGTCGTTGACGTAAAGGAACAGGTTGAAGAAAGTAACAACTGTCCATCTCTAATTCTGAATCAGAAATATCACTTATGTCATCATTTGAATCTTCTTCAGATTCAGATGTTGATCCGGAACTTTGTTTCTGAACCATTTTAGCATATTTACGTTGTCGAAGTAAAATATCTCGATGGGCTCGTTTCTTTTCTTCTGCATGAGAGTCTAAAGTAAATGTTCGAATTGAACAGTGGCGAGAATCCATACCTAAAGTTGACCCTCCTTGACTAGGAACACAAGTAAAACCCTGTGACCTGGGAAAATAGTAAACAGTCACTCCTTTAAAATTGACTGATTTTTTGGCCCGAATTGTTTGAGACTTTTTCAAAAGCCCTTTGACAATCTTGGTGACACTTGCTCTAGTCACATCAAGCGTATTTTCAGAAGTTTTCTGAATTTTAGCAGGAACAGGAGATGTACGTTCATCCTCTTCCTCTTCTCCAGTACCGATGCCATCATTAATAGTGTTTGGTTCTTCTTGATTAAGGGGTAAACCAAGGTCAGTCATTTTTGTTTCTACCCAAGAGAAAGAAAAGATAAATTAGAGAAGATAAATTAAACGCCAAACAGAAGGATTTGAAATAGAAAAAAGAAGCATGTAAGAAATAGATGGAGAGGAGAGACTTGAATATATGACCAGTAAGTGATGAATCCCATGCGAAAACAAAATACATTCAAAGTGGTAAGAACAGAGCAGAGCAGAAGAGAGAAAAAAGAAAACAAATCTTACCTTCTTTTTTTTTTCTAACCAAGTTTTCTTTTGCGATACAAACTGTAGTAAGTAGTTGGTGTAGAATATATATTTTATATAATATAAAGCAGAAAAATTGAATGGATTGTGAAGACAAGAGAGATGAAAAAATCACTGGAAAATGTTGATGACGGTATAAAGATGATCTCTCCAGAAAAGGTGATTGTTACACCGATTTAAGTGAAAGATGAACACTGTTTACAATGAACATTACTAAACACCGATAGTAGAACAGAGATAAACTGGAATCAACATCATGCAGAAACAAAAAGAAAGAGAAGAGAGAGAAAATAATTTATACCGATAACAACCAACAACCAAGTCAGAAATTCAACTAAAAATATTTTCTCTTCTGTTCTCAACTCAATTGGATGACTGTTTTTGCGCATGCGCACAAGAGGTTTACAAGTTAATTCGGTTAAAAGATAATCAATTATTTATCATTCCTCTGATTGTAAAAACTTAATTGTCATTAAATTTACTAAGATTTCAGAAAATTGGGATCTAATGAATTATCATAAATTCAGTTACTATCAAAGTAAAATCGGAATGAGGACAAGAGATTGAAATGAAAACTCTAACTGGTGAAATCAATTGTTAATCAAATTGAACTTGAATCGACTGAATCTAAGACATGGAAAGAAAACTTATTAATTGTACTTCTAATTTGCTTTCTAATTAGAATAATAATTTGATTGTAAAGAAAAAAAGTTAATTGTCCATCGAGAGACTCGATACTTTGAGTTTTCTTGTTTTCGAAATTAAGTTTCCCGCTTTTCGATTTTTATTTCTAGAAAAAGAATGTAGATGTCGCTTTATGTTCTCCATTGGTTTTTATATTTTTATGTTTTTATATATTTAAATTGTTGATTAATTTGATTCTGTGATTCTTAATGTAATGTCATCAGAATCTGGTTGGTTCGATGCATTCCGACCTTCTGGAGGTCCACCTTTATACCTTGACCCCAATAGGACATCTTCGTCAATTGATTCAAAAATATTTTTCATCTTATTAACATTCACCACAGCAGAAATAGCATTCCTATTAGTATTACCTGGAATACGTTAAGAGGTATAATAATAATAACATTTATTAATACAATTAATACAATTGTCTTGATTGTTCCCAACATAACAATAATAATAATAATAATGATTATTATTATTGTATCATGACAATAAGATGAACTCGTGCTTACCTACAAAATCAAGCCTCAACATTTTTTTTAGAGTTGTTGGTCATTCCGTTAATTAGTGTTGATTAAAATTCATTTTCCTTGACCATCATCATCACCATCATCTTTTAACAACAACAATCATCAAACCAACATAATTAACACACTTGATTACAATTTCGCCTCTTCCTTAAAACTGAAACTTTTCCTCACATACTTGAAAAAATGAATATACAATAATTGAGAATCTGAAACTGTCAACTTTACTCCCATTTGTTAATTATATTCTATTTCTATTATATTTTTTCTCCCTCTGTTTTGTTTTTTTGTTAATAGAAATTAATTTGTGTTAATTTGACATCGATGAAACCACAAGAAAAAATGGAAGACGTTATAATTGAAAGGATGGAAACGGGATTTGGACGAGTTAGGTTTGGTTAATCAATAAAACTGATGGATGATTAAGAGGATTTTCGGTATTAGTTGAGTTGATTCGCTCAAAGCACTTGATACATTGGCCTCTCGACGTAATTTTTTGCCAATGGTTTCAACGTGAAATCCCGATTGAGGTTAATTGTTGATGTTCCAAAATTAATGGACCGTCAAAAACACAGGCCGGTTTCTTCATGGCATTGTACATTTTTTGGTAATCGTAGTGTTTGAATTCATCCCAATCGGGCAGATTTGGTAATTGTTTAACACGATAACCTGATCGATAGAATTTTATCATTAGATTCACTTGGAACAATTTATTCGAGAAATTTGTTCTAACCTGATTCCAATATTCGGCGACTTCATATAAGTGCATAGTCTTTGCCAGGTAGACGAGGTTGAGGACATCTTTCTGGAAGCAGCTTCCACCAAACCCGACACCCGCTCGAAGAAATTTATCCCCGATTCTGGTATCAGTTCCAACGGCTTTGGCCACTTCCCTTACATCGGCGCCAGTTGCTTCACAAATGGCTGAAATCGCATTGATTGATATTTCCTGGGCGAGAAAAGTATTGGCAGTCAATTTGGAGAGCTCAGTTGATCAAAAATTAGTACTAATTATCTTCTTTGATCAACCCAATTAGCATAGATTGAAGTTAATTTTACCACCGCTTCTTGACCCGCTTCACTTTCCTCTCCGCCGATTAAGATACGATCCGGATTAAGAAGGTCATTAATCGCTGTGCCTTCGGCGAGAAACTCAGGATTAGATAAAACTTGGAAGCAAAGACCTTTGGCTTTTGGTTTGCTTTTAATATTCTGTTGACCAATTCAGCGGCCTTAACAGGAACTGTACTTTTCTCAACGACAATTTTACTTGCCTTTGCATTGTCGGTGATAATCCGACAAACGAAGTCTAAATTTTTCAAATCAGCGGCTTTCTTCACCAATATCGAATGTTTTAGTCGGCGTATTAACCGAAATAAAAATCAAATCAGCGGCATCAATTTCTCCTTTGACATCGGTTGAAAAGAAAAGATTGGAACCTCGACATTTTTTAACAATGTCTTCCAATCCTGATTCATAGATTGGAAGATAACCAAAATCCAAGATTCAATCCGATTCTCATTCGAATCGACAACCACCACAGTGAGATGAGGACATTTCGAGGCGATCACACAGCTCGTTGGTCCACTAACATAATCAGCACCAATACAAACGATTCTTTTGACATCCTTCATACTTGATTTCTACAGAAGTTAATTAAAAGTAACAAGTTAATTCGGTTAAAAGATAATCAATTATTTATCATTTCTCTGATTGTAAAAACTTAATTGTCATTAAATTTACTAAGATTTCAGAAAATTGGGATCTAATGAATTATCATAAATTAAGTTACTATCAAAGTAAAATCGGAATGAGGACAAGAGATTGAAATGAAAACTCTAACTGGTGAAATCAATTGTTAATCAAATTGAACTTGAATCGACTGAATCTAAGACATGGAAAGAAAACTTATTAATTGTACTTCTAATTTGCTTTCTAATTAGAATAATAATTTGATTGTGAAGAAAAAAAGTTAATTGTCCATCGAGAGACTCGATACTTTGAGTTTTCTTGTTTTCGAAATTAAGTTTCCCGCTTTTGTATTTGTGGAAAGCGAATGTAGATGTCGCTTTATGTTCTCAATTGTTGTACATAAAAATGAAAATGAAAAAATTTTGTTTTTATTTATCAACAATTATTGAGATTCTGAACATAACAATTTAAATTGTTGTTTTCCATGATGATTTAATCTGTCAAACCTTTGGTTTTTTCCTTCATTTTTTTTCCTCTTTCTCATTCTAATAGTCATGTCTTGTTTTGTGTTGACCAACTTAAATTATAATCTACATTGGATATTCAATATTTATTACTATTACTTTTGTATAAAAATTTCTTCGTCTAATTTAAGCTGAAATTTATTTTCTCCTGGTTATTGACAATAATTTATTATTATTTTAAAAGGTAAGCCTATTAATCTGTGAACATTAAGTAAACTTTATTTCCATTTCTTACTTATATTCTATTTCTATTTCTATCTCTGCCTCTTTCTGCCTCTGTTTTGTTTTGTTTTTTTGTTAATAGAAATTAATTTGTGTTAAATTGACATCGATGAAACCACAAGAAAAAATGGAAGACGTTATAATTGAAAGGATGGAAACGGGATTGGGAGGAGAGTCAAGTAAATTGTCACCAATAATCATCAACAATAAGCCAAGAGTAAAGAAAAAAGGTCGAGTTAATTTCATGGAATTAACAATGGTAACAATATTCTACTTTGAGGACAGTATTGAAGATAAAGAGTGTAGGAGTAAATATTGGGAATTCGAAGCGAGTGATCGAGATCGATTTAAGAACAGGATCATGAGGACCGAGGAACAATTAACACCAATTCTATCAATTGACCATCGAAATAAAATTTTCCAACAAAGATTCGACATAAGGTCAACTTCAAACGAAATCCATTAACCCGCTTTTGTGTTATCATCTCATTCAACTATTTCCCCAATTGAGTGAGTAAAGAGATTCAATCAAATAGGAAATCATGTAAAATATCATATTAATTGATTTTCCATCATTTCATTTAAATAAATTTCATCACGTCTTCTTAATTGCACCTTTCTAAATTCATTCGCTTTTCCAATCATCAAATATCTCATTTTATGTTTAGACGAAAAAAGCAGAAAAATCAATAGAAATTTAGCTTTTTTGTTGAGAGATTTTCTAATTGAGTGATTAAGAGATTAAGATTAACAACTAATCTTATTTATCGAGAGAAAATACCCAAAGCTATTGATTCTAGACTATTCTTCAACTAATCTACTAATCTAATCACTAAAAGATTAGCAGCTAATTGAAAGTAAATTCTCACCATTAGTTTAGTTTAAATCGGAATCCATTTGGTATGTTGGTCAATCAATCAAATGAGCTTTTTATGGATAAATTTGTTTTTACAATTTAGAATAAATTAGTTAATTGGAATAGATTATGATGAAAATTTAAAGTGATCAACAATTCGCGTAGATTATTTTTTGCTTGTCTTGACGGTGGTAAATTGTTGTCGTGGTTCAATCTCCATCACTGATATGTTTTGGTTGCTTTTATGAGGCGGATAAAAGTGTGTGTTGATTAGTTTAATTACAAAAATTGACAATAAAAAATTGACTCATAATATCGACTCATAATACTTTCTTATATTACAAAATAATTGACATTAAAACATAAAATTGACGCAAAGGGTTGGGGGGGAGTCGGGCTAAAACGGTCACGATGACGAGGGTCACATCTTATTATTGCCATTGAGGTTTCTTCTGGTTAACTTGTCCCTTGGGTTGAATTTGATTTTTTTTTCTTTTTTGATTTCGTCCTCCGGTGATCATTTTTATCCTCCTTTTAGCCCAAATTTAAAAACCAATTTAAACCAGTCTGTCTCTCGCTCGAGCCGATGGGGTTGGACTCGGATTATCTATAACCTATTAAGATAATCATTAGAGCTGATATCTAAACAACGATTCCACTCTATACCCACGTGTTTCAGTTGACGAGCTGTTCCTTTGGATAAAAGTTCATTGAATTCATGTTCTAACAATTGTCGTGCCTGAGAATTGAGGGAAGAGATTGAATTAGAAAATGTTCTTGTTTCTTTGTTTGGTTGGAATTAGATTAGAGAAAACAACATCAATTAGTTACCTGTACATTATCAACGGGTATTTGTAAGAATAAGGCCATTTGAGTGGCATCGAAAGTTTCATCCAAGGCTATTAGAGCTCCATGGACACCGGATTCAACGAGATTAATTGAATACTCTCTTAGTTTTATATTATTAACCCATTTGACTACCCGCTCATTGGACCACACGAGAACATCTGAAAGATAATTTTAGAGAAAATATTAATTAACTAGGAATTAAGACTAATTATCTCAAGAGGAATAATTTTTTATCTAAATAAGAACCTATGATATCGTTTTCACAATTTCGACGTCGCTCTTCCAAAGCTCGTTTATCATAGTTGAGCCTTTTCAGGCAATTGATTCCATATTGAAGACTCGTTCGGTGATAAGCATCCAACATTTTGAGATGAACTCGAAGATCTTTCTTAGTTAAATGTTCTAACATTCGAGCATCAACTAGACACTCCATGAATGAAGATCGATACTGGGGCAAACCTAGAGATGGTAACCTGTTAGAAAAATAATTGAGTTAAAAAAGTTTCTAAGATTATGTTCAACCCGTTAGGGAAAGTCAAGTTAACTAACCATTCATTTCCTATCCATTCGTGATTCATTTCTCCAAATGCAAGACTAGTATTTATATTTTTAGGTGCTGATGGAGAGGTGAGAGCCACCATTTCCTGGATTGCTAATCGTAATTTTAACCGATGCAATGGATTACTAATTCCGATCTCTCTTTGAATTTCAGTGTCAGATAAAGCAGACATGATAGCTCCCGATTTGACATTTGCACGACAAGCGGCAACATACCAGGCCGGCATCGCAACCCAAAGCTATTAAGGAAGAAAATGAAAAATTAATCAATAAAGATAATTACATATTTTACATTTGATACTAACTTCAAGCCAGGCTACTATTGTTGGTCCATTCCAAAGTGCGAAAGGCGTTCCGGCTTTCATTGCTTCGGCAAGAAGTTCGTGCTTTTTTCGTGCACGTCGATCAAAATCTTTTGAGCCTAAAGAAGGAGAGGCGGGAACACCCCCGACGGTTACAAGGCTTTGAGATGAGTCAGGGTTTACCATGGTAATATAATCACTAGAATCAACGGGATAATTTCCCATATAGAATTGCTGCCGATATTTCAATTTATCCCGTTTAGAGCTACTAAACAATTTACCTACAAAGGTCGATTTTAGACCTTTCTTTTTCTGTTGTGGGGGAGCTGCTGAAGAATAGTAAGGATAAGGGGACATTGAATATTGTGGCTGAAGTTGGGGCGATTGTTGGTTCATTTGATAGGCACCCGGTGGGTACAACCGTCGATTCAATGAATCCATAGAAGAAGTCGTTGAACATGGTTGATTAGCTTGATAGTGTTGGTAATCATCGAGATCAGGATTAGGTCTAAATGAAAAAAAGTCAGAGAATTCAAGTTAAAAATGAGCGAAATGATATCACATTTATAACAGTAAAAAAATTAGCTATTAAATCAGCTGATTCATATTCTAACCTTGGAAGTATATCGGGAGGCACATTAATACCATAAGGGGGAATATTTGGATTTTGTTTATTATCATTTGGAGCTTGTAACCGAATGTATCTTGGAGTTGATGGACCTGCGTTACCACGGTTAAGATCCTGTAGAGAATAATGAAAAAAATTATAAGTTTTGAGAGTAGCGAATGTGATAAAAAAATGAATGACAAATGAATAGTCACCAAATTGTAAAGTGAAGATGAATAATCTACAGATGGACTGGCACGAGATGATCTGGGAGTTGATCTACCACTTTGCGGGGGTGAAATGCCCATGAGATGAGATTGATCGTCTGACTGTGCTCGAGGAAGTAGACCCATTGAATAATCGAGACTTTCGAGTTGTGAACCTAACTCTTCGGCACGTTGTTCGGTACTTTGTTTTTCTTCTTGAATCAAACGGATTTCATTGTTGATCGCATCAAGTTGCTCTTGAAGCATCAATGCTAAAGTTTGTGCATCTATTGATAAACAAGATAAAAAGAAGAGTAAAAAACAATAAAAAAAATCTTAAACCAAATTGCGGTTGATAAAATGCCGACAAACTAGATACTTACTTGACTGACCAGAAGGAGATAAAAGGACGTTATCAATGGGTCCGAATAAACTTTCATTATCATTTTCATCAGTTTGACTACAATCGGCATCAGAAGGGTCAAAGTTCGGACCAAGATTAGTGACATGATCCATTTTATTCCATTGGCGTTCACAGTAAAGATCAGCTGCGCTTTTCTTTTGGTTCCGCGAGATAGCGGCCGATAAAGCGACCTGAATGGATTCAGCGCGATAGTTTTGTACATCTTGTCGCAGGGCATCCAATTCGTTTCGCATTTTAGCTGAATCTTGTAAAATTTTTTCTTTTTCTGTTTGTGTTTCATCTAATAAACGACGAATACGATCCAATTCTTGTTGTAGAACACTTTTCTCTTCAAGAGCGGTGATTCTCTCCTTCAAGTGCAATTGTAACCTTTCATTTGATTCGGCTAATAGTTTGTCCACAGTCGCTTCTAGTTTTTGGTTGTGTTCCTTGTTCATCTTTTCCCGTTGACTGGCTCTAAGTAGTTCTGTTGATTTCTCTTCAAGTTGTTGTTTCAAACGAGCAATTCTTTCCTCTAGTGACATTTGCTTCTCTTGTTCCTCAGTACTTGAAGATAAATAACATTTGAAACAATTAGTTATAAGAATATAAGTTAAATAGAAAAAAAATTTCATATCATAAGTTGATCAGTTTACTTACTCATTAACTTCTTCCTTTGCTTCATTGATTAGGTCTTCTTGTTTCTTGTCGAATTCTAATTTGGATAACTTTTGTTCTGTTAATTCTAATCTTTCAATAAGTTCATTAATCTTTTCTTCGGCCATTTTCAGTTGAGCTTCTTTATTGGCCAATTCACGTTCCAATTTATCGTTGAGATCATTAAGGGAGGATGTTTCTTTTTGAGAGTTACAGAAACGTTTCTCAAGGGTGGATATCCTTTGCTCTTGGTCTTCTTTCTGGGCGTTAGTCTCTCTCAGGGTTTCTCTTAATTTCATGTTTTCATCTTTGATTAGTATCTGCTGTTGATCACCCATTTTTAAATCTTCTTCCAACTCTTTTAACCGATTAGTTAGTTCACTGATTTGTGATCGAGATTTTAATAGATCACTTGATTGTTTTTCTAGTAACGATTTCATCTCATTGATTCCACTTTCGTCTACACTTGATCGGGTTTTCACTGTTTCCTCTAAATTTGGTCCATTTGTCACTAAATTAGTTTTATCGTCACTTCCATTTGTATAACTACTCTTTTCCGATTGTAATTTGTTAATTTCATCATGTGCTTTAGCTAATTCGTCTTCCAGATGATTTATCCTATCCAAAGAGACTCTTAATTTCTCTCTGACTTTTTCATCAAGAGCTTTGTGATGTTCAAACAGCGATTTCAATGCTTTGAGAACTTCAACTTCTGATGAAACTCCTGTCGCTGAATTTTGTCTCTTGACCACAGTTAATCTAAGTGACCTTTCATGTCGTGAAACCAGGCACTCTAAATGCTCAAGTAATAACTAAATAAAAAGAAAAGAAGGAAAATCATTTGTCAGATTCACAATCAATCAAAGTGATTTTTGGACAGGATAATTTACGAATAATCAAATTATAGTTACCCTAGTATTGCTCCTTTCAGCTTTAAGTTCAGCGATTTCTTCATTTTTCTCATCGATTTGTTCCCTTGCCTGACTTAGCTCTCTCGTTAAACTAGTGAATTCCTGTAAATATAAAGATAATTGATCGTTAAAGATAATTGATAGCGGCGATTTTATCTTTTCAATTTCAAACATACTTGTGGTAAATTTGCATTGATTTGTTTGATTAGAGATTCTCTGTCCTTTTCACTTTCATTTAATTTATTACGAGTATCTTCTAGTTGTATTTGTGTTGCTCTTAGTGTTTCGAGGAGTTTGTCTCGTTCATCGAGCATGTTGAACATGAGTTGTTCAAAATTATTTTCTTCTCCAAAGTTTCGTTGCGATGTTGAATCTTCAACAATAGTTGGCATAACATCACACATCTCGTCCCACATAATATGAACCAACTACCTCCAATAAAATATGTTGGTTTGAGTGGCGCAAATCGATTGACTAGTAGTGGGCAAGAAAAAGGAAAACACCAAGAAAATTGAATTAAAAAGACACTAAAACTGCAATGGTTCTCATAAAATGGATAAGAGGTTTTTCTGGTCACTTCCTGTTTACCAGATTATAGATGAAAGATAAAAGTGTTTATAATTCCGGCTAAATAGTAAAGAGAACAGAGAAAGAATAACAATCATTAGATTAGATCAATTCAAGTGGAAAGAAGGAAATAAACAGAATGAGCGGGAGGAAGGAACAAGAAATTAAAAGGATAAGTCAAGAAAGAATAGAAAATGTACCAAAATATTCTAATGATAACAAGAAATAGAGATAAATACACAAGGTATTGGATAGAATGAGAGTTTGACATGAAGATTACAAGAAAAGATATGAAGGTGATGCAGAGAGAGAGAGAGAAAGAGAAAGAGATGAGATTTTCTGATGCTGATTTGTTCGTATTTATATTGTTAGAATAGGAAAAAGAAGATGGAAAAATAGAAAGAGCAAAATCAAGCTAAGGTCACAAGGAAAAGAAAGAGACAGAGTGAAGCAAATTGTCTCTTTCTTTTCTATGCTGGTAAGTTTTACTCACCTATATCTTAGTAAAATCAATATTCTCTTTCTTTTTCTCTTTAAAAGAAAACTAAACCTTTTGGAATGGAAAATGACGGATTTTCCATTGAAAGAATTTCAATTGAACACAACAGATGAGAGAAAACTCTAGACTAGAATGGAAGATGATCACAGGAGATTAGATGGTATTTTCCAAGGAGAGAAACCTTAGATTGGTAGAGAAGAGAAAATAATTGAGATTAAATTCTTACCTTAGAATTTGATGTTCAGATGTAATAGTATTTGCGGTGTATCTTCTTTGAGAATAGAATAGAAAACAGTGACCGGAATTCTCACCCAATTGATAAGCTCAATTTCCAGTCAATTGTTTTCTCTTTTACTATTTTCTACACATAATTTGGGATGTTCGATGATTAAAATTATCCAAATAATTAGAATAAAAACACAAATAAGAAGACATGATGAGAGATTTATTTAAATAAATGATGAACAAATGTTGATGGAAAACCAGCCAACATAATATTTTACAATTTTCTATTCTATTCAATGAAATAAATGATTCGCTTTACGCATCGGATTTTGCGCACTTAATTGGGGGAATAGTTGAATGAGATGATAACACAAAAGCGGGTTAATGGATTTCGTTTGAAGTTGACCTTATGTCGAATCTTTGTTGGAAAATTTTATTTCGATGGTCAATTGATAGAATTGGTGTTAATTGTTCCTCGGTCCTCATGATCCTGTTCTTAAATCGATCTCGATCACTCGCTTCGAATTCCCAATATTTACTCCTACACTCTTTATCTTCAATACTGTCCTCAAAGTAGAATATTGTTACCATTGTTAATTCCATGAAATTAACTCGACCTTTTTTCTTTACTCTTGGCTTATTGTTGATGATTATTGGTGACAATTTACTTGACTCTCCTCCCAATCCCGTTTCCATCCTTTCAATTATAACGTCTTCCATTTTTTCTTGTGGTTTCATCGATGTCAATTTAACACAAATTAATTTCTATTAACAAAAAACAAAACAGAGGGAGAAAAAATATAATAGAAAGAAGCAGAAGAAAGAGGTAGAAATAGAAATAGAATTAGAAATAGAATATAATTAACAAATGGGAATAAAGTTGACATAATGTTCACAGTTTCAGATTCTCAATTATTGTTGATTGTTGATAAATAAAAACAAAATTTTTTCTCATTTTCAACCAAAACCAATGGAGAACATAAAGCGACATCTAAATTCTTTTTCTAGAAATAAAAATCGAAAAGCGGGAAACTTAATTTCGAAAACAAGAAAACTCAAAGTATCGAGTCTCTCGATGGTCAATTAACTTTTTTTCTTCACAATTAAACTATTATTCTAATTAGAATCCAAAATAGAACTACAATTAATAAGTTCTCTTTCCATGTCTTAGATTCAGTCGATTTAAGTTCAATGTGATTTAATTAGAATTAATTGTTGCATCATCACAATTAGAATCCAAATGATATCGATATATTGAGATTCGAGTACTTGAGTTTTGATGTTTTCGGATGAAATCAAATGTTTGTTTTGATTTTGATGAGAAATTTAATTTGACTGTTTAATTTGATTTTGTTGATTGGCTTTTACTTTAATTGAATAAAAGAACTAATTTAAAATGAATAGACGTGACGAAGACTCGGAGGAAGATGAAACTGGTCAAGAATTGGAGGTAATTCCACCACAAGAGCTTGGAGATAAAAGAAAACGTTTCTTTTCAAAGGAATTGAGATGTATGATGTATGGATTTGGTGACGATCAAAATCCTTATACTGAATCAGTTGATCTGCTAGAGGATTTGGTTATCCAATATATCGCTGAGGTAACTCATAAAGCCATGGAATTAGGAAGATCTGGTAAAGTTGCTGTTGAAGATATAATGTTCCTGATGAGAAAAGATAAAAGGAAATATTCTCGTATTAAAGACCTTCTATTTATGAATGAAGAACTTAAAAAAGCAAGAAAAGCCTTCGATGAAGTTAAATACGCTTCCGTTTAAAGTGATGGTTAACCAAAATCTCCTTGCAAATGATCAACTTCATATCTAATTGTTACTTGTAACTTGACCAATTATTTCATCTTTTAATTATTTTCCTCATCTTCATCATTAACATGAAAGAAAACCAATTCTCAATCACAGCAACAAAAACAACACATTGAAAGGATCAAATTTCCCAAATCAATTAACGATTAATTACCAATGGCGATACCAGAAACCGAGAAACTATTTCCTGATTTGAATCTATTACATCATTTGGATAACAACAACAACAATTACAGTTACAATAGTTTGAATGATAATCATTTCGATCAACAATCATTCAACCAAATCCTGAAGAAGAAGAAAATTTTTCTCCAAAATGATTAATAAATTGCTTCTCACCTCTCAGCGGGTGTTTCTTTACCTCTCTTTCAATTAGAGGGATGAACTAAATCAAGTTATTGATGATCAATATTTCAGTGATTAACTGACAATCCAAGAATAGTTCAAACAATAGAGAAAGAAAAATAAAACAAGAATACAAAATCAACTTTTACCAATTCAATTCTCTTTCAACTAATCACAAGTAATTGTGATTTAAGTGAAAACTTTTCCACTTGTATTATTTTTATTGATTGTTTCCACTATTGAAGGTGGAAGATAAATTAAATTGAAGAAAGAAAAAATTTAGGACAAATTAAAAAAAGACAATCAAATATCCAAGAGAAAACAAGGTTACAGGATATCCTAAATTGCGAAGTAAATCAACAACTACAACCGACAATCAATTAAGAAATTAACATTTATTATTAACTAACTTGTTCTTCAACAACAATCAAAATGATTAACCAACAATACCTTTGATCCTTAACAGTTTAAGGTTGGAAACTTTTTTTTTCTTCTTTCATTTTCTCAATTTACTTTCACCGTTTAATTTTTTTTTCTCTCGATTTTGATTGTAACAATTAAAATCACCTCAATGGTCCCCTAGTTCATGGACATTGATCAACTAATCATTTAACTGTTTTCTTATTACGCTTCCATGATAATCAAGTAAATTCATCAACTGTACCGTGAAACTTTCACGTAGTTAATTGCTCAACCGCTTATAGATTGACAATTAACTTTTACTTGAGTTGATTTAGTTAACTCTCCCTCTTATTAATCAACATTTTACTTTGCTCTGATTCAGTTGTTTCTGTATTTAGTGAAAATTGTCAGTTAACTACTAAATTTGGTTCGCGCTAAGTTATTATATCATTTCTTTGGATTGACAATCAATTGATTTTTGTTTAACTTTCGCCCGAATATGATTCATGTTAATTAATCATCCCAATTAGTGTCTTAATTGGTATCAATTAACATTTTCTAGGAATTTTCTCACTTGTGGATTAAATTTGTGTTGTGTTATCATCATTCATTGGAAATCGATAATGGCTGATTATCCATCTTTACAATCGTTAACAATCAACAAAATCTCAGTTCTGGTAACTGGATCAAGTGGATTCCTTGGACAACATTTGATTAAATTACTTCAGGAAGAAGATGATTCAGTTTCATCAATTGTTTGCTTCGATAAGCGACCATATCGAAACAATCTCGGTAAGATGTCAATCAAAGCTCATTAATTACAATCAGAGTGATCAAATCTCTTCGTCCAATTGTTTCTCTCCTCTAATTGTGGGGAAATTCAATGGTCCAGTGTGATAATCGTTTTCATCATTTTCTCATTCACATTAGGCCACAAAACGGAAAAGTCCATGAAATTCATAACTGGAGATATTCGAGATGATAAAGTTGTCACCACAGCGATGGAAGGTGTTGATTGTGTCATTCATTGTGCTGCTGAAACTTCAATCGATTTCAATGCTGATGAGAAATCCCTTTTCTCTGTTAATGTTGATGGTAAATTTGATTATCCTTTTCTCTGATTCCAAATTAATCACAAATAATTGAGAGAGAGTTACATCACAGCTACAAGATTAGTTTAGATATAAATCAAAAGATTCTTTAGATTAAACTAAAATGTAAGACGAATAACAATTTTGATAATCATTACAATCAGATTTCCACCTGATTGATAATGAAACACTCAATATATATTGATGAAAGTTAATTATGGAAAAAAATTACAACTACAATTGTACTTGAAATTTATCAAGTACAATGGGAAAAAATTACAACAATTCAATGGTAATCAAAATTTCACCAAGAAAGAAACAGATACCATTGAAAAGATTTAACTATATTTCCTCCTCAACCGCTGATATAATAGAATAGATAATCAATTAGTCTCAACGTTTGACATTTAATTAGCCACCAATTAACATCTAATTGCTGAACCGATCGCCATGAAGGTACCAAAAGTGCCTCCACCTTGAGCCATCACTTTACCAGTATTGGTTAATAAAGATATCCCTCTGAGTCCCGCTCGAAAAGATGAAAACCCACCAAAAAGAAAACCAGAGCCTAATCCAACTAATCAAAAAAAGATAAATCAGATAAATTAATCAAACACAATCAACAATCAAATGTTATCAATAAAAAAGCGACAGAAAAAAATACTTACCCATAAATCCTATTGTAAAGCCCATTTTAACTCTCTGAAAACATGGAGATTCACCTTTAGGAACACCTTGAGGAACAGGCATCTTGATTGAGATAAATGATCAAGTTAATTAACACAATTAACAATTAGAAAAACAATCAAATTGAGAAAATTAAAATGTCAACAAATGAAAAGCATGAGACAAACTCTCTGAAAACATGGAGATTCACCTTTAGGAACACCTTGAGGAACAGGCATCTTGATTGAGATAAATGATCAAGTTAATTAACACAATTAACAATTAGAAAAACAATCAAATTGAGAAAATTAAAATGTCAACAAATGAAAAGCATGAGACAAAATCTCAACAGAAAAACATGTTCCCTATGGAGAGAAAACCCTAGTGACATCTAACGGCTTCGAAAAATTCTATCAATAGATTTTCGTTTGCAATTAAATTGCAACTGAATTAAGATAAAAATCGACGATCTAAATTTAATTTAGTCGATGAATTCATGGTGTCTTCTTATCTCGAAATGTTTTCCGTGAGATTTAAGAATGAAAACCCTTTCGAACTATCTAACTCTCTCAATATAAACTATCCAATTTCTTTGATTTTCCAGGAACCGAGAATCTACTTAATTGTGCAATCGAATCAAATGTTAGATACTTTGTTCATGTATCGACGATCGATGTGATCTGTGGACCTGATCCGATCTATTATGGTGCCGAAAACACTTGTATGGTTCCTAAAAAGCCCGTTCTTGGACCTTACGCTCGAAGTAAATACGAAGCTGAACTTCAGTGAAGTAACAACAATTAATGGTTATGATGAAATAGAAACAAACAAAAGTGTCGTGTTTAATGTTAAACCAGCCTTGATTTACTTGATTGTTGTTAAATTGTTCCCAAACAATTAGTAAATAAAATTGGGTCAAAAATTGGAAAGTCAAATCAATTTTGTTAATGAGTAAACAATCAATATGCAAACAATTGTGACGAAACTTTTTGTTTTCTCATTATTTATATTTACCAATAATTGATCAATAAATTATTACAATAAATGTATCACTCCAAGTTAATTGTTGATTGTGTTTAATTAACAGGATTTGGACGATTATCAACCGTAATTGTCAGACCAACCCTGTTATATGGTGAAGAGGATCCTTACTTTGTCAGCCAATTAATTAAAGTTGCTAAATCATCACCAGGTAATTGTTTACCTCGAGTGGACAATGTTTTCACACGGACTCAGGTCACTTACGTTGGCAACGCTGCTTGGGCTTGTTGTAAGGCCAAAGATCGCCTTCGTTTGGACCCTGGTATCGGCGGTGAACAGTTTATCATTACCGATGATACTCCAGTCCAAGATCCGTTTGATTTTATCAAACCATATCTCGATCAAGTTAATTGTCGGCTCTCTGATCGTCCACTTCCCTATTGGATATTAATCATTATCCTTGAGCTTATCCTTATTGTGGTCACTTTAATCCGTCCCTTTTACTCAATTGACCTTCCAGAGAAATATAATCCACGACGAGTTCGTTATCTATGTACAACTTTTTTCTTCAATCGGAACAAATCGACCCTTCGATTGACCTATCAACCTCTTTATACTCCCGATGATAGTAAAAAACGATCATTGGTCTACTATGGTAAATTGTGATTCCCGATAGTTAATCACAATCAAGTGTTCGACAGCCAATCAATTTATACTTAAAATCAACTTTTAATTGTCAATTTACTTTTTATAAAACTTTTTTCTTCCTCTTATTTTAACAGTTTCATTTATCTCTTGATTTAATTGTTGTCAACAAACATCAACAATAAGCTGATTGTACAATTTTCACTAATTGTGTAAAAATATCAATCTCTCTCTATCGATACAAGGCCAAGTTCAACATGTTGGTTGATTTGTACAAAGATAATCAATTAGCTGATTCACTTGATTAGTTAAATTTTCATTTACGTCAATAATCAACATGGGAAATTAATTTTAAACTCTTGTCATTAATTAGAGAGAAGCCAAAAAAAGATGTGAATTAAAATAGATGACAATTAATATTGAATTAATTAATTCGTGGATCTATCAAGTTGTTAGATTGTTGAATTTAATCAATTGTTAATATTTGAGGTTCGAAACAATCAGTAACAATTAAGGGCTTAATTCGTGTCGATTTGGCAAACAAACAAACCTTTTACCCTTGAGGGTAAACCAAAGTGCTAAGAGCAAATTCAATGAAGCTGAAAGATGAAGATGAAAAAATAAAGAGATGATGAAGACAAAGAAGATGAAACATTGAGAAATTATCAAGATGATGAAGATGAAGATGAAGATAAGAAGATGATGAGTACGAACATGATTTTGTAAAAGATAACATGATTTCCACATGAAAAGGGTTCCAAGAAAGGCGTTTGAATGATGATAAAGGAAGATGAAACTTTGTAGACAGTGAAAGAAGACAGATGATGATAAATTCTAGTTCGCAAAAGCTCAAGGTGACCAAAATTAGTTCGCTCATTTTGATCCAACGAAATTGAACATTCGTCGAAATCGTTAGTTGATAGTAAAGACAAAAGAGACAGAGAAGAAAGAAAGAGAAGATACTTGTTGGAAGAGAAAGAGTGAGACGATTTTCGTGAGAGAGTGAGAATGAGTGAGAGACAATAACAATCATCTAATAGTTTTAATTGTTGTTCTTTAATTTAGTTACAAATCATTTTCATCTTTAATCAACATCCATTTACATCGTCACTTTATCGTGACTTCTGGTAACTTTTAGTTAACTTTGAATCGTTTCTGTTGTTAATTGTTGTTGTTGTTGTTTAAATCATCGTTCAATTGTCAATCATGGCTCCTCGACAATTTACTGCCCCGAAGGCCTGGAAACGACCTTACACTTCAATCTATAACGATAATTATCGTTTCGGTAATTCACTTTACTCATCAGCAATCGATGATATCGAACGAAAATACAACGAATCAATGGCAAAGACAAGTTACCGATCCGATCGACCTGACCTTGGATTATCATCTATGTCAGGTCAAGGTGGACATTCAGCTCCTGTACCAACATCATCATCATCTCCTATTCCAGAATCGGAGACCCGAAGACGAGCTCGTGCTGCCGGTGTATTTGATTTATTAGATAGCGATTTAACTTCAGGCCGAATCTCACCTTCACCCGCAGTCGGATTAACGGCTTTTGGATCATCCGAATTGAGGAAATCATCTTCATTTCATGCATATCAATCAATTAAACATCTAAATGCAATGGAATCGAGTCTTGAAGAATCGCGATCTCGACGAGCTCGATCCCGACGACGACCTGAATCGGCCTACTATTCAACCGACGATTACACTCTTCCACCCTTCTCCCCACTCACCCCACCACCTCTGCCCACTCATCATCATTCACCTAAACCAACATTTGATTCAGTTGATGCTCAATCTCAAGCTTTATGGATGGAAAGATGGTAAGTCAATCAATCAACAATCAAATTGTTCAATCAACAATTAACTTAAATCACTAATCTAATCAAAACCTTTACTGCGGCTGCAAAAAAATCATTTACTCACCTTGCAAGTTAATCCACTGCTTACAACAATTAAATCTAATTTTATTGTCTCATTTTAATTCTATTCTGTTAATTAATCAAACTGTTATAATCAAATTAACAAACAAATAAAAATTAATGATTAATTTAAAATGCAAACCAACAAAACAATAATTAGCTAATTTATTATTATTATTAATCAATTCTAATCTAATATATTTTGATTACAATACAGAAAATGATCAATTTGAACTTGAGTCAACATCTTTTAACCCAATTTAATTGTAATCAACAATTAGATTAAGGATAATCATGATAACCTTGTATTGGATTGAAAATGTTGATCAAGAATCAAGAAGATAAAAAATTGGGTCTCATCCAGAGTTACAATTAAATTAAGATTAAAACAACATAAACAATTTGTAGACAGACAAAATTAGACAGAGATTAAACCTCGAATATGAATAAGATTAAAAAAGTTCTGAAAAAAAGTTCTAATCATCAATTGGATCTAATTATTTAATGAAAGATGAAAAAAATCAAGTCAAAAGCATGTCAACGATTTTGATACAAATTTTGAAGATGATTAACAATTTAACTGTATTGTCTTGATTTTTTTCTCGGTTAATTGTCGATAACAATTGTAATTAAAAAGCCGTGAACTACAGAGTGAAGTGGATCGACTGAATTCAATGTTAATCGAAACCGAAAGTCGGATCAAAACGGAGGCCGTTTCCGTTAAGAACAAATTAAACATGGAGGTCACTGATTTACTAATGACAATCGATGAACAGGAACGATACTCTAAAGAATTACAATCAGCCCTGAAAAAGCAGCAACGACAAGTTCAGGTAAGAGAGAGAAAGAGAGAGACAATTAAGTTAATTGTTGGAAAAAATTAACCTTCATCTTCTAATTAATTGTTGTCTCAGGAATTACAAAATGGTTACGATTCGGTTACTCGATGTTACTCCGATTCCATGGAGGAATTGGCCTCAATTCAACGAAAGGCCTCACAACTTTGCCACGAAGTGGATAACCTAAGATCCAGTATCGATAAGGTATCCATTTGAATCGACAATTAACTAGTAATTAACCAACAATTAACTTGTCAACAATTAATTATCAATGGTAAAAAGTAACAGCTCCGTTTACCTTTTTTCTTTGTGTTCATTGAGAAAATTATTTTCAATTAATTATCATGATAAATCAGATTTACTTTTATTTTCATGATTAACTTTCATTATTGAAATGATTAACTTGATTGTTTGATGCTGGTGAATGTTGATGATTAATTATTATTTATGTTATATATAATTGTGAAAAGTTAATCATATAAAAAAAAAATGATGATAATGATTAAAATCAAATGTGAGAAAAATAAAAACAACAAAAAAAGTTAAACTCGTTAATTATTATTAATATTTTCAAGTTTCAATTAACAATTTAAATTAAAACGGTTAACTAAATAACTACGGACTTTGATAATTAATTAGTTAATTAATTAACCTTTTATCCTCTCTTATCAACAGGCTATCTTCAAACCATCAACCCCTTCAAGGCAAAATTACCGTTACAATTACTATCATTGATTTAATATCCACAATTAGTTAATTGTTGCCCATTGTGAGAGCTGATTGTTGATTAAAATTCATTCATTTCTTGGGAACAATAAAATTAATTTATCTCATGAATTCTTGTTGATTTTTATTTCTCAATTTCTTTAAATTTTAATAGAAAATAAATTCAATTTGATTACGTTCATTTCTTTACGATTAATTAATTTTCTTAATTGTTTTCGATAAAAAAAAATTCGAGTCTATTTTCAGAGCAAAAACGAGAAAAAAATGTGAGAATAGCTGAATGAGCTTCTCTCAGCTGGTGAAGGAAAAAATTGATTACCGCCTTTGAGAAAATTGTTAATTTGGTTAATTGTTTAATCTTTTCAACTTTAATTGGATTAATTTGGTAAATTAAGATTCTCGGATGGTTATTTTATCTCAGTTAAATTGAAATTTCATCATGGAATCGATAAATCATCAGCAGATTCGACAGCAAGTTTTGGTAAGTCGATTGGAATTCATTTTCTACCTTAAAGATTAAGCTATTTTCTAAAGAGAATTTCTATTTAATTGTTGTTCTTTTGTTTTTCTTGTGAAATTATATTAATTCCCTTTAATTTTTGCAATCAGGAACATGTCGAGAAGGCATTGACAGAGGATAAAGTTAACGAACTCCTGGTTTCATGTCGTAATCTGATTGATAAAGCTCAGGCTGGTCTTGACATGGATATTAAAACTGCCGTTGACACTGGATTTCGAGATGTGTTACATGAGTACATTAAATGTCATATCGAAGATGATGATTACCATTGGTATGAGAAGATCATTGAATTGTCTATAAAAGCTGTTAGAAGTGGCATTTGTATGGGAAGTTTACCGATTATCCTGTTAACTGATCTGTTTGATTGTAAACAGTTAAGTAAATGTGAAGAGTTATTTTCACTATTGGAGAATCGAGTTAACATTTGGAAAGAGGATGTTTTTTTCAACAATGTTAAGAATCAAATGCTTCGATCTTGTAATGATTTATTAAGACGATTATCACGATCTCAACATACTGTTTTCGGTGGCCGAATATTGGAATTTTTGGCCCGATTTTTTCCTCTCTTTGAACGATCAGGACTCAATCTTACCTCAGAATTTAATCAAGAAAATGTTGTCGCCATATCTGCTCAAGAAGATTTACCCGATCCCTCGGTTATTTTAGACTCCGTTATGGAAGAAGGTGAAATGCCGGCCACTGAGGTGATACAAATTGATTACAATTTGTATAGGAAATTCTGGCAATTACAATCATTTTTCAAGAATCCAAATCTCTGTTACTCTAAACCAAATTGGAAACAGTTTCAAAGTTATTCATCGGATGTGCTCACTGCCTTTTCCACATTTAAACTTGACCCACAAAGCACTCGAGACACCGACCAGGTGAAAGGTGAATCCAGGGAAGGAGGAGAAGGGGAACAAATTCATTTCACCAAATATCTAACTAATCAAAAGTTATTAGAATTACAATTAAGTGATTCCAATTTCAGACGATATATTCTTGTACAATTTTTAATCCTTTTCCAATATTTAACAACCTACGTTAAAAGTAAAACCGAAAGTCAAACTTTGACCGAAGAGCAAACAACTTGGTTAAAACAGAATCATGAGAAAGTTTTGGAGTTAATTAGCAAAACTCCACCGAATGGACAAGAAATCAAACAGAACATTGAACATATTCTGAAACGGGAAGAGTTCTGGTGTAACTGGAAGAATGAAGGTTGTCCAGGATTAAAGGAAATTAACGAACCATCAACAGTTAATCAAGAACCAATGATGTCCAATGGTCGTAAAAGAGTCGGAGAGGAGATTCAATTTGCTGAATTACATGGGAAAGTGATCATCGGGAATCCCGAATTAACTAAACTGTGGAACTTGTGCTCAAACAATTTAGAAGCTTGTCTCAGTAAGAAACGTATTTTCATCCCACCGGTGGACGAATTTTTCAAAGAGGCCAAAACAGCTCATGAGAATATTCCGCCGAGGATCGACAGAAAATGCTCTCCGATGATTCTGATTTCAATTGGAGGTCACTTCGTCTTTTAAGTTCCAAATCAGCCTATTTTTATACACCAAGTAATCAATCAGTAGTTAAACCAATTGTTCAATATTTGGATACGGTAATTGAGAAAGTGGTCAAAGAGTTAAATGCCGCTGATGGTAACAAAGGATCTCAGGATTTGGCTATAGACGATGCTGAGGATATCAGTAACGATGAGTTATTGAAGCAAGATGACAATTCAAATCTTGGTTCAAACGATAATCATGTTCAAAATAATAATAATGATAATGATTTAACCAAAAAAAGTGAAGAAAAAGTTTCATCATAATCAAAATAGTCTACAACTCTCATCATAACCCAACATTTTGTACCTTGATCATCACAATTTTGTCACAATTATCTTTAAGATCAAACTTTAAACTCAACACACTCATTGGGCTAATTAAACTATCTCATTTACTTTAATTATATTTACTTTTTATTTTAATTTAATACAAACAGTTATTCATTTTAATCGGTTTGATGATTTATCAATTGTCAAAGTTGACAGAGTTTCCATTAATTTGTTGAGTCATATTAAGGCTTTTAATTTACCGAGTTTTTTTTATATCAATTACAACAAAATATCACGAGTTCACGACCATTTAGTTTTATCTTCGTGTTTGAATGGGAAACGATTGATCAATTTAAACTTTGGTCAATCGTTTCATTTAACGTGTAAAGGAAAAGGTGATGAGGATGAGGATGCAGCATGAAAATGAATTTCAGGTGAACTGGTTACAATGAGAATGATATGAAAGGTGAAAAGGAGAGAGAGAGAGAGGGAAATGATTGGATGGAGGTTAAGGAAAAAAAGAGCAGTTTTACAAAACTATGAATCAGTAATTCACCATATGACAAAAGAGGAATGAAAAAAGAGGAAATATGATGATTTTCGTGGATAAGGAAAAGGTCATTTTACAAATGTTAATTTACAGCCACGGATGCCAAGCAGGATCCATACGGCAAATATTATCGTGACTATTTGCAGCGGCAACCAGATTGATAACTTTGCTTTCAGCTCCGTCAAAAGTTGCCAAAGCTGAGGGAAGATGGAGAAAAAGTTTAACAAGAAAATTAATAAAATTGACCAAACAATTGATTAAACAATCGCGATAGTAGTAACTTACATGATAGTCGCGCCATGATGGATAAGATTGATTTATTTACAGCGTTAATTAATGATTCTCCATCCATAGTGACTTCGCCATCGAGACAAGCATCTTCTTGAGTCTGAATTTGAGGGAGATAAAAAAAATTAGTTGATTGTTCATTTGAGGAAAAATTGATATTTTTCTTACCTTTGTATACCAAGAAATAACTTCATCTCTGATAATCACTTTCAAAATCGATTGAATCTTAAAGTTTGGTTGTACTAAACATCTTGCTATTGAAATCATTGAGGCCGTTAGTGGACCACTGACCCCAATTGAAGTAATTAACTCAGAGATGTTATGAGTTAATCGGAATGGAACTGGTCTACTTGCTTCAATATCACCTATGTAATGAAAAAATAAGAAAGTCAATTAATATTAATTTCAATTTGAAACAACTTTCATTGATTTAGTCTCTTACCTGTGATATCGTCAACATCGAAACGGAAGTAAGCGACATTCATTAGGCCCGTGTCTTGGTGGATATACATCATGTCGGGATTGAGTCGCGTTAGACATAAAACATACTCAGCAACATTGGCAAGAGCCATTTGAAGAGTAAACTGAAATAATCAAAAATAAATCGAATTAGATTATAATTAACTGATAGAGAATTGGGAATATTCAAACTAACCTGTTTCCTGAATGTCCAAAGATCAGTCGCTCCTGGGTAGGTCAAAGTTGCCCATTCTTTGAGAAGATTAGGAGGAACCATATCTGTTTGTATTTCTTTCAAAATTTCTCGAAGAACTTGGTGACTGGCCTGAGATCCTCGGGCTTGAATAGCCACAAGTCGCTCATAGTATCTTGAAATAGGAGCATCGTATTCGAGATCACGTTGAGCGCATCTTTGTTTGTAAATGTCCAGTAATGAGATGGAATTAGGATTATCTTCGACCAATCGAGTTTGAGGAGAAATGGCAACAACTCGAGGAACCGTAAAGTGAAGGAATCGTTTCAAAGTTTCTTTCTGTTTACCCAAATAGTTATTCAAAAGTCGGAAAAGTTGTAAAACTCGTTCTTCTCGTCGAGCATCACTTAGACAAGAATCATTGACAATTAAGTATGGATAAATTTTACCATTATGACCTCTGATATGAAAACGTCGAGCGGCTGTATTGTGTTTATTGATAATCTCCACTCTTGGCATGAAACGAGAAATTCTGATTGAATAAAGATTATGTTTTGGTATAAGAAATTCACCAGGAAGCTCAACATCAGCGGTTTGCTGAGAAAAGTAACTAAGGAAGCGACATTTTTCCTCCATTAGGCAAGTCTTTGGTAATAATTTCGTTTTTGCTTCCAAAATTTTGATCCACTTTTTTAGCTTAACAATTAAATTGTGAAGTTTCATGGCTCCTGGAGTTGAAAAATCAAAATCAGTGGAAAATTGTCCTTTCATTTTCTGGAAAACGGGATCTTGAGCAGTTGCCTGAGCTCTTTTAGCCAACGACTCAGATGCTGCAGTTGCAAAATTAGATGGCGATGTAGATACATTTTCAACTCCAACTCCAAAAGTTGCCACGAGTTTGTTGACAAAATTCAAAGTGTGTGGGGTAACCGTTGCCTCGTCAACATTACCACGATTCTCGAAAGCAATTGCATAACATTTATTCAATCCTTGGCGTAATTGACGTAATATCTCTTCGTACCAATTTTCTCTGAACCAAACCATTTGATCAACCATTCCCTCGAGTGATGATAAAACTGTTGGATGAAGTGCTCGTTGTTCTTGCATAACTAAAGAGCATCGTTTGATAGAAACTGTCGCTCGAATTTGATTTACTTCAGTGGGAGCTCCTAATCGACCAGCAACTTTTTGTTGGAATTGTGGATTAGTGAAAGTTTGTTGTTGTTGGCTTTGTTGGTGTTGAAGCATTGATGGTTGTAAATTCATTTGTGGTGTTGATTGAAATTGTTGATTCACTCCAACTTGTTTAGCCTTCAATAGATTCAAATTTGCGCTTTGAACTTGACCAGAAACCATTTCGCTGCTTCGATACTTTTCTCTCTGTTCCATTTTAAGAGTCAAGAATAAAGTTCTAACAGGGAAATAAACTGCCTGTGGGAACATACAACCAACTTGTCTAAGAATGCTAACAGCTAAATCTCCCTCTTTTTTAATTAAACATGTAAGTAATTGAGGAATCCAAGGTAACCAGCAAACTGGAGGTACACCATGATTGTATTTTTTAACAGCATCGGCAAGACAAAGAGTGTCATCATCATAAGTGAGAAGCCAGATCACTTTGGCTAAATATTTTCGAGCTTTGGTCTCATTTTGTGATCGACATGCATGAAGGTAACAAGTGATTGCAGAAACTCCCAAGGTCATTTGACGATTTTCCCATTTCTCTCTGGTGAACAAAGTTTCCAAATATTCACCCCAAAGAGCCCAAGCTCGATTCAAACCATCATGTAATTGAGCACCAGCACTAAACGCACGATTCGCTTCTTCTGATCTACCCAAATTGGCCAAAAACAATCCTTTGAGAGCATAAAATTCAGCTTTCATTTCTCGTGTAAAAATATTAAGAGCTGTTGATTCAATAATTTCAAGTCCTTCCGCCAATTCATTTTTACCACCAGTTGATGCAAGTTGTAAATAACATTTGACTTGTTGCCTGATTTTTTGGAAACAATCAACGATCGGTATACTGGGTATACTGTGGATTTTGTTGAGTGAATCTAGACAAGCGCCGATCAGGCCATGTTTTCTGGCGATTCTACCAGTGTTTATAATCGATTGAGCTGATGCATGAATACCTAAAACTGATTGAGATGCTTGAGGATCAGTTGGTTGATTGATTGCAGCTGATAAACCTTGAGCAATTTGAGCTGTTTGAGTGCCCAAGTTAGTGAGAGTCGTATTGGTTGGATCATAAAATTTTACTATTGCTTGGAAATGATGTTGACGCCAAGTGAACACATGACTCCAATGAGAGAAATCATCTGATAAAACTGGTAGACGATTTTTCCAAGTTTTAACGATCGCTTTCATATCATGAATACAAGAGGCTCGAGTATTATTTGGATTTAAACTTTGATGGATTTGTCCAGCTTCTTGTAATTCCATAATTAATTGAGCAGCTTGTAAAAGATCAACATGTATGTGAGAGACAACAGAGGGAAGTCGCCTCCACTCTTTGATGCAAAGATTTGATGCAAGATCAACCATCCGCTCAGCCATTTGTAAATTATGATCTTCGGTATTACAAATATGATTATATCCTTTGAACAGAGCAACTTTCCAAGCCAATTCTTTGGGATGATTAGTTTCAACTTGATGAAGAGCTTTTTTCATCAATAACCATTGAGGAACCCGCCAAGCACTTTCTAAGACCAAAAATGGATTAGTGCAGCCTTTTGAATTTCCATAATCAAGAAGGAGATCCCATTGATTTAACTCTTTAGAACAGCGTATCCAGTGTTTCTCCCAGAGACGATATTCTCCCTGTAAACTTAATGGGGACGGATTAGTGTTGTAATCGTTTCTTGCTTTGGTCATTGCCAATTCGAATGCTCCTTGAGCTTGTTCAAAGAATCCTTGTTGTTCGTAGGCGATACCGATCAATGTTTCTGCATATTTTGCTCTTTTCAACCACAATCCCGCCCAAAGATCTTCCTCTTTAAGTATTTCGTAAATTTCAGCCAATGATTCATTTGCTTCTTGTGCTAAAGACACTGCAGGCACGTTAGCTGGTTCAGTGTAATCAATATCACCGCCATCATGTTTACGAGTGTGTTTGGTTGATGTTGAGGTGGTTGATCCTGTAATAGCGAGAGATTTATCGAAAGCAATATTTTCCAACATGAGAGCAACTCGATGCCAAATATTATGAGATTTACCCATATATTTGAGAAGTGAAGGTCTTATTGGAATTGGTGGGTCACATTGAGCAATTGCTTCCATGAAACAGCCAATCGCTGATGGATGACAATCTTTCTGAATAATGTGACTGCCACTACACACGAAAGGTATCAGTTCAGTGGTGAGTAAGTTTTGCTGCCTTTCATTCAAAATTTTCCAGAGTCGAGGGAAAAGTTGAATCCAAGTGATGTTGGCTAAGTTTGTATCCATATGACAAAGTTGAGCAACTGCCATTAAGAAATTGAGAGTTCGTGTTTCTTTCAAACTGTTCAAAAACTTGTTCTGTTTAGAAATGAGAACCCGTAAGTGTTGAGTTGGATCGGAAGGTGTACTTGGCCGTCGTGTTCCCAATAAAGTACTTCCACCATAAATGCTCCCTCGACTATTATTTGATTGATTCTCTTCTGCAGAAGACAACTCGATATCCATAACCTCTTCAGCTTCTCGAACTGAATCTATCCCATTGGCCATTGCACAAAACATATCAATATCCATCTGATCGTTAACTGAACTAGCCAATGATGCACGTTCTTGTTGATCTCCAAAATCTATCACAGCGGTTGGTGAGGGTAACATGGCCATTGAGTTTCCACTAGTTATACAAAGAGTTGGTATCACAGAAACTAAAATCAATTCGATGCACTGTTTTATCCAAAAATGAGGTCCAATTGTTTCCCAATTTTGCGAGCAAACAATGTACAGTAATCGATCGTGTAATCGACGACGGATACTTGCATCAAACACTTCGAAAAATTTAGCTCGTATTTGAGGTTGTACACATCTTAAACCCGACATAAATGCCTGTTCCAGTTTGGTTGCTAAATCTGTATTCTTCAATGATTCATCTCGATAAACATAGTTAATCAATTCCAAAAATTGTGCCATCAATTCATTATCATCGGCGAATCGTTTCTCGACAAACATCATCATTTTAACAAGAAGAAGTGTTTTCTCTCGTAAAGTTGGCGCTTGATTAGCACCAAAAGGTCCTTTGTTCTTAACCCAATCTTCTAGCATTTTGGTGATCGCTCGAAGCACTTTAACGTCCGGTGATTTTTCAATTAAACCAACAAGTATGTTGGTGAAAAAGGTTTTCCTCATTTCTTGACCCATAACACCAATTCTGTTTTTAACAAGATCCAAACTTAAGATTAACAATTCACTGCCCATTGGATTTAATTGGTCATTTGGTGGAGGTGGAGTGAGATGTTCACGGGCCATTTTTTGTAGCACTCGCATGAACAAGGTTATCATTCTGTCAATGTAACAGGCATTGTTACTACAAGTTGCTTTCAGAATCATAATTGTGCCAAACAAAGATTGAGGTAAAATTGGTCCAGTTGCTTTTTCATAATTACTTAATCCTTCGTAAATCACTTTACTAACTGCTGAGTATAAAGCTTCAAGCTCTTCGTGTTTAGATGCGGTTGTTGAGGTCGCTCCTTCAGTCGGGAAAAACGACATCAGTCGAGTTAACAAATTGTGTACACATCTAATAACTTTGGTATTCGTACATGTCATACATGATGCAATTCCTCTTTGTAGCGGTTTGAAACTGACCAGAATGGCCTCTCGTCTTAAAATGTTGAGTAAAAAGCACAAGAGCTCAAGAGCAGTACAGATATTACCATAATTGGGAGTCGTTGATTCAACAGTCAACAAAAGTTTATCAAACCAGCCTAATCGCAACTCAGCTGTAGGCCATATTTCGGGTTTTAAAGCTAATTTTAAAAGGGTGACACATCTTCGAGATAAAATCTCGCCGGGTGAGCCAAGATTAGTCCCAGTTTCGTTTACATGACATGCAAGACGAAGCAGGAAGTTTACCACAGCATCTTGATGAGCCTTTTCAACTGGCTTATTATTATCTGTTGACAATGGTTTACCTCCGTAAGCTGAAGATGGAGTAGCCGGTAAAGTTGGAATACGAACTTTTTGTAAAGACTGAGTTATTGCTTCAGCCGAGGTTCCTGGTGTTGCGGTTGACGCTGTTGCCGCCGCTGCTGCAGCATCGGCTTTCGATTGTTCTTGTTCTTCGCGAGATCTTTGAAGTTCCCACAACAAAATCACTTCAACAAGATCAACTGAAATTTTCCTATGATCAACGGTTGAATTTGGTGTGAACCCAAGTCGCTGTATGGAGGTAACCATGTGTTGGATGAGATGATGTCGAACTGGATAATACACTTTGTAATGTCTAATCAATAATTGAAGCATGTGAGTTAATTGTGGGAGTGAATGTCCTTCCTCAACTATTATCTTTTTGGTCCAATGAGTTAACATTGTATTACCATCTTCCATCCGTTGAGGCATTGCTGGTGTTAAAATTTCCAATGCTTGACGCACAACAGTACGAGCTTCATTTGCATGAGCTTTAAGGAGACTGTGAAAAACTTGTAACACTATCCGTTTGTGAATAGCAAATTTAGCAATGATGTGAGCAAGTAAAAGGTGACCATGGTACTTGGTTGCTGGATCGACACAGTTTTTTGACAGTAAACAAGGCCAAGCAAAGGTCATCAATCGACGCAGTTTATTTCCTTGACGTTTATTGGCGGCATCGTGAATGTGAGGTGAAGCTTGTTCAACCAAAAGACAAGAAAATTGAAGTAGGAGGATTCGAACTGAGTCTGACATTGCAAATGGATTATCTGGATCAATTACTTTGTTGATAAAAACACTAATTAAATTGTCTTCTTGATCTTGTTCTGGTGTTGGTGGACCTCCAATTAACTTTTCTCCTTCTCCTCGATCGAAAGTGACCGCAAATGATGGAATGATAATGTATTGAAGGATTTTAGCCTTCAATTCTTGGGCATAATTGTTATCGTGGAAAATGCTGACAAATTTGAAAAAAGCTTCACGTTTCCAGTCGATTGTATAATTGGTAACAGTGTGTTCGAGAAAATCACGGAAAAAGTCAAAATCACAGATATAACGGTTCATGAAAGCTTTTAAAAGGTTGAAGAGTAAGATTATACTGTTTCCATTTGGATTTTGTTTGAAGTAATTTAGTAAACATTTCATCAGTAATTTGGGTTCCCTCCATTGCACATAATCAGCTGACTCGATTTTAGAATGTTTTTTCGGCAATTCAACAGAATTCCAAACTTTAATTAGAGCGTCTACCAAAGGAAATTGATTGGTTAACCATTGTTCATCATGTTTCACCAAAATTGAAGTAATTAAAATTGCTTGATATTGTAAATCATAAGTTACGGTGACAGTTTGTGTTTGAGGTTGAGGTTGTGGTATTGATGGATCAGTTTGTTGGACTTGTTGTTGGGGAATACTGATCTTTTCTGGAATCGCAATAGGACCAGAGGCAAATTTGATTAAACGAGCAGGATTTTGTTGGAGCACTTGGCGGAAAATGGCTCCTTCAGGACCTTTGAGAAGATACTTGACGAAACGATAAATCTGATCTTCGTTGACATTTCTTTCAGTTAACAAAAGATCCAATGTATGTTCTGGATATTTTTGTAAGAATTTCCTGAGAGGATCTCTGAGCATTGATCCAGGTTCAATCATCATTGCTTTTTCTGTTTTGAACACATAACACAAAAGCACTTCGACATATTTTGTTCCAGCGGCTGGTACTAAATGGAAGAACTCGATGAGTGCAGCACAAACTTTCATCTCTTCTGTGTTTTTCTTGTCACCTCGAACAACATTGTCAAGCCATTTTTTCAAATTTTGTGCCATTTGGTCACAAACTTTCTCGACGAAATGAGCTGGAAACAATTGGGCCAAACAGTTGATACGTTTGATTACATTCAAGTTCAGTTTTCGATAATCAGCCATGCAGGAGCAATACTCTTTTTTCACCTGTTCTAAATCAGCGTTACCAAAGGTAAGATATTTCTTAAGACACTCGAATCCAGTTTCCTGGATCTCACTGTTATTTGAAACCAAGGCATTGAACAAAACTCGAAAGATTCCATCCCGATTGGTATAAAGAGGAGCGTAAGCAGTAAGAGTTTTAAGAGCGGACTTTCGAAGTGGCGTGAGGTTGGTTACGTTCTTATAGATGGAAGATTTTAAAAGTTGTGCATCTTCACGATCGCAAAGGGCAAGAAGTTCATTGAAAAAGTTGGCATGTTCTCGAACAGACATGTCCAAAGTGAATAGAGGAGGTTCGAGGGTCATACAGAAAGTGTTTCCTTCCATAAGTCCAATTTGAGTGTTGACTGGATGATGACCAAGAACAGTTTTCTTAGGAGGAACCATCTCACCAAGAACATCTTTATGTGGCCTCATGATAGCTTCGATTGTGGAACCTTGTACTTTGGCTAAAACTTTGAGAGAGTTCATGGCTTGTTGACGAACACAAGTGTTAGGTGAGGTCACTTGACGAACAAGTTCTTGTGTCACTTCGTGAAGTGATTTTTGCTGAGCATCAACAAGATCAGAATTACTTCCATCAATAGCCAATCTAATCGGTGTAGCACAAAGAGTTATCATTTTCTCGAGATTAGATTTTGCCATATCGACAGCACCACTTGACACTTCACCAGTTAAATCCATCATCACAAAGAGTAAAGCTTTAAGGAACATATATTGATGAGCGAAAACCCATTTTAAGGTCATTCGTTCAAAGAGAAACTTGATGGCAATACATCCTCCTAATTTGGCGTACCAGGCACGATCATAGCATAAAGAGCACATTCTCTCGACAAGATATTCCGTCAAAGGTAATTGGCAAGTTCGTTCACGAGAACCAAGAACAGCCGCTCCAGTGTCCAAGATAATGATTAACGCCAAATGACCAGGTTTGCATAGTTCCTTTTCCTCATGACCCATGATGGTCGCTACAGAATCGATCAGAACCAAAGCATCCATTCCATAAAGTTTATGCTGTTTTCCACCTAAATTAATAGGACCTGATTGTTGGCTTATTGCTAGAAGAGTATAATGGCGAACAAGTGAAACCATGAAAGGAAGAACAGTAGCTCGAAGTTCTTTTATTGCCGCTGCTACAAACATTCCAGTTAAAGCCATTTCATGGACCTTTCGAATTTGAGTATCACTAGATTTGTAAAATGGTCCATTAAGAGGATGAATTTCACCTTGATTGAAACTTGGATGAGAAAAGAATCGTTGAAAATTGTATTTATCCTCATCGGGTGGAGGAGGTGAAATATGAGCAATGAGAAAACCTTTGATAACTTCCCAACATTGTTTACGATAAAATGGATCAGTGGTTGAAGATTTGAGTGCATTAAATGCTGTTTCGATAACTTTGTCAATTGGTAGATTGATTGGTGATCGATGTTCAAGGAAACAAGCGATAATGGATGTAGATCCATTAGCATAAGATTCTTTGTGATCAAAGAATTCAATCTTTTGTGGTTCAGTCATCATCTTACGATTACCACCACCAAATTTACCAAGTAATCGGAAAGAAACTCCAGCAATACTATCAGAAGGATTTCGAAGGGTTCTCCATAAAGCCTGCATTAGGCCAGCACGAACTGGTTGAATGTGATCGTAGAGAAAATCAGGTTGTAAATTGTCAACACAAAGTTCTAATGTTCTCAATCCTTGACTAACCAAAGTTTGGGAGCCATTTAAAGCAGCAACCAATGGATCCATGAGCATAGGAAGATAAGGAAGAAGGCTACTTAATCGGACTGGAACCGTTAGACAAAGTTCAACGAAAAGATCGTGCATGTGTTGTTTGTGTAAACCACTTTGCAGACTATTTAATCCTTGTAAGAGACTAGGTAAAAGTGGTAAAAACTCCTGGTATAAGAGATCATGGCTACCTCCACCAATAGAACGAAACAGAGCTCGTAATAGTAGAAAATAATTGTAGGGTTCTTTGGCACTCAATGCTAATTCCAGTGATCGATTAACAATACTGTGAAGGTGAGGTTTTAACATCAATTCATTTTCCGCTGGAAACAGAGACACAGATCCGAAAACTAATTTATACAATTTTAGGTGAAGATTTGATTTCTCTATATTTGTTCCCATTTCCTCCATTCTTTCAAGTAAATATTCAACAATGATTGTCGCAAATACTGGTGATAAAACCGTATTAGCAAGGAATGAATTTGCTAAGGTGAGAAGAGCAATATTTGAATTGGTTCGTTCAACGTAAAAGTCAATTAGAGTAGAAAAGACTTCACGAAAACTTTGTGGACTAACATTTTGGAAAACACCGGCAAAATGTTCTAATACTTCTTTCTCCTCTTTTGGTCTAACATTGGACATCATGTTGGCTCGAAATATTCCTGAGGCAGATTGAGGTGCATTCGGATGAGTACTAGTGGCAATACTTGAAGAATTGGCCTGACTAGGTTGAATTGTGTAAACATCTAAAGCCATTAAGGCATATTTTACTAATCGAATGTACAAAATAGTTTCTTTCGGGTGAAATTGTTTCTGTTGTGCAGGTACATTAGATGTGTCACCAGCAATACGGTAAGATGGTATTCCATAAGTGATAGTTTTAACGCCGACAATTAATGTTTTAACCAAACTTTTACAGTCACTGGCTGTATAAGTATCTGAGGGTATTGCAGGGAAACCAAATTTTGGTCTATCATCAGCACCGAAACTTTCACCAACTCCGTGTGGGAATAATGGTTTAGATTCATCTGATTTAGGGTCACTAGTTGTTGTTGATGTTGTTGATTGAGATGTTTGTTGAGATTGCTGTTGAGTCTGTGGTTGAGGTGTTGGTGTTTGTGTTTGTGTTTGTGGATGAATTTGATGATTGAGATGATGTTGCATTTGTGAGGGTTGTTGAGGTGGTGCAAGTTGTGGCAAAGGAGCTTGTGGTAGGAACGTAGGCTGTTGAAGTGCTGGTTGAGATGCGATTGTAGAGGAATGGGATGAAGTTTGATTGGATTGACGATTGGTCAACATGGGTATCTGATGTTTAGCGATATGTTTGAATTTTAGAACAAAAACTTCCAACATTTTTAATAAAATTTCCCGTGAAACTTGAGCAGCTTGAGCTCCATGTTCAATTTCCGCTCGATTTCGTATACATTCAACCAGATTGAGGAGTAATTTACAAGACATAGCATGGATTGAACTGGTCAGATATTCATCGTGAACATTTTTGGAAAACACATTCACTGCAGAAACTAAATCTTTGAACTTAAGTTGAGCACGAACATGATGAACCAGATCGGCAATGGTGCTATATGCAAGAGGACGCAAACTGTTGTGAGCAGTCCAACCTTTACCAATAACTATGGTTTCATCAAAAAGTTGATCAATACATGGGATAAATTTAGTTTTGAGATCAGTCATAAGGATATGACGGGCTGCGATGAGTAACTCTTTCCTTAAATGAGCAACTTCATGAGGACAATTAATGAGGATACTAATAAATCCTTTGATAAGTTGATTAACATTGGCATTCACTGAATCCTATGAATTGAAGAAAAGAGAAGAAAAAAAAAGTCAGTCTTGAGAGAAAAATGATTAGATGGATCATCATTTACCTGGTATATTCGAACCATGTAGGCTAGAAAGGAAAGAGTCTTAATCTGTGCGGCCACAAAATCGACAAACACTTCCTTGTTAAAAGCGGTACTGTTCCGATGTTGGGGAGCGGGTTGAAGGGTTAAGGCATTCATAATAAATGGTATTAAAACTTCAATCTCCTGTTGGAGTTGTGCCTTATAAAGTTGATACATTAAAACAACTATGATTGGTAATTCAGCTAACACCTTGAGTGAACAGGTCGCTCTTGGTATCAAATTGTAATTGGCATTAGTTCCGTCGGGATTTTTCTTCTCCGTCATCACTGGAGTTTGTGTGAATATCTCACCAATAACAACCGGCAGTTGAGTTGTGAGTTCGGTGATATCTTTGATTCTCAGTGGCAGTCTAGGTTCGAAAATTTTATTCATATTGTTGGGTAAATCTTGGTAAATCTTTTTCACGAAAGTCAAAAACTTTTGAATCTAAAAGGATAAGTAAGAAAGTGACAAAGTTGTGTTAATTGTTAGGTTTTAAAATCAATGATAAAATACAATTTAACATAAATAATCAGATCTTATCAGCTCTAAATATAATTCATGGTTAACAGACGCCGAACACTTCAAGTCAACTCAATTATTGGTTTTCTTGTTTTCATCAAAAGAGAATGAAAAAAAAGAGATGAAATTAATTGTACTCACCTCGACACTAAATGGAGGACGACTGTTCTTATGAAGTTCAATTATTATCCTAAGAATTACCAGAACATTTTCTTCATTTTCAATCTAAAAGAAAAAGTGAAAGAAAAACAAAACATTTGAAGAAAATATCAACATAGAACAACAACAATTTCTATCACTTACATCTAGTAATTGAAACATTAGCGAAATTAATGATTTGGCATGAAGGCGAAGATGCTCATTAACAGGTAATCTTTGGATAATTTCTAGAATTAATTTTCGCAACTGTTGTCCAGTATGTTCGGCAATAAATAAAGGTTGTCCCTCCGAAAGGACCCGGCGGAAAGTGTTGACTGCATGTTCCAGAAAAGATGGATATTGTGGACTTGAAATAATGGCCTATGGATACAAACAACAAGAACAGATCAGCATTTCATCATTATTGAAGAACATGATACAGAAAGAACAGCATGTCACAAGAAAAGAACAAATCGAACCGATAAATTAGATAGAAAAAGTGAGGCAGGATATTATAAAGAATAGAAAAGACATGAAAAAAAAGGAAGAATAAAATAGAAGAGAAAAAAAATATTCTTTTTTCAATAGAAAACATCACACTTACCTCTAGGTCTTCAGCTAATTCTTGAGCTGCTTTCAATTTATTCTCATCGCGAGCATTTTGATCAACCAACAAGGAAACATAAGACTTCCAAGCGTTCATCTGATTAATCACGTCACTCGCCATTGTTATTGATTAAAATTAATTAACTAAAACATGTGAAAACATTGAGAAAAATAAATGAAAACATCTTTCTGATAATAAGAATCATTTTTTTTCAACAAACCGAAGGCGCGTTCGCCGCTTGTGTCTCCATCTCTTGGATTTTTTTTCAACTAAAATTTTTCGAGGAAAATCTGGAAAAGTTAAACTTTTTCGCTCCTGATAAATTTTAAATTAATTAACTTTACCTGTGAATTTAAAATAAAAATTTTATGTTATTAAATGTTCATCTAACTACATGGACCATTTTGATACCAAAAATTATGATAATTCAACAGTTACTTTAGTTGTTTTTGTTACTCTTTCAAATGAGCTATTACTGCGTCGTAATAATTTCAACCATTTTTGTTTTCTTGGTAAGTTTTTGTAGTAATTTGATACAACTTGTCTCAGAGTTATTCCTTGAATAAATTAAGATTCTAATTTTTGTTTTTCTCCTTTTCTTCATGACAAACCTAATGAGTCAAACTATCTCTGGACCCGATTTTCACCTTCGTTTCAAACAACCATTTTCCTGAACAAATCTAATGAGTTAACCCTTTAATATATTTACCTACATCAGGTATATTTAAACACGAAGATTTAAACATAAAGATTCAAACATTAATATTCAAACATGAAGATTTAAACGAAATCAAACTGAGCGGTTAGTTCAGTGCCCTAAAGGGCCTCCAGGCAACTGGAGTTAATGTATGAAGCATTAGCCATTCAGGCATCAATAAAATTCGATTCGATTTAATTTCTCAACTTTTTCCAATTCGAAACAATTAGTCCTTTTTTCGTTGATTCTTTTTAATTATCATGAAATTTTTTTCTATTTCTATTTATCTCTAGAACTGATAATTGATCTGATTAGCTGAATTGTGAACCATCGCATCTAAATTGATAATAATTCAGTTCAATGTTCGAGTTTGGAAAAAAAAATTTGATAAAGTTGATCAACTTTTGGGATTTTCTGATGTAATTTGATTTCTTAAATTTACAATTAAATGATGAAATAAATTTTTGAAACGAATTGAAAATTACTAGATAATTAGTTTGAGTGTTTTTTTTATGAGTCTCTTCAATTGGCACTTTAATCGGCAAAAAAATAAATTGTCAGACAAAATAATATATAACAATTTGAAATATTTGATTTGGAGTTACAATTTAGTATTTGATTAATAGATTATCATTTAACCATTTACAATTAAATTGATTAATTGTGCCACCGTAAAAAATATTCAAAATTAGTCCAACTGATTATCACTCAACTTATGTTGATTATATTATGAATTGATATGATTGATTGAGACATTAGATTAACAATTGAACTCTAATTTTTTTATAATTGTAATCGTAACAATTTGATTCCAATAATATTTTCCTTTTGATTATTATTCCTATGTAAATGTAAATGATTATTAATTGATTATGAAGATGAAGATGATTGTGATGATGATGATTAAGAAGTAGCCAATTTTTTAATCAACTTTTGTCAAAATGTCCAATTAAGTTGACCAAGTAATTAAAGTATTAATTGTTTCCTTATTTAGTTTCATTGGGAGACAATTTATCATGTTTAATATTTGATCTGCTAAATTTGTCCTTATCGTTAATTGTTTTGTTTCGAGGTTTAATCATTGATCTTGATGATTGATTAGTTTGATTGGTTGTATAGTGATTAGAGTTAATTAATTCCCTTGAACCGGTTCCAGACCGATGTTTAATTTGCTGCCTTTCAGATGATGAAAGGAAACTATTATCATCCATTGATTTATTAAGATTAATTGTTCCTTTGGTCAATTGTTGGTTGGTAATCAATTGTTTTGGCCAACCGTTTGATTTACTACGATGATTATCAGCTGAAGGTGATGATTCATGGTAAGCTGATAATCTATTGATTGTTGATCGATTAAATTGTTGATCAGATGAAAGGTGACCCTGAATGTGTGACATTACCGGTAAGGGTGGGTCGTAATTGTCAATCTCACCGGAATCACTGACATAACCGTGATTAACATGATCTTCACCACGATTCAGTCCACTTGGTGGCCATCGAGTGTACAAATGTCTTTGTACGTTTGTTGCAACTTTCGTCGAGTGATTAACCAAACCCGATGAAAGGTTGGTACAAGTTTCACTCGAGGTTACAACCATTTGACCAGATTGTTTACCTTTGGTTTTATTGTGACCTGAGTCCGATGAAATGGACGAGGATTTACCGCCCTTGCCCCATGAACCCTCTGAACAATCCTCTCCCGAAGTACCTAGGCCATAATCGAGATCACCAGGTCCTCCTACAGATTTTTCTGAACTTGCTGAACTTTTTGAACCAGCGCCTGAATCTTCATCAACAATCGCCGAACCTGCAGGGGACAGACCAGTTGCACCAACTATTCCGCCAGTCAAACTTGGCCGAGGGATAAAAATCGGATTAACGGAAGCCGTTATCTTTTTACCATCAAACGTTTTATCGGGAATTAAAAATGGATGTGGAACACCAGTCAAATCTAAACCAGGATACGATTGATTCAGTGTACCAGAAGCTAATGATTTGTCCCGTTTAGAAGATGGACGGCAAAGGTCAGTTATTGAAAGGAGAACCGGAAGCAAAAGGACACCATGAGTGGCACCGAAAAGCATCACCAAGAAAACGGTCTTAAAGAAAACAAGGAAAACGTATGAAGGTGCGAAGGCCAAAGCGATGATACCCAGAATTGTGGACACACTTCCTTGGAAAATGGGTAAGCCCAATGAGTAGAGTGACGATCGAACCCGTTCAGCGGCAGTTTCCTCTCCGCACGAAATGTACGCGTACGAAATATGAGCTGAGAAATCAACCGAGAATCCGATGCACATGATTAGATTGATCATTGATATCGAATCCAAATTAACGTCCCAAAGTGTCATGTATCCGATGACACCGACCTCGATTGATATGATTGAAAATGCGACCCAAATGGCACATGAAAGCGACGGAATAAATAACATTGAAATGGCCATCATGACGATCGCGGCAACGGTGATTGTTTGAAGTGAAATTTCTCGAACTAAAATGAACTGATCGAAAAAGATAAACAGTTGATGAAAAATTGTGACATTAAGAGGAGCCGATGAGGCCAATTGTCGAAGTTCAATCAACATCTCTTTCTCCATGTTCGCGTCTTTAATGTTGTGAGTTTGGATCATGAAACGAGAAGCGATGATCTCAGTTCCATCTTCATTAAAGACAACATCGTTTCTAAACGCTTCCGTCATCGGGAATTTGAGGAAAACATCTCGAAGTCCACGATAGAAATCGCCCTTTTCGGAGACATTCAGTGCTTGTAAAAAGAGGAAACTGTCCTCTTGGTTCAGAAATTCAAGGTAAGATCGAAGCCAAGATTCAGTCATCGATCGGTTACCAACATAAGTCGAAGATTCAAATTTGGACAGAACCGATTCAACCTTCTCCTGGTCCCTTGGATCGGCGTAGTTAAGAGTGTCATTAATGACAACCTGAATTCGATAAGGATATTCACGGAAAAAGCGATCTTCGTAGTCATAAAAGTCGACAGAATATGAATCATCACGAGATAACTTTCGGCGATCAAGACCTTCCTTCACTTGGGTACAACCATAAATACCGATAGACAAATAGATCAAAAAGACGAAGATGACCAGTACTTTGACCGCTCCTCGATTCAACGCATTGGCAACATTTTCACGGAAAAAGATCATCATCATGTGCTCCTTATTATCTTCTTTATTATCAGGGTCATCTTCATTTCGACCGCCGGTACACAAGAGACGGAACAAATATCCTTTATCCTCTTTAATCGCGAAAAATAAAAAAAAAACAACAAATTAGATTCACAATTAGTTAATCATCGACAAACAACTTACTCGCTAACGATTTGGGCATCACCGGAATCAGTAACAGTCCGTGGAGATTGCGTTTCTCAGCCCGTCCAAAGTAAACCATACAAGCTCCGAAAAAGGTCACATGGAAAATGTATGTGGTCAACACGGCGACCGCAGTGTAGATACAAAATATTCTGACCTGTTGATTAACAACAATTAGCGATAAAATTGACACTCGAATTGTTTAATTGTATAATTACCGATGGGAAAGGTGTGTAAGTGCCGATCAAAAATGAGATGAAATTAGTTAATGATGTAATTGTGATCGAAACTGCTGATTCTGAATAAGTTTCGGCCAATCGTTCAGCGATCGGTAAATCGGGATTAGTCCGTCTCCACGAGGCCAACAATACGAAAGCGTCATCCATACCAACCCCTAATTAAGAGTAAATTACTACAATTAGTCAATGTAATTAAGGGTGTTTGCTAATTTGATTATTTCTTCAATACTGTTTAGACCGTTGATTGTTATTCATCATAATTATGTGCTAATTGTTATCTTAATTTCTTCCTGATTACCTAAATCTGACCTCAATTTGATTAGTCTATTCATTAATTGCTGGTTAATCATGAAAAAAAAGGCAAATACCTTAGAGAAATTAATTAATCATTATACTTCCGTAAATCCGATTTGTTGTTATCAACATTATATTAATTTATTGATAACTCTCATCAATTTAAATTATTATCAGTCTCATCAAAGTTAATTGTAGTTAATCAACAGTTTAGATCATAGGTATTGATTACTATCAAGTTGTTTAGTTGATTGTTATTAACAATCAATAAAAATGCTGTTTAATTGTGATCATGATCTCGAGCTAAGGTAACAATTTAATAATCAATAAATTAATCATTGTTTTTAAGGTTAATCGTGTTTCCAATTAAAAACAATAATAGTAAATTAAAATACAATGGTAACAATTAAGGAACGATACAATGTAATTAACACACAATCAGTTGGATAGTTAATTTTGTCAACAATTAAAATGAATTTTATTTGAAAATTAATCAATAAAAAAACAACAATCAGTTGACATTTAATCAAAATTATTATAATAATTTAATGGTCTCATATTAAATTGTCAACTTTTTTTTGCTATTAATAATTAGCAGCAATTTTTTCATCATCACAATTAACTAATCATTCAACTTGTGACCAATAAATACAATTAACCCTTATCACAATTAATTGTAACATTTCATGATCATTAGCAGTGAAAATGATCAACAACCGATTAACAATTAATAATAAAATCAGTTGATTACGATGATTTTTGCAATAATAATAATAATACAATTCAAACAATCAATCAAGTTAATTGTAAACAATTTAGTTTGAACCAATATGGTAACAATCAAATGAATTTTTGATGAGTTAAACTTTGACAATTAGATTAAAACACTTCCTTAATTGCCTCATTTTTAAGTTTAATTACCAATCAAATATGCTGATTAGAATCGAGGGAAAAAAATAATAACAACAATTAAAATTGATCTTAAATTGCAACTTAATTTTTCATCTTTCTATTGTTTTTAATTGTTGAAAAATTTCAGTCCAATTAATATCGTTGATGATTAATTAATAAATTGATTAAATATTTTCAAAAGACAATCAATTATTGAGAACAAGGCTGAATAATTAAATTGTTGTTCTTACTATCAACAATTAAGAAGGACAATTCGAGACTAATTATATAATTAAATTGAATTGAGATCAAAGTGAAAAAGTGAAAACTTTAATTGGAGGTAAATTGTTGGTGGGTTAATAATACGTTACGGGTGATCGAGTGATCAATTAAATCAACGTACTTTAAATTGTAGACTTTCTAGTGACCTGTATAATCACAATTAACAATCCAATTGATAATCAATTAAAAATCAACAACAACAACAATCAAAATCTGAACAAAAAAAAACAATCGAAATCCAATCAAAAATATTAATAGTTTTGAAATTAATATGACGACAATCAAATCGTCACCTAATCATGGTGACAATTAGAATAAATTAAAGTTAATCAACTTACTTAGATTTCAGGTAAAGGTAACAATTAAAAAATTTTCGTAGAAATTGAGTAACAATCAACAGCGAAATTAGTTAATTACTCTCTAGATGGCGATACTTGGTAGAATTTGGGTTTTTAATTGTTGGAAATTATTTTCTTTGCTTCTGATTAATTAGAGAAGATTTTAATTGAATTAATATTCGTGATGATGACCAGCGTGCTACTGACGATTGACCGGAAGAAAAATTGAAAATTCCGAATTCGAAACTTTAATCTTGGACTGACCTTGTTTCGTATTCACAGATTTAATCAACTTCCTTAATCAAAGTTACATTTTTTTCAATTAAATGACAAAATTTAACTTGATTATCATCACTACCTGCATCTTAATCTTAATCATCATCATGAAACAATCAACAAACAACATTAAATTGATGTTAATCAGATCAATCAGATTTCAAAAGATATGAGTTCCTATCAATAGATTTACTAATTGTTGAGTGAATCAAATTAAAAAAAACCAAGACTTTTTCATAATCATCAAGTTCATGGTGAAAATTGGTCCTAATCAGTTAAGGATAAAAGTTAATTGTACAATTAAAATTTATTATATAATGAAGTTTTGTAAATGATTACCAATTGATAGATTAGTGTGAAGAGGATAAATTGTTGTTAACTAAATTTAAATCAACTGGTTAATCCGGTAAAGTGTTAATATGCCAACGACTAATTGAAAAACTTTTTTCAAGGTTTTTTGACAATTTAATTGTTAACCATTGATTAATCAACACCATGGTGAAAGTGATTAGTTTCATTGATTGATTTAAAAAGATGAAATTGATTAGCACGCAATCAACTGATTACAAATCAACAAACTAATTCATAGATATGTAATTAGTTGATTTGATTTCTAGACTCGAGTCAATTTTTGAGGTTTTTTTTTAAATTGTTGATATTTTCATGCATCACATTTCATGATTACCTTCATGATTAACTTGAACAATTAAGTCAATTAAACAAGCAGATCCAGAAAACTTAAATATGTAATTACCCTGGAATTAAATTAGTTTGTTTTTGGTGAGAAAGTAACTGTAACAATTTACTAATTGTTGGGATGGTTTGATCTTTTTTTTCCCTACACGTTATTAGGATTTAAAGTTTCGTGTTGATTGTTTGTAAATTGTTGCTGATTGTGGCTTATTTTTTGCTAACAACAAATGTAACAATCAACAAAATGAAAAACAATTGTAACTTGTTAATCAACATATTCAAGCTTTGTATTTACATGTTTATTTAATTGTTATTGACAATGAATCATTGAAAGTGATTAAGAAAGTTAATTGTTTCATGTTGAATCCTGATTCCTTTATAAAACAGTTAACAATTAAAGTTTTAAACAAATTGTGAATAATTTGCAATTGTAATCACAAGCACACACAAACAATCAAAAAGGGGTAAACAATTTAGTAATTGTTGTAATCACTATTTACATTACAATCGACTTTAAATTGGCAATTAAATTGTAATTTATATTCAATGTTGATGATAATGATTAAGATGAGCAATTTTATGGTTTTAATTTGTTTCATTGATTATTTCAAAGTCGATTAAACCACTTCCGGAATTAATGACAATCAACAATTTAATTACAACAATGAAAAGGTCAAAATCAAAGGTTTTGAAGGCCTTTTCCTTATTAATCATCACCAACAATTAAGTAATCATAGTTATATCAAGCTAATGAAGATGATTAAGAAAAAAGTTTCGAGAGTGATTAACTTTCACTTCCTGACAATCAAGACTCACAATCTAAATCTCAATTTTAATCAACGACGTAAAACAACAATTTGGTCAATTGCTATTTAATCAACTGGAAGAAATTTTGACAAAAAGTTTTAATTGTAATAACAATTTAGATTCAAAGTGTCAGCAAAAATTACCATTAACATACAATTAACTAATCATCACAGTCAATTTTAATTGTAACCAATTTTCAAGACCATTTTTTGTTGTCAACCATTAACACAATTAACTATATCTTTCAACAATTAAGCCTAATGTTTTTTTATTATCTTGATCATCACAATCAATAAATATTATTTATAAAAAGTGAAAGTGAAAGTTAATCATGATTAAATTTGATCAACACAATTAAGGCTTGTCCTCAATTTAGACAAATATCAATCAGTTAGTTAACTAAATCAATCAAATCAATAAAGGTTAAAGATGATATTTGTTTACCTTAATCATTACAATCTTAATCTAAATCAGTGTGATAATCAATTTGATCCTCACTAATCTGTTTCCTTTTAACTAATCAAGTAAATTGTTTACCTTTCCTGGTTAATCATCAAATTGTTGTTGATTAATTATCTCTTGGTGTGATCAACTGGATACCACGAACTAACAATTTAAATTTCAAAATCACAAAATTTATCCAATCAACTTGTGATGATTAACAATCAACAAATATGAAAGGTAACAATTTAATCTGCTCGTTGATTTGATTGCAACAATTTATTTCATCAAGTACTGTTTGTAGCTTAATCAACAATTACTTGAGACATTTTTTTGATTGATTAGTTAATCATAAATCGTGATTAAATAAATATAAAAGGATTCATATTAACCGGTAGTTGATTAAGTTTATTTTAATCATATTGTTATTTAACAATCAATTGATTATTTTTAGATTGTAAAGTTTATCTTTAATTGTTTACATTTGTAACTCTGATCAATTAATCAAATTGGCTAAACAATTTAGGTTAATCAATATAATCAGTTGCCAAGATTAGCCTGCGATTTGTATTGATTGACAATCAACAATCAACAATCAACATTTACTAGTAAGTAAACTAATCAATGATTAACTTATTAACTTGATTAACTGATTTTGGTGAGAGTTAATTTTAACCACAATTAACTCATTGATCACAATTACAATTTACCTTTGTAAATAACCTGGTTTCTTATAGTAGTTGACCTTCAATTAACCTAAAGGTCAACCAATAAATGATTTTCATTGATTTTCAATGTATTTTTATCCGTAACAATCAAGGCCAACAATTAATCACCAAAAATGATGATCAAAGTTAATTGTTTAAAGTTTAAATAAAAACTTAACCTCGTGTCCTTTTTGATTATAATGATAAAAAGCAACTTGATGAAAAGTTGAATTTCAGTAAATTAACAACAATTAACAAATTGTGTGCTAATAACAATAAAAATAATTTGATTTGTTAATCATTAAATGATTTAAGTTCCAACAATCAACAAACCAGAATAACAATTTGTCAACCATAACCATTATTTGATAAAATAACAATCAAATGTTAATTGTTTATGAAATTTCAACTGAATCAAATTAAGATGATTCAATTTTAAGAAACAACAATCAACAACAATCAACGATGAGATTTAATCAAATCCTCTAATCCTGAAACTGAGCAAAAATTGTTAATTCAACAATTGTGTCAACAATTAAATTATCAATTCGGAAATGAGATTTACTTCAAAATAACGATCAAATTAGTTTAATTGAAGATCTAAATTAAAAGTGAAAAACTTTCCATACAAACTAAAGGTAAATTGTGAGAAAATTTCAACACTTAATAAGGTAACAATCAGCTGATTAGCTGATTAATAATTAATATCGATTACGATTGGAAATGGATAAAGAGTGACATCGAAAAGCGAGTGACCCGTTAGTGACCTAATCTTGAAATGAGACGATTTCGCCGATCTGGTCAGTGACGAACTACAATTTACTCTTGATTTGTGACTCCAAACTGAGGAAGACGATGATGATTAAGATGATTAAGTTCCTGATTGCTGAATGAAATGATTAAGATTAACATGTAAACAATATCGTTAGAACTGGTTGGTCAAGTTTTTTTTTCTCGAATTTTTTTTCCTTCATTTCGTTTAACCGGAAAAGGATTTATGATGACGAGGATGATGACGAGGATGAGGATGATGATGATGATGATGATGATGATGATTCTGGGTTACATGCAATATCATATCTCATTCATGATTAACATTTTGATTGTAAATTGTTTAACATGATAATGATAACTTTCACTTTCTTTATATTACTTTAATGGGCTACTTTTTTTTCATTCAACTGTTTGTGTCTCTCATTGATCATGATTAAACTAATTGTTGTTTATCATTATTATTAGTAATATTAAACAGTTCATTAAGTAAACAAGGCTATCCCGGAACTTAATTGTGAATAATGTATATTAATTCAATGAAGATAATTAAAGTTAATCTCAGTTGAAGAAACTTTTTTTTTTATTAATATTTCTCAAAATTTTCATTTGATTAGAAATGAAAAGTTAATCAACAACAACAATCAAGAGACACATTCACAATTTATTGATTATCGCTTCAATTACAATCAAATTAATTGTAACACTTAAATTAGGGTAACTTTGATTTACTAAATATTGAACAAAATCATTCAAATCAAACGATTAGTTTAATTGTTTTAAACTAATAAAATAAAATAAAAAGTTAATCAAATAAAAACACACAGAACAACCAAACTGAATTAACTTTCTGAACTAATTTTAAAAGGACAATTAAAATAGAAATTGGAAATTTAATGATGATTGACACTTGAGACGACAATAGACTAATTGTTAATCTGTTGATGGACAGTTAATTGTTGTATCAACAATTTGGGGAAAGAGGGTGAAATTAACACACAGAAAAAGATGATTAGTGAAAAATCAAAGGTCACTTTTGATTCTTTCAGGGTTATAATTAAGTCTTAAGCCGGATGATCTCTTGCAAAGATAATTAATTACACCATGAATCCGGTGTCGATTCGGAGGACAAATTCATCGCATCAATGAACTTTCTCCCTGAAATTTTCCACCTCCCACCGAACATTATCCTCACTCTCTGGTTTCTCAAACTCTTTCGCGAAGGTTAATTTCCATGCTTCTCTCTTAATTGTTACAACAATTTTTTCTCACTTTCTCGATTGTTGTTGTTGTTTTTTTCACCAGCAATCAGTTAACTAACTAATTCACTTTCGCATTAATTAGATTTAAGAGCTTTTTAAGTGCTAATCGTGTTTTCAACAGGAGAGAAAATGAGAAAAAAACTTTTCACTTCGAACTTGAAATCGACCAAAAGTTTTGTTGAATCCAAAGACGAGCAATAAGATTATTCAACTGAATTTAATTGTTTCGATCAAGTTTCTCTGATTTCGGTGATTATTTGATAATTATGGTTATTTGGATTCACTAATTTCGATCAGCCTCTTTATTAACAATCAATTTAAAAGATAAATGAAGCACAGCAACAATTAACTTCCATTAATTAGTGAGAAACTGAATCGATTGATAAACAAGAGTAATAATATATTATAGTATTTGCAATTAACTCGATGATTAACTTTAATTGTTAAAACTTGGTAGTTGATTAGTTTGTTGATGAATTGTTTGAACAATTCAAATCCATTGTAACGTAAATTGTGTAACAATTGATAATTTTGTTTGATGAAAACATTTAATTGTATTAACTGAAGATCAATGTTAGATTTGATTAATTGTTGGTATTTAGGAAAAATTTTCATTCTAATTGGAAATGAGTTGTCCAGACAAACCATTAAACAAGTTAAATTGTTTGATTGTTTCAAGTGATGAGAGATTTGGTTAGAAATTGATTGTTGGTTAATTGTTGACATCACAAAACGAGAGACAATTTGATATCAATTGAATTAAATAGATGGAGAAAAAAAACAGAATTGTAATCAACTTTTGTTTCCTCATCTATTATGACCTTACCTTGACAATTGATCAACACACACTCGAGTTAAGGGTTACAACAATTTAGACAATTAACTAATTGATGTAGATGATGAAAAAAAAAACAATCAAAGTTAATCAATCTCTCGATTAAGAGTAAACCTAAATTGTCAACCAAATAACATAATAACAACAACGAATTCACAATCAGTTTAATTGAGATCAATGAAATGAGAAAATCACAATTTAAATTATTCATCGTTAGGAAAACAATTAAAACTTTTGTTAAATTGTTAGCCTAATAAGAGGGAGAGAGGAAAGAGATTAACTTTGGGGTTGGAAGAAATTAAATCTAATCTAAATTCTATGTGATTAACAATTAATCATCGAAAGGATTAATTTGTTTTCTCACAGTTTCGGTTTCCAATGGAAACGACACTCGATATGAGAAAGAAAAGTTTATATTTCTTTTGTTTTTCTATCTAATTTCTTAATCTTTGGTTTACATTATTTTCTTAATTGTTGTTGTTGATTTTTCTTCCAATTAACTTACCCAACATGAGAAAAGGCGCTGCAAGATTAATACCAATCATATCGACGCGTAAGTAGAAACATATTCCGAAAGCGGTTAGAACTCCAAGTCCAGCGGAGACGCAGCCCAAAAGTCCTAACCAGGGTTTCGACCTGACCCAATCGGACATCATACAGGTTCCGACGGAAAACACGAGCATGATTATTACCGTGATTGAAAAGAAAGGCACCAAACTTTTGGTGTTTGATTCTAATTCATCTCGAAGTGTAGTGGACACAAATCGAGCCACATTAATGTGTTTGAACGAAAGGTTAGACACCCGTTTGAGGAAATTGTCCTCCCAAATGGCCGCTTTTTCATCGCCGTGTTTCTGACTGATATCCAACCAGTACATTAGGTTTATTGCTTTGGCATTTTCGATGAGATCGTTTGAATCTCGGGCCACTCCGCCCAAATAAGCGGGGAAAAAGTAGGCCTTGTATATGTCCGTGTTTACCCACAACGGATATTTGAGCCAAAACTTGTGACTCTCAATGTCTTCAATTCGAGGTACAAAGTCAAGAATATCGTTCTCGAAGCATTTGCCTTCCGATCGGGCACAAAGATCTTCATATGTATACGGATCATCGTCAAATTTAATGGTCATGTTTTTAATCAATCGATCCAATTGTACAATCTCATCGAAGACACTTTTAGTAAGGACATTACTCTCATCCTTGGCAATAGCGATCACCCGACCGAAACGACCTTTGTGTGTTATCCGACCAAGGTTAAAGTTTCGACTGTAGTTCATTGGGAATAGATTATCGATCACCGCCCGTTCGTGTTTCGATGCTCCGTCGGTTGGACTGAAAAGGTATTCGGGGTCATCTTCATATCTCATCTGTTGAAATCCAGTGGCAAATATGATGGACACGAAAATAGGAATCACAAGATAATAACCTGGATGACGACCGATGTTACGACCGATCTTGGTGAACATCCTCGAAAGAGCGTGATCAATGCACGACATTTTGGATACTCTTTGGTTAGATGTCCAATCTACTAGATGAAAGCTAATTAATCTTCAAAATATCAGTTTAATTTCGTTAATCGAATTTAACTTTTCTATTGAAATTGATATTCTGATGCTGGTAATTAGGTTGATTGGTCAATCCAATGGTTTCAACCGGTCAATTGAAGATTTACTTTTGTCGATAAAAACAAATCGCTGGTGTCCAAACAATCAACATGACGAAACATTATTTCCGTTTTTGACACAACAATCAACAAATTGGCACTTTGATTAGTTGATAATGAGCAGTGGGCAAAATAACACAAGACAATCCTTGGTCTAATCACAATAAAGAAACAATTTGCGAAAAAGTTTACCCAACAATCAACAAAAATTATGATCAATAAATTGAAATGAAACAATCGAGAACAAGTGTCAATAAATTAAACAACAATTAAAACAACCAAAGAAATGAACACCATGGACGGAGGATTAACCACTCAAACAATTAAGATTAAACTCGACTCAACAATATATTAATCACAATTAGAAACAAAATGTTAACCAAAAAACTTGAACAACCTTTCAATTGATTAGCCAACCCAAGAAATGATCAACAGCGCCACCAACAACAATCTATTAGGTTAACACCTTAAAAGTAACAATTTAGTTTTTGCAACTTAAATTGCAAACAATCAACAATTTCAACTCTAACGGGAACCAACAAACTAATGGCCTCACCAAATCAACAAATTTTCCCAAATTTAAACGACAATTTAGCGATATTACCATAATTCTGGTAATCAAGAGCCACATAGACATCATATTTAATGATAGAAACTGAATATTATTCGAATCCAGGTCAATTTGAACAGTCAAATTCCCGTTCGAATTAAGATGATGCAACGCACGATTAGGTAAAAATTTTGAATTTTCTAGTAAATTGCTCTATTGGCGCAATTGGTTAGCGCGCGGTACTTATAAGCAGTATTTAGCGTAGTGATGCCGAGGTTGTGAGTTCGAGCCTCACATAGAGCATATTTTTGCTTCCATAGGTGTAACCAGGAGAATCTGAATAAGTTATTGAGAGAATTGATTTACTTTGGATTAGAAAGGGTCGATTTTATTTATTATTCAAAGTGAAGAACTAAATTGATATTTTTAGTTCTTCACTTTGATTGAAATCGATAAGAAAATATGAGTTATCATTTTTTGGGAGATTCGGTTACAGATGATGAGGCATATTCATCTTTGGAGTAATAATTGGTGACATTTTTGGCACAATAGCTGCGAAATAATAAGAATAGAATAGTTTTAAATAATTTGATTGATTTTTTTTTTCTCTTTTTGTTGTAGTTGATTTCTTTTGATTTTTGCTTTTTGATATTTACCTGAGGAAATCGTCGAACTGTGGAATCAATACTTGGATTGTTTTCTCATCAGAATGTGAGTGAGCAAATAAATTACCAAATTTCGCTGGAAAATTGGAGAGAGAATTAATTATTGTGATTAGATTTTCGGGTAGAGTTTAAGGATTACTTCGGGGTGGAGCTAATTGATCAATTAATCGAAAACTCTTAATTATCGAAGCTCCACCTTACCGATTTTTGATTGGGAATTAAATCTCTGAATTTCTACTTACTGAAAAGTCTAATCAAATGGACGAAACCGTAAATTGATGAGGGGAGAATTTCATCTTCTCCATCTTTTCTCACTTGATCAAATTGTTCTCGTTCAGGTTTGTACAGAAGTAAAGTTCCAAGAATTATATTGAAATATTCACGAATTCCGTTGGTTATCTCGAAGAATACGCTTATTTTGGGTGGGGTCAGTGTTAATTCTTTCTTTTTGAAATTGACATATTCTTCTAGAATATCGTCAACCGATTTTTGTGCTGGAATTAGAACCAATTTGTTATTCTTGTTTATTGTTTCCCAATCTTCTTTGAGAACTTTTTTCAACTCTTCAGGAATGAAAATTCTCACTTCCGGAAGATTCTGAAGATCTTCGGTAGTCTGGTCAACTTTGGTTCGACGTTTTTTACCACCAGTTTCTTTTTCTCCGACTTCTTTAGTTTCGATTGGAGTTGTAACCAAAGGACCTCCTGGAGTTGTTCCTGATTTGGGTTTACCACTTTTCTCAATTTTCGGTGTACTCGTGGCCTCTTTATCTCCGCTGGTTCTCTTACGACTTTTACCCTTTGGTTTTGCGGCACTAAATCGATCAAGAAAATAAGATCAGTTTCAATTCTAATCTAAATTTCCAATCAAATGATAAACACATACGCTTGGGCTTGTTGGATTTCCTTTTGTTTTTGTACATTGGCTTCGTTGTATTTTAGGACTCGACTTTCGGGAACCCATTCATCCCAACTAGAAATGCGAAAAAGAAGCAAAATCAAATCAGAATAAGTAAATTGGGTTAAATGAAGAGATGAAGAGAAGAGAAAATCAATTTACCTTTTATTCCAACCTTGATAATGGACAAAATACTTGACATTCTTATCCTTTGCTTGTATTTGAACACACTAGACACACAAAGAGATTAGAGAAAAAACTTAGTTATTACATTAACGGACATTAATTAACCAGAATTAACGAACCTTAGCTTCATAAAGAATCGGACCATGGAAACAGAGGACTCTTTCACCTAAGAAATGAATAGTCAATGAGTTGAAAAGAAAAAACAAAAAAAAACATAATCAACACAAAGAAAAAATAAATAAAATGAAGGTTATACAAACCTTCTTGGAATTTATATTTAGGAGCCATCGGTAGATTGAGAAGCAATTAACCAATAAATAGAAAGTGAAAAATGGACTAATTAAACAATTAGAATGACAATTAATCTTGTAAACAAATGAAAAGACAAAAAAAGTCTAAGAATCAAAGTTAATCCACAAGGTAGAAAATAAAAATTGGCTTTTAAAAGCGATTTTCAAATAATCTGAAAGAAATTCAAAGTCCCGATCAAGCGACAGCCTTAATTAGCAACAAGAGAACAATTAAATTATAATTAACATAAAATAATAGAAATAAAATTAAGATGAAACAATTGAATTAAGAATCAAAACAACATCGGCAAAGAGATTTTTGTTTACCGTTTCCATGGAAACATTTCTTTCTCTTTCTCTGTCTCGGTATTTTCACTCATCGAATTGATTGTTTATCTTGTTTCTCTTAAAACCATGACAATTAACTAGAAGGATTAATGATAAGTTTTAATTTTTGATTGTTAATTATCTTCCCAATCAGCGGATGAACCACATTGGGTCGATCAATTTGATGTTCGTCGTCAATTGTGCTAACATTTCTTATGGTTAAAATTTCCTTGTGAATTTTTTGCTTATTTTAATTTCTCTTTGTTGTTTTAATTTTGTTTTATTTCTGAATCTTTTTTCTTTATTCGAGTTTCAATTGTTGAAATGGTTAACCAACAATCTCTCGTTTTAATTGTCCTGGTGACATTAGTTCTGCTGCCATCAAATCATTGTGATCAAATCAAATTAAAACCAACCGTTGAAATTGTCCTGTCAATTCATGCATACGCTAAATCTAATATATTACCATTCACATTGAGCTCTCTTGAGAATCAAGATTATCCCAAGAATCGAACTAGATTATCAATTAATTTCGATATTTATCCTGAAATTTTGAGATCAATCTACGATCGTAAGGATGAGAGATACCTGCGAAATTTGGTTACTTTGAATATCTTGAAATCTTGGATTCGGATAAATCGCCCTTTCTATCATGAAGTGTTGATCAATTACAATTATTTGGACTCAAAAGATGACCCATTGGAAGATGTTGACTATTGGGCTACTGGACGTTTCGATAAGATTATTAAACTTAAGACAACTGCAATCGCTCAGGCTTCATCCAATTGGGCTGATTTTCTCCTTCTAATGGATTCGGATGTTGTTCTGGTCAATACTGGAACTTTAAGTCATTTGGTTTCTGCGGAAAAATCGTTAATTGCTCCCATGTTATATTCACTTGGAACTTATTCCAATTACTGGGCTGGAATGAATAAAAGAGGATATTATTTGAGAACTGACGATTACATGCCAATACTGGATCGAACTAAACTTGGCATTTTCGAGGTTCCAATGATACACTCATGCATCTTAATCGATATGGGAATTCCAGCAACAGCACAATTAACATTCAACGCGACCCATTTAAGCAACAGTACACCTTATGATGATATAATTGCTTTCGCTTTGTCGGCTAAATTGAACAACATGTCGATGTTCATCAGCAACGAGGAGCTTTGGGGATACATTATGCCTGCCGTAGAAATTGTCGAGCTTAGTCGATTCGATCAGGAATTAATTGACCTTCAGTTGGAAGCGACGATTGAAGATGCGTCTTTTCCCTTGTCACCATCACTTGCTCATTTCGTGGAGATACCGAAAAAAGATCGACTTGGTGTCGATGAAGTTTATGTAATAAACTTGGACCGTCGAACTGAAAGGAAAGAGGCAATGTCCAAGCGAATGGATATTCTCGGTATAAATGCAACCTTTTGGCCTGCGGTTGATGGTAAACTGATCAATGAGGAATATTTGAAGAAGCGAGGAATCAAATTTCTACCTGATTATGAGGACCCTTATCATAAACGACCGATGACCTTTGGTGAAATTGGTTGTTTTCTATCACATTATGATATTTGGAAAGATATGATCAAGAAAAATCATAAGTTCGTCGTTATTTTAGAAGATGATGTTCGTTTTGAGAGATCTTTCCGACCTCGATTTAAAGCTTTACTTGGAGCGATTAAAAAATACGAAGAATCATTCGGTGGAACTGATCTAATTTACCTTGGAAGAAAAGCTCAGACTGATGAGAAATTTACTCAAACCGCAATTAATGGCCTCATTTTACCGAATTATTCTTACTGGACAATTGGTTACATTTTAACCCAACGTGGAGCAGAACGTTTAATTAATAGTAAACCTTTGGAAAAACTTTTGCCTATTGATGAATTTCTTCCAATTATGTACGATAAACACCCGAATCCCGAATGGTCGCAACACTTTTCACCCCGTGATCTTCGCGCTCTCAGCGCATCTCCACTTCTAATCTCACCGACACATTATGTCGGCGATGAGCAATATATCAGTGACACTGAGGATTCTCAACAAATCGGTGATAATCCTTCTCACCCTAAAAATCACCACCAAGAACTTTAATCAATAAACCAATCGACCAACAATTATCTCTACTTAAAAAGTAATAACAATTGAGCCAAACAAAAAAAAAACTTTACCAACCACAATAAGCTAATCGCCATAATCTAAACCGCTTAGATTGGCATTCAAATAACCCCAAATGCTAATCACTTATTATTCAATTATTTTAATCGTCAAAATTTTCGCCATCATCACCTTGATGTGTACAATTAATTTTGATTAATCAATTAGCTAGTCTTTTAATGTGCCATAAGAAAATATGAAAGCTTTTTTTTATTATTATTATTTAACTTGAACAATTTATATTATTTATTAAACTACACAATTAAAAATGTCAATATCAAATAATTAACTATCAACTGATCATCTTAATGAGCTTGACTTATGAATACAGTTGATGGAAGAGCTAAATTGTCAACATCAATATCGTTGACATTGATTTTAAATGCTGGTCTGATGCTTGTGTGGGTTGTACATTTGGAATCACAATCGATTCCGGAAACATCAAAACATCCGATTTTTTTTAAACACGAAGGACAATTAATATCACTAACCGTTAATTCAGTTAACATACTTTGCATCCAAGGTTGAGGTTCAATGTAAAGCGATTTACAATTAACCAGATTATCCGAAATGACATGAATTTCGGTGAACAATTTGATTCGACATTTTTTACATTTGTAAACAACTTTCGCTTTGAAAAGTTGATCAGTCGACGATAATTTGGTAAAATAGGAATGAACAATTTCGTGAACAGCATTGGAAGTCTCGGTATCATGGATAAAGTGTCTTCTCGACAATCTACTGGCTAATTGATCTAAAACGATTAGACGATAATCCTTGTTGAGAACGTTGATCTTGTAGCCCATAGTTTCGTAGAGTTTTAATTGTCTTCGAAATCCTTCATTTGGATCGACAATCGATCTTTCTTTACGAACCAATTCAATACATTCTTCAGCGGGTTTTCTTAATTTCTTCATCAAATAAGCAGTTACAATGGTCGCTGATCGAGAAATTCCGGCGATACAGTGGACAAGAACATTCTCCTTCTTTTCGACTGCTTTTTCGATAAAAGAATAGGTAATTTCGAAGAAGGAAATTAAATCTTGTCTCGGCATATCCTCCGAATCGATCCACAGGTAACTCGACACCAAAGGTTCACTAATTGGTTTTATGTTGCAAGTGATTATATGCTTGATGTTGTAACGAGTTATACTTGTCGGTGAACTTGCGGCCATTATGTCCGAAAGGTAAACATGTTTGACGATCTCAGAACAATATCCATCCATAATCCACTGGAGAATATGAAATTTAATCGATCGAATCAATTTAATGAGTGAAATTAAACGAAAACCCGATCTACCCATAGAAAAGAGATTGACATTTGTTGAGAAAAGAATAAGAAATCACACATATGAGAGAGAGAAGAAAAAAAGTACATGATTAGTTGATTAGAGACAATTTCTAATCCATAGAATAGTAAAAACACTAATTGTTGAAGATAATTAGAAGTACTTACTGTAGAATCTGGAGTGACAATTAAATAAATCACAAATCGATTCACTTACAAAAGTAAACAATTTTTTCTCATGTCAACTTAACCCTTTCAACTGTCAGAAAAACTAAAACCGCAACTTTTGGTTTTGTTATTTAAACTTGAGAAAAGTTTAATTAGTCAATCGAATCAATTTACTGATCAATTACACCATTAGAAATTAAGTAAATTAGTGACTATTAGCGAGAATAATTTAATGACAATCGCGCGAAATTAATTCCCCTTTGAGTCTTTCGTTGTAATGAACAGGAAGTGCGATCATTAATCACAAAAGAAATTGTAACAATCAAAGTAATCACATTTTTCCATCATTAGAGATTAATTGTTATATATAATTAACGATGGAAAACCCAAGCTTATTTTTAAATTATCTTCTAACTATTAACAATAATTTCCGTTTTTAATTTGATTCCCAATTCATTTCAACTGAACATCACAAACGAAGAAGATGAAACTTAAGGTAAGTTAATTTCCAATCAATTGGAAGCAATTTAATCAACTGAATTTTATTTCTCATTCCTAATTATTTTAGATTATAATCTTCTTAATAACTGGCCTCAGTTGGATTGGAACAATTAACTGTGATTACTATGGAATGGGATTTCCTAATCAAGCCGCTAATTCCGTTGGCGATCAAATTGTTTACAAAAAGATTCCATTCCAATATTTGGCTTCCACTCACGGAATTAATTTCCCTAATTACTCTGGTTCTGGTGGAGCAATTAGGAAATACTATGGACAATTAGCACCTTTTCATCATGTTGATCATCCACCTCATCCAGTTAACTATCAACCAAATTATTCTTATCTTCATCCCAAGCGATTGAACAACGAAGGTACAATTAATCACGATCACTCTGGACAATTAACTAATCATAATGATTCCAATCGATCACCAGCTATTCTTGGATTACGAGTTAATAGATTATCCTGGTTAAGAAGACCTCCAAGAAAGGGATTATTTGACAGAATTTTGGGTTAAATTAATCATCTTCTTTTAATCACTTCATCAACTGATTAATTGCTACAAGTTTGGAATCAGTTGATTGTACAAAATTTTCTTTCTCTTCCGTTCATATCAGTCACTCAAATAGACACAAATTTTGACGATAAATTAATTTATTCTTACGATTTAAGTGTTTTAATTTGCCTCATCAAATGAGAACAATTTAAATTTAATTCTATTATCATTTTAATTGTTTCCAGTTTGGATTTTACCGCTTCTTTTGCAAAGTGTTTTTGTTTACTTTTTCTGTGTTGATTTCCCTTCACTTTTGGATTTTGTTTTTCTAATTGTTGCTAATCATGGATGATTCCAAGTTAATTGAAAGTGTTTTCCCTTCGGTCATTCCCGATTTATCTGAATTCCACCATAAAGGTCAATCGGGTCGAATCGGGGTGATCGGTGGGTGCAAGGAATTCACTGGTGCTCCTTATTACGCTTCCATCGCAGGCCTTAAATCAGGAGCCGATTTGGTTTATGTTTTTTGTACTTCCGATTCTTCAGGACCAATTAAATCTTATTCACCAGAGTTAATTGTTATTCCAATTTTAGATTCTGCAAATTGTATCGCTACAATATCTCAATACATGAGTAGACTTCACGCTCTTATAATTGGACCTGGTTTAGGTTAGTAAACTGATCATTGATCAACTGTCATGATTATCATTCATTTAGTTTTGATTTCTATGTTCTAACAATTGATTTTGTTTTAATTTTAGGTCGTGATGATTCAATTGCCGAGACAATTTTATCTCTAATTGGAAAAGCTCGTGAATGTGATTTACCTCTTCTTTTGGATGCTGATTCTTTGTATTTTTTAAGTAGATCAATCTACCTAATTAAGGATTATCGTAAAGCCATTTTAACTCCTAATGCCATTGAATTTTCTCGTCTTCATAGTTTAATTTTTGGTCGTGATTTAACTGATCAAGAACGTATCTTACCTGGTGAAAGAGTGAAAGAAATGTCTTCTAGATTGGGAAATGTAACAATTATCCGAAAAGGTAAATGTGATTTCATCTCCGATGGTAATAAGCTGATTATCTGTGATCAATTTGGTTCTAATCGTCGATGTGGTGGACAAGGTGATTTACTTGTTGGCTCATTAGGAACCTTTTCTTTCTGGAGTCATTCAAATAAACTCATTTCCAACTCAGCAATCAACAGAAATCAACTAAATCCATGTTTAGTTGCCGCATTTGCTGCTTGTCTTTTCACTCGTAAATGCAATCGACTAACTTTTGAACAATTAGGTCGAACCATGACCACGACAGATATGATCAAAATGATCCCGAAAACTTTTGAATCCCTGTGGCCATCAAAATACAAATCATAATCAATCAATCAATCAATCAATCAACCAATCAATCAATTAATCAATTAATCCAATTTCCTAACGTTTAGTGAATTTAATTCATTATATTTTTTCGACTTGTTATAAACTCAATTGAATGTACAATCAATTTTTTATTTTAGAAACCTGTGGATTTAAATCAAGTTCATTAAATCGAAAGCAAATCGACAATTCGAATTTGAAAAGAATTTGATTTACGCGCCAAAAAGAAAAAAATTATTTTTCTTCATTTTTGCCGGTGGTTGGCGAATTTAAATTTTGTTGATGTTTAATTGTAAACAGAAATTGTCATTTGGATCGTGTTGTTTTTTTTAATTGATTTAATTCTATTTCGGTAAATTGAAATGTCTACTACAACTTCGGAACAAGTTGCTGAAGAAGAGAATCAAATTGATTTCGTTAAACATCCTCTTCAAAACGAATGGCAATTGTGGTATTGGAGAGGTGAGAAAAAGGAATGGATTCTTAATCTTCTTGAGGTGACAACATTTAAGACTGTTGAAGATTTTTGGGCGTAAGTAATTAAGATTAATTGAATTGCTTCTTGTCTATTCATTGGAGTAACATGTTAGAAGGTCAGAAGAATTTGACACTTGTTGATTTCATGTCTTCTTTTTTCTCTTTTTCTTTTCTTGTTCTCTTTTAGTCTCTATAATCATATTGAACTTGTAAGTAATTTGAAAATTGGTTCAGATTATTCAGTCTTCAAGCTCGGAATTAAGCCCATGTGGGAAGATACTAGGAATACCAAAGGAGGAAGGTGGCTTTTCACTTTTCAGAAAAGTTTAAACAAATTATTAGATGAAATGTGGTTAGAAGCTGTAAGTCATTAATCATCAACACTCCAATTGGATATGAAAAAAATGGGATAACTGATTATGATTGATTGTTTTCTTTCCGTCTTTCCATAGTTGTTGTGTTTAATTGGAGATGCATTTGGTGAGGAAAGTGATCAAATCTGTGGTGCAGTTATCAATATTAGACGAACCGTTGATAAAATTGCTGTTTGGACCTCGGACTACAAGGATGAAGCAGCAGTAATGAAAATAGGGTAATTTCCAATTCCATTTGAACCTCTTATTCCCACTATTGAATTGATTGTTTATTGTTTCATTTTTTTTTCTTTACATTTTTATTAGACGAATTTTAAAACAACGGATGAATTACAATGCAAAAATAACTTATGAAGCTCATGAAGATACACAAAACAAACATGGACAAAAATGGCTTTACATGGTAGATTAAATTGAATCGACTTTCGCTAAAATCACTCAATATAAATATTGTATCAATCGTCATTCATCAACAATCACGGCTTTCGAAAAATTATCTCTTCATCATCATTTCTCTTTCTCTCTCTATTTATTAATTTTTTTGTTCTCTGCATTTACTCAATTCTTACAATTACATAATTTATTTACTATATCAATATCTTGATTACCATTGAAAGTTTGCTACGATATTGGAAATGATTATATTAATTTACGCAATTGGAAACTTTAATCGTGTATCATTTTGAATAATTATATTGTATTAAATAGCGGAAAGTAGCAAAAGGCCCAAAGAATTGTTACTTTTCGTAAAAAATAATTTCTTAATCTCCAATTATTATATTACAAAACAGAAAAATAAAACAAAAATATGATAAAAAATGTGAATGAATTTTGATTCTACTCATTGATTACTTTTTTTCCAAAACATCGCCGATCTGATCAAGTGAGGCAACAAACGCATCCATTAATTGTTTACCCTCTCGAGCGGGAACATAAGATGAGCAAAAAACACCCAACGATTGATCAACGTATCCATAACCTAAGCCGAACCCATCGGCGACCACAGGGCCAAATCCACCGCCTGAAAAATATTCACCATAAAGAGTTGATGTTGATAGAGTGAAATGATTAGCGTGAAGGTAATTAGGATCAGTAAATAGTTCGGGAATTGGTAGTCCTTTTTTACCAGCCAAGTATTTGAGGGCAAAAAAATGCCGATCGAAACCTTTGCCCATCGCAGCGTTTTTGGTCAACTCCGAATGTTTCTTGGAACAATCGACAAACGATTGAATTAACTCTTCTTTCGAGTGATTACCGACATGAATTAAGGCACAAGCTTTTTTGGTTTGATTTGTCGCTGAACGAACAGTTTCAGTTCGTCCATGTTTAAAGCCAGCGGTCGAAGCTGCTTCGTAAGTGGTCGGTGTTTTTCCGTTTGAAATCTTATAATAAGCCATTTGAAAGGCTAATTGGAACATGGAATCAGGACTCAACTTGTTTTTCTTGAAGTAACTACGATTCATTCGTGAGTATATACGATAATTAAGGTCAAGATTAGCGACTGCTGATGAATGTTGACTCCAAGCAGAATTAATCTCATCTTTCAACGAGTCATTTAAATTGAACTTTAACTTGGTCACTTTGCTTTTTACTTCGGGTTCAGTTTTAGTCGAAGGTGTGACAAACTTTCGAGACGATGAATCTTTGAAAATCTCATTGAACAATCGTAAAACCGCAACACCATCACCCCAACTGTGTTCGAAATTAATTGCACATTGTCCATCCGAAGAGAATAACAGTGAGAATGATTTATCGAACCAACGATTAACTGGCCTTCTTTCAACAGGAATACGAGCAAAACCATGAAGAAAATTATGAGACAATTCAATCAATGGATCTCTTTTTGTTTCATTCATAAAATTAATGTCATCGTCTAAGCAAACAGCAAAAAGAGCAGAATCAATTTGATTAAGGCTTTCGCCGTTCATTGGATCTTTAATCAACATTTCTCGACAATCAGCCCATTTGTCACGATCCATTGTCGTCAGCACACCAACACTCTGTCTATCGTAGTCATCAGGTAGATTCCAAATATAATCAACTGCCGAATAAATTTCCTCTGGACTCTTCAAGTTACCAGAATCGTCGATAACTTTGAAAGTGTAGTAATTACCTTTCTTTAGGAAAACAATATGATTTGAATTTGGATAATTTTCCAATTTGTCTTTACCTTTCAAAGGTATTCGAGTTGAATTGAATAGATTCTTGTATTGGCTCATATCTAATGGAAATGCTTTGAAAAGTAACGACGCATACCAGGAATATCGAGATGGCGACAATTTCATTATTTTTCGGTAAAAATCAGTGTCACTTTTTTTCGCGTTCATGTGATAAATTTCTGGTCCTAAAACATTTTCATTCAATGAGCGTCTGAACCTCAAGGCACTTATGATGAAATTGGAAACTCTGATTCTTGGGTCATTTTGTTCAGTCGATGGGTCGGGTTTCCAGGCCATAAATGGATTGTAATTAACTGGTAATGGAGTTCGAGCCGAAAGATACATGTCAAACCAAGGTTCTAAAAGGAAATCACAATACAATCAGAATCAAATAAACAATTGACAAAGAAAAACAATCATTAAATTTGTTATCATTCATATTCACCTGATATGTAACTAGTATGACGATTTGCTCGATCATTAGAAATCAATTCTTTGTGTAATTGTGATCCAATTCCATTTTGGAAATGATTAACCAGCTTAATAGTTTCTTCGTATTTAGTTTGATCCTCAATCAGTGGTTCCAAAGCCTCCAAATAACGTTGACAAGTTTCCTCTAATTTAGGTATTGGTAAACATGGAAGTGATTTCTCAAAAAAGTAGGTCGATAATGAGCTTTTCTCAAGGTAATTATAATCACTGGAAATGTACCGTTGACATAACGAGAATATCTTTAGATATTGTTGATTACCCAACAATTTAATTCCAACGAAAGACATTGTTACTTAATTCCAATTAACTGAGCAAAACAAAGGGACACAAATTGTTTACACTTTTCACAAGAGGAAACTTCAAACTCTTCAACTTTGAAAGTTACGAATCCATGGAAACCGAATCATGAAAAGATCGCCTTTTTTAAATTGCAGCAATCAAGTTAATGATTTCATTTTACATTCTAATCAATTTTGTCTATTAATTTATCTTATGAATAATTAGCTATTTTATTATCCATTAAAATGAAAGATGAAATTATTTCATCATATGGACACTCTTAAGTAAATTAGTTGAGATTTATAAGTTGATTGTGATCAGAATTTCCAAATGATTGGATTAACCAATTAACGAAAGTTAATCACACTGAATGAGATTTAATTCTCAATTTTTGATGATAACTTTTTTTGGTGAATTTACTTTTGCTTGGATTATCCTTGTCACTTGTTGATCCATTACTGTTTCCATTTTAATTGTTAACACGGTTTGTGCTTGACGATGAGCGTGAAGATGAGATAGAATGGGAACAATTTAATATCAGTCATTGTAGAACATTATTATTGCCGATAAACTGTTGATTATTAGCATAACTTCGAAAATCGAGTGTGAACATTTTCGACTCCGTCAATATCTCTTGTATGAACTTTCGCTTGTTGGAAATTTGGTGAAAATTTGACTAAAATTACGCGCGTTATCGTTCGAGGGAATTTTGATTTTTCCTACGTTAGTTCTTAGCTTCGCTCAGACAATAATTACCTTGGGAAAAGCTTATTATCGATCTACTTTTTTGAGAAATCAGCTTGATAACTTTTGATGATAAATCACAATTATTGTAGAGATAATTAATGCTTGAGGTTTTTCAGGTGACTTTAGCAAGGCCAAAATAACACGTTGACATTTGAGAAAACATATAAAAAGAGGATTAATTTCTAAGGAAAATTATTTTCAAATTTATTATCATTCGAATAAGTGAACATTTATAACTATTAAAATTTAGAGTGCGAATCCCAAGAAGAACGACGTGTTTCAATCCACTTATGGCGTTCAATTTTCTTTGGTTAATCACCGTTTTTCTGGGGCTTATGTCATCTTCATCATGTCAGTATTCTGGTTCTAATTATATAATAAGTACTGACTATAGTTCTGATGCTGGTAGTGTTAGTGGTTTGGATTATGGTTCTGGTTTTGGTCAGGGTAATGGTCAAGGGCCTGGTGCTGGTTTTGGTTTTGGTATCGGTTCTGGACAAGTTATCGAGCGGGGCCCTAGTCGAGGGCCTGGTGCTGGCACTGGTGCCAATGCTGGTTTCAATTTTGGGGCCGCTGCTAACCTTGGTGCGGGTCCTACTGCTGATTAACATAGCATAACAATGCAAGTGCAATTGTCACATTTTAGGGTTCCAACTATTGAAAATTGAATAAAATTAACATGATAACATGATGGAATAACAATAATAAAGAAAAGTAAACTTGAAAAAGCTTCTATTCAACAATGATCAAAGTAAAAATTTTAATTCCACTGTGTAATACTTTAATTAAAGTTTCTAAATCATTAAATTGGTTGCGTTGATATTCGTGTCTGAAATCTGATCCAAAGTCTAAAAATTATGAATAGTTTTTAACTAACGATATGCTTTTTTGTCTCGTTTTCGGATTGATTTTGCAAGAGAAAAAGAGAAACAGAGAGAGAGAGAGAGAGATTTCCTTTCCTCCAATCAGCCTAATATATTAGAGAAAAGTAAGAGAAAGTGTAATTTTCTTTTTACCGTTTTTTTTGTTGATTGTGATTCAGAAATTAACTTGTGCCCTTCGTTTTCAAATTTTCTTAGGTATTTTTCGTTCTTTCTCGTCCTCATTTAACATGGATTACACTTTAAACCACTACAACTACCTGTTCATTCTGGCGCTTGGCCTGCAGATCAGTTTCTTTTATCTTGTCCACAGTCAAGTTAATATACAGGAGCTGATGAAATGATTTATTCAGTTAATGAAGATTGTCTAGTTAGTAGAACATTATTATTGCCGATAAACGGTTATCGAAAATCGATTTTGAACATTTTCGACTCCGTCAATATCTCTTGTATGAACTTTCTCTTGGCCGTTATGATTGAACTTCTTTACTATCGCTGCCTCGACTTAATCCTATCATTTTATCCAAATGGCGACAATACAAATTCAGTTGGTGGTTGCATTGATCTTTTAACGGATCATTCCAACATTTTTTGGTTCTAATCATCAATTGCTTTGGCTCCAAAAACATCATCAGAAGGTGATAATCGCATCTGGACCTGTATCAAAAGTGACAAATTATCTATTCGCAATTCGTTAAACGCTCAAGTTCATTTCCAAGATGAAAAGTTGATCTGTCGATTATCAGATTTTCCAATAATCGATTGTGACGCAATATTTTTTGGCAAGATCGATGATCGGCATCGAAATTGCTTCAATCATCGATGATAATCGATGATTTTGATGATCGAAAGTATCACTACGTTGAAGTTTCTTCTTGAAAAGTGTAAACAATTTGTGTCCCTTTGTTTTGCTCAGTTAATTGGAATTAAGTAACAATGTCTTTCGTTGGAATTAAATTGTTGGGTAATCAACAATATCTAAAGATATTCTCGTTATGTCAACGATACATTTCCAGTGATTATAATTACCTTGAGAAAAGCTCATTATCGACCTACTTTTTTGAGAAATCACTTCCATGTTTACCAATACCTAAATTAGAGGAAACTTGTCAACGTTATTTGGAGGCTTTGGAACCACTGATTGAGGATCAAACTAAATACGAAGAAACTGTTAAGCTGGTTAATCATTTCCAAACTACAATTATATCCCAATCAAATTGTCATTCATCGTCTCAAGTTGATCGTTACAATCTCGACAAAAATTGAGCCTCAACGAAAATCAGAGTAAGTATATTAAAGTTCAATCTTTTTTTTCAATTCTCTTTCATCAAGTTCATCTTTCGACTTTGACATTTCTATCAATTGTCCAATTGCACCATTTGAATAAGCATTTCACCGAGAGAATTTCATAACTTCTATCATTCTATCTCTTAAGCTCCTAAAGCGAAAATTATTTTATCGATTTTCCCACCTGTTGAATTACGTTCCAAGCACACGAGATGTCGCTCTTTTCTTATTCTTTTCTCCGTTTTTGTTTACCGTTTTCTCAACTTTAGATAATTAGTTTTGATGTCTTTTTATTGTTATGAGAATTACTATTTATGTATCGATCTTTTCCCTTTATCTGAGTTTCCATAGTAAATATTTTAATGATTATAATCATAACTGTGTCTCTATGAGTATAGAGAATAAATTTAGAGAGAGAAAAAGGAAAAAGTGTAAAAACTCCTCCCAATTTGGTAACTTTCATCTTGATGAGCCCAAAATTTTCCGTCTTCAGAAATTAGTTACCAAAAGAGAAAAAGAGAAAGAGAGAAAGAGAGAGAAAAGTAAGAGAAAGTGTAATTCTCTTTTTCCCGTTTTTTGTTGATTGTGATTTAGAAATTAACTTGTGCCCTTCGTTTTCAAATTTTCTTCAACTGATGTGATGTTAACTTTTCTTTTTGTCCCAATTTTCCTTGGGGTTTATTACCTTGAAGGCGTAACATCAGTGCCACCAACAAACATGGACGGTGATTCTAGTCAATGGCATGAACCAATCTATGGTTTTCTACCGATTGGTGCTTATTCTCACTCTGATCGTCGATGTAAACAAGCCCTGGAAAACAAAAGACCAACTGAAACTGTTTCAGTTGACACTAAAAATGGACGATATGTGGGCAAGATATCATATCTTTGTGACTCACCTGGATTACAGGTATGGTTAAGACCTGGGTCACCTTCTAATAGAGGACTCGATTGGAAACATGAAGTTGCCATTTTCTTAGGTATTCCTTATGCTCGTCCGCCTTTAACGGAACATGGATTACGCTTTAAACCACCACAACCACCTGTTCATTCGGGTGCTTGGCCTGCAGATCAGTTTCGTTCATCTTGTCCACAGCCAAGTCAATATACGGGAGCTGATAAAATGATTTATTCAGTTAATGAAGATTGTCTTTACCTGAATATTTATACACCGAAAGCTTCAGAGAACAAGGAAAAACCTAGTCCAGTGATGATCTACATTCATGATGGTGATTTTATTCATGGGTCAGGAAATCGTTTTCCCGGTCATATGCTTGCAGCTTCTCAAGACGTTGTTGTTGTCACTTTTAATTATCGCTTAGGAATCTTGGGTAAGTGAATATCTATTTAATTAACAAAGTAAATTGTTGGTGAGTTTTATTAATTGTTTGTTTTGGTTTTCCCAACATGTGATTTTTTCCAATTTAGGATTTTTTTCCACTGCTGATGATTCAGCACCAGGTAATTACGGAATCTTGGACCAGATTCAACTTATTCATTGGGTGCGTGAGAATATCCGTAAGTTTGGCGGTGATCCTGAATTAATTACTCTTTTTGGCCCCGGTGCGGGTGCTGCAAGTGCTGGTATATTGGCTATTTCACCTCTAAGTCGTAAATATATCAAGCGAGTTATTGCTCAGAGCGGTTCCGCTGTGGCCCCATGGGCAATTATCAATGAACCGATCATGATAAGAAACATGTCGATCGTTGTAGGAGCCGCTTATGGTTGTAGTACTCCTTTAACACGTAACCTTGTTGAATGTTTAAAAAGTCGAAGTTCATCAGATATTCCGATCGCTGCCGTGGCCAATCAAGTCGGCTGGTTACCTTTTGCCCCTGTTCCCGATTCAACAACTCGACCTATTGGAAGTGAGGTAATACCTGATACGCCTGAAGCGATACTTCAAAAAGGATTTCCTGTTGATGATATTCATTTAGATGGTTACCTGACTGGAGTAACTAGAGACGAAGGATCATCTATGGTCTATGGAGATGAAGAGATAAAACTCAATGATTATCAAGTTACACTTGATAATTTGGAAGAGAAAATTCAAAAATATATAAAAGTTTATAATGCAACGTTGAATCCCGAAGCTTTTAAATCTGCTCTTCGCTTCATGTACAGTCCACCGATTGATCCGACCAATGGAACACAAATCAGACAAGGGTTGATAGATGTAAGTAGATATATTTTTTTGTTCTAATCACTTTATTTGTCTATCATCAAAATCAACAATACAATGTGAAAGTTTATCATTGAATGGACTTGAAACTATCAAGCAAACAATCAACAACAAAAAAAACTCAATCTTTACTCGGTTTCATCTTCATCCTTCAAAAATCTTACATTCATTGATCATTTCTTACCTTTTTCTGTTCACAGATGTACACTGATTCTTGGTACGTTGGTGGAGTTGATAAGATGGTTAAATTAATGCTAAAGAATCAAATCAAAACATATATGTATGTTTTAAATTATACAATTGAAGGTTTAACTATACCAAAGTGGATGGGTGAGTTGAAGTGGTTAATTCAACTAAATTACAGGGATGATTGTTATAAAAACTGTAACGGTTAACTTGAGCTAAACTAAGATGTTACTAGAAAAGAGTATCTCACCTAAAAGCAGATGAAAAACGCGGTTAATTGTTTACTTTTTCATCTGCTCATCATTTTCTTATCATTTGTTGATCATCAACATCAATTTCTTATCTCCATCTTCATCTAATCTCAGGTGAGATGCTCTTTTTGTGTCCTCCCATTCTGTCTAAATTAAGCGTTACGGCCTTTAAATAATCAATGGGTGTTGCAGTTAAATTATCTTGTTACCTTAAATTGTGATTAATTTAGTCATCAAAATGTTAGTTATTAATGTTTACTTTCTTAATTGTTTCTTTTTGTTGACTATTTTTAGGTGTCCCTCACGATTCAGAGTATTTTTTGATCTCTGGAGCTCCTTTCATGGATGATCGATTTTACCCCAAAATGTATAATCTAGAACAAGCAAAGTGGAAAGAAGAAGATCGTAATATGAGCGTTTTTTTCATGAAGGCCTGGGCTGATTTCGCTCGTCACGGTGATCCCACTCCGGTTGCTTTATTCAATAATATCCTTTGGAAACCAATGAATCCCTCTACACTTCAATACTTATCAATAAACACAACCAATTATACCAGTGTAATGCATCGTGATTATAAACAAAGAGAAGCCAAATTTTGGAATTATTATATGCCCGAACTAGTGGGTCAACCGAAACCAATTTGGCCTCCACCCTATCAGCCCTTGGAGGGTGAATTAAGGATGTACAGGGCTTCTCTCTGGGCCATTGTTGCCATTCTAGTGATCCTCACATTCATTTCAGCTTTGTGTTCATGCCTTTACTGTAAAGCCAAAAGGTAGACGCCCTTTCGATTGTCCGTTCTTCTTGACCATAACTTTCTTTCTCTCTTCTTTTAAAACTTTAATTGGTTAAATAGTTTTTCACAACTTTTCAATTACGATTTTCTCTTTTACTTCAGTTTATTAACAATTATTTTCTTTTTCTTTTTCGTTTGTACCTTTGTAGAGATCGAGTTGGCAATGCTGCTCTCGATTATAATTTTCCCGATATTACTGCCATTGGAACACAATATAGTTCTCCATCAACTCGAGCCAATTCTGAAATTTCTTTATCCAATCGCACTAGAGCAGATTATGCACAGACACATAAACTTATGCCCACAAGTCCGAAAGACAAATATAAGCCAATCGATAAACCCTTTCGTCCCAAACCTCATAGGGATACACAGACAAGGGTTTGAATTGTCAATAATCATAAGCATTTAAACTGCCCACCCTGTCCAATGGATTCAATCCTGACTCAACTTTACGCTTGCTGGTCATCAATTTTGTATATTTTTTTATTTTGTTTTAATTATCGTTTACCTGATCTATAAACTTACTTGGTTCAAATTAATCATGCCGAAGGTATTCAAACTCTTCATTTACAAATCATATTTAAATGTGTTTAAATTATCACACGACAGCACCCAAAGCATTTTCATCATCACCCATCGATCAATTTAAATGTGCCTTTTATTTTATCAATTTTTTGTTTACTTTCAAATTGGATAATACAAGAAATAAGAATAATTCAAAAATCTATTAAATTAACAATTGTTCTTCAAGATTAATAATGTAATTGATTTAAAATCTCGGCGGTATCAATTCAAATACACAATAACTTGATCGAGAATCAAATGTAAATAGTATCTAACATATATTGATAATCTTTAATTAGAATCTACATTCTTGAATAAGACTTGATAATCTTTAACTAGAATTGATAATGATTACAATTTCTCTGTTGATTGTTTTGATCTCTTTTTCCCAAAGAAGTTCAATTGATTCTCTTGCTTGTAACATAATTCACTGTTCTGTGTGTCACTGGTGATTTCGGTGAAATCCTCGATCGATGAAACATCCAAATGATTTGACTATTAATCGATACTAATAGATAAAAGTAATATAATGATCTCTTTTAGATTTCGTGGCTTTAGTGTCTGTTTTGAGAGAGAAACAAATAGAAACATCGTAAAAATTTGTAAAGTTGTAAACAAACTTTGATCGATTCAAATTCAGTTAATTAAATTCATATTTCTCTTTCTGTGTCTATTTCTCCCTCATCAATGTCATCTAAAGACAAGTATGATATCTTACATGTAATAGTTGATAAACTAAAAAGTGAAACAATGACTAAAAATCTAATTCGGATGTTATTGTTTGAGTTCGTGCGAAATGAAAATGTCCCGATAGATTGAGATTTGCTTACAACGAATTGTAATCGTCATAAACATATTGAAACGGCTCCTTATGATGTGACTGATGTGAAAAGATTATATCTCCAGGTAACAATGAGCTACGAAGAGGAAGCCCGCAAATATGACATTCCGCAAACTGAGTTTCTAACCACGAGACGAGATAATGACCTACTAATTTAGTCTCTTTCCCGTTTCTCATCTCTTGGCACGGAAGATACACTCCACTGTCTCAACGAGAGAAGCAATTGTGAAGCTATGAATGTGTATTCGGACTTTGATCATTTTCTACAATAAGATGCTCATGGATTTTTCAATCATCTATTAAAAATTATCGCCGATTTGCTTAATTGTGAACCATTTTCATCCAAAGATGAAGATTTTCTATTAGATTTAAGTGTTGTAATAATTGTCCATCTTAATTCACTTTTTATTTCCTAGTAATGTTATGTGATTGTACCAACAGTTAACTGGCTGATTGAATGAAATATCAACCAATACAATACAGAGATTAAATTATGAATCAAGATGATAACAAATTTGGATAAATAAAAGCCAAAGGTTAATTGGTGGTAATTGATTATTGATTATTTGGTTAATCGTTTAGAGAGAGTTGATTAATTGTCATTGATTTTAAAAAATTTTCCTTAAACCAGAAAAAAGTCCAGTATTTTTCTTTGCCACCGGTGATGCAGTTGTACCTTCGGTGGACGAGGATGAGGACGAAGATGATGAAGATGAAGATGAAGATGAAGATGAGCCAGATGATTCCACGGAATTGGGCTTCTCGGTTACCGGATTAATTGGACCGGGATTGAAGAAATTAAAAATTGGATCGACTAAACCATTTGATCCTGGTCGATTAACGAAAGGTAATGAGTTAAATAATCCACCGCCGGGCAACATGGCCATTTGTTGGTGGGAGGGTTGATTTTGAGGCGAACCTGGTGAAGGTGGGGAGGCAAAGGCCATCGCTGATTGGGAAGCCGAACCCTCCATCTTATCGGATGTGTTGGGCTTCCTGAAGGACTCGGCGAATGCTAAATCGTTTGAAGGTAAGAAAGGTCGATACATTGGGTAAGGGGCTCTGAAGGCGAACCCGGAAGTGTAGGGTGAAGCGTAGGCCATTTTAAGAGGATAATTAACTGAAGGCGAACTCATCATGGAGCCATAAGTGAATGGACTACGAACTGAGACTGGAATCATTGAGCTGCTCGAGGGAAGAGCACCAAATGAGTAACTGTAAGGAGATGGAGGTGGACCTGTGGACATTAGAGGTCGTGGAGCGTAGCTTGGTGCGAAACTATATCCACCGAATGAGTAGGAAGGTCGGAAACTCGAGGCTTGAGGTCTTAATCCCGCTCCACCCCAATTGAACCATGATGATGGACGTGGTTGAGGTTGTGGTTGGTGTTGTGGCATCGGTGTGAGCATTGGACCTGAGGGAGGAGGTGGACCATGTGGGTGAGTGTGGTGGGCAGTGTGTGGCTTATAATATGGAATGGCATCATCGAAGAAACTTGATGGCAAAGATGTTAACGGGATCTCTCCGGAAGTTGATAAACCAAATGGACTTCGGTAACGAGAAGGTCGACTTGTTTTGTATCCTGAACTCGAACCACCGCTTCCGAAAAGTGAAGACAACCAGCCTCGATCAGAAGATGAAGGTGATTCCCACTCTGAAAATTCAGGCCAAGAAGCCGATGACATGAATTGTTGTTTAGTTCTGTATCTTGGTCGGTAACCAGAGTATTTTGGTCGCTGAGACACCTCTCGATCATATGAATCATGAGTGTGAGGTGGTGACGGTGAATGTGGTACTTGTGGTCCATCTGAGTGTTTCATATCATGAGAGGGAACATGTCTATCGTTTTCGGGAGCACGGCCACGATAATCTTCCCCTGATCCTGATGAACTACTTGGCGGTGAAGGTGGTGGACCTTGTTCATAGGAATCGACGTAACTGGAATCGCCTCCAGACGCTGATGAGCCACTTGGATAATCGGGAGGAGCGAAATCATCGTAATTGGATGAAGATGAAAACTCAGGCTCTCGATGTCGGGAATTGGAAACACGGAAACCATATCGAGTTCTAGTTCGAGGATTATCCGAGTTGTAAGAGTTATATCGTCCTCCATTTGAACCACCATTGGATCTACTTGAGCCGTCATTGGAAGATGATCCGCTGGAAGATGATGATGATGATTCTCCAGATGAACTGGAACCGGAAGCGGACGAAGGCACTTCGTAATTGTTTGATGTCGCAGCAGCAGTTAAATCAACCATCTCCATATTTGTTGGTCCGGGTCCTGAACCAACGGATGCGGATACAGATGAAGATTTAATCTCATCATTGGTGATCGGCTGAATTTCGTGACTAGGCTGAGCAGAACCAGATTGATCCACTCCCGAGGAACTGCCCATCGGCTGACCACTAATCTGCTTTGACCAGCCCTTTGATTCACCACCGGAGTATCTAGACTGATCCCCTGACCAGCCGACACGCTTTAAAACTTCATAGGGATTGATGGCATCTGATGAGCCACCGGCGGGTTTTTGGACTGATTTCTCAGTCACTGAATTGTCAGCTGATTCTTTGACTGAATCAGTTGATGATGACGATGAATACAAGGCCATAGGAAAATCTTCATCGTTCAAAGGTAAAAGTTCAGCTTTAGACCATAAAGAAGACAAATCAGAGGTCAGGTCACCAGCGGTCAAGGCCTGGGCCAACGGGAGACCGGATATCGATCCATCTGAACCATTTGATTGATTAGCAATTGAGACAAATACTTTGGGTGTGGTGCTAACGACATCGTTTGATGATTTAGTTAATACACTTTGTTGACAAGTAACAATTAAACATATTAAAAAAATTTTCTGCGAAAAAAAATTGATCAACAATTAGACTGGATAATTAACTTGGATTAAAGGGATTCAAGTTGATTAGGTGATCAATTATTGGGTTATTAACTATCATTTACCCTTGAAAGTATTTTCATCATCACAATTAAGGTGCTGAATTATTAATCAGTGTGAACACAATTTGTTTGAACAATTTAACTTAAGTTCAATCAACCGATAAATTGATTGTGATTGTGATTGGAAGAGGAAAATTAATTTCATCAAATTGCTCAATTTCACTCACAATCTCATTCATGATTAACTAAATCAGTTCAAATCTGTTAACCATTTTAATTAACTAATCATCAATATAAATCTATTAATATTTCAATCAAACGATGACATTGACGTTGAAAGTTTTGATTGTTGAATTGTTGAACTGAGATTCAATTTATAATCAAAATCCATCAACTAATCAACTTAATTTTATTTGAATGATTTAAATGAATTGTAAAAATTTCACATCAATCAGGTTACAAATTGATCAAACAATTAGATTAATTGAACAATCAAGGAAAAAAACAAAATTCATCTCCCATAAACACAAAGTTTTCTTGATTGTAATTAAAAAAAATAATATCGATTATAATTTCTTGTCGATTCTCACCAATTGAATGTAATTAAGGTCATTTAAATGATGATTTGACAATCAACAATTAAACAACCGCTGAGATATTTTTAAGGGAACAACAATTAAACTGATTACATTGTACATCGACTATTATTTAAATTGTTACATCGATCATTTTTATTCTTGTTTCTTAATTAGTAGTAACTTCACTTTAGGAAGTTAATGATTGTCAACAATTGAAATGACAACAATCAACAAATTGTTGTGAACTTGAAACTCTGTTATCCGTGAAACATTATTAATGATGATGATGATTAGTTGATTGATCTTCATTAAATTAAATACTTCCAACTGAGAATAGGAAAAAATGGATAAAAAAATCGACCTTTTTTTCAACAGTTAATCATTATCGAGACTTTTTTTCAGGATACACTTCGGGTTCCAAAGGTGAATTCAATGAAACGAATAGATTTCATGGTAATGATGATTATCATGTTGCTCTTTTTTTCTTCATCACCATAATCAGCATCATCGACTGTTGAAATTAACGGACCTTTGAATCAACTGATCACCATATCAATGAACATTGAACAAACAGAATTGAACATTTCATCCATGATACGGTTCACAATTTCATCTTTCTGATTATCTTGATGATCAGGGTGATGATGATGATTTCTCATCATCTCAATGAACCAGCAAATAGGGTGAAAAATTCAGATGAATGATGAGCAACATGATTCGGGTGTTGGAGGAAACCGGATAATTTTTCACGGTTAAACTTAAATTATCACAAATCAATCGAGTTGATCATCATAATCATAGTGATCGCATTAGATTGTCACTTAATTGTTCACTTTGTAAGTAACTAATTTAAACATGTATTGTAATTTACATTAGATTTTATCTGGCAAAATGATTAACTTTTCATTAAATGATTGACAACTTGTTGATTGTTGAAAAGTTTCATTTCGTCTTGATTGTGTTTCCCTTGCAATTGCCTGTTAAATTAATTGTTACAATGTTTTCAATAGTAATGTTTCATTTTGATTGCAAGAAACTCATTAATTGTCAAGTTAATTATCATTAAATTTTAACAATTGACTTAATTTCTCACTTGTTAACTCTGGTTAACTAACCTGTCTAATTAGATATACTTTTTTGTCTTAGACTTTAGTGACAATCAAGTTAATTGTTTGGCTATTTTACTATCATTGATTAGCCTGAATGAGAAATAAGCTAAAAAATTCACTAATTAACATCATCTCGTAATTAAAATAGAAACTTAAATGCTCCAGTTGATAACAATTAACGTCTTAATTGTCATAATAATTTGAAATTATGGTAAATCAGTCTCGGTGTATGATTTTTTTTCAATTGAATTTTTTATTTTCGTTGACGAGATTATCATTTGATGACCGTTGACAATTAGTAAATTGTTTGGCTAATACATGAAACCCATTAACTGTTTTGATTATCATAATTAACTGTTAACCAAGTGAACACGGAAGTTGTTATAAATTGTATTCAAGAATCACAGTCACATCTTGTTAACCTTGACACTTGAATTATTTAAATTATTTCCACAATTAAACATTTTTAAGCAGCAATCAACTAAATTGTTGAAATTGAGAGACCATAATACTTGAAATCAATACCTGAGCGTTGATTTGATGGTAAAATTAACATTTAAATTTGCTACAATCAATTGATCAACTTGAAGTGAGAAAACAGTAGAAAGGGAAAAGTTAATTGTATCAAAAGGAATTAAAAATTTACCTTAACCATTGTGATTGTCATGATGAGGTTTCAACGTTATTGAGTATTTTAATTGAACAACAATTTAATCCTGGATGACAATCAGAGTGAAATCCTTGTAAGTATTACACAGAAAGTTGATAACAATTTAACTTGTTGACTTTGAAAAACACAATTAAAAAAACTTTGATTATTTAAACAAGAAGTCACTTTGATTACTCTTGAATCATTTTCCTTTGAAAATCAATAACAATTTGAACCAATAGTTTAAAACTTCAACTTCGACTTTGGTGTTGGTGTCAAAGTGCCAAATGAAACAAGCCAACAATTGACCGACTTAGATTATATATGGTGGGGGCTAATCCCTCCTCCTAATCCAGTTCTCACCTCGCCCTCTACTCCCTCTCATCATCCACCCCATCATCATCTTCATTATCTTCCTTGGAACTATGAACCCATAGCGAAGTTTTTTCCCTCCTCAGCGCTAACGAGTTCTGGCCAAAGTAAACAGGGAGAGAATCGTCAGCTCACAGGGAGTGGTGCTCTCTCTCTCTCTCTCTCTCTCTCTCTCTCTCTCTCGGTGGGTTTTGTAATACAAAAGGGATAAAGACGATAAGAGGGAATTGGATTATCGGAATAAGTTAATGCGGGAAAAGGGCCGAATATGGGTGAAGATACAAATCAGAATTTCGATTTTCTTTTTTTCCATTTAATTGTTTTAAATTGTACTCATCGAATCTGCTAATTTGCTTTGTACTAACACGTGAAACTTTGAGTTGTAATATTAAATTTTAATCTAATTTTAACATCGCAATCAAATGTTAACCTTTTAATTTCATTAATCCATTGACTGATTGATTGGTTAATAACAATTGAAAACAATCAACCAAATTAATTTGATTGCTGTCGAAGATTATTTATAAAAATAGATCAATTTAAAAGCTAATTAATTAATGTTTCTTAAGGTAATCATTAGTTGATCAAACTTTTTATTCATTAAGATTGAAATTTATGCCATTATTTGTTTGTTATCAGCTTATATCAGCAATTTGATTAATTTATTAATCATGTTTAACAATTTTTTCAGAAATCATCAAGTTCATGGTTGAACTAAATCAACACAATTTTATAAGTTTATTGTAGTAACAATCAATAAAAAGATCTATGATTTTGTTGATCATTAATCGTGTATTAAGGTTTGTGGCTTCAATAATCAGTTGTCAGGATTTTTTTTGCAACAATCAAGAAAACAATCAGTTAATAATCAAATTTTATCACCATGGTGATCACCATGAACATGAATAAACATGAAATCTTCATCAGATTAACTGAGAATCAGATGAAAAATTGATTCATGTTATTAGAGTGAGAAAAATGTTCATTTTCAGTTCATTGAATTTCTCATAAATTAAATAATTTAAATTGCTAATCAAAATCATGAGTATAATTACAATCAAGTTAATTTTCTTCTCAGATTGTGTTAATCAATCAGTTCAGGAAGTAATTTAAATAGTCAAGTTGAAACAAGTAACTAAATTTAATTTAGTATCAACATTGACCAATAACAATCATAAATATATAAATTAACAATTAACTCAATTGTTATTATGAATGAAAACCACACCAATTAAGAAATAATCATTTGTCAATTGTTGGATTATCAACCACAATCAAATCTAATGATCATCTAATTCACACCTATTTAGATTAACAAGCTCGTTAATTTGATTGTTAACTTTTTTTTTCTATTTTCACTCAACTAAATTAATTGATTAACAGTAAATTGAACGTCCAATTAATTTAAACCGTTTCGATTTCAATTGAATTGTTATACAAATAGTAGATTAACTAAATCAACAATCCGGAAAGTTTTTACTATTATTATGATAGCAATTTATTTTGATTGTTACCATCATTATCATGTAAGTATCATGTTCACTCAAACAATTAATTTAATTTTCAACTTTTCAATATATGTAATAATCAAAATTCAATAAGTCATAACAATTTGATTTTGTATACAACAAACAATTGAATCAACAAGTGATTAAGATGATAAAATAAATTAGGCTAAATGATTAACTATTAAAATGATTTCAAGTTTACTCAGGTGAAAAATTAACTTGATTCCAATTAAATTGTAACGATAGAGATTCAATTTTTTTTCTCATTCTGATCATAATTAAATTAAACCGATCCTTTAATTGATCAAAATTAGATGAAAATCATATATCTAATCAGGGACAATCGTGATACAATTAAAGGGTGTTACACTTAATTCAGGTCAAAATCGGAGATTAAATCACAATTAAGATATCCTACTAGAGATTAGGAATGAATCAAGTTAACAATTAACTTGATTTACCAAAGAGACAATCACAATTAACAATTTAATCATCAAGTTTAACTCAATTTTTCATGTAAATTTTCATTGAAATGAATGTTAAATATTTGATTGCAATTTGGTCGATCAGTATGATTGATGATTATTATTAGGCCTTAATTGTTGAATGAAAATTAACCTAACTATTAACCATTGAAGCATTTTCGATGTCAGCAAATCAACCAGCCATCATGTTTATAATTCTTGTTGATTGTTGGTTAACTTTTTCCCTTTTTTTTCAGCAACAATCAGTAACAATCAGCATTCAAAATCAACGTAACTGTTTCATGTTATTATTAAGACAAACCGATGAGGATGACACATTGAAGATTAACAAGATGATCATAATCATTATCATGATAATCAACGAGTCAACCGATTTACTGGTTTATGCTGTGCATCAACAATTTAAAGCCCGGTAGTTAGTTAATCATTTTAACTTCACCGGTAATTGTTGGTGTCGTTTCTTGTTGTCAATTATCATGGAATCGGTCTAATTGAGATGAATAATTTGTATCAACGTAAATTGTGTTGATTGTTCAATTGTCTTAATATTTTCATCCATTTTCAGGTATCACATCCATTCAGCTGTATTCTTGTTAATAATAATAAGTAAATTAGATGTTCCCGAATAGTTTAAATGATTTATGATTAACTTAATTCTACTCTTAAAGTTGTGTATTCTGTATTGTTCTTGTGGCTTCACAATTAATTGCTTTCATTTACTTTTAACTGTCTAACCAAAAAGTACATTTTCTGTTTAATTGTTGATCTCATTTTAACCTTTTCCTTTATAAATTTGAATGCTAATTACGTTTGACTTTGATGATAACTTTTTTTCTGTTACAATTTGTTAATTGCTTCCAAACCATTTTTGGATCATTGATGATCAGTATAGTTTTGTTCTGTAATTTTTATTCAATCAGTGTCGCAAAGTAATCAAGTGAAGTTCATCAATTGATTCAATTTTCCAAAATAACAAATTGTTGGATTGTAACATTGAAAAGAGAATCGATTAATCTTTTAACTTTCGAACTTGTATTTCGCCGTTAGTCCATTGGTAAGGGAACAAATCTTTCGATATAACACCAAACATTTTCCTTGGTAAATCATCAGATCGATTCAATTCCAAGTCGTGAAGATTTTAAATTAATTGGCTGATTTGTAAACGGAGAGAAAGGATAATCGCTTCAAGTGAAACTTTTAGTACTTTAGGTGGTAAACTTTATAAATACGAAACTTTTGATTGTCAAGAAGTCACAATTTCCATCAATAGTGATTAGGAGAGTCTTATTATGTTTTTTTCGAATTCATATAACGAATTTTACATTTGCTTTCGAACTTTTCTTGAAGTACTTTTCGATTCACTCGTTAGTACATATTCGATAATTAAGGGCAAGATTAGCGACTGCTGATGAACGGTGATTCTAAGCAGAATCAATTTGATTAATACTTTCGCCGTTCATTGGATATTTAAACATCAACAATTAGCTTATTTGATGTTTGATTCATTGTCGTCAAGACACCAACACTGTATCTCTCATCAGGTAGATTCCAAATATGATCAACTACTGAATAAATTTCCTCTGGACTCTTCAGGTCACCAGAATCGTCGATAACTTTGAAAATGTAGTAATCATATTTCTTTAAGAAAACAAATTTTGTTTTGTTGTTTGAATCACATTTATGTGATGAATTTCTGGTCCTTAAGTATTTTCAATGATCCTCAGGGCACTTGCTATGAAATCGGAGACTCTAACTCTCAGGCCACTTTGTCCAGTCGATGGATTGGATTTTCAGACCATAATTTGATTGTAGTTCAGTGGTAACGGGGGTCGAGCCAATCGAAACAAATCCTTCCAAACATTTTTTCTCGATTCCAATCAATGGTCATAAGAAATGAACACAAATTGATTACAATTCCCAAGTCGAAACTTGAAACTCTTCAACTTTCAAATTGGTGATTCCATAGAAGTCAAATCATGGAAATTTAACCGAATTACATTCAGCTAACAATTTAAGTTTTCATTCAAATCACTTTTGTTAACTTTTAAATTGGATAATATAAGAAAATGATTCGCAGATAATTTCTCTTAAAAACCAATAATGTGATTGATTGTTAATCTTTGTAGGATCTCATTGAAATTACGAATTTCAATCAACTGTTTCTCTCTCATTTGCTGAACAATTTATCTATCTATCATAGACTAGATAATTACTCTGATTCTGAACCATAATGATTGAGAAAGAAAAGGAAATTTCAATAATATATAACATATAATATATTGATAATCTTTTTGTTTGTATTTACAATCTTTAGTTAGACTTGATAATGATTAGAATTTCTCTGTTGATTGTTTTGATCTCTTTTTCTCAAGAAGGTTGAATTGATTCTCTTGCTTGGTAAAGGAGAATGTAACATGATTCACTGCTCTTCTGAGTGTCACTGGTGATTCCGTAGAAATCCTCGATCGATGAAACATCCATTTTCTCCACTAATTCATCGTCAAAGAGTAACCAGAAACCGAATGATTTGACTATTGTTATATAATGACCTCTATTAGGACCTGGACCACAATGGATTACAACTGCGACCAAATCGTAAAGTTTATCATCACCACTTCGAGTAGATGCCTTGTTAAATAATCGCAATTCAAGGGGAAACACAACACGGTAGGAAATTTTCGTATGTCTATTTTGTGATTCCATGTATTTAAATCGTTTCAGGTGAAGTGCAAGTATCATTGGTAATTTTTTGATTCTCATACGTTTTTGAGCTTCTTGTTTGGAACAACAATTTTCACAATAGTATTTGTGTTCGGATGATAAAGTCTCTGTATTACTGAAAACTCTAAGACAGTGTGTTATTGATGTATTCTGTTGGATTTCAACACTTAAATCTAGAAAATCTTCATCTTTGGATGACAATGATTCACAATTAAGACATCGAGTCTCATTGGTCAAAGTTCCTTGGAAAATATCTTGAATCCAAGTTCTATTGCTATCAGGATTGTTTGTACCATTGACAGAATCATTAATTGTTGATCCATTTGTTGAATTTCCGGATTTTTCAGCAGCAAGCAAATCGGCAATAGTGTTTAATAGATAATTGAAAAATTCATGGGCATCTTGTTGTAGAAAATTATCAAAAACAACATTCTCCTTCTTGAGACGAGCAATAAACTTTTTCGGAGCTACGGTACCAGTTTTCTTCTTTTGAGTGGCAATATGATGATACAAATCAGCTAAACATGTCAACAAGGTTTCCTTATTTTGAGAGACTCTTTTATTTTTGGATTTATATTCCAACACTTTCTCACGAAAGGGACGACAAAAGTATAATGCTTGAAGAACCGAATTACAATAACAGGAATTACCAAAGTTGACCAGTCCAAAATAATGTTCATTAACCGTGATAGATTCACAATTTAATTCCTTTTCTAATTGAGAGATATTACCTCCCATGATTAAAGATGAGAGGTTAGCAAGTGGTTGAAAGCATAGAAAAAGCTGATGAGAAAAAAACAAGGAGAAAATGAAGAGAAAATAAAAATAAGATTTGATAGAATAAAAAGAAATTAATGATTATCGGTGTTCATTAAACGATGAAAACCACAATCAGCGAAAACAATTAACAATTAACAATAAATCAACGTTCCGGAGAAAAACAGTTAAACATTGATCAAGACAATTAGTTAATCAAAAGCAATAATTGTAATCAAAATTTTCACTCAAAACAAAATCTCTCAAAAAAGGGAGGGGCGAATTTTCTGTGAGGCGGCAAATTTGAATTGGTCAAATTCTCTTCCATTGTTAATTAAATGAGAAATTAATTAGCTAATTAGTTTAATTGTTGTTATGATTTATTAAGCATTTTATTACATCAAATGGGCTAAATAAGTGGTTTTGTTATGGCTAAAAATGGATAACATTGTTTCGTCTTATTTACAAAGTGATTTCTCCAAGAAGATGTTTAATTTAAAATTTGATCGATAATTGTTATTAAATTGATTTAGTTTTCATCTTAATCAACTTGAAGATTAAGAAATTTTTTTTTTTGAGTTAGTAAAATTCAATTTGATTTCAAAGCAGTTGTAAATGTCCATTCAATGATAATATGGGTAATAGATTATATTGTCTAGGCAGTTGGTTGGTAATCGTCACAGGATCAGATCAGATTGTCGTTTGTGTGTTTTGTTAAAAGTTTTGGACAATTAAAAGAGTAGATAATTAAAGATGAATGAATAGGTGGATGATTAATAAATGCTGTTCTTGTTGGAGATTGGGTTGATTGCGATTAAGATCTTTTTCTTGTTGTTCTTTTTTAAATTTTCTCTCGTTTCTATTTAACTCGAACTCGGGAGATTTTCTTTGATTTTCTTTCATCGTTTCGAGGTGGAACAGCGGTCGATGAAATTCCTTGGCTTCGACTGTACAAGAATTTGTAGGCCTCTTGACGAATAAAATCGATTACATGAGAAACTCCGATTTGAAGTTGATCGGCAATTTGTGGAATCCAAGGATTTCCTTCCATTCGACAAACGCTTCGATTTGAACAAAGATCGAGGTTTCCAAGTTCAGGAGGTAAGGCACTAGAATAATCAGAATAATTAGTTAATTGTAGCTCTTAATTTCTGTATCGAAATGAATCTATTACCTTAGTCGATTGTTTTGAATATGTAGCTCTCTGATTCGAGTGAGTTGTCCAATCTCTCGAGGTAAAGTAAGCAAATCATTATCCCGAAGACATAACTGAAAATCGTAAAGAGTAATTAACACAATTAGATTAGATTATTTGATCAATTTGAGTGCAAAAGTGAAAGTAAACTTACAATTAGAAGATTTTTAAGTTGACCAATATCAGCGGGCAAATATTCAAAATCATTATCTCCCAAATAGAGTGCTCTCAATGTTTCTATTAGAATTGGAGATGAGAAAAAAATGCGAAACAATCAATAAATTGTTGGATAATCAAAAGTCAATCATTGAATGGAAAGAGATAATAACAATCAAGGAGAAAAGTGAAAAGATATCATAAGAAAATGTGACAGTTTCAGTGAACCAAATGAATTAAGTGAATGAAGTGACAATGATCTGAGTAAAGTTGCCAAATTGATCAACTCAATTAATTGTCTTCATATTCTAATCAATTGTAATTAACTTTTCTCATTACCCATTGTGTAGAAATTGTTTGGAAAACATTTAGCATCGAGATTGTTATAAGTAAGATCCAATACCTCCAATGCTGGAAAGTCACCAAAACCTCTGGGAAGGTTATATAAGCGATTCATTCTGAGGAGATAATCAATAAGATTCCAATTAGAAATAATTAAATTGATTGAATTGTGCTGGGAAACAATTGGTTCCAAGAATAGTGATTAAGTTTATTCTTGAAAACGAAACCAAATTAGAATCAATATTGTGACAATTTAAAGTCATTTTTCTTGAATAACTCAAGAAAAATCAACTAATTGTGAAAGGCAACAATCAACCAAAACAACAGAAACAAAACAATAATCAAAATAAATCATTGAACTCTCGCCAAAAAGTGAGAATCAAGCAAAGTGAATATAAACCAAGAATAAATAATTTAATCGTCTTTCTAATTGTTATCAAAAGTAAAGTAAATTTATCAATATTATTATTATACAGCCACGAAAAATGAGATGAGAACAAAAATTGTGACTTATAAGCATAGAGAGATAATTTTTTTCTAATTGTGATTACATTTTTCTATTACTTTCCATCTAAATCAATACAATTTCTCTTTTAAATTTGATTAAATTATCTCTTTATGCGCAATTGATATAATTTTTGTTCTCATCTCATTTTTCGTGGCTGTATAACTACTAATGTTATTGTATTGATAATAGGCAGAGGTTTAAAGCTTTTAATTGTAAACAATTTAGGTTGACCCTAAATTATTGTGAGTGGGAGTAAAATTGATTAGATGGGTGATTTAAATTGGAGGAAGATGATTAAAAATATGAACCATAAATCAAGAGTATTGGTGAATATGATTGAAGATGAAAATAAAAAAAGATGAGGATGCAACAAGTTTTGATGGAGGAAAAACAAACGAGACTGAATTAGAGGAAACAGATTAAGATGAATTAAGTGTATTAGTGTGTGGGGATTATGTTTGGCCTTGAGTCGAGTTTGGATCAATTCCAATATTGAAAAAGTGAGAGAAAACTACATGAAACTTATCAAGATGATGAGGATGATAAACTGAATGAAAAAAGAGAGAAAAAAATTCAAAGAAAATAAAGAATCAACTAAATGAGATCAACGATAATTTGGAAGGAGGTTAATATTTGACAGAATCTAAAAGAGTCACAATATTTGGTTAATATGAGAATCTATGGTTTAAATTGTTGTAATGCATTAATTATCATCGTTGACAAAGAAGCTAATTGTGATTGAATTTCGTTGGAACCTTCAATTTTCAACATTCCATGATTTGGATGGAAAAACGGAAGTTCTCTTAATGGATTGGAAATTGATTATGAAATTGATAACTATTAACATGATTAAAGATTAAATTGTGAAAATTTAACTCTCAAGTTAACCCAATATTAGTACAATAATAGTTACCACCTTCATGAAATTCAATTGCTTCGAGTAACATGTTGTGACTACACAAATTTTGTTCGAGTTTGTGATTACAATTAACTGTTGGCGGAGTAAAGTTGATTGTGTAAGGTTGATGGAGGAAGAGGATAAGATGATGATGATGATGATGATGATGAGAAATTCTGAAAGATGATTCATGGGAAGAGAGAGAGAGAAAAGGCTCCATTCAAGGCGTAACTTGATACATGATAGTCAAGAATTATTCTTTGCTTGAATCAACGAATCGTTTTCTAAATCTATCGAGAAAAGATTCATGTTATTTAGCTGATTGTTGACCAACAATTAACGAGATATGAAGGTAACCAAGTATTCTTGATGAATTGAGATGCTGAATATAAGTGAAACTATCGTGGTAATCAAATGAACATCATCATGTAAATGTGATGATTAGGTGATAATGTTGAATGAACATTTTGTTTACATGTTGATTGTTGCCTTTTTGATTATTTAATTACGAGAGATAATTGAGTAATTTAACCCACCCAACGTTGAGGATTTTTAATTTTGGCAGTGATACTATGGCGGTGGGTAATTCATCAATTTGATTGTTGAATAGATTCAATGATTCCAGGTTGGTCATGTTTGAAATGGACGGAGGAATGGATCGGATTTTGTTGTGACTCAATGTTAACCTGGTAATGTTGTTGAGATAAACTGTGGAAATGAAATAATGGTTAAGCAATTTAGTTAATCAATGGAACAATTTGTTGTCAAATTTGCTAACAATTAAGAAAATTATTCTAAAAGGAACCAACCAAATAAGGTAATGCGCGTTAAACAAGAAAACAAGTCCGCCTATTTGGTTAGAGAATCAAGTTGAATGTGTAATCAATTAAAATGGAAACATTTTCTTAATTTCTGATTCTCTGATCGCATCAACAATTAAGAAAATGTAACAATCAAGACAATAACCTTTTTCCAAGGTAAATAAATCAACCGAGTTAATCCAAGACTCGAGGTAATAAGATTGATCAACAAACAAGAACTAAATTGACACAGATGCAATTAAATCTTGAAAATATTCATCAAGTAAATCAAGTAAACTAATCACCAAGATGTAATCAAATCATAAATCTCAATCAATTTAGTGAATGTCAAAGGTAATTAATAAGAAAACTCAATTGTCAAAACGATAATCAAATCATTCATTGAATTTGAGATAATTCATTTTCTATGGTCAATTGAGAAACTAATCTGGTTCAAATTGTTAGAGTGAGAGTTTGATTGTTTACATTAGGAGACTATAGGAATTATCTAATTAGTCTAATTGTAGAAAGTTAATTGCTACATAAATGAACGTTTGATCCTCAAAGACGAAGGAAAAGAATAGAAAACAAAAAGTTATCCTTACATATTCTTGGTAATTCCTCCATAGAATTGATTCCTCTGTCACTAAGATTCGCTTCGTTTTCATTTTCGTCCAGAATTTTGTGTTTGGCTGTTGATTTAGGAGTACATCCATTGTTACTTGGTAAACATGATTTAGATAAAGTCATCATTTCACCACAACAATTAACAAAAACACCACAAAGAGAAAATAAAATAAAGAGAAACAGTAACTTTCAATGAGAGATATTGACAAGAGAAACTCCAACAATAACCTCAATATTTTCAAAGAATCAAACTAAATACAAAATACAGTTTTCGATAGAATATAAAAAAAGTGATTACTCTAAACACAATTAAACTAATTAAACTAAATTGTTGGGAAATTAAACTCACTCTTGTGATGATATTTACTGTCTGTCTTTCAAATTGAAACTTTAACTCAAAGAGACACAAATATCCGATTCTTTGACTATTCAAACTTGGATTCGGATCCAAAAGTTTGCCGGTTAATTTGATGATCGATTTAATTGTTTCAGTTTTTAATTTGGTTTATTTTTATCTGCAATCGTTTCTGTACGAGAAATTTGATTATCTGGAGTGACCGAGTTGATCTCAGTGTTTCTCGCACTCAATTGATTGTTTAATTGTTGATATTTCGTTGGGATTTTAATGTTAAAGATTCGGATGAAGTTTTGTTTTTATAATTTTGTTTATTTCGTAGTTTGTTTTAATTTTGGTGATTTTATTGAGAATCAACCAAATACAATCAACTTTTCAGCTAAACTGTACAATTAAACATTTAGTTTAAGGTACTTAGCCCAAAGAAGACAAATATCTTTATCAGTATCGAAATCGACATTGGTTAATGTCGAGTTGTTTTTAATTTCCCAACGAGGAAGTGCAATCTCATCGGTTCGACTGCCGTTCACTTGAATCGAAGGCCAGAAAGGTTCATTGCCTTTAACGAAATTCGCTAGAACTTTCATCATGAATAAACTAACCTCTCTGTCCTTATCGTCATAACGATCTCGGTGTCTAAAAGGTAACCCGATGAACATACTGAAATCGTCGGTATGTTTGGCACCGAAAGGTCGTCCTTCAGCTCGACCATAAGCCGAAACGTAATTGTTTCGATATGAATAAATAGTATTCGCTTTGTTTTGAGCGAACGCAATCGAATACAAAAGCGATGGACATTGGAATTGCATATTCGATAAAAAACTTATAACTCGTTTTCGAATTTTTTCCACATCATGTTCTCCAATACCAACAAAGTACCGTTCAACCAACTTCTTGGCATCGGCGATCGTGGTGATCTTCAACCTCTGTAAGAATGCTGATAATTTGTAAATGGCCTCGGTTACATTTCTTGTCTTCATGTTTCTCCCCAAATAAGCTTCATCGGTCTCAGTTCCAACCATGATCTTGAATCCGCTGGGAAATTTTCTCGAATTAATCAGATCTCTCGGCGGGGTGGGGAAAATGTACTTATCTCCGTAAGCGGCTTGGTATAATTCATTTTCTTTAGTCTGAGCGATGGTTATTCCTGGAACGATTTTAAGACAAGTTAGTTCATCGATGTTGAAAGTGTCGTTTAATGTTGAGTATTCAGAACAGTTGAGCGTTTTCGATAAACGTTTGGTCACTTTGAAAGTATCGGTAACACTCTTGATAGTTATATCTTCAACTGCGACACCACTCATGAAGACAATCCTATTGAACCAATCAGTAGGTATTGTCGGTGTCAAGAATATACTGGATAAAATAATTGACCCTGAACTTAATCCCGTCATTGTGACTCGCTCTGGATCACCTCCGAAACCTCGGATATTTGACCTTATCCAATTAGCTGCTAGAACGATATCATGGACTCCAGCATTACCGACAATTTGATCAGTTCCACCATAAGAATAGCCCAATGCACCCAACCGATAGTTCATATTAACGGTGACAATATTTGTGTATACAGTTAAATAGTCACATCGAGTATCTTCAGCACCCGCTGAACCAAATGTATAGTTGGCACCGTGGATATTAACATAGACCGGGTACAGTTTGTCGACGGACGCGTCTTCCGGAGTCCAAATGTTCAAAAATAAACAATTCTCGCTCAATTTGAATCCTGGTGTCTCTTCTTGAGCATCAATGAAGTTTTGTTCACAGGCATTTCCAAATGATTTGGCCGGAAAGATATCGGTAAATGGCTTACGAATCTCTACTGGCCTTTCATATCTTCGAGGACCGATCGGTGGTAACGCATAAGGAATCCCCAGGTAAGAGTTAATTGTGACTCCATCGATTGACTGTTTGATTCCTTGGATTAAGCCCCGATCTGTTTTAACAATTGGACCATTTGATTGAGAACAAGTCAATTCAAAGACACAATTAAGACTCAGAACCAACGATAATAAAAGTGAATATTTCATAGCCGAACAGTAAACTTAATGTGAATACATTCCCTCTGAGAAAATACCTTTTATCTACTAAATATTTAATTAATTCCTAAGTCGTGAGATTTTCAGGTTGATTAAAAGTAAATTGTGTGACGAGTGTACTTTAAATTGAACCAATAGACACAGAATTAAGTTCATGTTTAGTTTGATTGGTTGTTAGTTACTGCTAATCAAACTCTAAATTCAATTTCTATTTACAGTTGAAAGAGTTGTGTTTCTGGTAACAATTAACATTTAGAATTAGTAGAATTTTAATTTTAAAGTTTTCCATTAAAAGTTGATCGAATTATCTTTGATTCCATCGGACAATTAACAAACTACTGTTGATTGGTGAAGAAATTCAGTTGAAAGTTTTTCTTCAAAATTTTGTTTCTTTAATTATTCATTTTACTTTTTCGAGGATCGATCGATGGTAACGAATCCCAAGTCAAAGTTAATTGTAATTCTATAAATTAATTGTTTGATTCCTTGGATTAACAATTGGACCATTTGATTGGCAACAAGACAATTCAAAGACAAACAATCAACGACAATAAATGGGAATATTTGAAAGTTGAACAATTAACTGATTGTAATCTCAGATATTGAGAAATCGTTTTAATCCATTGAACTACTCCAACCGCTGAACTTTAATCAATTCAGCAATTAAACAAGCAAGTTGATTAAAAGTCAATTACGTGAGTTTTTTACCAAGATTTCGCATTTCAAATGAACAATTTAATTAATTGAGACTTGATTAAGTTCATGGTTCATCCTGAATGTCACCTAGTTACACTAATCAAACATTTAAATTTAGCTTTCACCGAAAATAATTAGCATAAATTGTCTAATTAACTTTCATGAGACAGAATAATTAAGTAAAAATTTAATTGTCCGAATTGTTAATGATTTATTATAAAGGTTGATAGATTATGGCAACAATTAATCTCGATTGATATTAATTGATGATATAAAAAAAGAAATTAAATCTTTTGATTATTTCCAGGTAATTTAAATACAGAAAATTATAATTAGAGGATAACAGTTTGATTGTTACGATTTAATCGTGCATTGATTGAGAAGTAATCAAAACAATAGCGATAATTAATCATTTCTTGTAACAAAATTGTCAAATAAATTATTTCCAAACAATTAATAATACAAATTGTTGGTATTATTAATCATCCAAATGATTATATACAAAAATAAGCTTGTAAATTATATTCATCAGAAACATAATGATGATTAGCAAATCATTAAGTTAATTGTTGTTACAATTGTAGTTATCAAATTGACAATCATTTATGATAATGGTAATACAATCAATTGGTTTCAATATGTTTTTATGTTTCAATGTATTCACTTGAATTAGATGAATACAATTAACAGAAAACAATTAAATTGGAAAGAAATTGTTTTCTTGTCAACAACCAAGAATGGTAATAATCAACGAACCTGTTGATTGTTTGATTTTTCAAAAGTTAATCCAGTTATTACAGTGAGTTAATTGTCAGGATTGGCAGTTGTTGACGAGTCCGTTTGGTTGATAACTTTTCCTCTGTCTATTTCCCTGTCTAATTACAATTAAATTAACTCCTCTCATAAATTTTATTTTCTGTTAATTGTTACAATTGTGAAAAGTATGACATGATTTTGATTCATTGTCATAATTCACAATTAATAAATGGTTTTGTAGAACAGTTGAAAAAAAGTTCTCAATAGATTTTCTAATAATAACTGAATAAATAAATAATTAGTTAATTTCGTTTAAAAGAAATTAACTTAATTGTGAAAACTAATAGACTGTAAATCACATTGAACCTTTTCCTTTGTAAAACATAAAAAAAAGGTGAATTAATAAATTCATTTGGTTGTTAACAATAAAATAAAATCTACTGATTACAATTGTAATAATTAATAATGAAAAGATTTACAGATTATTGGGAATACATGAAAACAACAACAATTTGTTAATTTCATGTTATACTAAACTAAGGAGACTCTTTTTTTTTGTAACAATTATTATGTATAAATGTTTGAGGCAATTGTTTAATTGTTGTAGAAAACAATTAAAGAAATAATAATCTCAAAAGATTTGATTACTGAGTAGGAGAAAATAATAGAATTGAATGAAAAATTAATAAATATATTGCTAATTATCGTCAACTTTTAAGCAATTTGTTAAAAGTTTCCAAATTGTTTATGCTTGTTGAGTGTCTGGTTAATGCGTTGATTAGAGTAATTATTTCATGGCGATGAAGGTGAATCTTATCAACATCTTCGTTGATTAAAATCTTGAAGGCGGTTCCCAGTCCGTGGATTTGCACTTTACCCCATAATTTACATTTGTCGCAGCCGACACAATCCATTATATTCGTGGTTATATTGTGAAAATGTCGAGCAAACTCCTGAGCCACTGCGGGTTCTTGGGAAAACATGATTGATTCATTAAAATGCCATTTAAATGATCTGAAAGAGAGAGAGGGAGAGAGAGAGAAGATTTCATGTTAATAACAATCATGATCATGGTGGTGGTTTGGTTGATTAACTTACTTGACTATTTTGAGAAGACTTTTAATTGCTTCACGAGTGGCACTTTGATCACCACTGGACAACCAATTCACTTTGGTTAGAAGATAATTTTCAATCTTATGTAACGCTCGTAGTTCGAGAAGGTAAAGGAAGTACAAATTTCGGATAAATTCATCACGACCTGAGGGAAAATAATATGTGTAAATTATGTAAGAGAAAATAGAAAACGGGGAATTACAATTCATTCAATGATGGAATTTTTTTTCTTATTGTAATTACTCTATGGTAGAAATCAACTTACCTTCAAAACGTTTGACAAATTCTTGTTTATTGTAGGTAAAAGTACCATCCATGAATAGAAACGCTGAACTTAAATGAATGTTTATCGATGAATGTAGACCCGAAATCGCCCGATAGAAGACTCGTTCTTCATAGCACATATTGTCCACTGAGAATGGAGATTTTTGTTGAGCTTTGAGGAAACAATTTTCCTCGTAGATTGACCTCCAAATCCGATGAGCCGATTCACCTTTATAACCAGTGTATCTTTCGGGATTCAATGATAGATCAATATACTGACCATCTTCTTGATCGTGTTCGTAACATTCAAATAGTGAATTCATTGTTTCAATATGTTCAAATGAAACGGTTCGATCAACTTCGGATAATTTTTGTGTTGCTGTACAATTTTGGTTCTCCTCTTCTAAATAAATGATGGAGATAATTAATACAAGGATAGAAGAACATTTAAATCAGCACAAATTAGATTTGCTTAATCAACCCAAATAGAAACTTACTTGAGTGGTGCTCATCTTCAATTAACTCTGGAGGTAAAGCTGATGCCTCACAGAATTTGATTGTACAATCTCTGGAAAGAAGAGAAATTAAATCAGTTTAGAATTTCAGTTTTATGGTTACAATTAGCGAATTAGCTCAATACTCACCTTAAGGCACATCGTGTATCATCGGACCATAAAGTACAAGGACGATTGAGATTGAGTTTGACATAACGAAAATAACCCATCTGAGAGATTGAATCAAGACGAGGCCAAAGATGAATATTATTAAAGGTATCGATGTCACCGACAGTCACTTTATTTGAGTTTGAATCTAACGGGATGAAATCATCTAAGCTTTGGGTCTTTAAATTATCGAGGAAAGTTTTCTTATTAGAATTAAAAGATGATGATGATGATGATGATGATGATAAAGAAGAGGAAAATCCAGGAAAGGTTGAAGGTGAAGGATCAGATGGAGGTTTATTTGAAGCTGGTTTATGTTTCCCTGATGAAGATGAAGATGAAGATGTTGTTGTTGTTGTTGTTTTGGTTGGCAAACTTGACCTACCGTTTGATGATAAACTGTCACTTTTATCAAACGATATTTGAATATACACTATACCAATAAAGATAATTAACACACTGGAAATTAGAAGTGATCCTGATCTAATCAAATTAGAACGAATTAAAGGTTTACATGTTAAATTAAGGTGAGAAACAATCGGCTGTTCACCTGATTGATTCCTTTCAGAAGGAGGATCATCACCTCCGACTGTTTTTCCTTTCATTTTGATCAACTCACGAACCAAATCAATTAAACTCAAGAACAAAAACCATCTCAACAATGAGGAAACATTATTACAATAATCACTTAATCATCTATATTTATGACAACTTGATGAAATCTCAAAGACAAATTGAACAATATTAATGAAAAATCATTCTTATGATGAGTAAGCTTAGACTCAGATTCTAAGTTTACTGTTGCCATGACAACCGGGGATCGTATTCTAAGTGATGAATGTAACGAACAGTAAATCAATTTAATTGATTGTTAATCACTTGACATTTTGTTGGAATGAGAATATAATTAAAAATCAATAAGCAATCACTGTCCATTCATTACTCTACGTCGGATCCTTGTCCATTTTTCTTCATTTCGTGATTGATGATCACTTTTTTTCATGTTAATTTTGTTTCTTTTCTTACAATTAGTTAAATGATTGACAATTAATTGATTTTGATTTGATTTTTATTGATTAAATATCTGAGAGATGGTTGGAAATTACGATAATCAACAAATTTTCAATGGTTTTCACTTAATTGTTTTCTTCTATCCAAGTAAATTATTGATTTTAGAGAAAAAAAATTTAATCAATTAAATGTAAATAATAATTTTAAATTAATTAGCAACTAATATAAATCAATGTAAATCACTTTAATTACCAAGGTGATTTTCTGAAGGTAAATTTCACAGGAAAATATTAAAACACCTTCAGGTTATCATTAACTAAATCAGCAAAAGAAACAATTTAATCACAACTAAATTAATTTAGTGAAAATGAGAATTTCGATTAACACAATTAGACAAACATAATAATTATCACATAGAATTAAATTGTCCACCAATGGATAAACTACAATTTAGACTAATTTAAATATTGATCTAGAAAATCAATCGATCAACAACCTTAACAATCAAAACTTCATTCAATTTTCAAATAGCCGGAGGGTAAATCATAACCAAGAATATGAAAACCCGTTCATCCTTGTGAATCAATGGTGGTTTTTTTCAATGATTACCTTAGATGAGAAACATAGTTAATTGTTATGTTTCTAATTAAACTTGATCTTTCCGATGGACTCACTAAATTGTTGGGGAAAAACAAGTTTCTCATCATCAAACCAAATCCATTAATGGGATTGATCACATTTGATTTACACATTTAGTTTGGAACTTAATTAGTACCAATTGTAACTAATTGTCGTTAAAATGTTTCTATTTGATTATGTGATTTATCCTGGATTAAAAGTGGCCACAATTTATTTCATTTATAAATTAATTTCCATTGTGATCAAGAGGATTAAATTTGCTCGACATTATATTAACTTTCCATATGAACCAAGTCATTGGATTCTCGGTGATTTAATCAAAGTTGCTCCTAATTTCCCGTTCACCGATCGTGAAGTAATTGCTGGTTAGTAAATTGTGATCAGTTTTCTTTTAATTATCTGCGTCATTACAAGATTTAATTGTGATTTAATCTCTGTGCAGATGCTGTTCGGAAATACGTTAATCGTAATCACTTACAAACAAATCACCGTCACGATTTATCTGTTATATGGATGAGTTGGTTTCCAATTATTGTCGCATCGTCACATCGAAGCCTTGAGGCCATTTATCAGTTAGAGACAAGGAAACATCATATATATCGCTTTTTAGGTCTTCGAGAGGGTTTGATCACTTCGAATGGAGCTAAATGGAAAGGTCGACGGAAAGCAATCGAACCGATGTTAACAACTAAACAATTGACACAATTCGTACCTGTAATTAGGTCAATTGTTGATACTACAGTCGATTCACTTTGTTCAGTTACTGGTCAGCCGATTGTACTGTCCAGTTACATTCATTCGTTGACTATGGATGCGATTTTTGAGACTGGATTCAAAATATCTGCCGATGATTTTAAAGAGGAGAAAAAAATAATGGCCGATGCAATCGGACTTTTCGAAGACGCGTTAATGGTCAGGATAATTAATCCATTCTATTGGAGTGATTGGATGTTTTCCAAATTCCAAATGGGCAAACAATTAGATGAATTGAGTAAACAAGGTGACGATTATTTCAACTATTTCCTCGACAAACGACTCGGCATCAAAACGACAAAAAAATATTCGAGAGTTAAAATGAACAATAATCTGGAAAAAGATAATGACGAGATATTCATTGATCATCCATATCGTGATATGATTGACCTAATGCTCAAAAATAAAGACTCAATTGATCGCGAGGGAATGGTCGAGGAGATACTTACAATGATCGCCGCAGGGCATGAGACAATCGCCAATGCAGTTAGTTGGCTGGTCTTCACTTTAGGTAATCATTTTCGTGACAATTGATTATCAATTGTAACCTAATTGTGTTTATCTCTTCTCTCCAGGAAATCATCCTGAAATTCAGGATCGAATTGTCGAGGAAATTGATCGAGTGATTCAATCACCTGAAGATATTGACGATCTCGGTAAAATCGGTCAACTCGTTTACATGGAACAGTGTATCAAGGAGTCGCTTAGATTGTTCCCCCCACTTCCTGTTGTTCTGAGATACCTTGAGAATGACATTCAAATTGGATCCAGAACTTTACTCAAAGATTCAGTGGTCGTCATGTTCATCTTGGCGGCTCATCATGATCCATCGGTTTTCCCTCAGCCAACCAAATATGATCCTGAACGATTTGCACCTCATGTTGTTGATTCTATTCCTAAATACTCATTCCTGCCCTTCGGTTTGGGGCCGAGAATGTGCATCGGTTATCGATACGCTTATATTGAGATGAAAATATTCTTGACTCAATTTCTGCGTCGATATCGAGTCAAGTCAATGAAATCGCTTGAGGAGGTTAGTTTTTATATCGAATTAATTTCAAGGCCAACATGCCCATTGGAGGTTGTTCTTAGTCCGAGAGATTAACTTGATTAAATTATTCAATAAAATATTTTCCATTTAATTATTTTGATTGTTAAATTTCAACATTTGAATGAATATTATACATTTTGATCGGTTGACTGGGCATTTCCTTTGATATCCATTTGTCCTTGTTAATTGTTGATATTGTAGTTTCGTTGGTCGTTTTCTTTGGGTCTTTGATCTAAATGTATTTTAATGAAATTTTATTGATTAATAATTAAAGAAAAATGAAGGACAAAAAGGTTTTATATCAGGATCTATTGCTCAGAAATGTATTGCATATTCGCGTCATGGTGAATCAGAATCTTCAGGTATTCAAGTCATCATTGCAATTTCATGTTATCAGGAATCAGGAAACAGGAAACAGGAAACATCAGGTATTCACTCACACTAGAATTTAAGTTCATCATGTGAAGACATGATGATTTCAAGACCGGAAATCGGAAATGAGATGCTAACCACCTGTTAAAAATAAAAGAAAATGTGATCAGAAAAAATTCAAAAGTTTACAAGATTCATTTAGAATAATCAAAAGTCAGTGTTAAAAAGCTCTTTGAAATAATCATTAAATCATTTAGCGGATGATCATCATAAGAGTTAAGTAGTCGCTGAAAACTCATCATTAACTTACCATTGAGCCGAAAAAGATTCACTGGTAAAAGAACGAGTAATCCCATGATCACAGCGTAACTCATGAGACATCCAAAGAGACTGAACAATCTAAGAAAGAATAGAAAAGTGAACAAAAAGAATAGATTAAGTAAGGGCTTCAAATAGACTAAAAGAAATCATCAAAATGATAGTCAGTGTTAAAAAGCTCTTTGAAATAATCATTAAATCATTCAGCGGATAATCATCATGTTAGAAACAAATCAAAAAGCAAAAAACACTTTTCTTACCATCTCGACGCCATAAGGGGGTTGAAATAGCGCCACAGTTAACGCATTCAAGTCCTTCGTTTAGGTGAGACACATATGAAGATGGACCTTGACTTTGGACTGATGAGTTTTGTTTGATGAAAGAAGACGAAAAAAAGCGAAAATCAATATTTTAGAAAATATTTTCTTTTTCTTTTCTTCCAATCATGATGATGATGATGAGGATAAAGGTGAAGATGAAGAATTCTCACCGTCTCTTGGTGGAGCAGGATAGGGTTGACATGATATATTGAGTGGATATGGGCTCATATAATCATGTCCAGAATAATGAGAATACAAAATATGTAAAGATGAATTACTAGTTGATGAGAAGGGATAATCACTCATTGACATGGAAGATGCTTGAGCCTAGGAGAAAGCTATATGAGCCAATTGAGTTCCAGCCCATGTATTAGGACAAATGCTGAAGCATTTTGATGCTGGTGAATTAAACTGTATTGTTGTTGAATATCCATAAATTCAGTTTTATTAGACGTAATTACCACCAATAATAACCGAAATAATCTCACCACAAGAGGAAGAAGAAAAAAGTTCCAAAAAAGTTGTAATGTTTGAGTCTCTTTCTCTCTACTCTCTCTAAAAGAACGAGTAATCCCATGGCCTTATAGGCGAGCACATGGTAACTCATGAGACGTCCAAAGAGACTGAACAATCTAAGAAAGAATAGAAAAGTGAACAAAAAGAATAGATTAGGTAAGGGCTTCAAATAGACTAAAATAAATGATCAAAATGATAGTCAGTGTTAAAAAGCTCTTTGAAATAATCATTAAATCATTAAGCGGATAATCATCATGTAAATAGAAAAAAATTAACCAAATCAAAAAGCAAAAAAACACTTACCATTTTCATCAACCATGATGATTAGATCACAAGTTAATTAACAACTAATCACAAAGAATATTAGTACTTCAAGTGGAAACAACAATTTAACAATGAATAACAATCTCCATCGGAATCAACTGAATTTATACCAAATTTCAAAGATTTTGCTGGAAACGGAAGCAGAGAAAACGTTTAATCAGCTGAGAAGAGAACAAGAGATTGGACCCTAGAGGGCGTTAGTTGGAATAGAAACAGAATTTTCTGTTTATGTCTACACGTGTTTACGAATCTATTTAATTTGTTTTGTGTTAATTGTTTATTTTAAATGATGGACGAAGATTTGGCAACTTCTATCGAATTGAACATTGTCAAGAAAGGAGTGAAACGAAATGAACCGGCGACAATCAGGAGGAAAGTGAGAGGTAAACGAGCTTTGAATATCCCTTCGCCTGCTGTGAGAGCGAAAGCCAAAGCGATTGAGAAAAGGAATCAACCTTATCTTGATGAATTTGCCAGTGGAATTGATTTAAATAGTGAAAGTAAGAAGGCCAAGAAGAATTCTGATCAATCACAATCTAAATCATCCACGGTTACAATTAAGAAACCTGCTGATGAATTCGCTGCGCTTGATGAAGAGTTTAATCAATTGGCTGAGAAGAAATTTCCTAAATTCAGATTTTCAAATGATAAATCATCTAAATCTAATTTTAAACTGCCCGATTTTAATACCTTTGGTTATGGAACTGTTGATAATCATCGTGGATTTCAATCAAATGATTTTAGATCGAAACCTCATCAAATTGTAAAAGATGGAAAATCATTTGTGCCTTCATTGTTTTCACATAATCCAGAGACTCCAATTGTCAGATTGTAAGTGAGTTTAGATTAATTCAATTCAATATTTTAATTTTTGTCTTTTCTTTTTCTATAGAAAAAAAGTAAAGCCTGTACAGGAAACTCTTTTCTCAAAGAAAAAATTCTGTGACTTGACAGATTTACATCCACATCTTATCGGTTGCCTTAAAGATCGTCTTAAAATGGAGGAAATGACTCGAGTTCAACAAGCAGCAATTCCAGAATTAATCAAAGGAAAAGATTGTCTAATTAAATCAGTCACAGGATCGGGTAAAACTCTTGCTTATCTGGTCCCTATTGTACAAAAACTTCAAGGTCTAGAACCTAAAATACAAAGAAGTGACGGAATTCATTGTTTAATCATTGTACCTACACGAGAATTGGTTGCTCAGTGTTTTAATACACTTTCAGATCTTTGTAAGGTAAATAGTCATCTTTCTGCATCTCATTAAGTTTAATTTACTAATTACCTTTAATTTATTCATTTCAGTCTTTCACCTGGTTGGTACCTGGTTGTTTAATGGGTGGCGAGAAAAAGAAATCAGAAAAGAGCAGAATTCGTAAGGGATTGAATATTAATATCGACGCCTGGACGTTTATTAGATCACATTGAACACACTGAGAATTTAAAATTCAATAAATTACAATTTTTTGTCATCGATGAAGCTGATCGTCTACATGAACAAGGGTTCGAGGAATCGATTAGCAAAGTTATCGATCATCTCAAGGATACTTGTGAATCGAGGCCACAATGTATTCTACTTTCGGCCACTTTAACATCAAGTGTCCAAGATCTCGCTGGTATGACGCTAACTGACCCCAAGTTGATTGATTTATGTGAAACCGGTGAAAGTGAACCTGAGATGTATGCACTTCCACCGCAATTGAATCTCCATTACATGGTTGTTCCAGCTAAATTACGATTGATTTCCCTTTGTTCCTTTATTGTTGATCAAATATCGAAGAAGCGATTGAAAGCTCTTATCTTTATGTCGACCCAGGATTCTGTTGATTTTCACCATGGAATTTTCACCAAACTATTTGCCCCACTATTGGAAAAAAGTTATTTAGGAGATGTCAAATTTTTCCGTCTTCATGGAAATATGGATCAACATGATCGAATGTCAGTCTTTAACTCTTTCCAAACAGCTACAGCGGGAATTTTACTCTGTACCGATGTTGCTGCTCGTGGACTTGACCTTCCTTTAGTACATTGGATTGTCCAATATGGTTGCCCTTCTCAAATCTCTGAATTTGTTCACCGAGTGGGAAGAACAGCAAGAATAGGAGCTAAAGGTGATGCATTGCTCCTTCTCCTTCCCTCTGAAACGGGATTTCTAAATCTCCTTCAAGATGCTCTTCGAATTAATTTTGACGAATTGTCACTTGAAGAATTAATCAAGAGCCTGTTACTCGTTAAACTTGAAGGTAAATTTCTTGGAACCGGAAATCCTCGTGAATATGCAGCAAAATTACAACAAGATTTCGAGAAAAATGTTTATGAAGATGAATGTTTATTAAGTTTAGCAAAAAAAGCGTTTCTGGCCTATCTAAGAGCTTATGCTTCGTACCCAAGAGAGACCAGAGCTAATCTTCCGTTCAAAGAATTACATATCGGACATGTTGCTACGAGTTTTCTACTCCATGATACACCAAAGGAACTCGGTGCAGCCGCTTTCACCATGAAACAAATGCAATTCAAGACCGAACGTCGATTCAATCCATATAATCGCGAATGTCGTGACCAAAAACGTGGCCTACCCGTTGAAATGAGAACTTCCGAGTTCAGTAGTGGAATTACAACAGAAAAGAGACGGAAAACATGAGCAACCATTTTACTTATCATTTCTCTCTCTTTTTTATCTCACTAATTGTTGAATTTTCTTTTGTTTAATTTAATTCCAGCAACAATTGAATAATTACTGATGTAAATTAAATCAAACCTCTTCTTTAAGGTTTGTAACATTGTAAGTTAATTTAACTAAACCGTAAAGATTATACAAACTTTTCTCTCTCAACCATGGCCACTAAATTGTATCAACAATTAAATCTTGGCACTGGAACATAATCAATACCCATTAGATTATCTTTCCGATGAAACAATTTAATTTTCTGTTAAAATGTAAGTACAAATGATCAACAATTAGAGATACAGGGTGTTATTTACACAGAAAAGCAAATATAATGATAAACAATTGATTCCACAGTAAGAAGACTTTTCAAGATAATTAACCGGGTTCTCGTTACCAAAGTAATTATCAATCAACTAAGCATTCTATTAATTGCCATTGTCAAAACCGTTAATTGTTGAATCTTGATCAATAAGTCGAATTTGCTTTCGACTAATAAAAAACAAACCTAATGATCCTTTGAGAGTCATTAATGATAAAGTGCCACTAGTGTAGTAGGTTAAAAGGTTGAACTCTAAGGAAGAAAAATAAATGTCAATGAATTAGCATTGAGACTACACAATTAAAGGACATTGAACGTAATTAAGAAACAATTTTATTCAGGTTAACACTCACTTTGTTTCCTACTAATGGCTAAGTAGAAATAAATTGCTCCAGCAATTAAAGCAACTATGGTGAGTATCAAGCCGATCAACCTCATGGCTCGAAATCCTTTCTTTCCGTACCAATTGTCAATTGTTTTCCTAATTAAAAGGATATCAAGGTGGAGAACAGCTCCTGATGAAAGGCCTACAATCAAAAAGTAAACAATTAATCATCTGATTAGAGGTGATCAAGGTAATCATGGCTCAAAACTTTCTTTCCGTACCAATTGTCAATTGTTTTCCTAATTAAAAGGATATCAAGGTGGAGAACAGCTCCTGATGAAAGGCCTACAATCAAAAAGTAAACAATTAATCATCTGATTAGAGGTGATCAAGGTAATCAAGTAATCGGAGTACTGACCAAGCATCAAGGCCCAAAAGGCTGAATTGTAATTCTGTTTTGATAGGAACCAAAATGATATACAAAGACCATAGGCAAAGGTAATTGAAGCGGAAATTGCTTGAGCAATGATTAAAGTTTTACCCATGATGATTAAAGTAACAATTTGTTAATCAATCACTCGTAATTTGGGTTGATTTTACTTATTCACAAGATTTTCAATCTCCGACTGGATTAACTGCAATGTGGATGATGAATTTGTATCCGTTTTGATAGCAATTAACTGAATTGAACAATTGCAAAAAGTGTATAATCACAATTAAAGAAACAATTTAATTTTCTATAAGAAATCAATCAATTTAAGTGTATATTTGAGTTGATTTAGAGAAGCAATTAAAATAAAAGATACACATGTAACTTCATACTACAAGTAATCAAACACCTTGATTAACTTATATCTTACAATTAGAGAGATAACAATTAATGCAGAGAAATCTTATCAACCGATTACAATGAAAACAATTAGTAAATTGATATTAATTATTAGTAAACTGTAAGAAAACAAAGGAAACAGTTAAATTTGATTGTCAACAAGAAATACAAATGAGAGATCAGCTGATCAGGTAAACAAGTTTTTGATTCTTTTGCTAATTGTTTCAACCTAAATCAGGGAGTTAATCAGTTGAATGATAAACTCAAACGATATACGAGATTAATTGTAATCATCGCGATTAATTAATCTCAAAAATGTGAAGGAGCTGCAAAAATTAAGTTACAATTAACTTTTTTTCGTTTAATTGATCATTTAAATTAATCAATGAATTTGTTTTCATTGTGATTTGATTGTTGATAAATTATCATTGATGAAGATTAGATCAACTGTTTTATTATTTTATCAGTTATTTTACTGATAATGATAATTAAATCAATAACAATTAAAAAATAATTTTCTCAATTTATTTGATATCAACATTTAAATTTTATCGTCAAGGTTTAAATTGTAAACAATAAAAAACTGATGATCATTTCCTGAAGATTAACAATTAAAATAAACAAAAGTTTGTCAAACAAAACAATTTGATAACAATTAACTGATTGTCGGTAGTTAAGACAGCTTTAAAACTGTCTCTTGATTTTCAAACAAATTAGTTCACAATTAACACAAGTTAAAGTTAAATTAATGAATTAAACGGTTAATATGAACAATTTAGTGTTGAGACAAAAAATTGTAACAATTTAACATGAGAGTTAATTTAATTTAAACTTAAATCATGAATAATTTTGCTGGTCAAAAATCCCAACAAACATGATCATCACAATGAACATTAAAGTGAAAACAATCAACTAATTGTCTATGTGAAAATATGTGAATTCAAGTGATCATAATGAAATTAAATTAAACAACAATCCAAAAGTTGACTAAACAGAATCGTAATCAACAGATTAAGATGATTGAACTTCGACCTGGGATAACACTACCAATCTACAACAATTAAGGTGATTAATTAGCGAATCAACTTAATTAGTTTTATGATTACTTACATTAAGAAGGCACGTAGCAATTGAGAGTATGAAGAAAAATACAAATAACGAATCAAAATCCTGAAAACAATCAACAAATTGTCGAACACAATTAGATAAACATTCTTGATTCTAATTAAAGTAATTAACTCACATTTTCTTTATCAAATAATGATAAAATCGTGTAAATAAAATCCAATAAGGTCACAAAAGTAATCGCAATTAACCAAGGCGTTAACAACGTTTTACTTTCCTGTCGATTAAATCAAACAACAATTAACAAGAAATCAACGAAACAATATCACTTTAAGCTTATTTTCCTTAATAATAATTAATCATTCAATTAATTTTCGTAACAATAAAGTTACTTAATTAGTTGAAAATAATCAGTAGCAACATTGATTATGATTGTTAATAGAAACAAAAAAATTAACTGCTAATGATTAAACTAAATAACACTCATTTAACCTCAGGCTATTTCTTGAATTAATATTAACTTTATGATTAACATAATTATCGTTGATGTTGATTATGATATTTGATTAACTTTTGTTGACACTAAATCAAATTAACTGTTTGTCTATTAATTTGATTTTGTTTTCATGCATCACTTTTTTTTCACTTCATTTCTAATCAAAGTAATCATCAATTTCAATTCTAATTTAGATCAACATTGATCGTTAATTGTCAACAACAATTAATGACAGTTGATGTCCATTCAAATCACCTTACACCCAATTGACTGATTAAACATACAACATTTAACTGCTTTCGAATCACCTTACAACAATTAACTAAATCAACTATAAATCTTTTATGATGACCATTGATTAATGATTAATTTTTTAATGGTCAAGTTAATTGTTATTGTTTATTCAAATTAGAAAGCCAAATGTAATATAAATCAACTATTAATGTTTACTTATTGAATTAAATAGCTCAACATCTAACAATTAATACCTTAATTCTGATATTATTGTAATGATTATCATTAAATGTTGGAAGAAAATTTAATTGCTATTATATTTAATCAAATCAATACTTTTAATAGTTAACGACAATCAAATTTAAATTAAAAGTGTTTCAGTTAATTTGTTAATGATTTTCACACTAATCACTTTATCAGATTTCCTTATAACTATAATCTATTGTTAATATTAGATGTTAATGTGTAATTGATTAGCTTAATTACTGATTAATTAATAGTTAAATTGTTCAATACTTACCACACATAAACCTATGATTAACAATACTGATGAGACAACACAAAATCCGGACATAATAATCATAAGTATTGTGATTATAAGGAGACCTGAAACAATTAGTAAATTATTGGAGTCAATTTTAGTAACCATGATTAGCTTGATTGTTACAATTAAATATTACCTGGAGTTTGAACAACCAGTTCAAAATGTAAGGCACTGATCATAACCACAATAGTATAAAGTATCTGTGAAAGTGAAATCAAATAAACAATTAGCTTGATTGTTACTCGATAATTAAAGTAATATTAGATAAGCGAAAAGCATAATTAACTTTACTAATAACATTATTTAACCTTTTATAACAATCCCAATGAATGATGATTACAATTAATTTGACTATCGTAATTAACCTAGACATTAATCATCACAATCTAACTGTTAATTTTACTGATAATTGGCTATAATAATCAACCTAATTACAACCTTCACTGTTAATCAAGAGTTAGATACAATCATTTGAGTCTTTTTAATCAAATCATTTGAGAATCAAATTTCGCTAAGTAATCAATTAACATTACCAATCATACAGCTCGAAACAGTAAAATTTATTTATATTGTAATACCTTTGATTATTATGTTTGATTACCAACAATTAGCATTGTTACAACAATTGATTCCTTTGCCTGTCAAAATAATCAAAGTAAACTAATTACCGAAAGTCTGTCTTTAATCAATGACAATTGGACCTTAAGATAAGAAACAGAATCAATATAAACAAATAATATTAACATGACGATTCCAATGAAAATACAAATTATATTGTTTTCTCATCCAATTGATTATAAAAACTATCTGATTAAACTAAGAATTGGACAATAAACCAATTCTTAGCTTAATAGTAAATGTAAACAAATGATCAAATCAATAAGAGAATCAGCTGATTTTTTAAGTCCCTGAAAATAAGAAATGAAACTTAAAATAATTTCGAGATTTTTAATTACCAGAGTTTCCATATTTGCATCATGATAATCACTAAGTGAGAGTAAGTTAATTGTCTTGATAACAATTATGATAATTTAGCGATGTCTCGATTGTCTTATTGTTGATGTCCAGGGAGGAGTGAAGATATTACTCCCTGGTAATTTAGCTAACTAAGAATAATCAATAAAAAGGAAAAGAATAATTTTAAGACAAATCTCTCTCTCTCTCTCTCTCTCTGTTCTTTCTCTCTCATTTTCTGTATGAAGAGATTCAGAGAAAAGAAAATTCTTGTTCTAGAGTTTCATCATGTTCCAACTGAATTTCCAAATTCTTGAGAATTCATTGTAAACATTTCATCTCAAAAACCTTTGAATATTTATCATCTTTCAAGGGTTGAATAAGGTTTCAGATTTATCCACCGGTGGGAATAATATGGTCCAAATTCATTCATGAATAATCATTCAAGTATCATCATCACGATTCTCATGAAATTCAACTTTAGATCAATCAAAGTTACTATTAAACATTAATTTAAACTCAACATTTCAATAAATTCAATTCTGAGTCGAAAAAAAAAAGTTCCAAATGCATTAAAAAGATTGAACCTTCAATCCCAATTAGATTCTCCTTAATTGTTCACATATCTCTCTTAGATATCAATTAATTTGGGTCGACTGGAATTGATTTTACAAGTAGTTAATCAATTTGCTCACCGTCATGATGAATCTTCATCATTCTGATAAAAAAATATCACATTTATAAGAAACAACATAAAAAGATAAATATTAATATTAATAAATGATTACTGATAATACCTTTTATCCAGGTAACTCATCAATTCTCATATGATTTTACCTGAAAATGATAATTGGTTCAGTTTATTTTGTTTTCACCATCGTCTAAATATATAAAACAAGTCTCATGATTAACAATTTAGTAAATTGTTAGGTGGAGATGATGACAATCATCATGATAACCATGATGAAGGTGAAAACTTTCAAGACTCAATATCAACTTTAAACACTTGATAATCCTAAAAATCATCAGAATCATGATGAAATATCTCAGGTTAACTGAATCAATTCCCCATGTGAATTGTTAAGATTTTGTTTATTGATCAACTTAATTGAATCACGTCAATTTTTTATGATTTACTAGGATTTAAATTTACTTTTTCCTTTAGAGAATAGTTTTCTCAATAAATTGTTGTTGACCATTTAGATTGATCCTAAATCATTTGAATAAACTGATAAATTATCAAGAGAAATCAATATGAAATTTAATCCAATCAATTTGAAGATCTAAGATCCGATGATTAATGTTAATTGTGTTGATAACAAATTGATTGTTTGCAACAAATTAAATTGGCTGGTTGATGTTGACTAACAGTTATGATTAGTGTTTATTTAAGTTAATCACTTTTGGGATATTTTAATCAACATTTACATTTTCATATTATCTGTTATATCAATTGATTAGTTAATTTACGTTTGAACAATTTATTAATCCAGTTTGTTGCTTGTTTACATCAAATGTTCAATTTGATGTAGCAATTAAACAATTTCCGTTACAATTAGCAAACAATTTAAATGAGAGTTAATTATCAATGTCTATTAAATTGTCTCAATTAAAATATCAATTTTTCTAGTTTAATTTAATTGAAGTTATTGACAATTGATTTCTAGTAACTGTTAATCAGTTAATTGACTGTAAATTATTAAATCTCATTGATTTGAAATTAATGTGATCATTAATCATTCATAATCATCACCGAATTAATTAAATCTGATCAGACACTAAATCAGAAATGATTGAATGAAGATTATGATGAGAATCAAGTTAATCAATCAATAGTTTATAATGAACTGTTAAAGATCAAGGACAATTAAGATTTATGAACATGATTAAGTTATGAAAAGACTATTCAAATTGAGATTAAATTTTCATGGATCAATAAAATTAGTTGATTAATCACTTGTATTAAAATCCTCTGATCATTCAACTCGGTGTAAATTTTAACAATCAATATTTTCAGTGTCTTGATTGTTAATATAATCGTTTCGATAACCAAATTTAATCGAAGTGTAATCAACAATTAAGTTGAATAACAACATTTGACCTCTTCGAGTGGTCAAACCATTATTACAATCAAACTAATTGTGCAATTGGAAACCACATTGTAATTTAATCTTAAGCTGATTTATAACAATGAATACAAATGATGATGATGATTTATGAATGAAAATCGATAACAATCAAATGATTAATAGTAATTTAATTGTTGCGATTAATTTAAATTGATAACATTTGAAAATCTTTGTTAAAACAAATTGTGAATTTGCCTGTTAATTTGATCACCAAAATTTTCATCACTAATTGTGATGATTAAAAGATTAGCCATAATCTAGTTAAAAGTAATTAATCAAATTACTGACACTCTAATTTAATAATACTCTGCCAGCTTAATTGTGATAATCAACGTGACGATTAATTTGATCGTTTTGATGGTTATGTATTAGATTGTTGAATTTAATTCCCACCGATTTGAAAACTTTAATCTGTTAATCAGTGAAATCTAATCAATCATCAAGCAAGAGAATATGTTTAAAATTTAATTCAATTTACAGTCTCTTAATTGTCACAAATTATCTTGATAATTTAAACTTGGAAAAAGGATTAAAGTTAATCAACAATAGCGATTATAAGATATTCATGGTAGTTTAATTTGGAATCAGTCGAATGCAATTAATTAGTTAATTGCTAACACGTAAATGGAACCAAGTTTCATCACTCTCATTAATAGATTGATCAATCTAATTGTCTCCACGATTGATTGTTCAGTTGATTGTTTTTAAACGATATAAAACTATTTACCTTTACAATCAATCGTCACACCAAAATATTGATTGGATTTCAATAGTTGCTATTACAATCAATCATCCAGCTTTAATTGTAATCTTAATTGTCAAGTAAAACTTTCCAATAATAAACCATTTTTATAACTCCAGCAATTAATTTTTTTTTTCTTGTAATAATCAATAATTTCAACGATTTGAACTGACAAATGATCTGAACAATTAAATCCTTCATGATTAATAATAAGTAACCTGGAATCGTTTTGAATTTTGGTTAATAATTTAATTGTTAATCATTATAATGATGATTTCTTACAACAATTAACTAAATCAACTATAAATCTTTTATGATGACCATTGATTAATGATTAATTTTTTAATGGTCAAGTTAATTGTTATTGTTTATTCAAATTAGAAAGCCAAATGTAATATAAATCAACTATTAATGTTTACTTATTGAATTGAATAGCTCAACATCTAACAATTAATACCTTAATTCTGATATTATTGTAATGATTATCATTAAATGTTGGAAGAAAATTTAATTGCTATTATATTTAATCAAATCAATACTTTTAATAACTAACAATCAAATTTAAATTAAAAGTGTTTAAGTTAATTTGTTAATGATTTTCACACTAATCACTTTATGAGATTTCCTTATAACTATAATCTATTGTTAATATTAGATGTTAATGTGTAATTGATTAGCTTAATTACTGATTAATTAATAGTTAAATTGTTCAATACTTACCACACATAAACCTATGATTAACAATACTGATGAGACAACACAAAATCCGGACATAATAATCATAAGTATTGTGATTATAAGGAGACCTGAAACAATTAGTAAATTATTGGAGTCAATTTTAGTAACCATGATTAGCTTTGATTGTTACAATTAAATATTACCTGGAGTTTGAACAACCAGTTCAAAATGTAAGGCACTGATCATAACCACAATAGTATAAAGTATCTGTGAAAATGAAATCAAATAAACAATTAGCTTGATTGTTACTCGATAATTAAAGTAATATTAGATAAGCGAAAAGCATAATTAACTTTACTAATAACATTATTTAACCTTTTATAACAATCCCAATGAATGATGATTACAATTAATTTGACTATCGTAATTAACCTAGACATTAATCATCACAATCTAACTGTTAATTTTACTGATAATTGGCTATAATAATCAACCTAATTACAACCTTCACTGTTAATCAAGAGTTAGATACAATCATTTGAGTCTTTTTAATCAAATCATTTGAGAATCAAATTTCGCTAAGTAATCAATTAACATTACCAATCATACAGCTCGAAACAGTAAAATTTATTTATATTGTAATACCTTTGATTATTATGTTTGATTACCAACAATTGCATATTACAACAATTGATTCCTTTGCCTGTCAAAATAATCAAAGTAAACTAATTACCGAAAGTCTGTCTTTAATCAATGACAATTGGACCTTAAGATAAGAAACAGAATCAATATAAACAAATAATATTAACATGACGATTCCAATGAAAATACAAATTATATTGTTTTCTCATCCAATTGATTATAAAAACTATCTGATTAAACTAAGAATTGGACAATTCTTAGCTTAATAGTAAATGTAAACAAATGATCAAATCAATAAGAGAATCAGCTGATTTTTTAAGTCCCTGAAAATAAGAAATGAAACTTAAAATGATTTCGAGATTTTTAATTACCAGAGTTTCCATATTTGCATCATGATAATCACTAAGTGAGAGTAAGTTAATTGTCTTGATAACAATTATGATAATTTAGCGATGTCTCGATTGTCTTATTGTTGATGTCCAGGGAGGAGTGAAGATATTACTCCCTGGTAATTTAGCTAACTAAGAATAATCAATAAAAAGGAAAAGAATAATTTTTAAGACAAATCTCTCTCTCTCTCTCTCTCTCTCTCTCTCTCTCTCCTTTCTCTCATTTTCTCTGTATGAAGAGATTCAGAGAAAAGAAAATTCTTGTTCTAGAGTTTCATCATGTTCCAACTGAATTTCCAAATTCTTGAGAATTCATTGTAAACATTTCATCTCAAAAACCTTTGAATATTTATCATCTTTCAAGGGTTGAATAAGGTTTCAGATTTATCCACCGGTGGGAATAATATGGTCCAAATTCATTCATGAATAATCATTCAAGTATCATCATCACGATTCTCATGAAATTCAACTTTAGATCAATCAAAGTTACTATTAAACATTAATTTAAACTCAACATTTCAATAAATTCAATTCTGAGTCGAAAAAAAAAGTTCCAAATGCATTAAAAAGATTGAACCTTCAATCCCAATTAGATTCTCCTTAATTGTTCACATATCTCTCTTAGATATCAATTAATTTGGGTCGACTGGAATTGATTTTACAAGTAGTTAATCAATTTGCTCACCGTCATGATGAATCTTCATCATTCTGATAAAAAAATATCACATTTATAAGAATGAACATAAAAAGATAAATATTAATATTAATAAATGATTACTGATAATACCTTTTATCCAGGTAACTCATCAATTCTCATGTGAGTTTACCTGAACATGATAATTGGTTCAGTTTATTTTGTTTTCACCATCGTCTAAATATATAAAACAAGTCTTATGATTAACAATTTAGTAAATTGTTAGGTGGAGATGATGACAATCATCATGATAACCATGATGAAGGTGAAAACTTTCAAGACTCAATATCAACTTTAAACACTTGATAATCCTAAAAATCATCAGAATCATGATGAAATATCTCAGGTTAACTGAATCAATTCCCCATGTGAATTGTTAAGATTTTGTTTATTGATCAACTTAATTGAATCACGTCAATTTTTATGATTTACTAGGTTTAAATTTACTTTTCCTTTAGAATAGTTTTCTCAATAAATTGTTGTTGACCATTTAGATTGATCCTAAATCATTTGAATAAACTGATAAATTATCAAGAGAAATCAATATGAAATTTAATCCAATCAATTTGAAGATCTAAGATCCGATGATTAATGTTAATTGTGTTGATAACAAATTGATTGTTTGCAACAAATTAAATTGGCTGGTTGATGTTGACTAACAGTTATGATTAGTGTTTATTTAAGTTAATCACTTTTGGGATATTTTAATCAACATTTACATTTTCATATTATCTGTTATATCAATTGATTAGTTAATTTACGTTTGAACAATTTATTAATCCAGTTTGTTGCTTGTTTACATCAAATGTTCAATTTGGTGTAGCAATTAAACAATTTCCGTTACAATTAGCAAACAATTTAAATGAGAGTTAATTATCAATGTCTATTAAATTGTCTCAATTAAAATATCAATTTTTCTAGTTTAATTTAATTGAAGTTATTGACAATTGATTTCTAGTAACAGTTAATCAGTTAATTGACTGTAAATTATTAAATCTCATTGATTTGAAATTAATGTGATCATTAATCATTCATAATCATCACCGAATTAATTAAATCTGATCAGACACTAAATCAGAAATGATTGAATGAAGATTATGATGAGAATCAAGTTAATCAATCAATAGTTTATAATGAACTGTTAAAGATCAAGGACAATTAAGATTTATGAACATGATTAAGTTATGAAAAGACTATTCAAATTGAGATTAAATTTTCATGGATCAATAAAATTAGTTGATTAATCACTTGTATTAAAATCCTCTGATCATTCAACTCGGTGTAAATTTTAACAATCAATATTTTCAGTGTCTTGATTGTTAATATAATCGTTTCGATAACCAAATTTAATCGAAGTGTAATCAACAATTAAGTTGAATAACAACATTTGACCTCTTCGAGTGGTCAAACCATTATTACAATCAAACTAATTGTGCAATTGGAAACCACATTGTAATTTAATCTTAAGCAATTTATAATGAATACAAATGATGATGATGATTTATGAATGAAAATCGATAACAATCAAATGATTAATAGTAATTTAATTGTTGCGATTAATTTAAATTGATAACATTTGAAAATCTTTGTTAAAACAGTGAATTTGCTCACCGAAATTTTCATCACTAATTGTGATGATTAAAAGATTAGCCATAATCTAGTTAAAAGTAATTAATCAAATTACTGACACTCTAATTTAATAATACTCTGCCAGCTTAATTGTGATAATCAACGTGACGATTAATTTGATCGTTTTGATGGTTATGTAGATTGTTGAATTTAATTCCCACCGATTTAAAAACTTTAATCTGTTAATCAGTGAAATCTAATCAATCATCAAGCAAGAGAATATGTTTAAAATTTAATTCAATTTACAGTCTCTTAATTGTCACAAATTATCTTGATAATTTAAACTTGGAAAAAGGATTAAAGTTAATCAACAATAGCGATTATAAGATATTCATGGTAGTTTAATTTGGAATCAGTCGAATGCAATTAATTAGTTAATTGCTAACACGTAAATGGAACCAAGTTTCATCACTCTCATTAAAAGATTGATCAATCTAATTGTCTCCACGATTGATTGTTCAGTTGATTGTTTTTAAACGATATAAAACTATTTACCTTTACAATCAATCGTCACACCAAAATATTGATTGGATTTCAATAGTTGCTATTACAATCAATCATCCAGCTTTAATTGTAATCTTAATTGTCAAGTAAAACTTTCCAATAATAAACCATTTTTATAACTCCAGCAATTAATTTTTTTTCTTGTAATAATCAATAATTTCAACGAGTTGAACTGACAAATGATCTGAACAATTAAATCCTTCATGATTAATAATAAGTAACCTGGAATCGTTTTGAATTTTGGTTAATAATTTAATTGTTAATCATTATAATGATGATTTCTAACATTAACTTGACAATAAAACATAAACATTTAATTTAATTGCATAACTAAGACTTCAAGAAGTGAATTGATTAACCATCAGCAATCAGATATTTCAAATGATTCCGTTAATTAATTACATTTGTCTCTATGATTATTATCGTTACGATTCATTAACAATTAAGCTTTTTTTTGTTTTCAATGAAACCTAATTAGTTATCATTAATTTCATTCATTTCGAGTTGTTTATTGATTTTAATTGTGTCATTCTGATTATTTAACTAATTGTAATATAAAAGCTCAATAGAAATACAAAAAAAACTAATCAATAGATTGAGAAGCAAATTTATGTATTGAAAAGTAAATGATTTATATTTACATTACTAATTGTCGTTCTAATTGTAAAGAACTAGTAAATTGTTACAATCAATCATTTGAAAAGGTTCACAAATTAATGATCAACCAAAAGTAAATTGATATAATGATGAAAAGGATTAGTTATTATGAAATTACTATAACAGTTTGAGATCTAATTTGATTTCACAATCAGTAAATTGTTATTGTTATTTTTTCTGATTATAAAACTTGAACTGACCCTTATAATTGAAAATTAAAGGTCAACAGTTAACTGATTAACTGATCAAACAAAAATGTTGAAAAATGTTGAATGAAAAATTGAATTACTGATGAAAAACCCATTGAAGTGCTTTCATAACAATCAAAATTAATTCATCTTCACATTGATAATACAATTTGACAATTGTAAACAATCAATGGGAATTAATATTAAGTAAACATGACGAGTAAATCATTTCATGATTGTTAGATAATATATTTGATGATAAAAGGTGAGGACAATCAGTAAATCATAAAATTACTTGATAAAAGCAAACTTAACACTCAACATTCAATCAATGGGATGACCAATGGTCAGTAAATGATGAGAACAAGAATAAAAAAAAAGTTCAATAACAAATGAGAATCAGATTAATAAATGTTGAATGATAATCGCCTTGTGATGACAACATGATGATCATCATCATGATGAACATGAGACGAAAAAAATCTCATTCCAATGATGAAGATTCTGATCTCAGCTCATTTCTGGCAATTTCTCCCCTCATCCTTTTGAAAAGCTCAGCATCATCACCACCATCATGAAAATGATCATCATCCTGATGATCAACACCAGATAATTGATTTCTTAGTAATTGAATCTCTTTTTTTTCAGAATCTTCTTCCTTTTTTTGTAGCTTCATTAGATAATTTTAAAACTGTAATAATATCATGATGATGTTGATGATGATGATGATGATCATGATCATGATGAGATAACTGAATACAAAATGCTGAATTCAACAGAAAAGGAAAGAAAAAGAAATCGAAAGGAAAAAAGTTCCAAATTGGAAAATATTCTCAGCACGTTGAGATATTTTCTGTGTATCCCAGGGTATTAACGATAAACATTAGTGAAGGATGAAAATCGTTGCCATGAAAAAATATCCGATTATGTATCAATTATTTAATCGTCTTAACAATTTGCTAATCATCGTCTGGATCTCAAGTGTCTCAACTAATTAGGATCGCAATTAAAATTGCTGGTAAACAACAACTTAAACCTCAACCAGTTCAACGAGCTAATTGTTAATTCCCAGTCCTAAATATCATTTGGGTGTCATGATTATATCTTGTTTATTATTCACCTTGAACTGAATCAGTAAATCATGAGAAGTGATTAAAATATTATAATACAATCAAAATTTTCATTATTTGTATTGTTATATCAACATTTACATTTAAAATCCTTTGTCGTTGTGAAATTGGTTTGACTATTATCATGAAATAATGATGATTATGATGAAATGAAATTCATTGATTTGATTTCAAGTTGTTTATTATTTATATTTTTCATGATAACTAAGTGTCTCATTTGTTTATCATGTTTGTGTTTCCGATTCAGTTTCAGTTTCCTTATCATGGTAACATTTTCATCTGATAGTTTCCTTATGATGATTATCATCATGGTGATAATCTAAGATATGAAGATGACAAAAATTCATGATCTAGTTTCAGTTATATAACATTTTTGTTTTTCTCCTTTCAGATTCCTAATCGATTCAGTTATTATTATCATGGAATCAGTCTGGAAACAATTTGGCAAGTTTGGTGCAAAAAAATTTCCACCATGATAACAGATAATAACTTATCATGGTTATCATGGATTTCAGTTTCAATCCAATTGAGATAAACAATTTAAACCATTGGAATAACAACTTTTTTCATCACAATAAAGGACTTGAGGAAAAAAATATCATTCGGATTTAACTTGGTTAACGTTTCATTGTTATCGTTGAATAAAATTCATGATAATCATCAGAATCAGAATCATCATCATCATCATGATAATAGGAAGATAAATGGAAATGGATTCTAATAAAAAGGGTGAGAACTTTTTTTTCGTTAGCTCTGAACAATTCGAGACTTATTTTTCGTTCCAACGATTTTCATTCAACGAAAGTTGATCCAGCAAATTATGTTAATCATCATGAATGAATTTCTTGTATTATCTTGATTATCATCAACACTTTTCTGTCATAATTTATGGTTTAAACAATCTTGTGATCTAAATTGTTACTATTAATTTGATTTACCAATTGTAATTTGGTTAGGTTACAATTTGTTCATTCTAGATAAATGTTATTCATTGTGATTAATATTTAAATTAGTTTGATTAATCTGTTGTTTTTTTTACACTCACAACAATTGAAAATTAAGTTAATGTTGATTATATTTATTGATTAACACAATTTATTAATAGTCGTTAATATGAAAAGTTCAACATTCAAGTTAACAGTTAACAGTTTTCAAGATTAGTATTTAATCAAGTTCACTTTGATTTGATTCTCAATTGTGTTGATAGTTAGTAATAATTTTGATTTGAACGTAATTTAATTGTTACAATTATCTGATATTTAAATTGTCAATTTAAAAGTGAAATTAATTGTACTTACCAAAGTATAAGAAGCAGTTAAAAAACTACCTTTCCTCAGGGAGAAACCACAACAAGATTTAATTAAAGCCATTTAATTAAATGAGTTTGTAACAATTTAAATCAACAATTATAACGATGATGATAATGATTAACTGATTGTCATAAATGATAAACTGTCAAAAGTTTAAGGGATTACATTGAATCCTTAAAACTGAAAAGTTGAATAAGTTCAACTATTAGAAACACCAATTAACTAATCAAAATCTGAACCTTAATCATTATATTGAAATAAACTCATTCCAAGAATAACCAAAGTTATAATGATGAAAACTCAGTTCTGAATGAGTATTATCATTGATATGATGATGATGATGATGATGATGATGAGCATCATGATGAAAAGGATCATCATCCCCATGAGTTTGCGTTGTTATCTCATCACTGAACTTTATTCAGGATTCAAGGTGTAAAGGTTATCAAAGGGAATACATTGTAATAAGATTTCCTTTGAATTAATAAGTTGATGTTTTGATGATGATGATGATGAGCATCATGATGAAAAGGATCATCATCCCCATGAGTTTGCGTTGTTATCTCATCACTGAACTTTATTCAGGATTCAAGGTGTAAAGGTTATCAAAGGGAATACATTGTAATAAGATTTCCTTTGAATTAATAAGTTGATGTTTTTTCTTGATTATTTATTGTTGTCATCTAATTAGATTGAAGTAACAATCAATGACAAGAAAACACTTTGATCATGAGGGTGAACTCAACTCATTTCATGAAATGATAATATTTCACCGGCAGATATTTTTTCATGGTAATTTTCATGGATATTAAAGTTTAATAGTCGACATCATTTATTTTTTTTGTTGTTACTTTTGGTCTTATATTTTTCTTATTTTTATCATGAAATCTTGATAATATACTGAACTTATTCAACTTGAATTTCTCAATAAGAGATTAGTTATATTAATAGTTTTTTATTTTTAATTTTTGATACAAAGGTAATGATATTTAAATGCTGTGAGTATCAAAGATTTGAATGTTTTCACTTTGTCAGCTATTTAAAACTATTGGTGATCATGATGAAGATGATGAAGATGATGGAAAGGTGGAGTTGATGATGATGCTCATGAGAAAATTTAAAACCAAGGCCCGGTTCTGATGGAATAGTTGAGATGATGATGATGATGATGATGATAATCCAATGTAATGACCACACCTTTCTTGGATTTGGTGAATGAAAAAGTTATAAGATGAAAAGTAGATTTCAGAGATTGGGAATAAAAAGCAATAAATATAAATATAGATGAGGAAGAAAATGTTTACAGGGAATGGAATTGGAAACTTGGGAGTAGAAATGTTTTCTTTTTTCTCCTCTTTTGTCAATATTGCTTGATAATAACAATTTGATTGACTGGTTACTTTGTTGTCACCATCAATGATCATGATAAAGGTAAATTGTTATCGGAAAATTGCAGCTATTTGGATGATATTGTTTGAATTGGAGACTTTTTTTTGTGACATTGGGAATGAGGATCAAGTCGAAGATCAAGAAGAAGATTTTGAGAGTGAGTTTTAAAGACTAGATATTTGAGCGGAAAAGATTGGATGAGAAATCTTCCTTCTAACTGGATGGATTGACGGGTTCATATATTGGCCTTTTTCTGTTAGATTTTCTTTCGATCGGCTTGGTGACATTCCCCATGTTTGTGGTTCAGTTGTCGATAAAAATATAAATACTATTGCCGTGAAGGTCATAAAAGCTGCTGTTATGTAAAAGATTGTCGACCAACCCGCTTGAGTGTCCTGGTTAATAAAAAAGAAGAGAAAAAGATTAGTTTAGATTTTTGTTTCTAATTTAATTGTTATTTGAGTCTCGTTGGTAACAATTAACTTACCCCGTCTTTCAAAACGAAACCAACAATCATTGGAGCTATGAAACCTGTCGCTGAACCAATTGTATTTGTAATACCGAAAATGGTTCCCGATATATCAGGAGCTATTTCAGATACGATTGGCATATCGCCTCCGGCATTTCCACCAAAAGCAAACATGGATACGATTAAAAGGAGTTTGATAAATGAAGGGTCCAATGGGACTTTAGCAATAACTACAAGAGCTGCTGAAGGTACCAAGAGAGCTGGAAGAAAAATAAATCAAATTCAATCAGAATCAATGATAATCATGTTAAATTTGGATGATTGATGTGAATGATTAACTTACCTATGGATTCACAAACTTTTCGAGTCCTGGTTCGAGAGAGGTAATTTCTTTTCATCAGAAATTTGGTAATTGGACCAGAAGACAGTTGAGATACACAAAGAGCAATATAAAGTAGTCCATTAAGTGATCCATTCTCATTTAAATCCATTCCCAATTGACTCTCCATGTAAGCAGGAATCTTGGTGTTAACAATCATGTAACCGAATCCGGTTCCTGCTTTAGCTAAAGTAACAGCCCAAAGAACTGGTGAAGTAAGAACCGATTTCCAATCAACTTTAACCTGAGAGAGAGAGAGAAAAAAATACAATTATAATTATAATCCAACGAAAGAAAAATCAACAAAGTAGATTAACAATTAGAAAATAAATTGTTACCTTTGGATCATCAATATGAGCATTAGCTTGTTCGAGGTAAAACTTTTCGTACTCGGAAATGTGCTTATTGGTACAAGGAGTTGGTGTAACAATAAAGTACCAAAGTAATGGGATAATTAAGTTAATTGCTCCGGTGAAATAAAAGGCTAATGGCCATCCACCAATTAGTGTTTGCTTACAGAACCAAGCGGTAATTGGCATAATTGCTGCAGTACCTAAATTTGATCCAACGATCATCAAACAAATAGGAATTGAAATTTCCTCAGGCGAAAACCATTTACTGAATAGGACGTAAAGTGATGATAACATTGGTGCATGAGCGATTCCAATGATAACTCGGACAATTGAAATAGCCACTGGTCCATGATAACTTAATAAAGGTGTTAACAAGGTACAAACTGCAGCAATTAGATGAGCAATTATATTTAAATGAACTACATTATAACGATCAGCAAGATAACCTAAAATTATTTGAAAACCAGCGAATCCATAATAATAAGATCCCAAAATAATTCCTTGAGCACCTTGACTCCAATCAAATGAAATCTAAACATTTAGAAAAAGGAGAAAATATTTAATTAGATTGTATTGATTAAGAGAAAAATTAATGGATCAAAATCAAATTAATTTATGTTAATCAACTCGCTCTCCCTCTCGTTCATAATATTAAGCTTCTTTCATTAATTTTCTGCTTATTAGCTGGAAATTAGGTGAAAAAAACAAAACAATTTCACATTATCATGTAAATAACTGAATTAATAATCATATTTATATGATAATTTTGTTTCGAATTGAGAAAATGTCTATTAAATGTTGTGGAAAATTATTAATAAATCTACAATTGATTAGATTGTGTTGACTATTAACTAATGTATGTAACTGTTATCGATAAGTTAACACATAATCACAATCTTTGTGAATTAATTGTTGATAAAGTACCGATTGAATTTCAAGTGTGAATCATAACTTATTATTTACGTAATTAGTAAATCACAAGTTTAAAAAGAAATACAATTAACAGACTTGTGATTATTTTCATTAATCAATAATCTGTCAAAAGGATTTGATTATCTTGCAACAGAAGCACTTGCTTTTTGTTGTTCAGTACTTTCTGTTACAATTAAATCAATAATAACTATCGATGATTATGATTATCAAAAGATAGTTAATATTGAAGTTCTAAATGAAATATTGATTCAAATGTTTTCCCATAAATCACAATCTCATTTGAATTGATTAATAAATTGAAAGATAATGTGATGAATGAAAGTATATGAGTAAATCAACTCATTAGATTATTATAGTTGATTGTTAATCATCATCTTTGATCCATGAATTAGTTGATAAGCCATGTAAGCAATTGGGAGATTCTTGATTTGTTGGTGTAGCCATCATGTTGGAAATTGATCCCGTGTAGAAATTGATACTCAGATTAGTTCAACTGGATCGATTTTGATTGTTACTGATCATCAATATAAACCATAAGTTCAAATTTCATCAGATAATATTGATATCGATTAACTTTGGATGTTTGATCGTACGAAAACAAAGTCGATCTCAATTGGATTAACTTAAGCACAAGAAGAGTAAAAAGTGATCAACCTTTAGTTTTAATCACTTTGTTTTTCTTTAATTCGATTCGATCTTCAATCTTGCATAGGAAATGTTGACAATTTAACACCAGAACAATCAAATTAACCATTAATTGTTTACGTATTATTTTGTTTTTCTGCGTCTCAAATGAAACCAGAGAATCAGGAGGAAAGTAAACAATCAACACCGTTGATTTCCGATCATTGTTCATCATAAACATTCAGCTAATTCGAAAGAAATTTGTTGTCAATCAAACATCACAATTAACCATAGAAAACCTGATCATCACCATTAGATAATAGATGAGGTTATGAAGTTTCCTCGACAACAACCAAAACCATCGGGCTGATCTTCCAGAGGTTAGATTAATTTCCAGAGTCACAATTGGTTTTGTTTCTATCTCTTCATCAGCTTTCAACGTTTTCCATTGTAATTATATCACAATTACAATCAGTAACAATTAAGTTAAATGATAGTTTTTACATATTAGATTAATAGTTAACATCGATTGTCCTTGATTTCCAATAATCAACATCACCTATACAACATGTTGCTTAGCATAAAGATTAACCCTTTTCAATCACCGTTTCTATAAATACAATAAAAGTACTTAAGAAAATGTTGCCGTGTTCAGTGGATTAACTAATCCAGTCATATGAATTTGTACACAATTTGTTAATCTCATTAATCTGAGGAAAACATTACAATTAAAATGGTGAAATCATTTCCATTACAACGTTAGCTTAAAGATGGCGATTAACTTATATGAAGTGATTGATAAAAATCAGAAGGGGAAATTTAATTTCTTTTGTTTCTTTCTCAGGTCAACCATTGACATTCAGTTTGTTTGTCACCAATTGAATTACGTGATGATCAAGGTGATCAAGATACAATTAAAATGAATGTTAATCTTGAAGATAATACTTGATGATTAACTAATTAAAAAAAAATACTCAAAACAACTTGAATATGAAAAATTTGTATCACCAAAAGACAAGAGGCTCAACCACTTAATTAACATTCGTGACAAAATAGAAACTATTTGATTGGATTGATTAGACTGTTGATGTGACATTTACAATTAATTAGTGATTAAAGTATTTAATCAAAGGGGAACAATTTAAATTGAGTTGATAAAGTTGATGGAACAATTGAAATTCAAAAACGACAGAATCTTTTGTAGTTGCTGAAAGAAAACACAGATGTCACTAGTCTTAAATTTTTGTCGAAAAAAAATTTTTTCAAATTTTTTGGTTCGAAAATTTTAATTCAATTCAATTGTTGTGTCTTTTTAATTTAATTGTTTTGATTGATATTCATTTATTTCTGTGTCTAATTGTTTTAATTTCTAATTAATTAGACTCTTTTATGAGTAATTCTGTGGAATTTTTCTGTCGAAAGGGTAAATTGTTGTGTGAATTTGAAGAAAATTCTTTTTGTTGGTTTAATGTTTTGGTTTTTTCTTTCTTGCCGGTTTATAGATTTGGAGATTCATTTGGATGTTTAATGATTTTTGTGTTCACTGATTTCGATTGATGGAATTAGGAAAAAATAGGATTGCAAGTTCTTACCTTGTTAACATTTCCTGATGGCTCCTTGTCCAACATACTAATCATGGCTACACTCAGATTGGCTCGGGCGGCATACATAACGGCCGATGAGAGGCAAGCAATTAAAGCGATGTAATAACGGAAAGGAAAGATCGGCTTTTTGACCACATGTAACTTGAATGGCAATTCGTGAGTGGGACCAAATATTGTTCGACCACCAATTACACTTATAGCGGGAACAACATTAGCTGGATGATGACTTGGAACACTAATAACAGGATAGATGATCGTTGAGGTTTTTTTCGATGGTGTTTTCATCTTCAATGTCAGCGGACTTGATACCTGGACTTTTTCTATATCAAGCGAAGAGTTTAACTCTAATTACGATTTAATCAAATCGAGAGGGAGAAAAAGTTACGGAAATTACAAGAAAAGTGAAACAAATTTAAAATCAAATGGTCAACAATAAGTTTATTCACTCAAAAAAAAAGTATCTCAATCAATCTTACAAAGTAAGTTTCAATTTTTTTTTTCGAAATATATTATTAATATGAAAGTACAATTATAAGAAAAGGGATAATAAAAATAAAGAATAATTCAATTGAGGAGAGAAATTAATAATATATCAACAAGTTGGTAGGGTTAAGTTTGTTTTGTAAAAGCTTAATTAACTTTGAACAGTTAAATCTAATTGTTTGGGTTCTTATATAAATAGTTAAGCTACTCGGTGTTAAATAACAACGAAAACATTTTTATCATTGAATATATATTAATTATCATTATTATTTCATTTCATTTCATTCCTCCAGGTATTCATTGTGGAAATAGATTGAAATTAACAGGGGAAAGAAAACTCTGGTACACGATTAACGGTATTGCCCATCTTTCGTTGTCGCATTCATATCTTTTCCTAAGATCATCTTCATCTTCCTTTTCATCGTCATCATCATCATCATCATCATCCAATTCTTATCATAATCAACACCTTCTATTATTTATCATGATGGTTATGATCATCTGTTCATCACTTATCACATAATATTTTCTCAATTCTCTCCGCCTTTCTTAAGAGGAGGAAAGGGAAAGGTGGGAATAATTTTATCCAATCTCAATGGTAACAACAAAGGATAGAGGGAGAGTCCCACGTGAGTAAATTTTATCATCTTGTTTCATATAAAACAAATGGGGGAAAATGAACAACAGTGAGTAACCCTGTTTCCCCTGATGTGAATGTTTACCTCGTATGGTTTAACCTTTAATCACAATTAAGGGTCACTTTGAGGCCAAATAGTTTAACCAAATTGACATTATCATCTTGCTCATCTTATAACCTATCCAATGATACCAAGTTTCACCTTAATCGTTGATCTAAGTGATTCTTAATCGTTACCTTTCTTGGGTCATTTTCGGTATTGACCATCTCATTTTTGTTCCTATTCAACGTTAACCCGTTTTCTTTTTGATTATTTAACCTTTTTTATCAAATTAATTTATTTTTCTTTCCTTCGTTTATGGTTTTAATTGTAATTACGCCAAAAAACAATCAACTACAATATCGGAATTGTGAATATATATATTTGTGCAAACGGATTATTTAAAGAAAAGCCTAAAATTAAAGGTAGATCAAATTTATCCGACTTTAATTAACTAATTAATTTTGATTCCTATGTTCCTGAAGTTTAATTGGATCAATTTCACGACATTTGAAATTGAACTGCTACAATAATCAGATATTAAAGCTTGTTACTAAGGGCTCGTTGAGAGCAATTATATTAACGATTTCTAACAAATCAAATTAATAACAATTAACCAACTAATTGATTATTTTAAATTTGCTTAAAATTTCTTAATTTCATTAAATTACTTAACAGTTATCGTTAGATTTTTGTATCAAAGTATTTGTTCAATAGTAACGATCTAAGCTTAGAGATTAGTTCGTCGGCTTACCGGATTTAGATTTAATTAATCTCTTTGTTTTTGTATCGTTCGTTATTTTTGCAATGTCCATTTGAACTTCTCGAAAATGATCGACTTTTCGTCATGAATTTTCGTGCTGTTAGTTACTGATTTAATTGCAATCGTTGATCGCTATCTTTTAGTCCCATGATGATGATTCTTTTAGTAAATAAGCGACTTTCTCCTTGACACTAATTGTATCAATTTACGATATTTAATAGTTTCAGAAATTTTGATTCGTATTTACAATTCTGATTCTCATCAATTGTGATTGTTTAGCCCGTAAATTTTGATTTAATTGCTCTGCGTTTTTGCGTCTTATCTAATTGCAAGACTGTCATTTCTTAATTTCCATTTTAAATTGTAAAATCGTTAACATTTGATTACAATTAAAGCGCAAGTTTCAATGTTATAAATATTGTCTGGTTTAAATTGTTATCAATTTTACCAATTTTTCCAACTCTTAACCATTGGAATTGCAGATTTAATCATAAATCGTAACTACAATTAACGCTAATCAGATTGATAGTGTTGGTAATAAAATGAGCTCTCATTTATTATAACCTAAATAACAACTATCAATTTAACATTTTCTTGATTAACTTTTTTTAATTAATCAACAATGAATCCGATAATAATTATAATACAAGAATCAATTGTTAAATTGTGCATTTTCATTAGAGTCCAGGGTTGATTAAGACTTGATGATGTGTTCATTGATTTCATCTCAATACAAAGATGATACATTGAATTAAAAGGTTAATTATCATCTTCATTTCTCTTACTAATCAATTCGTTGACAAGGGATTTAACTAATTAATCAGTTTCTATAGGAACCTGGGGATAAAAAAAAAGTTAATTGTCCAGGAATATCAAGTTAGATGAGAGCAAGTCGATAAAAATTATTTCTGATTAATCTCTAATTGTAACTTGATTAACTGTCAATCGAATAAGTTTTTTTCACTAAACTTTACTTGTAATCAATTAATTTTCTTTCATTATTAGTAACTAATTAAGGTTTTCTAATACAGTTTCATATACACCCAATCATCTAAGATGGCGGCCACATATCAACGAGCTTGATTGTAAAATAACCATCACATGCTATTCAGTTAATTATTATCTGTATTGAATGTTGATTCTGGTTGATTACAAGCTGATTGTAACCAGTTTTAATTTCCTGACGATCTCATTAGAGCAATTACAATTACAATTATAATTTTCTCTCATTTAGTTTTCCTTTTTATCATCTCAAAAAATCAGGTAAACACAATCATGAGGTAAACAATTAAATGAAAGGGAAATTGTTTACTAAATGTCTCAACTCGACAATTAGCATCTTCATTAGATTAATCAGCATCTCGATAATAATTATGTTCATTCAATGGTGAAATTACAATCTCTCGATAATCACTAATGTAATAAACTTTATTATAATCATTTAATGATTACGATTTCATCACAAGTAAAAAAAATCAGATTATTTCATAGTTTCCACTCAGAAAATTTTAAATCACAAATCTTTTCAATCAGCTGATTAAACCGATTCTCTAAACCCAACCGGCTAATCCTTGATGGATTAGAAGCCGCTCTCTTCTTGTTAACACCTTGTTTTAATCCTTCCACGATAATCTCACCTAAATCATTGGAAAATGATTAAACTTGATTGTAGCAGAAATTTACAACCCAAATGACGTAGCTTTTGATTTCTAATTACGTTAATTACTACAATTGTGTATCTCTACTTACATTTATCTCCATTTTCATCCCAACAGACAATCGCTGAAGGACAAGCTTGCAAATGATTAAATCGTATAAATGGTGAACATTTAATTGTCTCAACGAAATGAATATCAGGCCATTGATTGTCGTTAATTGCAAAGATTGGATCTAATTGTAATTCGCTCTCTGGATCGATATTAATTGCCAAAGCTTTATCAACTTTTTCTCGATCAAACTCTTTGGTTTCAACACAATTACCAATGATTAAAGATTTCAATCTAATTGGCTTCCTAGTTAATGATATTAATCGTTTTCCTTGAAGACCAAGATGAGTCCATTTTAAAATTTTATCGATACAAGAAGCGTCCAAACAAGGTTCACCTCTACCTGGTTTACGAGATATCCCTTGATTACAACCTGCGGAAATGAAAAAACGGATTGCAATTAACGGTTAATTAACCAAAGATCCAAAGGGTTTCAATAACAAAGCAAAGTTATCAATTTAAGATAATCAACCTTTGCATTATCAATAACAACAAAAGGAAAACTGGAAATGACAGGAACTGTTAATAATATCAACTAATTAGAAAAAAACGTAATTATCATTTATACGTAGACACCTAAAATCGTAATCAAATTGATCATTGATTCTGACCTTGAGTTGATTGAATTTTTGATTGTTTGCATTGTTGTTAAATAACTTGTGACTTTTGGGAAAACAAAAACATTGTAAAAATTTCCCAGCACAGAAAAAATTATTGCCCAAGATAAAAGCGATAATATATTTTTCTGGCCTAAAAATCGTAATCGACACATGAATCTTCCTCGTAAGATCGTTGATTACGAAAAAAAAGGAGTACGTTTTGTTGATCGATAAGGAAGAATTATGATATTGTGATGGTGACGATTCTTGACAATTAACTTTTAATATGAGTTAGTGACTAATTATTTATCTCTAATTTTCTCTTTCTTTTCAGGAACAATAAAAGTATATGATTATCATGGTGGGAAACTATCGATGGAGGAAGTGGAAGTTGATGAAAATCCTCTACATGGAAGTTGCGAGATGAAGAGATGCCAATTTAAATTGTCCAGATGATTTAGATGACCGTTAGACTTTTCAATTAGTCCCATTAAATGTTGTTTGAAGGCTCGTTTAGCTAAAACTTCAGCGTGACAATCAATTAGGACATTGGTCAGTTTAGATGGACTTCCAGTTACACATTTGGTTCCTGTTGTTAAACAAATTAATTTAAAACTATCTGATTGTTCACAAATTAATCCGCACAATGTTGTCCATTGATTGTCCAAAGGTTTACCTGTTTTATTTAAACTGAAGGAGCAACATGACGATTAATTAATAATTTTAATCAAACATGGAAAGTGAAAGTTGATTAATCATCTTTTTTTTTTAATTTTCTTAATGATTTCTTTTCGTACCTTTGATACTTTTCAATACATAATTGAGCCATTAATTGATATTTAGAGTCATTCATTGTTATTATTGTGATTACAATCCTTTTGTTGATTGAAACTGTTAATCAAAAACCTGACAAACTAATGATAGATCATAATCCAAATGTCAATAATCTTAATTGAATTAGTTTAATTAATGACAATTATTAAGGAAATTACAGAAAATACATTCAACTTGTATCTTCACATTTAATTATCGTTTTACTGTTATTGTAACACTTTGAGACTTTTTGTTAATTGTCATCAAATTGTCATTTTAGTTTGACAATCAAACTTGAACGACAATATCTTGTAGAATTATTAATTTAATCTTTGTATATCTTATCATTTACAGATTTAACTAACTAATGTGATCCCGGAAATCGGATTTGGAGAAACAATTACAAAGAGGATCCAAATTGGAAAAGTGATTAAAAGTTAATTTTATTCAATGAAACAATGAGCAATTTAAGGAGATCAATGAACAATTAGTAATAATTATGATTAATCGAATACAATTAGGATAGATTTGGATCGAAAGATACAAAATTAACTATACTTGTAAGTACTTTTGTTCAATTGAAAATATCGTAATAACAATTAGTGATTATTTTAAATTTCTCACTAATTATTAATTGAGTAAAATCTCATTTTCATTTTCTTGTCTCTTCCAGTGGCTATGATGATGATGCTGATGATGATGAGCAGGAAATGGATGGACAATTGGAGGTTTAACTGTTTCAACTGTAAACGGAAGTGGAATCGGCAATGGAAGTGGAACTACCCCAATGCCCGGAGGTGAAATAACGGCAGCGGTTAAAATTAATTTCAATAGCTTACGAGCCTCTCGATGAGAAAGTCTATAGCTGATTGTAATTGTTGGAACCATTAAGATGAATGTGATTGTGTAAATCACCACAAAGGTCAATGTTGATCGACTTAATAATCTCATGATTTCGATTAATTGAAAACGCAACAATTAATCACTACGGAGATGAAACTATTGACTGGTACAAATAACTGATAATTTAACTATGAAAGAGTCAACACATTTACTAAGTAATTTAGTTAAACAATTAAGATGAATATTAACTATGGTTGCAACTAAACAAACTGACCAAATTGGATTACTGACCGATGCTTTTATATATTACTGATTAGTGGGCAAAGATGATAACCTAATCATGATGGTGATTGATTTCAAGTTAACCAACCTGATGACAATTTTGATGGACAAAACAATCAAAGAAAGTTAATTAAGACATCAACTGAAAGATTTAATTAATGGTAACCTCAATGATTACCATTGCTTGACCATTACTTTTACAGTAATGTCGTAATTGTGATTTGCTTGAAAAATATATTCTCATCATTGTTTCCATCATTGACCATTGATTGTGGTCAACCATGTTAATCGTTGATTGTTGTAGGAGGAAAACAAATACAACCTCTTAATTAACTTGTAGAAATGAAGCAATTAACACAATTGTGATTGTTTCCTAAAATAAGTTAACATTTACTCATCTGATCAATTTTTTACTGTCCATTGTGATTTTCACACTAATTGTTTGGAGATAACTAATTAATTTTTTCATTATTATCTTGTAATTTAAGATTTACAACTTTGTCATTAAAGTGAAATCCTTAGTTGTTGATTAATCTTGACAACTTAACACTCATTGTTAATATGTAATTATTTCAAGTAGTTGATTATGTTTACATTGGTTTTATTTACAAATTAATAGTAATTATCAAGTTAACCATTTAAAGTTAAACAATCAACACTACGAATTGTAAAACAATCTGAAAGTTACAATTGGTTTTAATTTGCCACAATTAGAATCAAATGTAAACCTTGTCATTAAAACTTTCATTGAGACATCAAAGTGAATTAATTTGATCGTAAATTAGAAAACAATTGATTAACCTTTGGTAAATTGTCTACCATGATTAACAATACATAAAACAATGAGAAAAATAGAACTAGAAATTTGTCTTATCATTGATTATTCAATTACTTTCCATTACAATTTAATCATTAATTAAAATAGTAAAACATAATAAGATAAAACTCTTGAAAAATCAATGACAATCATAATCATTGTCTATTTGATTAGAATGAAAATTAATTACAACCAATTAAATCTCCCATTTATTACCACTAATCAGAGTAAAAGAGAACAATCAAAACAATTAAATTAACAATTTAACTAAAAGTTAGACTCATAATTGTAACAAAACATTTTTTGAATGTTTAGTTTTCTTAATGAAAACAAAACCAAAGAATCACTAATTAACAATCCTAAAGAAAATATGTTCAAATTGTAATTGTGAAGATTATCAAAACCAAATAAACTGATTAATTGACTAATCACCATAAAGAATGAACATAAATCAATATAATTAAATTGATTAAATAGTTAATTGAAATTGAGAAAGAGAAACAAATACAAAATCATCTCAATGTTTTTCCTTTGTAACTGAGATCGTGATTGAGATGATGATTGTCACTTACCTTTAGACAATTAATTAATACCTTTATCGTAATTAGAGAAGCAATTGGTTGATTGTAAATTCGTTAATTAACAAGAATATGAAACAAATTAGAAAGAAATTATGAAAACAGCTCAAAAAGAAGGCGAAAAACTAGAAACAAAAATGAAAGAATAGAAAAACTGATCAGCTGTTAAGGAGAGAAAGAGAAGAAAAGAAAGAGTAAGAAAGAGAGAAAGAGGAAAGAAGAGAGAAGAGAAAAAAACGACACCGGGTTAAAGAGAGAAAAATGATTTTCTAAACGATTGTTAATCACAATCAGATAATTAACTTGGTGCCTTCCCTTTCTCTATTTGATGCTTCGACTCTCCTTCACAATCACAATCAACAGCAATCAACGTAAATGATTAACAACAATTAGTGTTCACTCAATTTCCTTCAATTTTTGGTCTCTATGGTGTTTCCTATGTGACCCTTGTTGTGTTTTCCTTGTCTAATCCTCTCATTTCAGTTGACCAGTTTTCATTTTAATTAAGTAATTGTTTCAATTTTCTTGTCATCTAATTAACCCTGATTGTCCATTCCACTCGAATGGAGCATTTTTGTGGTCACAATTTTTGGGTAAGTCGAATTTTCTATCAATTCAACTTTTTCTCTATTCTCTTTCTCCATGTTGTTTTCTACTTCTATTTTCCATATACCCTTTTCATTTTGTTGTTCTATTTACCTTTTCAATTTCAATTTCAAATTCTATTCTTTTTTTTTGTTAATTTATTTTCTATTCTCCAGGATAATCAATTAACTTGGAATACAACATCTCCATTATTTACACCATGTTTTGGACAAACCTTGTTAACTTGGATTCCCTGTGGTTTCCTCTGGATTGTTGCGCCTTTTGTACTACACAAATTGATTCGTTCACCTTCCAGAATTTTACCCTGGACTTTGTTGAATTTAAGTAAAACAGTTAAGTGTTGACAGTGATTTTCCTCTGCCCGCAACAATCAGTTAATTTAACCAATTGAGCAACTAAATTGTTACTGACACAGTGTCTCCGAAATTATCTATTCAATTGTCACCAAACTCTTTCACTTTACTAACTTTTTATCCTCATTTCCATTTCAGATTTTAGCATTACTATTAAGTGTAACCTCTGCTGTCCAATTGATTGCTTCCATTTTGGATTTAGTTGAATTTAAGTAAAACAGTTAAGTGTTGACAGTGATTTTCCTCTGCCCGCAACAATCAGTTAATTTAACCAATTGAGCAACTAAATTGTTACTGACACAGTGTCTCCGAAATTACGCCATCATCATCATCATCATACCCACGCTTGGTTGAACTTTAGCTTTAATTCTCCTTCATCGTCGTAAAGGTGTCCACTCTTCCGGTATTCTATTCATTTTTTGGCTTCTACTGACCATTGGTTCTGCTATTTATTATTGGACGTTAATTGACACTGTTATTGATCCGGTTAGTAGCTGATTAAACCATCAATTTGTTGTTAATCATGATCGATGATTGAAAACTATCAACTTTTTTTAGTTACTTTTGTTATTGATGTTTTCATTGAATGAAGGGCAAGCAAATATTAACTGATGAAAAACATACTAACAGGAGATATGATTGTTTTACCTTATCCACTTAATAAGACAATTGGTAAAATCTTATGTAAACTAAATCGTTGATTATGACATTAATCAATGTGTTTGTGTGTGTGTGCCTCTTGACAATTATCATTACTTTCTATTGTCTTTCTATTGTGTTTACCAAATTTAATCTTTTATTGGTTTAGTGAGATGATGATGATCATTCTCATGATTATCATCATTTTAATTTCTTTGCTTGTTTCTAATTGCGACTTTATTGCCCAGTTTAATTGGATTTACAATCGACAATTTAGTCAGGACTTTTACATGATCATAATTAATAATTTATTTTCTCTCCCTCTCTCTCTCTCTCTCTTTCAGAATGACAAGTATTGGACGATTGATAAAATTACTTTCATATCTCAGTCAATTCAGACTCCAGCCATTTTGTGTTCGTTTTTATTATCATGTTTTGCTGATACACGGAGAGAGTATTTTACCGCTGGTGAAGATTACAAAGTAATTAATTACCGATCAAATCATTCTAATTGTAATTTGATTTCTGGTTCATTTGTACTCCCATTACATTTGTAACCAAATCTTACATTAGCACAGAGACTCATTGGAAACTCTTTGATTCTCTTCCTCCCTAATTATATTTTTCGCTAATCAGATGGAAATCTTAACAATCAAATACATTGAAACAAGATGATTATCGATGATATTTTACTGAGAATCTAATTGGAATTTGCTCTGAGAAACCCAATGAGCTTATGTGTTAATGTTACATAACTAATATACTCTCGATTCTAATTGTTTATTTCTCATTCTTTCCAATTTAATTTAACAGAATGAATGTCCACTTCTAAAAGCATCTTTTCTCAATCAAATCACTTTCTGTTGGTATGATTCTATGGGCTATTTGGGTTTCAAAAAATCGCTCACTCAGGATGATATGTGGGATCTTCCCGTGGAGAATAAAACGGAAAAAATTTATGACCTATTCCGTCGATATTTGGAAGACGCTATCATGTATACTTTCAATACTAAACAGAAATATCAAAGCGGAATCGTTAATACGGTCGAGGACATGACGATAATCAGTGTTAACGTCGTTCTCCCACTTTTCAAAGCCTTTTGGCCTCAACTTCTTGGCTGTGGTCTAGTTAAACTATGCTCCAGTTTTCTTACCTTTGGTAATCCTCTTCTTCTAGACCAGTTAATCGCCTTCGTCGCCAGCGATGATCCAAATTGGCGAGGTTACGTTATTGCCTTAGGAATGGCGGTTTGTTCACTCCTTGAATCTATGCTTAACGGTCAATACGAGTTCTGGATTAATGTAACATCCATGCGAATGAGATCGGCGTTAATTGCAAGTATTTATCGAAAGGTAAGATTTCCTTTGATTTGCACTTCCATTTTCGATTGTAACATTTTCTTAATTGTAATCGTTTCTTTATTGCTAATTAATTTATAGAGTTTAAAATTATCCAGCTCAGGAAGGAAAGATTTTACTGCCGGTGAAATTGTTAATTTAATGGCTGTTGATACCCAACGAGTTGTTGATTATATCAATATTTACAATCTTCTTTGGGCGGCACCGATTCAAATTTTTCTCGCTCTCTATTTACTTTGGAATCAATTAGGAGTCGCTTCTCTTGCTGGTATTGCTGTGATGATTATTTTAGTTCCAATTAATGGTTTTATTACCGTTAGACTGAAAACCTTACAAGGTCGATTGATGGCACAGAAAGATAAGAGAACTAAATTAATGAGTGAAATTCTGAATGGAATTAAAGTTCTTAAATTGTATGCTTGGGAAGGAGCTTTCGGCGATCTAGTGACAAATATTCGTGATGTTGAGATATTGGCCCTTCGAGGTCAAGCTAAATTATCGGCTGGTATTGTATTTGCCTTTTCGTGTGCACCCTTTTTTGTGAGTAATCTAATATCAAACAAACAATTAACTTTGTAACTGATTGATTAACTTTGTGCTTCTTTTATATTTCAGGTCGCGTTCGCTAGTTTTTGTACCTTTGTCCTAATCGATTCGAATAATATTCTAGACGCAAATAAAGCGTTTGTTTCTCTATCATTATTCAACATTCTGAGGATTCCGTTGGCCCTTCTTCCTATGGTAGTTTCTTATGGTGCTAATGTAAGTGTTTTAACCTCTTTGTCTATTTACATATTAATTGTTTAAATTTTTATTTCTTTGTTTCTCTAGTTTGTGATATCAATAAAACGAATCAATAAATATCTTCAAGGCGATGAAATTGATCCGGAGACAATTCAACATGAACCTAATCAAAAAAATCCCGTCGTCCTTAGGAACGGAACCTTTAGTTGGTCTAAAGAGGAAACTCCAGTTCTTAACGAGATGACTCTCGATATTAAGGATAGAAGTTTAGTCGCTGTTGTTGGTCAAGTTGGAAGTGGTAAATCATCATTACTGTCCGCTCTTCTTGGTGACCTTTACAAGACTGATGGTTATGTTAACGTCTATGGTAAAATTGCTTATGTCCCTCAAACAGCGTGGATTCAAAATGCTACAGTCCGTCAGAATATTACCTTTTCTCAGCCTTATATTCAAGATAAATATGATAAAGTGATTGAATCTTGTGCCTTGTCTCAGGATTTGAAAATATTGACCGGTGGGGATTTAACTGAAATCGGTGAGAAGGGAATCAATTTGAGTGGAGGTCAGAAACAGAGAGTTAGTCTCGCTCGAGCTGTTTATTCAAATGCCGATATTTACTTCTTGGATGATCCTTTAAGTGCAGTCGATGCTCATGTTTCTCGTCACCTTTTCGATAAAGTTATTGGTCCAAACGGAATACTTAAAAAGAAAACACGAATTTTAGTTACCCATCGGGTCACTTTCCTTCCTCAAGTCGATGAAATTATCGTACTTAAAGATGGACGTATCACTGAGCAAGGAACTTACGCCGAACTGTTGGCCAAAGATGGTGAATTCGCTCAATTCTTGCTACAGTTTGTAAGTGAACATCATGATGAAGAATTGGCAGCTGAAGACAAAGAAATCATCGAACAATTAAAAGAGAAAATGGGTCCAGAATTACAGAAAAGAGGGTCATTGATTAAATCGGAAACAATTTCTGAAAGTTCTGATGGAATTCGTAGACGAACAATGTCCAATTCATCTCGCCCTTCCTTGAGAAAGTCTAACAACTCTCGAAGTGTATCACAGCTTCGTGAAGAACCAGATTCAGCTAAACAAAACAACGAAAAGTTCCGTTTAGTTGAAACGGAAGTCGCTCAAACCGGAAAAGTTAAATGGGACGTTTATTGGGACTTTTTGAAAGCCTGTAGTTTAATATCATGTTTATTGGTAATGATTGCATTCTGTTTATCGAGTACCTTCAACTTACTTTCGAGTCTATGGTTAACCGAATGGAGTAACGATTCGCTGGATCCCGCTTCTGTCAATGATACAACTTTGAGAAACACTCGTTTAGGTGTTTACTTTGGCCTTGGCCTGTTGGAAACAACATTCACCCTGACCAACAGTATTATCCTTAACTTTTCAATTCTTAAAGGAGCCAAACTTATCCACGAGCAAATGCTTTACCGTATAATAAGAGCACCGATGTCATTTTATGATACAACACCTTTAGGTCGTATATTAAATCGTTTCACGAAAGATATCGATGTCGCTGATGTTACATTGACTTTCAATATTCGAATGTTAATCTCACAAAGTTTCCGTGCTATCGTGGCCATAATCGCCATTTGCTTAGAAACACCTTACTTTTTGCTTGTCGTTATTCCGGTTGGTGCTGCTTATGTTTTTGTTCAGGTAAATTTAGTTGCAATTGTTATGATTATTAGAATATGGATATTCATTTGTTTTTCTCTTTTTACAATTCCAGAAATTTTACATCGCTTCCTCTCGACAATTAAAGAGAATTGAATCTGTAACCAGATCTCCGGTTTATTCCCATTTCTCGGAAACCGTTTCAGGAGCCACTTCCATTCGAGCCTATGGTTGCAATGAAAGGTTCATTAGCGAGTGTTACCACAGAGTTGATGTGAATCACACTTCCTATTTTCCTAATTTAAGTTCAAATCGTTGGTTAGCAATTCGACTTGAATTTCTGGGTAATGTGATTGTCTTCCTTGCAGCAGTTTTTGCGGTCACGTCGCGAGGTATTTCAAGTCCAGGTTACACTGGACTATCGGTCAGTTATGCATTAACAGTAACCCAAGTACTGAATATGTTGGTTCGAGCCGTTTCCGATGTTGAAACAAACGTCGTCTCAATTGAAAGAGTTCTAGAATATACTAAAACCCCTATGGAGGTAATTACTTGTTTCGGAACTAATTATGTCAATTTTTTGAAAACACTTTTTGATGGAATCATTTTTTTTCCTCTTCCTCCTTCTCTGTAACATTCAGGCACCTTGGGACTTGCCCAAGAAAAGTTCGCAGTCAAATTGGCCTGACAAGGGTCAGATCGTTTTCAACAACTATAGCACCAGATATAGACCAGGTTTAGATTTGGTATTGAAAGAAATATCTTGTACAATTAAGCCTAATGAAAAGGTCGGTATTGTTGGCCGAACTGGAGCTGGTAAATCATCGTTAACATTGGCACTGTTTCGAATAATCGAACCAACTGGTGGTCGAATCGAAATTGACAATCAGGATATCGCTCAATTAGGACTTCACAATTTACGATCTCGACTCACTGTCATCCCGCAAGATCCTGTTCTTTTTTCGGGCAGTTTTCGACGTAATTTTGATCCATTTGAAAAGTACACCGATGGTGAAATTTGGAAAGCATTAGAGTTATCTCACCTTAAAGGTTTCGTTGATTCCCTGGAATCAGGTCTTAATTATGAAATCGCCGAAGGAGGTGAAAACCTAAGTGTTGGACAGAAACAATTAGTTTGTTTAACTCGAGCTTTACTTCGTAAAACAAAAGTTCTTGTTCTAGATGAAGCAACAGCCGCGGTCGATATTGAAACCGATGAACTAATTCAACAGACTATTCGAAAAGAGTTCGCCGATTGTACCATCGTAACCATTGCTCATCGTCTAAATACAATTATGGATTATAATAGAATCATCGTCATGGATAAAGGAAAAATCGTCGAATTTGATTCACCAGAAAATCTTCTCAAAGATTCAAAGTCAATCTTCCATTCGATGGCAAAAGAAGCAAATTTAATCTAATGATCAACAATCAACATCACTTTTCATCCATCAGTTAATTGTCACTTACAATTTTATCCACTTCGATGATTGAAACCTCGGCACTTTTTCAGATCACGACTTTTTCGCTCTCATCAAAACTTTCCCTCTCTTCACCTTAATTTCATCAGACTTTTCTAGTCTCGAATAATTCAAGCAACACCAAGTCTTAATTACTCTCCAATTTTTTCTCTCCAAGATGAGATTCATTTTAATCGGATTGATTATCTTAAATCTCCTCATTATCCTTATCCTTATCTTCATCCTCATCTCTTCATTAAGTCAAACCCTCAAGTGACCTTCAACTAATTATATTTACAATTGAATATAAAAACTAATGAAACTATATTGATGTTTATCATTAGATCAATATAATCATGAACCAAATGTGAACAATTTAATTCTTACAGTTAACCAGTTTTCACCATTGCCATTATTATGTACCTTTGATTTAATTACCATCAAAATTGTTTTATTAATCATTAATCGTCCAACAATTAATCTTAATTCTTCCTCTAATTGAGTCATATTTTTCTATATAAATAATCATATTACATGTTAATTAATTATTCGTATACAAATTTTAAGAATAAATTAAATCCTGAACCAATTAAGTTTCGTATCATTTTACAATATTGTTAAATTGAAACATTCTAATTGTTGGGACAACAATTAAACGATAACTAGACAATGTTGATTAATGAAAACTGTTAATCATTTCAATCAAATGTTGATAATCATCTTAAATTGTGATGACAATTAAACCTTGAACTGTTTTTATTATGCACAATTGAGTTAATTTGTTAATTCGTTAATCATAATCAACCTTGATTGTTATGAAAGTGAAAAAAGTTATGATTTCATTTTCACATTTAAAAGATTAATTTTATTACACTAATCATAATTATCTAAAATTGATTGTCATTCAATTTCCTATGACCATGATTAGCGATCTAATTAGTTAACTATTAGGATATTTAATTTTCAATTGATGATCAATTCTTGACCCATACCCGGAGGCACAATTAACAAATTATTTCATTAACAATAAGTTGAATTTGTGTCAAGGTTAATTTTCATCATAAAGAATACAATTAACAATTAAAACACGATTAAGGATCAACTCTCATTTTCATTAGTAATTAACAATTAGGAAATTAAATTTACTTCGTTAAATTGTTGAACTTTAATTGTGATGTTTCAAATTAATTGTTGTTCTGCTAATCAGTTGAGTCCAATCGGATCAATAACATTGATTGTCTACAATCAATTCGTCATCAATTTAATCAATTTTAATGCCAAAGAATATCGGATTAAGATTAGTCCGAATTTCCGTCAAGACCAAACTTCGAACTGAATTTAATGACAATTAACACATTCGAATGTATCTCTAACTAGGAATTTAGAACTTGTCCTAATCACGGAAAAAAGAAAAAAAAATCGAAGAGGAAAAAGTAACATTCGAATTTAATTTAATTGTTGTAGTTAGAGAAACGAATTAATTTGTTGTTCGATTAACTTAATCTTCGTAATCTGGAGAAAAGATTAATCTGGATAATCGAGAATCGTTTTCATCGTCTTAGAATCCTGGTGAATATTAAATTAATTGTTCGGTAATTTAATCTTCAATAACAATTAGAAATGTAATTTAATTTGATAACCTTGAATTACCTTTAATTTGATTGATTTGAGAAATCAACGAAATTGTAATCCAGAGCTTCCTCGTTTAATTTTTTACGATCAATTTTCCATAATAGATTTCTAATTGTTGTCAATTGATTAGCTTCATATTTCATAATCATGATAATTAACAAACAATTATTTACGGATTCATGATTTGTTTTGATTGTTTAATTCAAATGATTCGGATCGGCATTGAAGGAAAATGGAGAGAAGTTAATTGTTAGTTAATTGTTAGTTTTGATTGTTCACTGGAAAAAAAAGATAAGTGAAAAAAAACGAAAAATTCCCATTGATTAATTTGTTGATTGTGTCAATCAACTCCAACTTTAATTAATCTCAAACAATCAACTAATTTGATAACTTTTTCAATCAAAAAGTTTGTTTTTCTCGAGAATCAGCTGATCGACCCTTCCAATCACCTCAAAGGTTTGTTATTGTTTTTATTTTCACCTCTCTTGCAAATTAAATGATTTATTGTTAATCCACACTAATTTAGAATGAGATTAAAGTTAATTGTAGTTAAATTATGCTAATGAATTGAAGAGACGCCCAAATTGTCATCAACTCACTTTTCATCTTGCAGTCAATGAAAACCACATTGTCTTTTGTTTTCACTTTTAATTATACAGTTTCAAGTTTCTGTTAAATTAACTAAATTACCTTGAATTAGATTGTTTCATTTTAATCATCATTCAGATTCAACTTTTCCATTCAAATTGTTGGATCCTTTGTGATGGCAACAATTAACTAGTTACCTTTTTGTTTACATTTCAGTCAAACAAAACACTTACCTTTCCAATTGAGTTGTGGCTTTTTCCCAATCGGATATTTAATTTATTTACTTTATCACAATCATCTCTCGTTGTTTAATTACCTTAATAAGTAAGTTGATTTACTAATTGATCGATTGTTTCTCTCTCTTTCTAGAAATTTAATCATTTAGACATTTGTTTTTCTTTTCTCTCTCAATGTGATTTTTTGTTCTTTTCTTTCATTTTTTCTCATTTTCTTTTCTCTTCTCCATCATTCAACTTCTCATATTCGGTTAATCCTTTTTTTTTCTTGTTTTCTTTTCCATTTCTACTTGTTTATCCATCGATAACCCTGTGATTATCTATTGTTGAGAATTTCATGGGCTGGGTTAGTGAGAGATCTTGTTGATCTTCACATCTCGTTTCTCATTCTGTTTGCTTCCCTTCATCGTTTTAATTGTTATTCTGTTTTCTTTTTTTTCTCTGTGTTCAATTGTGTCTTCATCTTCTTCTTCAAGAATGGATGTTCTTAAAACTCTTGGTCTTGCTTTCTACCATTGGATTGAAGCGATTATTTTGTTCTTTGTCCCTCGACAATTACGACTTAAGGATATCTCTAAAGATGTTGTTCTAATCACTGGAGCAGGAAACGGAATTGGTAGACTTTTAGCTCTTAAACTTGCCAATGAAGTGGAATCTCTGGTTCTCTGGGATATTGATGAGCATCGGCTTCAAGAAACTGGTCGAGAGGTTACCAGAATCGGTGGAAAGTGTAAATGTTATGTTGTCGATATTTCCGATAGGAACAAAGTTTATTCAACTGCTGAGAAAATTAAACAAGATGTTGGTACAGTTTCAGTGGTGATCAACAATGCTGGTATTGTCTCTGGTAAACCGATCCTTGAATTGTCCGATGAAGCCATTTTGAAGACATTTGAAGTCAATGTTTTCTCTCATTTCTGGATAAACAAAGCTTTTCTTCCTGGAATGATGGAGAAAAATAAAGGTCACATCATCACCATGGCTTCAGTTGCTTCTTTTGTTGGTTCAGATCGATTAACTGATTACTCTGCTTCCAAAGCTGCTGCTTACATGTTACAAGAGGCTCTTTTCTTGGAACTTGCCACCGATGGTTATGATGGAATCAAAGTTACCTCAGTTTGCCCTTATTTCATCGACACTGGAATGTTCCAGGGGGTTCATGACAAGGTTATTCCAATGTTGAAACCTGATTATGCTGCGGATAAGATCATTGAAGCTTATAGAACTGATCAATTCCTTATTGTTTTACCAAGATTTTTCTACTTCATGAATACTATCAAAACCATAATTCCAGCAAAAACTGGCTTTTATCTTTATTCCTTGTTGGGTGGACTTTCAATGATGAAAACTTTCGCTGGTCGAAATAATAACGTTGATAATGGAAAAGTGAAAAGTAATTAAATCAATAGAAAACAACAACAATCAACTATCATCTCAATTTGTATCATCAAGCTAAAGAAACTAAGTTAGATCAACATCAAATTTACTCTTGACTAACAATCATTTAGGAAAAATGATTAACTGTAAAGTTTTTTTTTCTTATCTTGATTGCTCATCATCAACTTTAATTCCTTCCTCAAACTTTCAATGCTCATTAAATTGTTAAAATTTCATAATTATTAATAAAAACAAAACTCAATGGGTGTTTGGAAATCTATTTATCACCTTGAAAAATTTCATTTGTTCATTTATTTTCCAATACGATTAAGCTAACTGATAACTGTGCGAATCAATGAAAAAATTAGAAAATGATTGATTAGGTTAATAGTGAAATCGAAGAAAAAAATAATTAAATTTTGTTCTGATCAACTGATGAGAGAAAAAATTTTCAAAAGAATTTGAATTTACCGCTTAAAAAGAAGATGGAAAAGCGTAACCATGGATACGCTGCGGAAACGGAAATGGTTAAGACGACAAGAATAAGTTGAAAGCAACATTTTAATTTCTTGTTGTTTTTTAATTGTGTTTGTTAATTAGTTTTTGGTTTAATTTAATCATTTAATTTAATTACAATGGCTGATGCTCAGTGAGTATTGATGTTTATTGACCATTTTTCGTGATGTTTTCACATTTTCTGTGGAATTTGTTTTGTTTCTGTTGATACTTAGTTTCTCCATTGACTCTCCTTTGGTCATCATGTTTTAATGATTCGTTTTTCTATTTCTCTTTTGGAACTTTAGGACCGCCGCTAAGGCTAAAAAGCCAACTGTCGCCGCTACCAAGGCACCCGCTTCAGGTATTGCTAAATTACCAACTATTCCTGAATCTTTGTTAAAGAAGAGGAAACGAGCAGCAAAGCTTAAAGCAAAGTCTATTTCAAATGCTTTGAAAAGAAGAACTGTAAGTATTCTTATACTTATTTCCAATTGATTAGTTGATTTAATATTAACTGTGGCAATTTTGTTTTGTAGATTTTAAAGCAGAAAAAGGCTGATATCTTTAAGCGAGCAGAGAAATATGTCAAGGAATACAGATTAGCCGAACGTGATACTATCCGTCTGAAGAAACAAGCAAAGAGTAATGGAAACTACTACGTTGAACCAGAACCTAAATTAGCTTTGGTTATGCGAATTAGAGGGTAAGTGTATCTCATGTTAAATTTCATTCCCTATTTTACTAATATTGGTGTTTATTTCTCCACATTTATAGAGTTAACGGACTTAGCCCTAAGCCCCGAAAGGTTCTTCAACTACTTCGTTTAAGACAAATCAACAATGCTGTTTTTGTTAAATTAAACAAGGCATCTCTCAACATGCTCCGAATTGCTGAGCCTTTCATTACTTGGGGTTATCCAAATTTGAAAACAGTTCGTGACCTCATCTACAAACGTGGTTTCGCCAGATTGGACCGTAAACGAACTGCTCTTACTGACAATAGGATAATTGAACGTCGTTTGGGTAAACGAGGAATCATCTGTATGGAAGATTTAATCCATGAAATCTATACAGTTGGAAATAACTTCAAGAAAGCCAATAACTTCCTCTGGCACTTTAAATTGAACAATCCTTCAGGTGGATGGCGTAAAAAGGTTACACACTATGTCGAGGGTGGTGACTTTGGTAATAGAGAAGATAAAATTAATGAACTTGTCAGACGAATGATTTAATTTGATTTGAAAAGTAATTCGATAATAAATGCTGTTTTGTCAATAAATGACAATGGTAATTTATTTTCATATAAACGTGTTTTACAATTTACAATGACTTGAGGTATTTATTGAAATCTAATACACTAGTATGTGAACATTTTTCAACGAAACTACTAAGATTATATGAACAAAGATATTCCAAAGCAGTGAAACAAGGTTTTGTCGGATCGGGTTGGAAAAGATTCAATGATTTAAGATAATTAATTCGAGCCACCATAGATTTAATTTGACGGTTAAACATTGTGGTGTTTTCACAATCAGTTCCTTGGAATAACCATTTTTCCAATGTAAAAGGTCAAACGCTTTTTCCAGCTGATTTCGACCTTGAAAACAAAAGCAACAATTAGTTGACTCATTTAATCATTTTCTCCCATAAAACTTTACCTCGGTAAATTGCCGATGGAGCTCCAACAATCACTTGTCGTGTTTGATCATCAGTTAATTCCATTATATAGTTGGTAACGAAAGAGATTTCCTATGAAAGATTAACGATTATATGTCAATATTATTGTATTAGTTAACGAATCAATTATTTTCTACTTACTTTGAATCTAATATGAGAAAAGTGAACAACTTTCGGGCTATTTGAAACAATCGATCTAACATCATCTCCGGTTAGTTTGAATTCTCTTTGTAAACAGCCCAGGGAAGCATCGATTCTCTTGATTGAGAAATTAAGGAAAAGAGGATAACGTCTAAGAATCAATTCGACCATTTCTTTGGTGAATTTTTTACTCTTCAAATATTCTAATCTAATTTTTAAATTTTCAATTGTTTCACGGAAAATGAGAGGATTACATGTAATCCAAGTACCAAGTTCATCATCTGTTATACCGATTCTTTTCAAGAATATCAAATGATTCTTAACATCTCTTTCAAAATCCAATCGAATCAAATATTGAGCAATTTCACGATCTTGTTCAAGAACATAAAGATTAACACCAAGATCAACTAAACGTTGAAGAGTCGGCATCTGTTAATGTAATGAGCTAAATTGAAGGTATTCGCATCGATTCTCTTGATTGAGAAATTAAGGAAAAGAGGATAACGTCTAAGAATCAATTCGACCATTTCTTTGGTGAATTTTTTACTCTTCAAATATTCTAATCTAATTTTTAAATTTTCAATTGTTTCACGGAAAATGAGAGGATTACATGTAATCCAAGTACCAAGTTCATCATCTGTTATACCGATTCTTTTCAAGAATATCAAATGATTCTTAACATCTCTTTCAAAATCCAATCGAATCAAATATTGAGCAATTTCACGATCTTGTTCAAGAACATAAAGATTAACACCAAGATCAACTAAACGTTGAAGAGTCGGCATTCGGTTAATGTAATGAGCTAAATTGAAGGTATTCGTAAGAGGAGGCATCAGATCGTCTAGATAATCAAGATCAACATTCTCGGAAAAAGGAGACATATCAACATCTAAACGTTTATCATAAATTATTAAATCGTCATCATTAATTTGCTTCATCAACTGATCCATAATTTTTTGTTTATCCAATTGATGAGCTTCAACAATTGGTAATTGATTGTTTTGTATCACAGTTACAGAAGAACAGGAAACACTTTTATTGATTAGACATTTAACTGCTCCCCTAACCAAGGATGGACGGAAACACCGTCCAAAAAGCATAATAACAATTTAAACAATTTAAATGGAAACAAAATTAAATCATAAACAATCCAACATGAGGTTTTCATATCAACACAAAAACAGAAAACATTTGTTTCTTTGGCGCGAATTTTGAATTGGTTTTAATCGAAATAAATAAAAATCAAAATCGACCAACAGTTAAATAAATTGCGGAAAAAAAATTGAATTAATTGTTAACTATTCTTCTCTTAATTACTCAACAGAAATTTCTTTTGTTCTTTTTTCCATACAACCATATTGGTTTTCTTTTTCTTACTAATTTACATTAATTACAATTAAGAAACAAGATGATTAAGTTTCGATGCAAATCACGAAATTTGTTAATCACAATCAATCCGACCTAATTGTTAGTTGATCATAAGATAAATGAACCTGAAAAAAACAACAAATTGATAATTAGTAACAATTAAGTAAACCAAATTGAATCATAAACATTACTATTAAAGTGAAAAAAGTAAATTAAACTAATTATGAATCAATTAATTGTCTAAAACAAATGTCAACGTTTTCATCCTTAGTGAATTAATTAATTAAAGACCAACACTAATCAGTTTAATTGACCAATTGATTAAGTTTCCGGTTTAGTGTGGGCGCCATGATTAACTCACTTTCTCTCTTAATCATCGTGATTATCATCAACATAATCAACACAATCTCAAGTTAATTGTGCAATTAACTTCCGCATCGATTCATAATCAATTTGATGGTTTCTCTCAACTGGTCAGTATTAAATTGTTGGCGTTTGTTTTAATTTTAAATAGATTTTAAATCAAAATTAATTAACAATTATAACTCAGTTTTCCTAACATCTAATGAAACAATAAAATAAATTGTTGATTAACAGCTAAATTTAGATCAACTGAATTAAGGAAAAATGTTTCCGTTGATGAAACATCAAGGATCATTGAATCATGAATATGATAAGAATTGTTTTAATCTTGTTGACAAGTTGTTGTTGTTGTTACAATTGATTATTTTGATTGTCCATCATCAAGATGACCAAGACTGACCACTAACAATCAGAATAAGTAATTAGTTTACAGGGTGAACAAGATTAATGAGAAAAACGAATCAAGTCTTTCCTGTCTTGCTGCTTTTTCGTTGATTATTTTTTCGTCTTCGTCTTGTCCACTCGAAAGTGACCATTACCTTGTTGAACTTGTACCTTGCGATATTCAGTTCCCACCCATCGAAATGTATCTTCCTCTTTTCATCTTCTCAAAGTCCATCTTCGAGTTTACTGAATCTTTTGTGAACGAATATAAAAAAAAAACAGTTTCGACTTTTGAACGAACGAGAAAAAAGTAGAACATGAAAAATGAGCCTGAACAGGTTTACGTCAAGAAGATACAATAAAGGCTCAGATGAGGGAGAAAGTGAGATGATGATGATGATGATAATCATCTTAATTCCTTTCTAACATGATGATTATTGTGGTGAATTCTGTTTATCCCTCTAACAGAAATCTTATTGATTGTTCATCGAGTTTAAATTGATTAGAACCATGAAGTTTATTACCTTAGTGTTAACTCTCATTGTAATTGTACACCAACGAAACAAATACTGATGAGACAAGTGATGAAAGTGAAGATGAGGATGATAATTATCAGTATCATGTTAATCATGTTAATCAAACTCTCGATCTATTAAATAGGTGGGCCAAAATCACCGAGAACGCAATTCAAATGGTCGTTAGTGAGGCGATGCCTCATGCGACTGAATTTGGGTACAGATTTAATATCAACGAAAATTGTATTCTAAGTTTATTACAATTAGTTAATGGTTTTCGCAAACAAAAAGCTTGGGCATTTAAATGTGAGTGTTAATTGTTAACAATTTGTTACAATTTATGGTTCCAATCAATCAAATTCAATCAACAATTAACTTATTAATAGTAGTTGATGATAACCGAAAAAAGTTACACTTGAGAATTGAACTTTTTTTTTCATTCATTCTTATTCCTTAATTGTTGTGATAAACTTAATTTCTTGCACACAATTAACTTTCTATTTACTTAATAATCTTTTTTTAGTATTTAAGCAATTAGAGTATAGTTAATTGTATCAATAATCTTATTAAATCTCATCGATATTTGTTGATTGTTGTGATTGAAAAATCTGAGAAATGATAAAAGTTACAATTTGATTTTGAGATCAACTTAATTTGTGTTGATTTTTTTGTTTGATGATTAAATTGATTTGTACTTGATTTTTTCGCTTTCTAATTTTGTGATCCTCTTGATTGTCCAGTAATTGATTCTTATGGTCGACCAGCCCCCGGATCATTAGATGGAACCGTTAATTCACTTGGTGATTACGATGAATGTCTGGCAATTGAATTTCCGAGATACTTTGGTGAAGAAACTGCGATCACTGGGAAATATTGTACAATTAGAATTGATTTTCCAGTTCCAGAGAAACCAAATCGAGTTAAATTCAGTGATCAACCTGGAATACAATTAAATGGAACTCATCTAAATGAGACAGTTTGGGGATACATGATTAAATATCTTCGAACTGCATATACAGTTCGAGGATTTCGATTCGGAGTTTGTATTCCATCGACATGTTCAGCAGATGAATTGGAACCAATTATACGTAAAGGTAACAATTAAATCTAATTCACTTTTCTCAATTAACCTTCTCAAACTTTTCTGCCTCTCATCAAACTTGATCTTAACTTGATTATCATTTCATATCAAAAAGTAACATGATCAATTTAAATTGTGATACTTTCATTTACTAACATGATTATCTTGCGGAAGTTAAAAAATTAACCTTTTAATTGCTAAATCATAATCACACCAAATGACAAACAAACCAAATTTAAATGACAACCTTTGATTGTTATTGATGAAGAAAAATTAGTTAATTTTTCCTCACAAATCAAGTATTATCATCCTGTCAATCTTGACCAGTTAGTTGAAAAATTGACCTTAACAATGACAATTAATGATTATTGTCAAAATTTATAAACAATCAACTTAATTTGTGGTTAAAAGTTTATGCCAATCGTTGATTAATCAATCAGATTTGTTGACTTTCCTAAGTTACTGTAGGTCAAGATGACGAATAACAATTTTGCTACATGATTATAATTGTTGATAATTAATTGTTGTTGATCTTTTCTTTTAGCTGCTTCCCCGATTCTGCAAATGCCTTTGACCTTCGGACCTGATGACGAGTGTACGGTTCGATCGGAGGTCATACCGTTGACCATTTACTCCAAAATATCGTTGATCTTTTTCGCAACCATCATCAGTATTGTGGTCACTTCAACCTTCTTGGATCTAGTTCTTGGCTTGACCATTCCAACCAAATCAAATCAATTTACATTCTTGTCATTAATTGTCCGACTTATTTCATGTTTCTCCGTTAATCAGGCCAATCAATATCTTTCCAAATCATCAGTAACAATTAAGGTGAACAAAATTTGTAACGGATTAACTGTGATAACATTGTGGTCACTCATCGTTGGTCATACTTACTTTTTCGGTGGATTTTACAAAACCTCCGAATTCATCAATCGCTGGACTGAAGATCTTCCGGTCTCAGTGGGTAAAATTATTCATCAGATTTTTCTGAACACTCATTTGTTCATGGACAGTTTGTTTTTCGTCAGGTTAGTGGTCAAACGAAATGTGACATTTTCCTGATTGTAAAATTTACTAACTAATCCTTTTAATTGTTTTCTCCTTTTTAATCAGTGGCGTTTCCTTGGGATGTTTAATGTTACCCAAACTTTCATCATCTAAATGGATTGTTAATTATTTAATCCTAGTTGTATCTCGATGGCTCCGATTTTTACCCTTGATTGCAGCGATTATATTGATTAATTATCTCTTTCCACACCTTGGGTCAGGTCCTGATTACAAGTCTCATGTTTATCAAATCATCGATAATTGTCAAACAAATTGGTGGCCTCATTTTCTTGGTATTGGTAATTGGTATGGAAACGTTGATACAATGGTAATTAGAGACAATTAATGCTCTTGATTGATGAGAAAAAGTAGCTAATTAACTTTTCTTTCTTTCAGTGTGCACCACAACTCTGGTACCTTTCAGCTGATTTACAGCTCCATTTAATTGCGATAATTATTTTCATCGGTTACCATTGCAGTGGTAAAACTGGATTAATAATTAATATCATCGTCATAATGGTCGGTATTTTATCATCAGCAATTAGTAACCTTTATTTCAACTACGACGCGACCTTTGGCTTGGACCATTTGGTTGACTACGAGTAAGTCTTGAAAACTGTTGACTGGCTAAATTATAACTAATCAACTAATTGCCCGTTCGTTTTTAATTACAGATCGTTACAGCGTCAATTTGATTCAACTTATTTTCCAACATATTTGCATTTATCTCCATTTGCTCTGGGCGTTTTAACTGCGCGATTAATTGAAAACCACACTGACCAAAGTAAATCACTTCAAATGACCACAATCAAATCAACTTTCATTTGGATTTTAACTTCGGCTTCAAGTTTAATCGCAATGTTTACCAGTGTTTTCTGGAACGATGTCAATGTCCAGTTCAGTTTGGACATTTCTAGTCGAGTTATTTTCGCTGGACTACAACGAACCCTTTGGTGTTCATTTTTAGCTTGGGCGATATTTTCATTTACCACCGGTGGTAAATCCAATTTTTTCACCAACACACTGACCTCTAATTGCTTCAGTGTTTTAAGTCGGTTGTCATTCTGTGTCTATGTAATTCACACCATTCCAATCGATCTGAGAACTTATTCCTTCAAATATACCAAATTGTGGGACGATCATTTCTTTGTAAGTGTTAATTGTTTCCATTGATTCATTGAATTAATCATTGTTTCTGATTTTTCCAATCTCCATTCAGATTTCTTGGTCTTTGCTCAATATTGTCTCATCAATTGCTATCGGTTATTTACTCTTCCTGCTTTTAGAGTTTCCAATGATCCAATTGATTAATTTGATGTTTAAATCAGATGAAAGTGGACAATTAGATGACAATCGTTCAGTAAATGTATCTAAATTTAAATTCACTTCCAGGATATCAAGTTTATCTGCAAGAAAAAACGGAAAATTTGAAATTAATCCAAGAGTTTAATTAAAGTATTAGTTCAAAAATCAAAATAAACACACAATCAGTTAATTGCTCAATCAATTTTTTTTTGTAATCTTATATCATCATTAAACTTTTCCTCCCAACAACTGACAACTTGTAAATCATAATATTGATGATTGTCAACAATTTAGCAACATTGTAAATCAAAAGCAAATTGATTCCAATCAAAATCTCATTAAACTGTTAATAAATCATTTTTCACTTTTCTTACTTTTGTATTACATGAATGAAGATATCACAATTTAAATTCAATTTTCCCAATCATTTCACTGATTAGTTGATACAAAGAATTAGCTCAATCTAAATCATATTAAGAGTGTTAATCTCAAATTAACTTAAAGTACAGTTTTAATTATTCAGACTTGATAATTAAGCTTATTGATTAGCTTCAAATTACCTTGACTTGTGAGTTGATTATTGTTACATTAGGGAAAGAAAAATTATCACAAAAAATGGATAAATTGTTAATCTGATTGTGATTTAGTTTCACCATTGATTCTAAACTGATCAAAGTGAAATAATTAAGGTCAATTTGAATCTGTTTAACTATAATAACAATAATAATTGATTGAAATTGATTTTTCTTTTCATCATTTTCAAGCATTTAAGAAAAGACCAATGTCTTACCAACAATCAATGTCCTTCAATTAATTGATTTCAATTGATTAACAACCAATAGATTATTGTTAGAAAATAGAAAAGTTAAATTAATCAGCTTGATTAGCAGTTGATTGTTGATCAGTTGGGGAAAATTTTTGATAGATCAGCAGAAAAACAAAACTAACCAAACTTGTTGATTATGTAAAAACCTTGTGATGTCAAAGATTGAATATCAATCCAATTGTAATCACGAAGACAACCAATCAATTACAATCAGTTTTCAAAAATTCAATCAAACTAATCAACATTTCGGTGAAAAAAAATCCGATCATTGAAACCAATCAATTAAAACATTGACCAGTGGATTAAGTTGTTACCAAGTTACAATGAGTAAAACCTCATAGAGGTTTTTGACCCTCGCCCCTTGGAACTAAACTCAAAGGTGTGATGATCATGATCAATTTCATCATCATCATCATCATCATCATCCCCATCATCTGCATCATTTTAATCAACCTCATGCTACCGGTTATCGGATTAACCCTGAGGCAAATCAAAAATCAATAGCGGTTCCCAATGAATAAACTATCAGGTTGTTGGAAATGTAGCTTTCCTTGACTTAAGCTTAATTTTCACTCTCACTCTCAAATAGTTATTAAATTATAGCTACTTACCTGTTCATATTCATGAATATATTCAGTCTGGTGAAAAAAAAAATCCCCACTCCAGGTTCACGTTAATTATAATCAGTTGATTGTCGACGGAGGCATTTTAGGTCTTTCATCTCGCCATCTAAATCAGTTCAACAATTTCCATTTTATTTACATCGGATTCACTTTGTTGTTTTCCTTAATTGTGATAATAATCATCATTAAACTGTCGGCAAACTGTTAATCCTCTCGAGTTAATTTCCATCTTTATCTTTTTTTTTAACTAATTGTTGTGTGTCCATTACCATCATCATCTTGATAATTACAAATGTGAATGTTGACCAGAAGAAATCAAAATCTTCCTAGGAAAAGAATCAACAACACAAAGAGATTCTGATAAAGAGAAAAGAACAAAAAAAAAAAAAGAAAGGAAAAAGAAATTAATTGTTACCTTGAGCTGTTTCAATCCTTCTTTTAATTAACTTACCTTTTGATTAGTGTTTTTTTTTACCTCTTACTGACCAACAAAAACCAACGAATTTATTGTGAAAAAGAAAAGAGAGTTAATTGTTTTCTTTTCTAAATTGTTCCTTCTTGTCGCCATTTTGGTTCTCTTCATGTTCGCTTTGTTATTTCCTTTCTCCTCTAATCACCAACCATCAACATCTTATTGTCTCCATTTTAATCTTCTACTGGTCTGTGTCCTCTTCTTTCAAAGAAAAAGTGATTAACGTGACTGTTTAATTAGCTTAATTGTGAAAAAGGTGGAAAAAAGAAAAGAATAAAAAACCAACCAAATTAAAACGTTTTCTATTCAAATTTAATACTCACTTGGTCATTTATCTTTCATTTTGAGATCATCATGTCAACAGAAAATGGCGGTTTCATCTTCTCCCTCGCAACAATTATTTTCCTCCTATTGGTAAGTTTAATTATTTAAATTTCTTTCCACCTTCTTAATTGCTCACAAATTGTCACTAATTTTGTAATGTTCAAGAAAATGTCACCAATTAACAAATTTAATTATTTAAATTTCTTTCCACCTTCTTAATTGCTCACAAATTGTCACTAATTTTGTAATGTTCAAGAAAATGTCACCAATTAACAAAAGACTTTCAAGTAAAACAATCAAAATGGCGACAACGGTTCTTATTTATGGTTGATTGAATTTCTAAGGTTAACATTTTCTGTCATCATCTTCATCAGGCCTTAAGAATATCATCAAAATTTAGACGATAAAATTGTTAATCTTTCAAACAAGATCAGTTTAATATTTCAACAAAACAAAGAAACAATTAACCGTTAATTCATCGTAATTATCAGTTAATAGGAAAAAGTAAAGAAATTCTGTCAACAAAATTGTCCTTCCTCCATAACATGTCACATATAAACAACGAAACAAAAAAAAAGGTTAACATTGATTCCTATTGATTTAATCTTCTAATGACTGAAACATTACGATTGTAAAATTAAAGACAATTAGAGAAAATTTCTTCCTAATGATTAGATGACTTTCTCTCTGTTTGATTAACTGTCAACTCTACAAAAATAGGTTGGCAACAAATCGCTTGACCAACAGAATGGATCACTGGTTAATCATAATGCTCACAATTACATGAAACAGTTATGCCTCTTGTCCTTTTCTTCCTGATCATTTCCTTGATTTATTGTTAATCATTTTGTTCCTTATTTTTTTTTATCTTATTCTCCATCTTCATCTTCCCTTTGTTTTCCTACCTTTCTCTCTCAATATTTTACATCAGGTGAATTGTAATCACTTTGCCAATTCTGGAATACCTAAGAATGGTCATCATCATCATCATCTTCAAAGTCCATCTTGGCGATCGCTTCCAATCAATAACATGAGCCAATTGGCCGATAATGACCTGAACGGCAAAGAGTCCAGTCTAATCTCTGGTTCACAACCTCAAGGTGAACAAATAGTCAAACAACATTTCGTCTCATCCAAAGTAAATGGTAAGAAAATGATCACTTGATCAACTAATTACTGTTAATTTGATTAAATCTTTGCAAGGGTCAATAATCCTTTTCCTTTTCTTTAATCATTTCCAATCTCAAAAGGGTTTCCAATTAAATCCACAATCACCATTTGCTTAATGGATTAATGAACTTTCCCAATCAAGAATTGAAATTGATCCAAGCAAATGGATCACATACTCATCCCTTAATTGACAATATTTTAATTCTTTAATTGTTACTCACAATTAAAGTTTAATCAAAACTTTTCCACCTAATGATTTCTACCTAAGGATAATCATTAATCACTGAGATTATCATTCCTCCTCTAATTGTCTGCTAATCTAATTGTGATAATCAAATTCTGTCTAATCTCAATCCTTTATTGTTACAATTTTCATCACAAGTAATACAATTAATTTAATTGCATCTAAATTTATTAACTAAATCCATTAACCTGCCTGATTATTGTGGTCATTTTAAAATGACAATGGTCAATAAAATACAATCAACTGATTACAATGTTAATCATTTTGTTTATGATTCAATATCATCAGGTGATTTCTCCATTAATTAAATTCTAGTTAATGATCATTAATCTTAATATTATTACTCGAAGTCAGGTCGTAAATGATTTAATGATTAACCATTAATTCAGTTTTACAATCGTTGATGAGATAATACAAAAAAAAGAAACAGCAAATTGTTAGTGATTTGATTAACTAGTTAATTCAATTCAATAAACAATGATGATATTTATGATCAGGTTTATTGATTGTAATCAATTTTCAACAATTAGATTATCCCAAAGGCATTTGAATCTAGTTAACCTTAACCAAAGTTAATTTTCCGTTTTAGATGTGATTACAATTAAGATCATTGAAATCTCATCACCTATTCACCTCAACTCTTCAATCAATTAGATAATTACTGTTAATCATTTAGTAGTTTTAAACCTTAGGGCTTTTTACTATGATAAATGGTTAATTGTTAGCGAATCTAATCAATCAAATTAACTTTTAAAATCCATGATCACAATTGTCCTTAGACTCTTTAAGAAACAAACAAGTACACAATTAGAATCGTTAATTGTGATAAAGATACCAATCTGTTTTCTCATTGCTTCTTTAATTGTTATTATTACATTAGCAATTAACCTTGTTCATTACAATAGTAATCACCACAATTAAACTTTAAACAATTAAGTTTATCATATGTATTTCAACATAAGCTAATAACTAATCTCATTTCCAATCTGTAAATAGTTGGAAACTCAAAAACAAAACAAACAATCAAATCAACAAAATTAAACAACAATTAACGTCTGTTAAAAGTTTTATAAACATTCAACAGAGGGCACAACATGTCAACAGTATGAAACTAAATCAGTTGATTAATTCAAGTTTTTTACCAAAACAAACAATTTAATTACAGGAAATAGTTACTTTTATTTGATTACAATTAACCTTTCCCCTGATAGAGACTTGATTAATACGATGATACTAATTATCATAAGAAAACAGGTAACTAGGAAATGTTGATTAAAATTATTCCAATTTGAATGATGATCAAAATCATATAAATTTAATCATCATTTTGATTGAATAGTTAAATATATTCAATTGTGTTGATGAATGAAAACAATAACCTATCAACAATCAACCATAAATATAATCAGATTTGATTTAAAATATAAATAATTTACCTGATTAACTTCATAAATAATTTGAAACTTTTCCAATTTAGCTGAATGATTAACAGGATCTAATCATAATTAACTGATTTATAAACTTCATCTTGATTAAACAACAATGTCCCAGAAAGGTAAAAAAAACTATGCTACAATCAAGTAACTAAATGTTAACTATGAGCAATTTAAACACCACCAATGATTAACAATCAACCTAATCAATATTTACAATTGAGTTAACTAGTATCAGGAACAATTTAAGTAAATTATTTTTAATCAACAAATAAATAATCAGGTAAGAATAAAAAAATAAACATTGTTAATCATTCACAATAAACACTCACAATCAATGATTTACCAACAATCAACAAACAATTGACCATAAACAACACCAGTTTATTTACAATTGTTTGATGAAAAAACCAAATTACTCGATAATCAGAATTGAATTTGATCTGAATTAATCCCTTATCCTGATCACAATCAATATCGTAAATTGAAAATCGTGATGGTTACCATTGATTATGATGATCAAGACTAACCAATCAAATTTCATTGTCATTAAATCCCATAAATTGTAATCAAACAAATAAAATCATATTGGTGACCTGATAGGAATCAGTAAAAAAAAACAGTAACAATCAAGGTAATAAAAATAAAATACGGAAATGGTATTGGTTTGAATTAACAATTTATCCAATCATATTGATCATGATAATCAAATAATCAACTATTTCTCTGTCAAATTTAATCAGTTTCACTCGCAAACAATTTATTTATAAAACTAACAAGTTAATCCCAACAAATGATGGTCAACAATCAAATTAACCATCACGATGTGATTTACCATGTATATCTTATTACTCAATGAGTATTTGTTGATCATTGTGATAGAAAACGTTTATAATAATAACAGTAATTTAATGATAACAATAATATTTAAAAAGAAGCCTCAAGATTATGATTATGATAAAGATGATGAAGAAAATAGGAAGAGGATGATAATGAGAAATGACCTTACGAGCATCATGACTGACCATCATAATCGCCAGAAAAGTTAACTGTAAATCGTTGTTGCTACTATTACTTATTAAGTGTTATCCGTGTCTTCATGGTCAATTGTTGCTCCTGACAAAGGGCAAATGATGAAACTACAATTCATCCTCATCCTCATCTTTATCTTCATCTTCATCTTCATCTTCATCTTCCTATCTCATTATTTTTTACCTTTGCAGGGGATCATCATCATCATAGTTATCATCTTGTTACCTTACTGACCTTAACTTTTACATGATTGAATTTATAACAATTGAAATATATGCAAATGCTTTTTTCTTGACTTGACCATTGGTCATTTTAATGAGATTTTTCAATTGTTAAACTTGATGGATTAATACATTGTACATATACTTTTCATTGAGAACTTTTTTTCCGCGCTATTCTGGTTGATTGTTGGTTAATCGTTTCGATTATCATTAACTTTTTGTCCACAAAAATGTTTAATTGTTAACAATTTATTTTCCAGTCACGTTAAACGGAACAATTTAAAATGTAACAACATTCATTGTAGTTTTTTTTTATAATGTTACCGAATCAATTTAAATGTAATTGTGGTTAAATTGTTGATGAACAGTTAACGAAACAGTTAATTGTTACACAATTTTAATTGTACCTCCAATCCTTTTGCGATGATCGTTACTGATTAACCTTTTTTTTAATTGTACTAACATACAATTCATTTTATCAACTATAAGTTTACCTGGTTAATTATTAATCTAAATTTTGATTGCGTCGAAAAAAATTTCAACAATCAAATTAAATTTTCATTATTTCGGAAAAACTTTTCAAACTTTAATATCCAAATATGATTTTCAATTAACTGGATAATTATGGCAAAACTGATTTCAATCAAATAAACCGTAATTCAATTAAATCTTTAATTGTAACGATCAAGATGATTAACATGCTCATCACAATTGATTATAATGAATTGAATCAATTCTTGTGTAGGTGAAACTCAACAAACTAAATCAACGAAAACAATTGCGTATGACAATTAATACAAAAGTTAATCTTATTCTCTATTATTTTCTAGTTACTTTATCATGTGAACCTGAAGAGATTCTGGTTAATCTGAATTTCACCTCACCATTCAAAGGAGTCATTCAATCGGGGGACAAAAACACTTCATGTCGCATTCGTGGGGATGGTAAACGCACTTACGTTCTGAAAGTACCACACAATTCATGTGGAACCAAACACGTGGTAAATATCAGAATCTGAATCCGATCAGAATTGAGAATCATTTGTTTATCTTAAATTTTAACTTGAATTTGTTTGTAAACTTAAAAATTCACATCTGAAACTTCATTCACCTGGAAAATAATTGTCTTTGTATTTCTGAAGCTACAATTTCAACCTTTACCTGTCTGATTACAATTAACTAATCAACAGGTATTCCTGAAGTTTGTATGTGTATTTTTTTTTGTTTAAAAATACATTCAAGTGTAAACAAAAACAACAACTAAAAAACAATAAGGAAACAACAAAACAAAATGATTATGATTATTGTTATTATCTCACAATACAAGGTTGACATGTTCAAGTTAATTGTCATTCAAGTGATCAAATTATTGTATAGATTAACAAGTAAACAAGTCACCATTGCCAATGTAGATATTTACCTTATTTTCTCGTTGTCAATTTACAATTTAGTTAATTAATCATCATCAGTAACAATTTAATTTCTTTGTGTGTTGTTACCTACGATTCACTTTGATTGCTTTTCATGCGTTAACTTTGCATTACCTTGATTGTTTAAACCAAAGTTTTTTTCATTGCACTTTGGTGATCTTGTTGATGATGATGATGATGATGATAATGAAAGTGGCGATGATGATGAAGATAAAAAAAAGTAGATATCATTGAAAGTAACGCAAGAAATAACAAGGAAAAGCAATTTGATGTTGACATCTTTTTTTACCATGTTAATGTTTGGTAAATGGCCCGACCATTGAAAAGGTCAATTGCTTGGACCCATCGGATTAGACGGCAAGGGTGCTAATGATACATTTAAGGTCGTTTGATGATCGTTAATGAGGTCATTCTTGTGATTCTTTTTATTATCTCTTGATTATATTACGATTACTTTCAGGTTCCCATGTTAATTCAGCTTCTCATGAGCTTTTTTCCCTCTCTCTCTCTTTCCATCTTCATGCTAATTTTCAATGAATGAGACTCAACTTAAATCTCTCGACTGTTGTTTAACTTGTTTCAATTTTAATGAGTTAATTTTACAACTTGAAACTCTTGAAATTACAATTAGTTGACAATTTTACTATGAATTTATTTCATTCTGATGTAATCCAGTTTCTATCCTAGATTTAAATTCATCTTATTGTAAATGATCATTTGATGATGTTGACTGTAAATATAATAATGATTGTTTGTACTTCCATCATGATTTAATTGCAATCTAATGATTAATTCAATGTTATGTATTGTTGGTAACTCTCTTTTTATTAACCATCATCTTCATTAAATCTCTATCGGATTAACCGGTAATATCATTTAATGATAGAGTTACTTAGAGATCTAGTTATCAAGTTATGATGGAAAATCGCTTTCAAAACTGACCTTCTCTCTCTCTCTCTCTCCATCCTCATCATCTTATTTCACCTTATTCACCCTCTTTTTTTCATCATCTTCATCCCATTTTCTTCATTTATTATTATTATCCTTCCTTGAATCGAAACAAAAGTAAAATCTTATGAAGATGCTCAAGAAGATGATGAAGATAATGATAACTCTTATACCCTAGCGACCTTCAATTTGGCCTAAACTTTAATGGACTAATTTGAAATATAATTTGGCAGATTAATGGTTGATTAGATGGATTGATTGGTTCATAATCGATTGGCCTTAAAACGCAAACGTAACTTTGTTAGAAATCAAAGTGCACATGAAAGATAATGTATTGATCATCATCATCATCATCCTCTGATTGTATTAGTTTGATTATTGTTGATAATCATCATGATCTTGAGTAAATTAACAAATTGTTTTGGTAAAAGAGTTGACTGAGAAACTTTGATAATTGAGTCTCTCATTGACGATGTTGATTTCTCTTATTGTTTTATTAATTGTTGCAACGAGAAAACTTGAAGTTTCATTCACGAAACAATTAACTACCAAACTCCAATGAATTTTGATTGTAAACAATTAATATTAATTTGTCTTAATTGTCTCTTTTTCATTAGGTTTCATCAGGAAGTTTCTTCAACACACTTTTCATCCGATATCATCCATCCCTTGAAATGGAGGGCGATCAGCTGAAGACAATTGTATGTAAATTTGCCACCGAATCTGTATTCATTGGTTAATTGTTGCCCATCAACCAATGAACACCTTAATTGTGATTAAAAAACAATTAAACGACGAGATGATGAAAAAAGAGAGCAAATTTTTCTTTCCATATCAGGCTGATGATAATCGTTAAGATGAACACCTTGGTGACACTTTGATGACAAATTAAATATTTTTTTCTTCTCCACCCTCAGGGTTAATTCATTTTAATTCCTTAATCACAATTGCGAGATGAAGAGGAAAAAAAAGATTAAATGTTGAGTTAATTACATGGTATCACAATTAACTGGTTAATTTGATCACTACTCTGATAATGATCAGGTCACATCGTCATCATCATTATTAAGAATCAAAGTTAATCAAATGACAATTTACAGTTAAATGATAAATCAATTTGATTCAATTGGAAAAGGTCATCATTGATTATCGTATGTTATTTATCTGATATAACAAAATTTAATCACTTAGGAAGAAACTTTGTTAGTTAGTTAATTAATTAGTATACTAAATGTGTAAATGGTACGGAAGTTAATTGTGTAAATCATTAGAGGTAAGTTTAATCAAGATAATTAAATCAAGTTGTCATTCATATTATATCATTGGTAAATCCAAACGTTAAAAAAAACAACTCCAACAACAACAGTTAACTAATTGTGATATCTTAAATTTTAATCAAAATTGATGGTGACAATCTTGATTAAGGTTAAATTTAGTAACAATTAAAGGCATAACTTTCAAATTAATCCCATTTAAGATACAATTTAGTTTGAAAAAATCTAATAAATCACAAGAAAGAGGATTAAGGTTAACAATTTAAATTACGTTTTGGAAAAAGTTGATTGTTGTTGTTGTTGATCTGAGATTATTTTGGTGATGATCTTTGCCAAAGTATGATGAACTTACTATCAATGAAGCAAACAATTAACTGATTGATTACGAGATGATTCTGATAAGAATCCAGGATCACCATGAAAATTTTCAGTTTCACATACAGTTTATTTTTCCTCAGGTAAGTAAAAGTTAAACAACGGATTTATTGGCAAACCGAATCAAAGAAAAAGGTAAACATTGTGAATCATGATAATTGCTGATTGTTAATCATTTAGGTGATAATCCCAATGAAAAGACAATTGAATTAACCTGATCAATTGATTAATGAAACATTTTCCCTTTTCCATTGACAAAAAACAAACAAACAAACAAACAACTTTTCATGTAAAACAAAAAGGTGATAACCTTACAGATTGAATTGTGTTGATTTTTGATTCAGATAAATGATTAACATTGAACACTCATTCTGAATAGTATCATGGTGAACATGATGAAAGTGAATGAACCAATGAACCATAGAGATGAACAGGATCCTTTTCATCATCACTCTTTCATCACCATGATCGTCACCATGTAACATCCAGGTAACATCATCAGTTACCTGAGTCTTTTTTTTTTGCCTCAAAACAAAAAAGTCCCAAAGTTCATCAAGTGTGAAAGACTATGTTAATTGTCTCAATTGTTGATTAAGTAATTATCTCGAAAATAATCTGCAAGTTGTCTTATTGTCAACCGAATTGATTATCCACTGAATTTCATGAGTGTCGCCATTTAGAAATGAGGTCAATCCGCTCATAGAAACTTTTTCTTTTCTCTTTTCTTTCAAATCGCCTTGAGGCTTTTTTCTTCTTCTTCTTCTTCTGTCTATGATTTTTTTCTCTGTCTCTTTCTCATTTCAAATTCTATTACACTGAATATATTGTTACCTTTGAAAAGAAAACTTTCTTTCATGATTCACTGAGAATCTTTGAAATTTTCATCATGAAAGTGAAAAAGTTTCAACCTCCATGAAGAAAAAAAAGATTCAGTAAGATGAGATTTCAATGTAAACAATGAAGATAGAAAATGAATGTAATTCAATTTAAATTAGAATCACTATTGTTTTCTCTTGATTATTGTAACGAATTGATTAATTACAATTGACTGACTTTATTTTGGTTGATAAACAATCAACAGGTTAAATTGTGATGATTAAAACTGATTCAATGTATCATGAAAAAAATGTCATGATGATACGATTTCTGTTGACCTGAAACTAGATTAATAAATTGTTATGAAATAATTGTGATTTACATGATTAACCTTGAATTTAGCTTCAAGGGTTTTTCTTAATTGTTAGTCTACTTCAAGATCTTAATTGTTGTTGAGCATAATCAATGTTAGGGCCTCATGAACATGGGAACAATTTGAACAATTAAAATTACAACTATAACAATAATCATCTGAATAAATTGTGTGAGTGTGTGTGTGTCTTATGTTTATATGCAATTAAAGTTAAACCAACAATTAACTGTTACTTTTGATTTAGTTTTTCCAACAGCACAATCAACTCTAACGGTCAGTTTACCATAACAACTGACCATTGATCCCTCAGGTAAGTTAATTGTTACCATTGATCACACACACACAAGTCAAAAGCCTTTGAGAAATTAAAATGGAAACATAAATAACAATCAAAGTAAATGATAAACAATCAAGATATTTGAATGAATATGACATGTTGACCATGAACAATAAACTGACCACAACTGATAACAGTAATCATGAAAATGATCAGTAAACATGATTGTTACTGAAATACTGGTGCCCATATTTTACCAAATGGCGATCAATGGTCAAGAGTAACGATCCGAGAGTCCGATAAGTAGCCAATATAATTTGTAAGGTTTAATTGTGATGATACATGAAACAGATTAAAGGTAAAAGGATTAAGATCTTTATGGTTGAAAGATCAACGATTTCATGAAAACCAAACAACAACAAGAAAATATATCAGGTAAACCGGAAAGTTTTTGGAAAACCTTGATAACCCATCAAGGGGCAATCATGATAATCATGAGGCTTTTTTAATCCAACGATTAGGAAGCAAACGAAATTGATAAATTTTGAGTCGAAAACAAAGTTCGTTAGTCAAATATTAATAATATAAAAAACTTTTTCTCTTCGAAAACAAAAGGATCACCTGTAGAACTTTTTTTTCGTAAATTCGATAAACAATTAAAAGTTTTCTCTCACTATCTTTCAATGAAAAGATTTAGGTTCATGTTAATTATCACGATCAAAAGAAATTATCAATTCGTTTGATAATCAAAACGCTGATTGTTGATTAATGCGAAAAAGGATGATTATGATTAACATATGATTCTCATTGTTAAGGTAAATATATTTTCTTAATCGTAACAAGAAAACAAAAACATTGCATGTTAGTTGATTATTATTGTTATTAAAATTGATATTATAATAATAATGATAACCCTGAGTAGTTAAAATTGATTCCATGTTAATTTGAATCAATATATATATTTGTAAATTCAAGGTAATTGTATTCACAATTTGTTATATTATCATTGATATGACCTTCATCAGAACTTAAATTATCATGATAATATATTGAAATCTATCATTTCAATTACTATAATATATTTTTTGATAACAATTTAAATACATTCCTATGAGAAATTAAAGTTTAATATAAGATTGATGATTAGTATTGTGTGTGTGTGTGTTTTTTTTTGCGTTGATTATAGTTAAATATGGGTTAGTCGATTGGTATCATTGTGATGATAATAAGATGGATCATCAAATTGTGATTGAAATTACGACTGATTGTTGGATATTAATAATATACATTTGGATACAATCAGTGTATCAGATGTAATAATATCTCTTTCATGATAATCTGGTCCATCGTCAGGATAATTGAATTTAATGAGTTTCCCTCACTGTTAAGTTAATTGTTACAATTGTAGTTAGTTGATTTTGGTGAAAAATTGTTAAATTTAAAATCCATTGGAGTGTATTAGTTGATGATGAAGATACAATTGGTTGTTGTTGTTGTTGTTGTTGTTGTTGGGATAATTAGACTAATGATGATGAAGATGATTAGTTTGATTGTTTGTTTATATTTTGAACAATTGGATATTAATCATGATTTATAATCTATTTTGTCTCGTCAATTGTGACAAAGGTAAAAATTGAGTAGTTTAATCAGGTACAAACACGAGACTTGCCGCAGGTAAATTAAGTCAATTACCTGAAAGGTAAACCGTTTGGGACACGCAAAGGTAAACAATTAAGATGATGAGGTAAATCATTTGATACTTTCAAAGGGATGATAATGATTTTCATTATGATTAAGATCAAGTAGATTTTGATGAGATTAAGGATGACAATGATTTTCTGAGACAATGAGAAATTAATTCAAGGAAATTCATGATTATCATGATGATGACGATGGTTTGATGGACAAAATTAGTTGCCAAATATTATCAATGTTTTCCAATGTTTGCACGTAACACATCAGGTAAATGTGAAAATCTATTGTAGTGATTAAGGTGATTCGGTGCCAAGAAAAAAAGGTAAAAGAGGAAGAAGAGGAAACTGTTGAGGTGCCAAAAGAAGGTAAAAGGTAAGAGGTCGTTCCCATGTTCTCACGTAAAAACCTTATGGGTGACAGAAGAAAGAGACAAGGTGAGAGAGAGAGAGAGAGTTGATGAAGATGGAGATGGAGAGGACAAGGTAAAGGTTAATAATCGGCGAGTTTTACCTTTTCTCTTTTTTTCTCTTCTCTTTCCCATCTTCTACTTTTGGCCATATGATGGAGAAAATAACAAGATGAGACACATCGGGTTAAGAGAAGATGACAAGAGAAAAAAAATCAGAGAAGAAAAAAGAAATAGAAAGAGAGAGAGAAAGTAAGTGATGCAGGAAAGAGAGAGAAAGAGAGAGAGAGAGAGAGAGAGAGAAACAACAGCAAAAGAATATTTTTTTCTCCTCTCTTTCTTATCTTCTCTCTCTCTCTCTCTCTCTCTTTCTCTCTCAGAGTGAGTCGACTTGACTCAGAACAGGTAAGTGGCAAATGTATGTTCAGTAGTCGGTAGAGTGTAACAGTAACAACAACAGCCAACAGGTAACAATCAACAGACAGCATTCACCTTACATGATGATCAACAATCAACAACAACAATAAGTTACAACATTTTTCATCATCTTTACTCATCCTTCATCATCATCTTGAAAAGTCATCACTTTACAATCTCATTGATAATCCGGCGAACTGATTAATTTGTTTACTTTTTGTTTCAGTGCCATTTATTTGGAGAGAGAGAGGGAAAACTTATTTGAAAACGCTAATTG